GGTTATAATAAGGATCCATTAAACTTTATTTTTAGATTACCAATTTATTTAGATGCAACATGTAATGGTGTACAACATTTAGCTGCAATGGTTTCTGATTTTGATCTAGCTAGTAAAGTTAATTTAGTTGAATCTGATATGAAAGATGATCCTAATGATCTTTATACAGTAGTTTAATGTTAAATCCTATTAATGAAGAAATTAAGAAAATAGATTAATGTGATTTAGAGTATGCTAGATTAAAGGGTTTAGTATTAAATAGAAAGATTGTAAAAAGAAGTTTAATAACTATTTCATATGGAGTTAAGATTAAAGGAATTTATGATCAATTAATTCAAGATCATTTTTCTATATATAAAAAATTGCCCATCAATCGTGGGTTATTGCCTCCATCGCTGATAGTTTTTTTGCAAATGGCATTCCAGCATGTACTGTTTCATAGTATAAATATACAAGAGTTAGATATACCTATTGAACAACAACGAAAGGAGAAAAATCCCACAGAAAAGAACCAACATCTGTGTCATCGAGCGATGTTTTTATGCTGTGGAATGAGGTGCTTGAAGACGGTAATTTATTTCAAATAAGGTATCAGATAGGGAGATGAGGTAGAAATTATGAACTAATATATGACGTAAGGTTGATGGGATGATATAGGGGTAGTTCAGTTTTTTTTTGTTTTTTCGATGACAATGACGATGACGGTGATGATGATGATGATGACGGTGACGGTGATGATGATTCAGGAACAAAGGTTGTTGGGAGCATCCAATCACTTACAGATCGCAGTGATTCTAGGTTGGTGTTACTTTTTACAAGTATATTCCACGTTTGCTCCATTATATATAGTCCAGATAAGGCCATTTTAAAGAGTGGAACAATTCTTGTGATGTAGTCTTCAGCGCAGCTTCGATCGTCGTACTCTGGCAACATAACCTTGTGGGCAATCCATTACCAGCATTGATATTTTGCAGCCTGGAAGTTGCAAAAAGTTAGTATCAATAGACTAATATAAACACAGCCAAGTTTCACTGACTGTTGATGACGAAGCCGAGGATTTGAACTTGATGCAATGATTTTTGTGAATATGCCACTTGGCTCAACATATCATGCATGATTAACGGCATTTTGGTCAAGCTGTCCTTCATCTCTTTGGTCTGATCTTCGTTCTTTCCAATCTCGACACACCCCACTTCTTTTCTGTTTGCGCTGTAAATCACGTCAATTTTACGGCCAACCCGACGGTTTGTGGCTGGTTCGATGGCTGATATGATCTTTTCTTGTTCAAAGCATCGGCATTAGCCTTGCTCGAGCCTTCACTCCTGTTTTTACATTACATCGTAAGCGCACTTTATTTTGAAGTGTATAATAACCCTGTTTTTTGCGAATCTTTTGATTTACCCTTTTACTGTGATGCGAGTGCCTTTGACGATGGTTTTTATGAAACCCCACACTTCATACAATTGGTCGTATTCAAGCATGTTGTCCATGTCGAGTTTTCCATTGTCGTACAAGAAAATTCTTGCAGACTTCTGTAATTCGACGACCAACCATGCTTTCAAAGGCTCCTTTATGGGATCATGACACAATTTGCAGCTGAATTCATACGCTTCAGACAGAGTTGTCTACAAATTAGTAGCGCAATGTTTAATTTATGCAATAATGCTCATTACTGCGACTCTTATTTTTTTCTTACCAGCTTTTCAATATCGCTCAAGATATCAATTAATTCAGCATCCAATGCAGGGATTAGCTTAGAACCAAAATTTTCTAAAGCATCCAGATTTCCACCCGAGAAAACATCATCCCAATTGTTATCGCCGATGTCCAATGAGTATTGTTGAACCTTAAAAAAATTCGTAAGTTCTTAACTTACGAAGTGCTTCTTTTTATGATTCTTTTTCAAAGAAGAAAAAGGTTCTGAATTCTCAACCAAAATTTTAATTTTGGGTATTACAGAATTCACAGATAATTGTTTTTCCATAAAAATTTTTATAATTTTTTGTCTTAGCAAAAACTATTATCCAAAAAAAATAATTATTTTTTTCAAAGAAATTAATTTTAATTTCGAAATGATATATCTTTTTAAGAAATTAACTTTAAAGATTTTTATTTATTAATGATGCTCAATATGAGTGACTGGGACGGACTAAAAAACATAAACATTCTAGGATGAGTGCTCTATATAACGCCTTTTTGATCTTATACAGACAAAAGGTCTGTTGATTTTAATACCTATTAATGGTAGTTGCACTGTTTCGCAAGTCGATGACAATCTGGTCTATAATCAGCGGTGCTTCATCAGACCGTTCCAGGCTCCAGAAATTCTTTTTCGACAACTGTCCTAACTCTCGTGAAATCCTTTCTTTGTCCAGAGTTGTCAGTTTTACTTTGAGGGACGTCGATCCGGGTGATTTAGTCGTTGGGTATGATGCTTTCGAGCATTCCCTGACTGCGATATCGTCTGCCTTGGGCCGAGCCAGCTCCACCATTTTCAGTGCTACAGCTGCCCAATCAGGCTTCTTGCGCCCTTTTGCCTTTACAAAAAAGCATTAACTTTTTGAAACTTAGTCACAATACTCAGTCTATAAGACGTATACTTACAACATCCACCTTTACCCATTGCACAACCTTCCTATACAGGTTGGTCCAGGTTTTTTCGAGCGCGTCCCCTAAATACGAGTTCTGTACAATAAATTCGACATTTTCGTCGATGAAGTGCTGGAAACTGGGTGTGCTTGTAGTTTTTAGATAGTTCTCGACAACTGCAGTATATCATTAGTGTCTCATACTCCAAGGCAATCTCCTTAGATTTGTGTCACTCACATGCTTCTGTTTCCTTGGTAACGTTCGTCATGGTAATAGTTTTTGCACAGAGAATGGGTTTAACACGAAATAGTTATTTACATATCCTCCTTTAGAAGGAAAGAAAACAAACATACTTCTTTCCTTCTAGATAGGATCTTATTCAGACATACCTTTTTGTATAAGTATCATTATTTAATGAGAAACTAAATGTCTTTATTTTTTAAAAAAATAGTGTTATTTAATTGATGCTATCTAATTTTATTAAGTTATTAAAAAAAATGTTTACAAAAATGTCTTTTAAAATTTTAGCGATCGCCCTATTCTCCCTTCGTATCCTGCGATTAACTTTAAACTTAGTTTGGGTTATTTCTAGTTATTGGTTTAAAATACTTATTTATAGATGTAATAGATTATTACAAACTTATTATTCTTTATTATAGAATAATATTCTATCCATTATTAAGTTTATTAAACATAAGTATTACTATTCTATAGATAAAAATCATTTTAGATTTGCATCTGTATTTTTAATTCCTAATATTCTAGTTGATTCTATTCATCTTTATTTTATAGAATTTATCCACTTAAATGATAATCTTTCTAACATTTTTACAGGCTCTTTAGGTTTGGTAGTACTAGGTTTATTAATTTATATAAGTTCTGCCCCTAATTCATCTAATACAAATCCTTCATCAAAAAATACTTTTAATGTTAATCTTGGAGATGGAGGTGCAGGGTCAAATAATCATCCATCAAATAGTAATTCTAATAATGATAAACTAATTACTTCTCCTGGAGTTGCTGCGGGAATTATTTCTGGAACAACAATAACTGCTGCAGTTACAATTGCAAAAACAAATCCTAGAAATGGATTGTTTTTAGGTATTATTGGTACTATTACTGATTTTGCTACTTATGGATTAGGTGAAATGATGAATCATAACTATGAAGAAAAAAAAATGAGAGAAATGTGTAAAAGAATGTATTATCACTCTATTGGAAGATCTAGTAGTCCTCCACCAGATGGAAACTTCAAAATTAATTCTCCAAATGAAAATAATAATAATTTTGTAGAATTAATTTCAAAATTCATTGAAAATCCACAAGATGTATTTAATTTATTAAATGAATATTTAGAGGTAGTGATGGAAATCCTACTCCTATTTTAATTTTATGTGTTTGTCTATTTACATTTATTAGAATTCTTGGTTGTTTCTTTTTAATTATAGGTATGTTAAGTAAGCTAATTAAAATTGAAGAACGAGAATTTATTAAGAATAGACCTTTATTACATAAATTAGCTTGCCTTATTATTTCATTAAGAGATTGGAATAATTTTGTATTATTAATAATTATGTTTACAAACTTATTCTATATTTTTAGCGGTTGCCCTATTTTCCCTTCGAATACCTGCAATTTAAACTCTTTTACAGAGCTTATTTTAACTTACATCAGGATTAAAACACCTGATGGTTTAATTACTAGTAATATCTGGATTAATACTCCGGATAATTTACTTTTAGCTTTATTACCTTCAGTGGTATGTATAAATAAAAACCCTTCAGAAAATAATATTTTAAATTCAACTTTTAATGATTTAAAAGATTTTTCTCTTACAAATGAAAATTCTAGTGGTTATATTACTATTAAAGAAATTTTATCAAACGATACTTTATCTCTTAAAGAAAAACAATCAAATTTAGAAGAAAAATTACATTTTTTATGGTTGAAAAAACTAGAAAAATGAGTAAGTCTAAGAATTTCTTAAATACAAATCCTAGGTTTAGAATATTTTTAAATAACTATAAGTTAATAGAAGATGACTTAAAAATGTATTTTGAAAATGAAAAATATATTAGAAACAAAAAATATCTTTTTATGTTTAAAGAAATAGATAAATCCTTGATGCTGTTCTTGATTTTAAGTTTGTTAATCCCCTTTATTATGAAGTATGAAGATAATAAAGAACAATCAGTTACTACTTTATTTCATAGATTAGGAAAAACTTTATATAAAGAATGTTTATATCAAAAATATATTAAAGGATATTGTAACTTTTAATTTATATTTGAAGAATTTTACAATGAATGAAGAGAATTTTATTAATATTGGTGGTACTGTTATTAGTTATTTGGATATAAGAAGTGATCTTTTTAATATCTTAGAACGATATGATGTTAAAAGTAAAAAAACTCATAGAGAAATTATTCCTAGTTACTAATTGAAAACCTATATTAAATATTTAGGTATGATTGATGGTCATGAATTACCTATAGTATATCCACCTATTTATTGTGAATTAAATGATAACAAAGAATTTAAGACATATGGTGGATATATTACTAATAATATTAAGAATTTTAATCCTTTAATTAGAAGTAAAAGATTTACTGGATCAAATATTAAATTTATAAATAAAATGACAATTAAAATTGTTAATTATATGTCATCTATTGGTTTCAATATTAATCTTAAAGTATTAGATTTTCTAATGAATCTGCCACTTAATGATGATTTAATTATTAGAACATTACATAAGGAGACAGATGAAATGAGTGAGATTATTAAAAAGAATAATAAAGAAAAAGAATTTGAAATTACATCTCATAATAGTAAATTCTTATATAATAATTCAATTTTAACTATTGCTAAACTGTATAGAGATGTTGAACAATTTTATTTTACTTTCTTTTTAGACTAGAGAGGAAGAGTTTATTGCCAAGGGGGTGAATTAAATTCCCAAGGTAGTGAATTAGCAAGATCATTATTGTTATTCAAAAAAGGTAATGTATTATCTGAAAATGGATTAAATTCATTAAAGGTTTATGGAGCAAATGCTTTTGGATTAAATAAATTATCTATTACCAAAAGATTAGAATGGGTTGATCAACATTTTTCAGAAATCTTAGATTTAAATCCAGGATTATCGAGAAAAGCTGATGAACCTATGTTATTTTTAGCTTTTTATTTTGAGTTACAAGGTTATAATAAGGATCCATTAAACTTTATTTTTAGATTACCAATTTATTTAGATGCAACATGTAATGGTGTACAACATTTAGCTGCAATGGTTTCTGATTTTGATCTAGCTAGTAAAGTTAATTTAGTTGAATCTAATATGAAAGATGATCCTAATGATCTTTATACAGCGGTCCCCCGCTTTTTGCAGCAGCGGTTTTTGGTGGAAAAAGCTGCAAAAAGTGGGGAACTGCAAAAAGTGAGGATGAGTATGAGATGTTACACAGACTGAGTCTATTATGTTAATCAAGTGTCAACAATAGTAAACCAATTAAAAGATATTGGTACTATGCTGAGGCTACTTATTATAACTCAACTCTTATATAAAAGGCTGTCATCTCACTCTTGATGTTTAAATACTGCACTATCGACACCTCCACACCACTATAGTCGAAAACTTGAATTGTTCGCCCATAAACCTCACTTTCCATTGGCTGCCGCTCATTCTTTCTCAGTAACCAATCAACCCCATTTAAATCTAACAAAATCTTGTGACGTAAATTCTTTTGCCGATTGTTTTTTTCTTCTTTCCGTCTCTCACATATCTCACCAAAACAAAAACCTTAACGATCATGCCACACATCTAACATCTTAATATTAACGTTGATAATTATGAAATACTTTTAATGGCGAGGCTGATGTTCTGAAGGACCGGTTCTTGAGCTGTTCCAGCTTTTCAACTCGTTTGTTTGATCGTTGAACATTGTTGCAAGTCGGCCAAGAACAGGAACAGGTACGCGTTTTTTTTGTTTTTGTTTTTTCGACTTCAATCTTCAGTCGTTCAAAAGAATCCATAAATCTACAAAATCATAAGCATTATTTCAAGTACTATTATTAATCTGATAATCTTTCTTATATTTTACCTATCCATAGCTTCTTCAGAAAGAGTTTCGGATGCTGTGGATGCAGCTTCATCAGTTTCCATGATGCTATGTTGTGGTTGTTGTATTGGCTGTTGCTCTTGCTGTGACGATGATGATGATGATGATGGTGGTGATAGTAGACGGATCAAACTGATTCCAAGGACACGATTGATCTTTTTATAAACAAAGGTTAATGATCGCTCAAGTCCTTCATGTATTTACATACCAAATACATATGCTTGCATGGTGAACCGTTTGTCTGGTGATCGACACAAGTGCACGACCCAAGATAATCTTCGTCGATATTGACTGAAACATCATATGTAGTACTTTCTTCCGGGTCAGTGAAAGAAAGTACTTTGTAAACGTTCCCTTCTTGACCAACAATTTTGGCAGCGGCTTCTTCATCTGTGATGTGCGCAAAAAGGTTTGTATAATAGTATATATGAAATAATATTATATTAAATGGCGAAAGAGATACTTACCGTTCAATTCATTGACTCTTGCAAGTCTCATTCTTTCTGCCTTGTTCATTGTACGAAGCCTAAAGTTGGCTACCGTACAAACATGATCTTGCATTATATCTGGAAGAACATGGCTCCAAAGGATATAGACAAGCACGTCAACACGTTGTCTTTGCAAGCTTGGTAGGTAAACTTCTTTGAGGTGACGATGCCAGCTCTCTATGTAGTTGTTTGTGTTTATGTGATGATGGTGCTTTTATATTCGTGGTAAGTAGCAGAATTCGTCGAAAAATGACATGAAAATATAAGATGAAGCAAAAACTTACACTGCGCCATGCTTGGCTCCATTTCTCACGTTTAGGAAGAAACTCCCTCTCAAAGTACAAATACAAACGAGCACTTTCCCATTCATCCTCACTATCAATGGACCAAGTTTCGAATCGTTCATGTTCAAGATCGAAATCCGTTGGTACCTCAGCTTTCATCATATTCATCATTAGGGAAAGTGCATGTTCACGCATGTCTTTCTTCTCCTTCAGAGTCTTCGATGGAGTGGACGGTTTTGCGGTGAGTTTGGAAAGAATGTTCTTCTTCCATGCTCTAAGGACATGCCAGTGGCAGATAAGTATCTTCACTTTGTCAGTAAATGTGTTAGTGGACGGATCATCATATACATAGTTATACGCCTTATTAATAGCAATAATTTCTGTATCAGAATCGTCGATCATAACACGGGATGGTATATATTCGTGCTCATCCTTCAGCCATTGAAGCCAATACAAAATAGGATATTGAGCTTGTGAATTTGTGATCATCCACGCCAATGGCTTGCCCTTTCCGGTAGTCCTGCATCTTGCTACAAGTGTATACAGATAACAGTCATGATTGGCACCATCCACACAAGTCTTATGGGTTGAATCAAGACAAACAAGGTCTCCGTCCTCTTTCAAATGCTATATAACAAGGAATATATATATGATTAGGTACGTGTATAATGTAAATCCATTTGGATCGATTGTTGTACCTTTAATTGCCATTGTGACATGAACGCGAAAAAGAACATTCCCTCTTCATATCTATCAAGATTTTTTGAAGTAAAATGTCCTTTCTCTTGTTCTATTTTGTCACCCCATTTACCAAGACTGATTGCCATCGAAGGATCAAGTTGGGATTGACGTCGAAGATGCACTTTCATTGCATAATAGACATGGTGATAATTGACTCGAATGGATTGAGGTATGTTATCATATGTTTCGTCAACCAAGATTTTATCAAGAACATCTTTGTCGAGACGAAGCATATGTTTGATATTTCTCCACTTAAGACTTTTCTCCACTTGCTCTTGAATGAATTGCATCACAAAGCGAGGGAGTGTACCGGATGTTGTATCTATGTTGCTGCCAGGTTCATGACCAGTATGCTTACGCCGGTATTGTACCGTGATCATGTCCTTGTTTTCACTGTCTTGGTTGACAAAGGCAGTAAATCCTGTTTGGCAATTGCAACAAAATGAGTTCGTTCCACGAGGAGGACCAGCCCGTTGGCACGTGTAGTACTATCGCAGATGGATTATACACAAAGCAGAAGTAGAAGTCATCTAATAAGTATCACATAAATGTTTTTTATGTTTACAATAAAATTTTTTGAAAGGTTTACTTCATTGAAGTAGAATGCTTCTCTTCCTCTGCTGCGCTTTTGACCGGGTGGAGGAGGTATGTATCCATTTTGAAGATACTCTTCGTTCTTCTCTTTGCGTCCACGTTCAGTTTTCGTTTTATTATAAAACTTGCAGTTGTATTGCGTCTCTTGAGCTTCGATCCAGTTGCGATATTCTGATCTCGAAATAAATAATGTTGCAGGCGCATCATCATTTGCTGGGCGAGTGATAAAGGTAGTGGTAAGATAATTTTCCATAGTAAAGATACAAGATCCAGGGACAACAAATAAAAACAAGTGCCAACAAAAACTTCAAAATAATCAACTCAAATCAGGAAATAGCAGTCCAAGTGGTATTTTTAACTAGGCAAAATATCTGGCCAATAAAATTTGAGGTTTATGGGCGAACAATTCAAGGCTTGCCCACTATAGTAAAAGCGAAATACCAAAAGCTTACTGAATAGTAAAACAATGCTATCTATCAGCATTATATGTAGATGTCACTGGTTCGAAACTCTGTGTCCTAGGCTCCTGAGTTGATAGTGGAAAATTGCAGGTCCCTATGTTTGGCCTGCAAAATGCAAAAAGTGAGAAAACTGCAATTTTATTAAGTAATGAGCGGGTGTGCTCCAAAAAAATCTGCAAAAACTGAGGATCTGTAAAAAGTGGGGCTGCAAAAAGCGGGGGACCACTGTAGTTTAATGTTAAATCCTATTAATGAAGAAATTAAGAAAAGATTAATGTGATTTAGAGTATGCTAGATTAAAGGGTTTAGTATTAAATAGAAAGATTGTAAAAAGAAGTTTAATAACTATTTTATATGGAGTTAAGATTAAAGGAATTTATGATCAATTAATTCAAGATCATTTTTCTATATATAAAAAATTGCCCATCAATCGTGGGTTATTGCCTCCATCGCTGATAGTTTTTTTGCAAATGGCATTCCAGCATGTACTGTTTCATAGTATAAATATACAAGAGTTAGATATACCTATTGAACAACAATCAAAGGAGAAAAATCTCACAGAAAAGAACCAACATCTGTGTCATCGAGCGATGTTTTTATGCTGTGGAATGAGGTGCTTGAAGACAGTAATTTATTTCAAATAAGGTATCAGATAGGGAGATGAGGTGGAAATTATGAACTAATATATGACGTAAGGTTGATGGGATGATATAGGGGTAATTTAGTTTTTTTTTTGTTTTTTCGATGACGATGACGATGACGGTGATGATGATGATGATGATGGTGATGGTGATGATGATGATGATTCGGGAACAAAGGTTGTTGGGAGCATTCAATCACTTACAGATCGCAGCGATTCTAGGTTGGTGTTACTTTTTACCAGTATATTCCACGTTTGCTCCATTATAATTAGTCTAGATAAGGCCATTTTAAAGAGTGGAACAATTTTTGTGATGTAGTCTTCAGCGCAGCTTAGATATTCCAGTGCTTTCGATCGTCATACTCTGGCAACATAACGTTGTGGGCAATCCATTACCAGCATTGATATTTTGCAGCCTGGAAGTTGCAAAAAGTTATTATCAATAGACTAATATAAACACAGCCAAGTTTCACTGACCGTTGATGACGAAGCCGAGGATTTGAACTTGACACAACGATTTTTGTGAATATGTCACTTGGCTCAACATATCGTGCATGATTAACGGCATTTTGGTCAAGCTGTCCTTCATCTCTTTGGTCTGATCTTCGTTCTTTCCAATCTCGACACACCCCACTTCTTTTCTGTTTACGCTGTAAATCACGTCAATTTTACGGCCAACCCGACGGTTCGTGGCTGGTTCGATGGCTGATATAGATCTTTTCCTGTTCAAAGCATCGGTATTAGCCTTGCTCGAGCCTTCACTCCTGTTTTTACATTACATCGTAAGCGCACTTTATTTTGAAGTGTATAATAACCCTGTTTTTTGCGAATCTTTTGATTTACCCTTTTACTGTGATGCGAGTGCCTTTGACGATGGTTTTTATGAAACCCCACACTTCATACAATTGGTCGTATTCAAGCATGTTGTCCATGTCGAGTTTTCCATTGTCGTACAAGAAAATTCTTGCAGACTTCTGTAATTCGACGACCAACCATGCTTTCAAAGGCTCCTTTATGGGATCATGACACAATTTGCAGCTGAATTCATACGCTTCAGACAGAGTTGTCTACAAATTAGTAGCGCAATGTTTAATTTATGCAATAATGCTCATTACTGCGACTCTTATTTTTTTCTTACCAGCTTTTCAATATCGCTCAAGATATCAATTAATTCAGCATCCAATGCAGGGAATAGCTTAGAACCAAAATTTTCTAAAGCATCCAGATTTCCACACGAGAAAACATCATCCCAATTGTTATCGCCGATGTCCAATATGAGTGACTGGGACGGACTAAAAAACATAAACATTCTGTGATGAGTGCTCTATATAACGTCTTTTTGATCTTATACAGACAAAAGGTCCGTTGATTTTAATACCTACTGATAGTAGTTGCACTGTTTCGCAAAGTCGATGACAATCTGGTCTATGATCAGTGGTGCTTCATCAGACCGTTCCAGGCTCCAGAAATTCTTTTTCAACAACTGTCCTAACTCTCGTGAAATCCTTTCTTTGTCCAGAGTTGTCAGTTTTACTTTGAGGGACGTCGATCCGGGTGATTTAGTCGTTGGGTATGATGCTTTCGAGCATTCCCTGACTGCGATATCGTCTGCCTTGGGCCGAGCCAGCTCCACCATTTTCAGTGCTACAGCTGCCCAATCAGGCTTCTTGCGCCCTTTTGCCTTTACAAAAAAGCATTAACTTTTTGAAACTTGGTCACAATACTCGGTCTACAAGACGTATACTTACAACATCCACCTTTACCTGTTGCACAACCTTCCTATACAGGTTGGTCCAGGTTTTTTCGAGCGCGTCCCCCAAATACGAGTTCTGTGCAATAAATTCGACATTTTCGTCGATGAAGTGCTGGAAACTGGGTGTGCTTGTAGTTTTTAGATAGTTCTCGACAACTGCAGTATATCATTAGTGTCTCATACTCCAAGGCAATCTCCTTAGATTTGTGTCACTCACATGCTTCTGTTTCCTTGGTAACGTTCGTCATGGTAATAGTTTTTGCACAGAGAATGGGTTTAACACGAAATAGTTATTTACATATCCTCCTTTAGAAGGAAAGAAAACAAACATACTTCTTTCCTTCTAGATAGGATCTTATTCAGACATACCTTTTCGAGGTGGATTCTATAAGTGTCATTATTTAATGAGAAACTAAATGTCTTTATTTTTTAAAAAAATAGTGTTATTTAATTGATGCTATCTAATTTTATTAAGTTATTAAAAAAAATGTTTACAAAAATGTCTTTTAAAATTTTAGCGATCGCCCTATTCCCCCTTTGTATCCTGCGATTAACTTTAAACTTAGTTTGGGTTATTTCTAGTTATTGGTTTAAAATACTTATTTATAGATGTAATAGAATATTACAAACTTATTATTCTTTATTACAGAATAATATTCTATCCATTATTAAGTTTATTAAACATAAGTATTACTATTCTACAGATAAAAATCATTTTAGATTTGCATCTGTATTTTTAATTCCTAATATTCTAGTTGATTCTATTCATCTTTATTTTATAGAATTTATCCACTTCTTAAATGATAATCTTTCTAACATTTTTACAGGCTCTTTAGGTTTGGTAGTACTAGGTTTATTAATTTATATAAGTTCTGCCCCTAATTCATCTAATACAAATCCTTCATCAAAATATACTTTTAATGTTAATTTTGGAGATGAGGTGCAGGGTCAAATAATCATCCATCAAATAGTAATTCTAATAATGATAAACTAATTACTTCTCCTGGAGTTGCTGCGGGAATTATTTCTGGAACAACAATAACTGCTGCAGTTATAATTGCAAAAACAAATCCTAGAAATGGATTGTTTTTAGGTGTTGTTGGTACTATGTTGTTAGGTGTTTTTGGTACTATTGCTGATTTTGCTACTTATGGATTAGGTGAAATGATGAATCATAACTATGAAGAAAGAAAAAAAATGAGGAGAAATGTGTAAAAGAATGTATTATCACTCTATTGAAAGATCTGGTAGTCCTCCACCATGCTTTCAAAGGCTTCTTTATGGGATCATGACACAATTTGCAGCTGAATTCATACGCTTCAGACAGAGTTGTCTACAAATTAGTAGCGCAATGTTTAATTTATGCAATAATGCTCATTACTGCGACTCTTATTTTTTTCTTACCAGCTTTTCAATATCGCTTAAGATATCAATTAATTCAGCATCCAACGCGGGGAATAGCTTAGAACCAAAATTTTCTAAAGCATCCAGATCTCCACCCGAGAAAACATCATCCCAATTGTTATCGCTGATGTCCAATATGAGTGACTGGGACGGACTAAAAAACATAAACATTCTGTGATGAGTGCTCTATATAACGTCTTTTTGATCTTATACAGACAAAAGGTCTGTTGATTTTAATACCTACTGATGGTAGTTGCACTGTTTCGCAAAGTCGATGACAATCTGGTCTATGATCAGTGGTGCTTCATCAGACCGTTCCAGGCTCCAGAAATTCTTTTTCAACAACTGTCCTATTAGGTTTATGGAGCAAATGCTTTTGGATTAAATAAATTATCTATTACCAAAAGATTAGAATGGGTTGACCAACATTTTTCAGAAATCTTAGATTTAAATTCAGGATTATGGAGAAAAGCTGATGAACCTATGTTATTTTTAGCTTTTTGTTTTGAGTTACAAGGTTATAATAAGGATCCATTTAACTTTATTTCTAGATTACCAACTTATTTAGATGCAACATGTAATGGTGTACAATATTTAGCTGCAATGATTTCTGATTTTGATCTAGCTAGTAAAGTTAATTTATGTAGTTGAATCTGATATGAAAGATGATCCTAATGATCTTTATAGTTTAATGTTAAATCCTATTAATGAAGAAATTAAGAAAATAGATTAATGTGATTTAGAGTATGCTAGATTAAAGGGTTTAGTATTAAATAGAAAGATTGTAAAAAGAAGTTTAATAACTATTTCATATGGAGTTAAGATTAAAGGAATTTATGATCAATTAATTCAAGATCATTTTTCTATATATAAAAAATTGCCCATCAATCGTGGGTTATTGCCTCCATCGCTGATAGTTTTTTTGCAAATGGCATTCCAGCATGTACTGTTTCATAGTATAAATATACAAGAGTTAGATATACCTATTGAACAACAACGAAAGGAGAAAAATCTCACAGAAAAGAACCAACATCTGTGTCATCGAGCGATGTTTTTATGCTGTGGAATGAGGTGCTTGAAGACGGTAATTTATTTCAAATAAGGTATCAGATAGGGAGATGAGGTAGAAATTATGAACTAATATATGACGTAAGGTTGATGGGATGATATAGGGGTAGTTCAGTTTTTTTTTGTTTTTTCGATGACAATGACGATGACGGTGATGATGATGATGATGACGGTGACGGTGATGATGATTCGGGAACAAAGGTTGTTGGGAGCATCCAATCACTTACAGATCGCAGTGATTCTAGGTTGGTGTTACTTTTTACAAGTATATTCCACGTTTGCTCCATTATATATAGTCTAGATAAGGCCATTTTAAAGAGTGGAACAATTCTTGTGATGTAGTCTTCAGCATAGCTTCGATCGTCGTACTCTGGCAACATAACCTTGTGGGCAATCCATTACCAGCATTGATATTTTGCAGCCTGGAAGTTGCAAAAAGTTAGTATCAATAGACTAAGGGTGTTCTCAAAAAGGGCGAACGGCCATTCGCCCCACCCACGAATAGAAATAAATTTAAAAGCCGAAAAATTGTTTTCCATATGAAGATGGGTCGAAGCTTCCAAATTGAGCGAATCGTCGTCTCAACAATTTGTTGAGACGACGCCTCGGTCCGAACTCGAAAAGGAAAGTAGCTGTGTCACATCCATGCAACGGCAATCGACTTGAATTTGGAAAAGCAGAAAAGATATCATTTTTCCTATACCTGTCTTTAGTACATCATCATTGCAGTACCAATAATACAGCTAGGTATCGCTGATATGAATGTTTTTAGAAATACAAGTTTATTCTGATCGTGCTTAAAAAATACGAAGAAACACAGAAAAAATAAAGAAACCGCTCTTTTCTAATTTTCTTTTTTTTTCAATGGACAACAACTCCCGTTTATCACTCATTCAAGCTAATCGCGAGCAGGCTACTCAACGCCGTCGCCGTATCAGTGAACGAAGACGTCGACTGTTTTGGCTTCTTATGACTACTATGGCCGAAGCATCGCTCCGAACATTAGGCTTCCTTCCAGAAATGTATGCTTACATTGGTTCCCCTCTCCATTTTCGCCAAGTTCGTGGTCCCTATCAAGCAAAGCGATCCATGGATTACTGGAGAATCGAGCATAAGAACTTGACGGATGATGACAACCCGCGAAACAGCTACAAGGCTCATTATCGCATGAACAAGGCTACTTTCATTTGGTTAGTGGATATGCTATCTCAAGATCCAGCTTTCCAACGTAGCTCTCCGCGTGCTACTCCACCGTACATCCAAATTGCTTGTGTTCTATGGCGCTACGCAAACACGCATCTTGGATACCGTTTGTTTAGTGCTCGTTTTGGTTTTTCGCAAGGCTCTTACAGGAACTTCAGCCGGAACTTTATGCAAGCAATGGTGAACATACTCGGAAGGATGATCCGATGGCCGCAGACCCCAGAAGAAGTACAGAAAAATGCAGACGACTTTGCAAAAGTAGTTTTCGAATCGGATCGAACAAGAGCGGTAGCAAGACCCAAATTGCTAAATGTTATTGGGGCTATGGATGGGAAGCTGGTGATTATCCACAAGCCAAGTCATAGTGGGATAAGTTGGATGGATCGCAAAAACCACCATTCAATGAATCTCCTAGCTGTATGCGATGCACAGCAGCGGTTTTTGACTGTTTATGTTGGTGAATCAGGTAACGTTCACAAATCACAATTTCCTTTCGTAATTGTATCCTTGCTAATATATTGTCATGATACAAGGTCGTGCACACGATTCTCGGGTGTTTGCCAATTCGGAACTAGCAAGAGATTTGAAAAATGATCCAGATGCCAAATGTCCAAATGACTCATACATTATTGCAGGTATGTAAAGATGATTCATTATGTCTACATAGCAAGTTTATGCTAATTATAGTTTGTATTTAACAGATTCCGCTTATCCTCAACGCCCGTACATTATGACACCTTATCCGAAAAACACACGAGAGCGAGCCAAAAAAGATTTTAATTATGCTTTATCGTCACAGCGTATGGCAATTGAACATGCATTTGGTGCGCTCACTTCGCGTTGGCGATTCCTTAAGCATTACTTGTACCAGCTGAATCCGGTCGATCTCGCCACCACCATCTATGTCTGCTGTATCCTCCACAATATCTGCATCGACCGACCTGGCAACGAACTCCCGGATAACATTGATGATTTTGACCAGGAGCTTAACGATCATCATCTTGTGAGTATTGCCGAAGTCGACGCGCATCATAGAACAGCCGAAGAAGATGAAGATAGTGGAGATACCGAAACTGCAACAGTAGTAGACATGGAACCAAATACTTCCAGCCTGCTGTCTATCTCTGTCGAACAAGACGACATCTTGACCGACGCTGAAGTACGGCGGCTACGTCAAGCAGGGAACGCCAAACGCGACACACTTAAGGATGAGTTACAAGCACGTCATTCCGGCCGGCGTCAAGCATAATTGTATCAATAAAACCACAATGATAAGAGTCTTTAAAAACCCAATTTGTTTTAAGTAAATATCACTTATCCGAAATGGTTTGTTGAAGTTAATTCTCGATTTCCGATGCGCGAATTTATTGCGATCGATTGTTTTATTTTCTAGAATCAATAACCTCGCATTGGTTCCACAAAGTATGAATGTGACAAGTCGTTATAGTTTCCACAAGTGTCAATAATTTGTGATATGTTAAGTGATACAAATAATACATTTATTCTTCAGTGTTATTTTGCTCTCTATTATTTTGACTACGGGTGAGTCCTACAAGTGCTGCAATTACATCTGCAATCCACTCCTCTGCTCTGACCCTTCTTTCTTCTAACTGTCGTTGGCTTTCAGCTCTTCTGTTTTCAAGATCGACCATCGCTTGAAGCTGCTGTTGAAAACGTCGCTCATCGGCTGCTTCGCGCTCTGCGTCGAGTGTACGTTCTTGTTCGGTGAACTGTTCGAAGATGCTGTCAAGTTTTTCAAACAGCTGTTCACGGCCCCGCTCATGCGCCTCCAAAAGCTCGCCGCCCAAATCGTTGTTAACTCGTCGTCGCTGCGCTGGTGGTTGTTCCGCATCATCTGTGACAGAGTTGCCGGCATTTGCTTCATCATGAGTTCGAACCAGGTTGCCTTGACGATTTGAATCGATTGTTACCGGCGCTATCACACTAGCATCGTCTTGGAGAAACGCCATCATCGCATCGTAGTGAGAGAACCTCTCTTGATTACGTCCTCCCCCATTTCCGGTCTGATTCGTTTCCCCAGTGAGTCTTTGGAAGCGTCGAAGGAGCTTATCCCATTTCTTCTTACAAGCACTTCTGCTACGTCGATGTCCAGAACTGGTATCCTCAATGAACTTATTGTAGATCTTGTCCCACCATTCCCCTTTTTCTTGGTTGCTTCTACCGTTCTTCCAGCGAGTATAATATTCTTCGACAGCGCGGATCAATTCTTCTTCTTCTTCTTCCATCCAGTCAGCAGTCGATTCTTCTTCCCTATCATCACCAGAGCCTACTGTATCGAGGTCAGAACCTTCACTGGCTTCAACCGTTTCTGGTTCTTGCTGTTGCGTGACGGGAGGCGTTGGTCGTACAGGTTGACTACCGTTTCTTGTGTTAAAACCTTGTGTTTCTGGTTCTTGCTGTTGGGTGACAGGAGGTGTTGATCGTACAAGCTGACTACCGTTTCTTCTGTTAAAACCTTGCGTAGCAGGAGACCAAATAATAAAATTGTCGCTCATGATAATAAAAGAAGATAAACGAAGTTGATGTGATAAAATAAGAAAGGGATAGATTTCGATGATAATTAGCATTTATTACTTCTTTATCCTGCCTATTTATATAGCCTGACATTCGGTAGGCATTTATAATAAGGAAAGTATTCATTTTATGCTGTTTTAACGGTCAATCATCTTTTTTTGTTCAATATCTCTTACTACTACTTGGAGATGTGGACGAAAATAGTAATAGCATGGTCCGAACGCCCGCAAAATTGCTCTCAAAATGTCCGTATGGACTATCACAATTTTGGTAATACCTTACTTCTAAATCAGGACCCCGTCCGGACGGCCGTTCGCCCTTTTTGAGAACACCCTAATATAAACACAGCCAAGTTTCACTGACCGTTGATGACGAAGCCGAGGATTTGAACTTGATGCAATGATTTTTGTGAATATGCCACTTGGCTCAACATATCATGCATGATTAACGGCATTTTGGTCAAGCTGTCCTTCATCTCTTTGGTCTGATCTTCGTTCTTTCCAATCTCGACACACCCCACTTCTTTTCTGTTTGCGCTGTAAATCACGTCAATTTTACGGCCAACCCGACGGTTCGTGGCTGGTTCGATGGCTGATATGGATCTTTTCTTGTTCAAAGCATCGGCATTAGCCTTGCTCGAGCCTTCACTCCTGTTTTTACATTACATCGTAAGCGCACTTTATTTTGAAGTGTATAATAACCCTGTTTTTTGCGAATCTTTTGATTTACCCTTTTACTGTGATGCGAGTGCCTTTGACGATGGTTTTTATGAAACCCCACACTTCATACAATTGGTCGTATTCAAGCATGTTGTCCATGTCGAGTTTTCTATTGTCGTACAAGAAAATTCTTGCAATTCGACGACCAACCATGCTTTCAAAGGCTCCTTTACGGGATCATGACACAATTTGCGGCCGAATTCATATGCTTCAGACGGAGTTGTCTACAAATTAGTAGCGCAATGTTTAATTTATGCAATGATGCTCGTTACTGCGACTCTTATTTTTTTCTTACCAGCTTTTCAATATCGCTTAAGATATCAATTAATTCAGCATCCAACGCAGGGAATAGCTTAGAACCAAAATTTTCTAAAGCATCCAGATCTCTACCCGAGAAAACATCATCCCAATTGTTATCGCTGATGTCTAATGAGTATTGTTGAACCTTAAAAAAATTCGTAAGTTCTTAACTTACGAAGTGCTTCTTTTTATGGTTCTTTTTCAAAGAAGAAAAAGGTTCTGAATTCTCAACTGAAATTTTAATTTTGGGTATTACAGAATTCACAGATAATTGTTTTTCCATAAAAATTTTTTTAATTTTTTGTCTTAGCAAAAACTATTATCCAAAAAAAATAATTATTTTTTTCAAAGAAATTAATTTTAATTTCGAAATGATATATCTTTTTAAGAAATTAACTTTAAAGATTTTTATTTATTAATGATGCTCAATATGAGTGACTGGGACGGACTAAAAAACATAAACATTCTAGGATGAGTGCTCTATATAACGCCTTTTTGATCTTATATAGACAAAAGGTCTGTTGATTTTAATACCTATGAGAAGCAATTCTAATTTTTATATATTTTAAAAAATAGATTTCAATGAAAAGCATAAAAATAATATAAATACAAAAATAGATGAGGAAAAAAGAAATTAACAGAATATTTAAATAATTGGAAACAGTTATAATAATTATTATAATTCTAAGTTTTTTTTTAATTTCGAGTTTTTTAAAAATTATAATAATTAAGAAAATCTAAGATAAATAAAAATATTCTAAATTAATTTTAAAACCATTTAATTCTAATTGTCCCTCTATTAATGGTAGTTGCACTGTTTCGTAAGTCGATGACAATCTGGTCTATGATCAGCGGTGCTTCATCAGACCGTTCCAGGCTCCAGAAATTCTTTTTCGACAACTGTCCTAACTCTCGCGAAATCCTTTCTTTGTCCAGAGTTGTCAGTTTTACTTTGAGGGACGTCGATCCGGGTGATTTAGTCGTTGGGTATGATGCTTTCGAGCATTCCCTGACTGCGATATTGTCTGCCTTGGGCCGAGCCAGCTCCACCATTTTCAGTGCTACGGCTGCCCAATCAGGCTTCTTGCGCCCTTTTGCCTTTACAAAAAAGCATTAACTTTTTGAAACTTGGTCACAATACTCGGTCTACAAGACGTATACTTACAACATCCACCTTTACCTGTTGCACAACCTTCCCATATAGGTTGGTCCAGGTTTTTTCGAGCGCGTCCCCCAAATACGAGTTCTGTGCAATAAATTCGACATTTTCGTCGATGAAGTGCTGGAAACTGGGTGTGCTTGTAGTTTTTAGATAGTTCTCGACAACTGCAGTATATCATTAGTGTCTCATACTCCAAGGCAATCTCCTTAGATTTGTGTCACTCACATGCTTCTGTTTCCTTGGTAACGTTCGTCATGGTAATAGTTTTTGCACAGAGAATAGGTTTAACACGAAATAGTTATTTACATATCCTCCTTTAGAAGGAAAGAAAACAAACATACTTCTTTCCTTCTAGATAGGATCTTATTCAGACATACCTTTTCGAGGTGGATTCTATAAGTATCATTATTTAATGAGAAACTAAATGTCTTTATTTTTTAAAAAAATAGTGTTATTTAATTGATGCTATCTAATTTTATTAAGTTATTAAAAAAAATGTTTACAAAAATGTCTTTTAAAATTTTAGCGATCGCCCTATTCCCCCTTTGTATCCTGCGATTAACTTTAAACTTAGTTTGGGTTATTTCTAGTTATTGGTTGAAAATACTTATTTATAGATGTAATAGAATATTACAAACTTATTGTTCTTTATTACAGAATAATATTCTATCCATTATTAAGTTTATTAAACATAAGTATTACTATTCTACAGATAAAAATCATTTTAGATTTGCATCTGTATGGTGCATACTGACTTAAATAGTTAATATATTTGAAATACCGACCCAAAAAAAGAAAGTGTATCAGAGTTGTCCAAAGTGAATTTTTTGAGATTCTGACCAGCAAGATGTGTTTAATAGCATATTATAAGCATTTCTTACTCGTTACTTTATGAAAAAAGGTGTTTTAGAGAGCTCTGATAGCCATCAAAGTTTTGTCGGAATATGAAAATTTACTATATAGACCCAAGATTTCGACAAGGTGGGAGGGGTAGATCAGTGAGGTAATGTAGGCTATTACAGTCTGTGTAACATTGCATTAGTCATGGTTACACAAACACGTTATCCTCATTATCATACTGCTTTTTCACAAGGGTTGTGTTTCCTTCATTGATACTTGCTCATTGTAGTGAAGCTACACTACTTCAAGATTGATCCAAATAACTCAACCCACTCCACCATCTTCGTAACCATTAAAATGCAGTAGAGAGAACACCACACACATGGATGAATCAAATATTACATAATTAGCACCATATTGATAATCTCTCAAACATGGATCACAATCGAGAATGACTCAGGACCAACTATTGTCAATACTTCGTTGCAATATAATATCGATAATCTCTTAAACATGAATCAGAATCGAGAATAACTCAGTACCAACCATTGTCAGTACTTCGTTTCAATCTACATTATCTGAGTTGAGTGAAGTGTACCTGTCAAAGAGCGGATATCATACGTCGATACTACAACCGTTACTGGCGTTATATCTAAGCATACAAGGATATAAAACACGATCGTGAAGCTGCCAAGATCGTAGAGAAATTTACTTCTAGAAGTTACAAATCCCACCGTAGAATTATTGCAAGTGATTAGTTTGTATTTTTACCTCCGTTATTCTGACTTTCATAAATAAATGAGTATAGCTATCGATCATGTAATTCCCTGACTAGTGCAAAACATAGAGTATGATATATGAAGAAGCGTATTGGGTGTTTCGGGTGTTAATTTAGCCACGGTGTTTCAAAAATTCTTAATTTTCGACAGCTCATGGTTTAAGTCAGTATGCACCATATTTTTAATTCCTAATATTCTAGTTGATTCTATTCATCTTTATTTTATAGAATTTATCCACTTCTTAAATGATAATCTTTCTAACATTTTTACAGGCTCTTTAGGTTTGGTATTACTAGGTTTATTAATTTATATAAGTTCTGCCCCTAATTCATCTAATACAAATCCTTCATCAAAATATACTTTTAATGTTAATTTTGGAGATGAGGTGCAGGGTCAAATAATCATCCATCAAATAGTAATTCTAATAATGATAAACTAATTACTTCTCCTGGAGTTGCTGCGGGAATTATTTCTGGAACAACAATAACTGCTGCAGTTAAAATTGCAAAAACAACTCCTAGAAATGGATTGTTTTTAGGTGTTGTTGGTACTATTGCTGATTTTGCTACTTATTAATTAGGTGAAATGAGGTTGTTGGGAGCATCCAATCACTTACAGATCGCAGCGATTCTAGGTTGGTGTTACTTTTTACAAGTATATTCCACGTTTGCTCCATTATATATAGTCCAGATAAGGCCATTTTAAAGAGTGGAACAATTTTTGTGATGTAGTCTTCAGCGCAGCTTCGATCGTCGTACTCTGGCAACATAACCTTGTGGGCAATCCATACCATGACGAACGTTACAAGGAAACAGAAGCATGTGAGTGACACGAATCTAAGGAGATTGCCTTGGAGTATGAGACACTAATGATATACTCAAAATGGATTGTTTTTAGGTGTTGTTGGTACTATTGCTGATTTTGCTACTTATGGATTAGGTGAAATGATGAATCATAACTATGAAGAAAGAAAAAAAATGAGAGAAATGTGTAAAAGAATGTATTATCACTCTATTGAAAGATCTGGTAGTCCTCCACCATGCTTTCAAAGGCTTCTTTACGGGATCATGACACAATTTGCAGCTGAATTCATACGCTTCAGACAGAGTTGTCTACAAATTAGTAGCGCAATGTTTAATTTATGCAATAATGCTCATTACTGCGACTCTTATTTTTTTCTTACCAGCTATTCAATATCGCTTAAGATATCAATTAATTCAGCATCCAACGCGGGGAATAGCTTAGAACCAAAATTTTCTAAAGCATCCAGATCTCCACCCGAGAAAACATCATCCCAATTGTTATCGCTAATGTCCAATATGAGTGACTGGGACGGACTAAAAAACATAAACATTCTGTGATGAGTGCTCTATATAACGTCTTTTTGATCTTATACAGACAAAAGGTCTGTTGATTTTAATACCTACTGATGGTAGTTGCACTGTTTCGCAAAGTCGATGACAATCTGGTCTATGATCAGTGGTGCTTCATCAGACCGTTCCAGGCTCCAGAAATTCTTTTTCAACAACTGTCCTATTAGGTTTATGGAGCAAATGCTTTTGGATTAAATAAATTATCTATTACCAAAAGATTAGAATGGGTTGACCAACATTTTTCAGAAATCTTAGATTTAAATTCAGGATTATGGAGAAAAGCTGATGAACCTATGTTATTTTTAGCTTTTTGTTTTGAGTTACAAGGTTATAATAAGGATCCATTAAACTTTATTTCTAGATTACCAACTTATTTAGATGCAACATGTAATGGTGTACAATATTTAGCTGCAATGATTTCTGATTTTGATCTAGCTAGTAAAGTTAATTTATGTAGTTGAATCTGATATGAAAGATGATCCTAATGATCTTTATAGTTTAATGTTAAATCCTATTAATGAAGAAATTAAGAAAATAGATTAATGTGATTTAGAGTATGCTAGATTAAAGGGTTTAGTATTAAATAGAAAGATTGTAAAAAGAAGTTTAATAACTATTTCATATGGAGTTAAGATTAAAGGAATTTATGATCAATTAATTCAAGATCATTTTTCTATATATAAAAAATTGCCCATCAATCGTGGGTTATTGCCTCCATCGCTGATAGTTTTTTTGCAAATGGCATTCCAGCATGTACTGTTTCATAGTATAAATATACAAGAGTTAGATATACCTATTGAACAACAACGAAAGGAGAAAAATCCCACAGAAAAGAACCAACATCTGTGTCATCGAGCGATGTTTTTATGCTGTGGAATGAGGTGCTTGAAGACGGTAATTTATTTCAAATAAGGTATCAGATAGGGAGATGAGGTAGAAATTATGAACTAATATATGACGTAAGGTTGATGGGATGATATAGGGGTAGTTCAGTTTTTTTTTGTTTTTTCGATGACAATGACGATGACGGTGATGATGATGATGATGACGGTGACGGTGATGATGATTCAGGAACAAAGGTTGTTGGGAGCATCCAATCACTTACAGATCGCAGTGATTCTAGGTTGGTGTTACTTTTTACAAGTATATTCCACGTTTGCTCCATTATATATAGTCCAGATAAGGCCATTTTAAAGAGTGGAACAATTCTTGTGATGTAGTCTTCAGCACAGCTTCGATCGTCGTACTCTGGCAACATAACCTTGTGGGCAATCCATTACCAGCATTGATATTTTGCAGCCTGGAAGTTGCAAAAAGTTAGTATCAATAGACTAATATAAACACAGCCAAGTTTCACTGACCGTTGATGACGAAGCCGAGGATTTGAACTTGATGCAATGATTTTTGTGAATATGCCACTTGGCTCAACATATCATGCATGATTAACAGCATTTTGGTCAAGCTGTCCTTCATCTCTTTGGTCTGATCTTCGTTCTTTCCAATCTCGACACACCCCACTTCTTTTCTGTTTGCGCTGTAAATCACGTCAATTTTACGGCCAACCCGACAGTTCGTGGCTGGTTCGATGGCTGATATGGATCTTTTCTTGTTCAAAGCATCGGCATTAGCCTTGCTCGAGCCTTCACTCCTGTTTTTACATTACATCGTAAGCGCACTTTATTTTGAAGTGTATAATAACCCTGTTTTTTGCGAATCTTTTCATTTACCCTTTTACTGTGATGCGAGTGCCTTTGACGATGGTTTTTATGAAACCCCACACTTCATACAATTGGTCGTATTCAAGCATGTTGTCTATGTCGAGTTTTCTATTGTCGTACAAGAAAATTCTTGCAGACTTCTGTAATTCGACGACCAACCATGCTTTCAAAGGCTCCTTTATGGGATCATGACACAATTTGCGGCCGAATTCATATGCTTCAGACAGAGTTGTCTACAAATTAGTAGCGCAATGTTTAATTTATGCAATGATGCTTGTTACTGCGACTCATATTTTTTTCTTACCAGCTTTTCAATATCGCTCAAGATATCAATTAATTCAGCATCCAATGCAGGGAATAGCTTAGAACCAAAATTTTCTAAAGCATCCAGATTTCCACCCGAGAAAACATCATCCCAATTGTTATCGCCGATGTCCAATGAGTATTGTTGAACCTTAAAAAAATTCGTAAGTTCTTAACTTACGAAGTGCTTCTTTTTATGGTTCTTTTTCAAAGAAGAAAAAGGTTCTGAATTCTCAACTGAAATTTTAATTTTGGGTATTACAGAATTCACAGATAATTGTTTTTCCATAAAAATTTTTTTAATTTTTTGTCTTAGCAAAAACTATTATCCATAAAAATAATTATTTTTTTCAAAGAAATTAATTTAATTTCGAAATGATATATCTTTTTAAGAAATTAACTTTAAAGATTTTTATTTATTAATGATGCTCAATATGAGTGACTGGGACGGACTAAAAAACATAAACATTCTAGGATGAGTGCTCTATATAACGCCTTTTTGATCTTATATAGACAAAAGGTCTGTTGATTTTAATACCTATTAATGGTAGTTGCACTGTTTCGCAAGTCGATGACAATCTGGTCTATGATCAGCGGTGCTTCATCAGACCGTTCCAGGCTCCAGAAATTCTTTTTCGACAACTGTCCTAACTCTCGCGAAATCCTTTCTTTGTCCAGAGTTGTCAGTTTTACTTTGAGGGACGTCGATCCGGGTGATTTAGTCGTTGGGTATGATGCTTTCGAGTATTCCCTGACTGCGATATTGTCTGCCTTGGGCCGAGCCAGCTCCACCATTTTCAGTGCTACGGCTGCCCAATCAGGCTTCTTGCGCCCTTTTGCCTTTACAAAAAAGCATTAACTTTTTGAAACTTGGTCACAATACTCAGTCTACAAGACGTATACTTACAACATCCACCTTTACCCATTGCACAACCTTCCCATACAGGTTGGTCCAGGTTTTTTCGAGCGCGTCCCCCAAATACGAGTTCTGTGCAATAAATTCGACATTTTCGTCGATGAAGTGCTGGAAACTGGGTGTGCTTGTAGTTTTTAGATAGTTCTCGACAACTGCAGTATATCATTAGTGTCTCATACTCCAAGGCAATCTCCTTAGATTTGTGTCACTCACATGCTTCTGTTTCCTTGGTAACGTTCGTCATGGTAATAGTTCTTGCACAGAGAATGGGTTTAACACGAAATAGTTATTTACATATCCTCCTTTAGAAGGAAAGAAAACAAACATACTTCTTTCCTTCTAGATAGGATCTTATTCAGACATACCTTTTCGAGGTGGATTCTATAAGTATCATTATTTAATGAGAAACTAAATGTCTTTATTTTTTAAAAAAATAGTGTTATTTAATTGATGCTATCTAATTTTATTAAGTTATTAAAAAAAATGTTTACAAAAATGTCTTTTAAAATTTTAGCGATCGCCCTATTCCCCCTTTGTATCCTGCGATTAACTTTAAACTTAGTTTGGGTTATTTCTAGTTATTGGTTTAAAATACTTATTTATAGATGTAATAGAATATTACAAACTTATTATTCTTTATTACAGAATAATATTCTATCCATTATTAAGTTTATTAAACATAAGTATTACTATTCTACAGATAAAAATCATTTTAGATTTGCATCTGTATTTTTAATTCCTAATATTCTAGTTGATTCTATTCATCTTTATTTTATAGAATTTATCCACTTCTTAAATGATAATCTTTCTAACATTTTTACAGGCTCTTTAGGTTTAGTATTACTAGGTTTATTAATTTATATAAGTTCTGCCCCTAATTCATCTAATACAAATCCTTCATCAAAAAATACTTTTAATGTTAATTTTGGAGATGAGGTGCAGGGTCAAATAATCATCCATCAAATAGTAATTCTAATAATGATAAACTAATTACTTCTCCTGGAGTTGCTGCGGGAATTATTTCTGGAACAACAATAACTGCTGCAGTTATAATTGCAAAAACAAATCCTAGAAATGGATTGTTTTTAGGTGTTGTTGGTACTATTGCTGATTTTGCTACTTATAGATTAGGTGAAATGAGGTTGTTGGGAGCATCCAATCACTTACAGATCGCAGCGATTCTAGGTTGGTGTTACTTTTTACAAGTATATTCCACGTTTGCTCCATTATATATAGTCCAGATAAGGCCATTTTAAAGAGTGGAACAATTTTTGTGATGTAGTCTTCAGCGCAGCTTGGATATTCAGTGCTTTCGATCGTCGTACTCTGGCAACATAACCTTGTGGGCAATCCATTACCAGCATTGATATTTTGCAGCCTGGAAGTTGCAAAAAGTTAGTATCAATAGACTAATATAAACACAGCCAAGTTTCACTGACCGTTGATGACGAAGCCGAGGATTTGAACTTGATGCAATGATTTTTGTGAATATGCCACTTGGCTCAACATATCATGCATGATTAACGGCATTTTGGTCAAGCTGTCCTTCATCTCTTTGGTCTGATCTTCGTTCTTTCCAATCTCGACACACCCCACTTCTTTTCTGTTTGCGCTGTAAATCACGTCAATTTCACGGCCAACCCGACGGTTCGTGGCTGGTTCGATGGCTGATATGGATCTTTTCCTGTTCAAAGCATCGGTATTAGCCTTGCTCAAGCCTTCACTCCTGTTTTTACATTACATCGTAAGCGCACTTTATTTTGAAGTATATAATAACCCTGTTTTCTGCGAATCTTTTGATTTACCCTTTTGCTGTGATGCGAGTGCCTTTGACGATGGTTTTTATGAAACCCCACACTTCATACAATTGGTCGTAATCAAGCATGTTGTCCATGTCGAGTTTTCTATTGTCGTACAAGAAAATTCTTGCAATTCGACGACCAACCATGCTTTCAAAGGCTCCTTTACGGGATCATGACACAATTTGCGGCCGAATTCATATGCTTCAGACGGAGTTGTCTACAAATTAGTAGCGCAATGTTTAATTTATGCAATGATGCTCGTTACTGCGACTCTTATTTTTTTCTTACCAGCTTTTCAATATCGCTTAAGATATCAATCAATTCAGCATCCAACGCGGGGAATAGCTTAGAACCAAAATTTTCTAAAGCATCCAGATCTCCACCCGAGAAAACATCATCCCAATTGTTATCGCCGATGTCCAATATGAGTGACTGGGACGGACTAAAAAACATAAACATTCTGTGATGAGTGCTCTATATAACGTCTTTTTGATCTTATACAGACAAAAGGTCCGTTGATTTTAACACCTACTGATAGTAGTTGCACTGTTTCGCAAAGTCGATGACAATCTGGTCTATGATCAGCGGCGCTTCATCAGACCGTTCCAGGCTCCAGAAATTCTTTTTCGACAACTGTCCTAACTCTCGCGAAATCCTTTCTTTGTCCAGAGTTGTCCGTTTTACTTTGAGGGACGTCGATTCGGGTGATTTAGTCGTTGGGTATGATGCTTTCGAGCATTCCCCGACTGCGATATCGCCTGCCTTGGGCCGAGCCAGCTCCACCATCTTCAGTGCTACGGCTGCCCAATCAGGCTTCTTGCGCCCTTTTGCCTTTACAAAAAAGCATTAACTTTTTGAAACTTGGTCACAATACTCGGTCTGCAAGACGTATACTTACAACATCCACCTTTACCCGTTGCGCAACCTTCCCATACAGGGTGGTCCAGGTTTTTTCGAGCGCGTCCCCCAAATACGAGTTCTGTGCAATAAATTCGACATTTTCGTCGATGAAGCGCTGGAAACTGGGTGTGCTTGCGGTTTTTAGATAGTTCTCGACAACTGCAGTATATCATTAGTGTCTCATACTCAAAGGCAATTTCCTTAGATTCGTGTCACTCACATGCTTCTGTTTCCTTGGTAACGTTCGTCATGGTAACAGTTTTTGCACAGAGAACCCCAACGCGCAGCAGTACGTTGGAGGGTGAAAGTTCATACAGTGCCGCATGGTGAGCATTCAAAGTGAGCCCCCAACATTTCTCCTCATACCTTTGATATCACGATGTAAATTTTTGTTCTATCCAATTCAAACTTACAAGATAATGAGCGTTTCTCTGACCTTCTCCTTTCGTCTTATACAATGATGATTATAAAGTTTTCCAAACACACACATACACAGAACAAAACTTACATGATGGAGATGGGCAGTGCATGCAAGCGCCTCGGATGGATTTTCCAGTAGACCAGCCAGATCGTGAACCATGTAGGGACACACCATACATATACAGCGCTGTTCCTTTTTTTACTGGATCTCCACGCTCCACAGCTAAACCAGTCGACGGTACGTATTATTGTGATGTAGTACTTTAAAGTGTTACTATTAGTACCAGTGCACAATCTCCAGTGTACCCCTTCCCGAGCTTTTATCCATCACAATAGACAGAAGAACAGATTTAGCAAGAATATCCAAGTTGCACTGAGGACTATATGAAAAAAATAGTTCCACTCTCTAAAATGGCGTTATCTGGACTGGCGATTATGGAGCAAAAGTGGGATGTACTTGTCAAAAGTAAGACTGACCTGGAATTGCTGCGATCTGCAAACGATTGGATGCTCCCAACGACTTTTGTCACCGAATTGTCTTCACCGTCATCATCATCGAAAAAACAAAAAAAAAATCATCTCATCAACCTTGTATCACATGTACAGTTCATATCCACCTCGTCTCTTTATCCTATATCTCGAAAAAAGTCATCATCTTAAAGCACCTCATTCCACAGCATAAAAACATCGCTCGATGGCACAAACGTCAGAAGATTTCTTCTTTTCAGTCGTTGTTCATACTAAGAGGCCCTTTCTTATATATACTTATATGTAACACGATTCAGAGAAAGCAATATCCTTCGTGATACAAATGATACTAAATCATCATCCGAAAGTATTTGACGAAGCAGTCGAAAGTATTCTGAATTGGACGAGCGACGTGAATATATAACACCGACTGCCAACCATCATTGTAACAATTTTAACTTACGTATGAGTTATCCGTTGCAAGAACATCGCCATGCTGGAGCGATGGTATATTAAGCTTAACAGCTTAGGGTGGAATGGAAAAATATATGGATGACATACTGTATCTGGTGCTGCCACATAGTATCTTACTAGAAACTATAAGACATTTACCATATTCGCAAAGGAATTTTTGAAGCGTTAAAAGCCTACATATTTCTTGGATTATATGCCACAAGTTATAAACTACTACTACTGCTCGATCCATTTCATATGCTTTGAACTATTTTATTCACATGTATTCTTCTTTCCCGTGTTGTGTTTAGTTGAAGGAACAGAGAGGATGATGTTGGGTACAAGATAGACAATCTTTATATAAGTAGCATAACGATTATCGCAAGAGTGAGAGAGTGACATCGCCCCGTAGCTTGGCCTTGAGTTCAATCTCTGCATCCAGATTTAAATCCAAACGTAGCTTCAAGGGGTTTTCGTCCTTATCCTTATTATTTGCGTCTTTTGCCACGTCAGTCGCTGTATCGAGCAGTTGACCAGCGGTATCACCGACTGTATCCACCATGTCATCTGCAGTGTTATTGACATGCCGCAATGGTGCAGGATGCGTTACTGCTTTTGCTGAATCATTTGGGCGTGCCGGCTGTGCCGTATGTACTGGTGCCGGCACTGTGGGTGCCGCTTCTCCTTCTGATAGTTCTTTTCGCTGGGCCCTCCTATTTTGCCTGTTCCGATCACGTCTATGTCTCCTCGTCCGACTACCTCGCGAGGAAAGCGCATCAGAGAGCACATCTGAAAGTGGATGTGTTTCTATATCATCGTCGTTAACACTCTGTCTTCTTCTTTCGTGGTCGGTTTCTTCAACATCGTCGTCTGCCGATGTATAGGGTTGCTCTTCTTGTTGTTGTTGGCGAGTGTTGCCTTTCGCATCTAATTGCTCGTTGCCGCTTCGTGGTGGTGATGATTCTTTATTTCTTGATCTGTTGTTACGTGCAGGTGGTCTGCTTCGTTCACGCGTTGTGGCCGTCTCATCGGGACGTGACGACTTCTTTCCTGACCACATGTCGGTGTTGCCACTGTCGTTTTTTGATGTTATCCAACTTCTTGTTATCTTTGTAGTGATGACAAACGGTTTTGATTCAAAGTTGCGCGGTAACCAACAAAAAGAAGTAGAAGAAGGGAACAAAAAGCTTACTAGCCGAGAGGAAATTGGCAATAAAACATAATAAATGGCAACAAACATTCGTATGTTTCGGAATATTCTGACAGGAACTGCAGCCGTTGCACAGATTATACTAGAATATGTTTTACGCAGGATACCAGGATAGAGAGAGTAGATAAATTCATACCCAGACTACGTCACACTCATCATCGCTTTTTGCTGGGCTTCGTCAAACACACATACACAGACACAGACAAGTCCTCAATTTGACAATGTTGCGATTAATAGCCACGCGCCGTACCACTTTGGCTGCTTTGAAGAACAAAGGTGTTTGCCGTTACAGCACCAGCCTTCAGCCCACCGCCAAAGAAGTCGCTCCCAGTGTCGCTCAGTCTCCTAACCGTGCTACTACATGGAGCCGCGATCAACGTCCTAAGAACGAGGCCATGGTTGGCCCCCGTTTCGAACAAATGGATTTAGAAGCTCAGGTATATAAACTTACGTTTTCCGCTCATTCTGATCTTTAAGTCTCAATAGTTTTTTAACAAAGATTACTTCTTATTAACATAACGACATGTTTGTAACGAAATTTTATACGTTAACAGCCCAACGGTATGGCCGCCATTGAATTGATTGCCGAGGAACCCGTTCACTTTGTCAACAAGCGTATCGCTTCCTGCGATGGAGGTATATAAGAAGAGAAATGAAGCTGCGCATTGAGAATTAATATGTTTGGAAGAAAGGGAGAGAGAAGGATATTGAACATATCAAATTATTCCTGTATGCAATACATAGGCGGCGGTGCTCTTGGTCATCCTAAGGTGTACATCAACTTGGATAAGCCTGGCGCTCACGCATGTGGTTACTGTAAGTCTGGAAGAAAAGAAGAGGCTGGAGCGCTATATATGTATATAATGTAAGGAACGATCTCTAACATGTATGAATTCATTACCTAGGCGGTATCCGTTTCCAAATGGAAGATCATCATCACTAGAAAAGATTTGTCAACTATAATTGCATCGGCAAAGAAGCTTACAACCTCGACAACAACAACATCAATCAAACTAAAAGACAATAAATCTCGAAGAATAAATTTCTTTCTTGTTGCTACATATACACCCATCAGAAAAGGAAATTAAGGAATTTCTCGTCGCCTTTTTATTTGTAATTATCGTCATATTATCACTATCAACAGTATCTTTCCATTGCGCGTAACAACCGATCCATCATCCATGCTATTTCGCCTGAATATGTATACAACAACTCGACATCGTCTTCATCATCATCATTGATGTCATCGTCACCATGTCCACCGTTTCCTTCGCTGCCATTCTCATCTGTTACAGTTGTTGCTGCTGATACAGCCATCCTCTTTCGCCATAAATTCTGTCGTAAACTGGCACCATGCTCGTCCGAGGATGTAGGCGTCGCATCCAAAAATGCGCGTATGAGATTCAGAAACAAAACTTGTTGCTTTTGGCTATCGTCCTTGCTTAAATTGAGCTGTATCACTTCCTGTTGTTGTTCAGGTGCAAGTCGAAGATAAAGCGTCAGAAGATCCCCATGGATGACAGTATGCTGTTGTTGTTTTTGAGCACTCAGGCCGCGGAACCAGTAAAAGTTTTTCGACGATCCAAGAATGATAAACATCGATGAAGCATAGTGGACAAGTCGATCTTGCAATGCTGAAAATATGTCGAATAAGGCTGGACTGATTCGGTGTACTGTCACCAAACCGCCGGCTACCGTGCTTCCCAAAATGGGTTCGATAGCAGAGACAGCAGCAGCAGTGGAAGTGGTATTGTTATTATTCGACATTTGTTCCTCTGCCTCCATCTCTTGTTCTTGGATCCATGGTAATACGTGCGCTACGATGTTCTTGCTGTGATTTGGTGCGCCGAGAAGATTACGCGGGAGTAAGGATCCTAACGTGGGTCGGATAATGATGTCTGGATAGTGGAAGGAGAATACGGACAGTAACCGCTGTTCAAAAGAGCGATCATCTAAGAATTATCGATTTATAGCGTATTGATGTTACCAATTGGGTTCTTTTCTTCACTTTTAAAAAGGTAATGGTAGAGAAAAATCGAGAAACCAACCAGGATCATCACGCAAAGCAGTGAGTCCACCAGACTGATGTGCCCCCACCGCGATTTGGTTATTGAGAAGAACGGAATGATGTAAAGTTCGGGCCGTTGTATCGCTTGAAGTTGCAAAATGGAGCAGCAGAAAAGATTACATATAAGAGAAAAGGAGGAAATTGTAAATGAGTACACATACCTTTTTAAGAAAGCAAGTTTTCGGTGCTCCTCGTTATAGGTATAAAAGGATATCGAGTCGTTCTGACAGGTAACGCAGATTGTATCACCATCAACATGAATCGAGGTAATCAAGAACCGAAGTGCTTTCCGAGTTATTTCAACAAGTCTTTTGTATGTGCAGGCGAATATATTAGTTCGATCAGCAAACAGATGTGTCGGCTATTCTCCCTCCCAGAGTCCCACTTCCAAGCAAATCTTGCGAGTGTACAGATATTACTTACTTTCCCTGTCGAGGATCCAATTGATATAAGTGAAGCACTGGTCCAGCTGAGAACAATAGTCTATATAAATGTTTAAGCCCATTGTTATTTTGTATCCCTTACAACTACCACACTACTTATGTCGCTTCTAGTTTGCTTGTTATCATGCAGAAATCTTTTAATTTCTTACCCTGCTGGATGTGGACATATTGCAAAAATGCCTCCCGGAAAATGTTCTTGATTCCATACTGCACGCAAGGTATAACAATTGAAGCCATCAGTGGGACTAGTCAAGTCAGGAGAAGGTGTGTTTTCAGTGGAAGAAGCACTACGATCTGTCGATTTTAAGCGATACAGCATTAAGACGCCGCGTTCTGTTCCTATTTTCCGTATCCTTGATCGCGTGCTGACATTCTTTTGCCCGATGCCGAGGCACAAATATCGATAAGTACGTTCACGATGGGCAACCGTCCATTCTGTATACAGCATATAGATTGTGATTTAATCTTAGCAGGCTCTCTTTTATCGACTCGAAAATTATTACAAGAGTTGTGTACTGTACCGGTCATGCACAGGATCTCGTCACTAAATCCAAAATCCTTGGAAGAAAGTAGAATCTTATCCTTTGCCTGGGTTCCAGTACTAAAATATCGATATGAGCAGATTAGTATAATAGAATAAAACTATCAGAAGGTCGCTGTTCGTCCACTGACCTTGATAGATCAATAAGTCGCATGGAGCTCTTCACTGCCGAATGTTTCAAGGATGTGGTCACTACGAAGGCGCAATTTGAAGGCTTGTCGTAAAGTATCTTGTTTGGCGTCTATAAAAACCAGTTAGTCACTTTCTGATTACTAAAGATCTTTCAAGTAATGCTATATAAATATACATGTATTACACGGCCCGTGATTAGTAGAAACAACATATACCTCTCCAATGGGTATTCTCCGCGTGCCTATGGAACATTTGGGTGCCAGGTGAAGTATGTGAAAATACCCATCGGCAACAGCACCCACGATATTGTCGTCATTCTTTTGCTCCTTGTCTACGACAGCCGTAGCCAATGAAACCATCGCATCAACAGTAGAGAAAAGGTTGGGTAATAGCACTGGCTCGACCTCCAACAGCTGGGGACATAAACTATTGTATTTGATCCGCCACAAGCGGTCTGATAATGCTAGAACAGAGTCATTTGCTTTGTTGTTGTTGTTGTTGCCAGTATCAAAATTCACAGCCAAGGCGCCAATGCTCAAAACAGCAGGTGACGACGCATCTGAAAGTAATAGTTGACTGCCGGGTTCCACTCGAAAGATTAATACAGTGCCTTGCCGTAATCCAAGCAGGAGGAAACAGTGCATCGCATTATCATCGCCATCGTTATGGTGATTGCTACCTGTGTTTGACAAATATTCGTTCTCATCTTTTCCATAGAGTAAAGTCGCGGACTGTGGAACAACGCATGCCTCTTGACCCGCCAAGCAAGCCAGCTCCTTTTCACATAACAGCTGCACTCCTTCAGTCTCTTGTAGACTGTAGATAAGCAATGATGGTTCGTAAGTACCCACAATCACGATCGGATGTCGCCACATGAAACTTCTAGATCTGGTAAAACGAGGGTCAAAAATAGCTATAGTAAGTAACCTTTCAAAGTGCTGTAAAAAGTAATAGTGAGATACGCTTTGGTCCTTACGACGAAGTAAAATGATGAATAAAGCTTGGTTCTGAAATGGAAATTGCACCAAGAAGTGGTGAAAGTGTAATGCTAGGCAATGTGATACGTAAGTATATTTGCTATACGATTATAATATCATGATACTGCAGCTTTGTTTCAAGCTACTGAATAGTATTTTTTACCTTTGATCTTCATAAACAAGATCCAGAGGCAAGAGTGTATGTTTACATCCATCTGACAAACATATTATGATTTGACTTGGATATGCGTCTGATTGGATAATTGTTGCCAGCGTAATTACATGAATTCTCTCGGCATTATGTGCTTTTGGTGACCAATGCCCTACTACGTGGCCTATACACACAAACAGTTGTTTCATGGTGTTCTATTAGTATTATCATGCATAATAAAATTTGCTGTAATATAGTGATAGAAACATTGGAGGGAATTTATTTACCGTTCTTCACATTATCGATTAGAAGAATACCATCCTTGCATATTTGCACAAAAATTGGGACTCTGGTAACGTTGGTTTTTGATTGCTTGACGACATTGACGAAGCCTGCTGCAACTGTTCCTTGTCGAGCATCAATACCAGCTGAATCCGTCACATCACTCAATTCATCATCTATAGATTTGCAAAGAGACACATGTATGTTTTAATTGTAAGATTACGACGTATGTTTTCGAGGACGGAGTCATTGGGAGCCCTTCCTGTTTATTACCTTGGATCAGCATAAGCTTAGTTTCCAATACTGAAGACGCAACCAAGACGGGTGCTATAGTGGATTCGGAAATGCGTGCTTGGGTATTCCATAATCGCGTAAATCTAAAGTTTAGATACAGGTTCAGATCCTTCCTCTCCTAATAGAGAGTTACGCTGAGATAGCGTATGTAATCGCATTTGCAATTGCTTACCCCTCCCATCTAATTTTCAACTTTTGAAGTAGTGATGTCTGTACGCCACGTGAAACGACTGTCAAAGCTCCATGGTTTGCTTGCCCTGAACAGCTTATAATCGCATTTTGCTCATCTGCCATGACGGTAGCCAATTGTGAATCAACAATGGGTGCTCGATTGGTCAATGTTTGTAGCACAACATGAGCACGTGTAGAATGGGTTGACTGATCAATCTAGATTAAGCATAAAAGTTAAGAGGAAACCACATAAATATTTGTGTTGGGAAGAGTGTATGTATGTGATGTACAGTAGTCTTTATCTGTATATCTGTTCTTGTTCTTACCGCAAGAATTTGGCTATCCGCGCCTTCACCCGCATAAAATAATACGTCTGCCAAATAAGCTTGGGGTTTGTCATTGACCGTTTCATCCTCCACCAGTAGTGTTCCTAATAAAGACATAGCAGGCGCGACAGCATTCACAGGATCCAGGATCTCCCACCTGATTTCGTGACGTGATGGAAATAACATTCTGAAGAGCGAACCGTCATCTGCACCAAGATAGATGTAATACTTTGTAAAAGCTGTTGACGTTGATGGTTCGATGTTTCCAAGACAATGGGCATATGCGGTGAATAGGGGACCTGATACATAGTGTTAAAGATCAGTCAAGTGAAAAAATGGAGTGAATATCTTCCCAAATCACAAGACGTATAGGGCTTTACATTTGACTTCACCGAAAGGTCGTTCAATAGGACATGTTGGATATAACAAATTGCCACATGCAATGTCATCCGTAGTAACAATTCCGGCCTCATATTCCTTTGTCAGACAACATAAAAATTAATATGGAGTGTATGCGCATACTCATACTTCACGGTCATGCCAGATATATGAAAGCAAGCTTACCGTCAGCAATACAAGTGCTTCTGGATAGTGCCTAAGTGGAACCAACAAAATGGGTACCGGAGTACCTCCATAATCAAAGTTTACTAAAAAAATCTGCCATGGCTTTGTATGTCCATTTGCTTTTTCTTTTTCTCCCTTGATCACTCACTTGTATCTAGAGGTAATCTTCCTATTCGTTCGATCTCGATATCATTCGCATTTGAGGCATCGATAGAATATACAATGATTCGACATTGATGATCAACATCACTATTTATGGAAAATAACAATAAGGCAATCATGAGCGAAATTTCAATAAACGCATTCGTCTTTGGCCCCGCTTTCTTTCCTCGTTCAGTCTTTTTGTTACGACATACCTGTAAACTATCAATGCCAGCAGAATTCGATCCCTGGAAGTTGTTTCCGTGTGTAAGAACTCCATATGCCAAATAATTCCTTCTTCCATCACTTTTCCCATCTTTAAAGAAGCGAAAACAAAAACCGCATGATTTTATATTAGTTTCTTCTAATAGTCCTATCTCTTCCCTAAGAAAAACACTACTTACTCCAATAATTGGACTGAAATTAGTTCGCGACATTATATCTCGCAAAATCATAATATCAAAACGATCTTGAAGGGATGCCACTGCAATAGCCCGAGAGCTGCCATAAATTGTACCAAAATATAAGGATCAGTTAGAAGGGCGGTAGTTCATTTCTGCGCACAGCAAGTATGATAGTAGGACAAAGCGGTGTAGAATTAAGTAAAAAGGTGATTCACACGTACTGCGGATCGATTGCCAACTTTTTGCTCACTTTGTCGTACTCCAATCCCGGTTCATCCATACACACCTAGAGCAAAAACAAACAAAAACATTATCTCTGTTAACTCGAATGACAGGGTAATAATGTGGATGATATTGTTCACCTCAGCTAAGGGCTCAAAGCGACCCGTGCGTTCCAGATCATCATAGTTACTGTTCAGCGCCGACGCAGCAGTATCAGCACCAGTAGTAACACTCCAAAACATCAACTTTCCATACTCTGAGATAGCAACTATAACTTCGTTTCCTGGGATCCTTGCGTGTCCTTGCCGTATTTTGAACATGAAAGGGATTTCAACACAATCATCATCGTCACCGTCTAGTAATTCTATTGCGTCCTCGTCTTCATATTCCATATCAGTGACAACAGTAGTTGTTATTCCAGTGATATCTGTAGTGGTCGTAGTATCGTCGTTTTCCCTCTTTGTTGAATCGCCAAAGTTGCAAGTCAACGTACGCGCATCAGTAATAATACCAAAGGCTGGTTGTTCGAATCTAGACTGTAGAATGGCACGAGGATCTGCGGGATTCGATGCCACTTGTAACAGTTCTAGTGAATGACCCTGTAATGAAATGCAGTGTTAAATTTGCGGGTTATATGCATGTTACTTGAAAAGGAAGATCAACTGGTAAGTGGGGTGCGTGTGTTTGGGTTTAATAATTCTCTTCTTCGACCCTTGAGAACGAATGTTCACGAGGGGAACCTTACTTTGACCAAAACGACATCCGATTTCGAAAGACCTGTAAAAGATCCTCGAAGAATGCGGTCGATAGCAGTTCCGTAACTGACAGATCGCTGGTATCCAAACATGTGTAAAGGTGTGGTCATAAAAAGCTGACGCGCGCGAACGAAAGAATTTATGCAGTCAGCTGCCCCGCCTCCCCCAATTTGTTTATTAAACTTTTGCGCGACAATATTACCTAATTGATTTCCTCCCCCTACTAATACTTCATCAATGCTATATGAGAGGTTCGGGTAAACGACGTTTACTTACTGCTCCTACTTAGAGCATTAGCATGATAGTGACCTCTTTTCCAATTCTTATCTCTTATATCAATATAAAAACTGCCTAAATTCTTGGATTCAAGCTGATGTCTCCAACATGCAGCATAGAAGGGATGTACTCGAAGTTACAATTCTGATACTTATCTGTCGCATTGCCATACACTGTCTTCTTTAGTCCATCGGTTCACCGTGGAAAAAGCAGATTATGGTAATGGCATGTTGTTGACGAAAAACCTGGAAAATCAATTACTGCCGTCGATCACACATTTCATCTTTCTATTCTAGCATGGATGATGTATGTAGCTGAAAACAAATTAGTGCTATATTTTTGCATGCACCGAAGTTAATATCCTAGTAAAAAGCAGAGCGCTACTTTATCGTTGTCTTTATTAAGCCTTCATTTTCTTTACTAATACTGAAACTTTTGTTTCTGATGGATGCTAATCAGATAATGGAACTTATCGCAATGATTCATGTTACTGCTTTCATCTCATCAAGCTCACTTATATTCTGAAGTGTGATGGATGACTGCGCATCACCTTTCGCAACTTTCAACTGTCAAGCGGAGTATATGCGAAAAGGAAGAAGAGACAATGGATAACGACAACTGACACATTTTCATGCATGAGATAGAATGAGTTTATACTTTTTTTGTTGGGTAAGCAAGATCAAGAGCGTCATCCTTTATAAAAAAGAAAAGTGCAGCATTATTCTCATTCTTTCTCTTTTCTTCCACTTTATTCTTCTGTTCACTACTTCTCGCTGCACGTCGCACATTGACTCCAGCTCAGAAAAACGAAGCAAGGTACATGCATTGAAAATAAAAAGGCAGGACTTGATGCACCCCACCACATCGCTTGAATGAACGATATTATACTGTTTATTGACGCGATATCGTACCACGTGCTCCTTTTGTCTACAAATATAGATGATACCACAAGAAATCCCTCGACCTGCATCTACACCTGCGTTATCGTCACCGCCGTCTATTGTACAAGAACTACAGCAGCAAAGGTCCGCAAGTAGCGTATCCTCTGCCAGCACCCTCAAATCCTCACCTACAATGCTTGGCACTTCTCCTCCAACTGTTCTCCACCACGACAACAATGAAAACAGCAGCAACAGCAGCAATAAGGGTCAACATTGCTACCCTGTTTGCCGCCAGAAGCATACCATGTCGCAGAGTGAGGAAGCAGCTTCACATACCGACAGCTGGATTGACGTAAGCAGTGTTCACTCTCTTCCGACACCAGCTCTTGGACCGCAAGAAATTGTTGGTACGTAAAAGCACAACCACCCTCTTGTAAATCCATATCCTCTAGCTCCACGTATAATAACTCACTCGTATATTATGCTGCAATTCCATGATACATTGAGCATAATAGGTGATGATGTGCCATCTGATATGTCTCATCAATCAAAGCAAACCAATGGCTTTCATCGACAGCAGCAGCAACAAGATGATCGTCGTACTACTCCTCCAGTCGATGATAATGTCGACGAGCGTGGCAATCCTGCCGCATGTATCTTTGTTGCAAGGTAATTTGTTTTTTACTTTCTACTTTCTACAAGCATCCATCAAAGAACCTTTTCTTCCTGCCCACGTCATTTCTAACATGGTATCTTCTTGTATCACTTTTAAACGGTTTATTGTCAAATTAAAATCTGTCTATAGTTTGACTAAAGCAAAGAATGACGAAGAGCTCAATATTTCGGTGTCAAAACATTTCGAACAATGGGGAGACTTATTGAACGTCAAGGTGCTCAAGGATTGGATGGGTCGCCCTTATGCTTTTGTCCAGTTTGTGGTACGAGCTTTTTCTTTGACTTTTTTCTTCTTTCTACTCCTGTTCCCCCTTTGGCATTGAATTCATATTTTGCTGTATTCTTCTTTGCTGCTGCAAATTTCTCCGTGCTGATTACTACCATTATGTACTATTATCGACACCTCTACTCGTAATCATATAGCGTACTCAAGATGCCCTGGTGGCCCTTTCAAAGGCACCTGGAACATTATTGGACGGCCGTAACATCCGTTGTGAGCCCGCACGTGTCAATCGCACTTTATGCATCACTTCTTGCGGACCCCCTTTGATTGTCGAGGTAAATAATACAGTTGAATCGAAATATTTTATATATAGCAAAAGGGTGGTCGGGATGCAGTGTAACGTGTTGTTTTTTTTCCTCTTTTTATGTATGAGTGATCTATTACTGTTAGTTTAATGTACTGATACGTCAATAAACCATCAATTACTGTTTTATTATACCATGCGTGTAGGAAATTCAAGCTGAAGTGGCACAATATGGCAAGATCGAAAACATCACCGTCCTCCACGGATATCCTACTCCCAACGGCGGTCTGGGAGACTGCGCTTTTGTAAAGTACAATTATCGTGATGATGCCATCAAGTCTTTTATTGTAAGTCGATTGTTATGATGAGAAAACATATAGATTGTAATAAAAGGTGGAGGGGAGGGAAGAAAGCGGTAATCTGGAGGTAAATCAATAACTTTTCTCTGTGCTGTCGTGTTGTATTTCTTCAATTATACGTATTATATACATAGAATCTGTCAAAAATGACCCAAAAGTGGTGGGTTGAATGGGCATCCAATCTTGACACAGCTGTCGCTAATGTCCCTGTTACCAGGCCATCTGCCCTTGCACTGCAAAGTTCCAGACACCTGAATGATCGCAAGAGCATCTTTATTGGAAACTTGCTTGAAGAAGTGACCGAAGACGAGCTCAAGGGCCGTTTCAAGCAATACGGTTCGATTGAATATGCCCGAATCATACGCAAGACATATCCATTCAAATGCACATTTGCGTTTATTCGCTACAAGGAGGATTCTGAGGCTAACAATGCCATTCAAGCTGAGGTAATTATTCAAAAATAAGCTATTATGGTGATCCATGCAAGTAAAATTTTACAACAGGAAAACGTGTACATGTCGATTCCGTTTCATTGCCTTAACTTCCTTCAAATTTCTATCCCAGAATGGACTCAAATGGTGTAACAAGAAAATACGTGTAGCGTACCGCGAACCACGCGATTCAGCGTTGCTTTTCGGTGGTGGCGTCAGCGGTGCCGGAGGCTACAAAGTACAGTACGGACGTACGGCTATGGAACGACCACATCCACCTGGCTTGGGCCACCCTGCTTCAGATCATCAATATCTAGTGTCATCGCCTGGCGGCAAACAGCGTCGTCCTTCCGCCACCAATGGGCACATCAACAACAGGAAGCAAGGAGGAACTGGCTCTTCGTCGAGTGAAAGAACCGGTCTCAAAAAGAGCATCCACGGCGAAAAGCATGCAACTGACGAGACTCATCAGCAGTCTCAGCAACAGCTCTCAGCAGTTTCCGGCGATGGTGATGCTGATGCTGGGCACGAACAACATCAGCAACGCACCAGCAAAGATTACAACGTCAGCGGAAGTAATAAGAGCAACAACAAAGGATGCAGACAACAGCAGCAGCAGTGCATTACTCCACCACACAATACTACTAGCGCTGGTGGTAACAAAACCTCCACTACTCCGCCTCCTCCTGGATACAGCGGCTATTACAGCAACCATCAACAACACTATCCACAAGGTGGCAGCGGCGGCAGCGATTTCTATCATCATCCTCTAAACACTCAGCAGCATAACCAGTATGTGATGCCTGCCCATCCACCGACCGCAGCAGTTCCAGGCTACTATGACCCGAACATGTATTGCCCTCTGCCTCCTGGAGGACTTATGTATTCGGTAAGCTCTGTAGTTTCGTATGTCTATAAACGTTTTGGAAATGACATGAGCCCTTCTAACACATGTGCCATGTGATCAACTCTATAGAATCCGGAAGACCACCACCAGCAGCAACCTGTGATGATGCTCGGATCGATGCAAGGTATTTAGTAATATCGAAATTCTTGTATTCGGACGCTATGCATGCATGCATCCCAAACATCACGTGTACAATGCTGCCTTTATTAACAAAATTGTCTACAATCAAAATTTGCCAATCCTAACATTTGACGCAGGAACAACATCAGCACCTGAAGCCAAGAATGGCACCATCTCCAGCGGCAATAATATGTTCTATGTTCCGGGCTATTATGACTACTCTGGCACATATTATCCTTGTTATTCACCAGTGCCGACAGCACCAACGGGTCTTGCACCAACCACTTCCATGGGTGCAGGAGCTCCTTCGCTGACTTCAGCCAATGCTGCAAATGGGCCTTTTGTCGGCAATGGACTTGGATCGGCCGACAGCGGTAATAAGCAACAACAACAACAACAACAAACACTGCGATCCTCGGTTACTGGCGGCGGATATTACTATATGCTACCACCAACACCACATCATTCTCTGCAATATCCGCAGGCCATGCAACAAGCACCCCATACCGGTCCTGCTAACGCATACATTTGTCCAGCGCAGCAGTACAACGCGAGAGGCTATAACAACAACAGCAACAACGGCAATATGCATTCGCTTTCACAGACACATGAGCGACCTAAGGATCATAGCAAGCATCCCCATCCAACCAACAAGCAGCAACAACATAGCAGTGTGAATGCTACGCTATCTATGGATCCCAAGAATCGGAAGAAGGTTAACAATACAGTGCCGCCCCAGCCATCGTTGCAACAACAAGCTAACAAAACCAATGACCCCGCTGGTACTACTGGATCTGGTCATCACTATCACCATAACGGTGTCAACCAAGCGCACAAGACCATCAAGACCTAGTTTGTTGTAGTCGGTCAGTCGAAAGCACAAAGTAACAATAAAATCAGTTGTTGTGAAGATTGAATAGCAATGGGATAGCGGAGGGTTAGTTAGGATGTAGTTTGGTTCGAAACAATCGATCAGTTTGCGCACAAAATTAGGAAACGTGACACATCATCATTCCCCACAATACATGTCATAGGGTGTTCCACAAGGAGTACTGCAACAACACAAAACAGCACAACACAACAGCACACGACATGTACTGCATGTGCAGTGGCTGGGACGCGAAGTTAGAAAAAGAAAAATCGGCATGCATCATCCTCCTTTTCTTCTTCCTCTTTTTTTCTGCTTTTCCTTTTCGCGCCCTTTTTCATTTTGGCTATTAGCTATAATAATAACAGCAATAATTGCACCTGTAATATGCCGTCGACAATTATGCTAATACTCTCGCCGTACGGCATTATCCTCGACACGTCGCCATGCCGGAAAGTATGGCACGGCCAGCCCCTGATGCGATTTGTGCATTCCGACGACCTGATCCGACTGTGTGGCAGTCTGAGTGCAGCGTACAAGCAACAATTGAATAATAACATTTTCCATATAAATGACGAGCGAGAAGACAGTCAGGACAGCCCCTTGGAAGTCCGCATCACAACGAGCTTATACAACGGCGAAGAGGAAGAACGATACCGGTGGTATGAATTAATCGTCGTCGAAAGCGAACCACAGCTGCAAATTATTGTTCAGCCGAGCAGAAGCAGCAGCAGGAGGGCCTTGTCTTATGACGATGAAAAGCAGTCTTGGATGCATCATGCGGTAGAGAACGGAGTAACTATCGTGGCACATGCACTTGGCGTGTTAGTCCAGTTACTGGAAGACCATGCTGGCTACCAGCTCAAAAACATTCCATACGAATTGACTGATCGAATGCTCAGCATGCTTGCGTGGACTGGGTTAATCAAGGATATGGGCCTGGCAAAGGCGATCGTCGATAAATTGCTGGATCAGTGCTTAAAGCATATTGCATGTTACATGGATCAAGCACTCGAGCACAGCAATCCTGGCTTGTGTAAAGCCATTGTATGAAAGCCCTTTTGAATATGTACATATTATATTGCTCTCTCTCTCTCTCTCACTTATAATACATCTTCCCTCCCTTCTTTCTTTTTATTCCCACCGGCATACAAAGCATACACGCAGCACAAGCACATATAATCAAAACACTCTTGAAGAACCCATGCTTGCTTGCCCGCCCGCCGACCCATTCATCCATCCATCCACTTACAAACTTACACAATTTCGTATATATAATATAAAGAATGCTATTTATTTTCATGCTATATTGTAATTTGCTCTTAAAGTTGGATGCCTCGCTAAAACAAAGTTAAGGAAGAATGTACTTTAGCCTTCTATCCACTTGTACGTTAATCTTCCAGTATCAACTTACGATCCCGAGCAGCCCGACAAAACTCTTTGCGCCGAAATTCAGCATTGTACCCAACTTTTTTCATTATTGCATATCAGTGCGTTGGTGCAATTTGTAAGGTATGCAGTGATGACAGCCAGCTTGGTCAGCATCTTTTTTAAACCTGGTCGTGTTTTGAGGAAAAAAGAGATGATCAACCTACTTCTTTTTTACCCGCCTCCAGTTGCGCAACTTGTTCCAAACGACGGTCCAAAAAGCGGAAAGTTTCGGCATAGTCAGCCGATCGGTCTTGTGTCATGAACAATTCGGTGGAGGTATACACGGTAGCTAATCCGGCCCGGTTCACATACCAGTTAAACTACATATATATACATCGATAGACAGCCACAACAGGTTTTTTACTTTTTAATATACTTGTTTTCTTTTGATTTCCCTGCTTGTTGTTGGCTTTGTCTCGTGTTTGGCATTATCTCGTGTAAAATGGTCCTTACATCAGGGCTTCTGTCACCAGCGTAATAAAGGATATCATCCACAAGCTCTGCGAGATGTTTTAATGACATGGGAACGTTTGCTGGATGTGCCATAATCGCAAGTGCCTATACATATGCGTCACATTATTATACATATCAAAACGCTGACCCATACTCGTTATCCATCATGCACACTGTCGCCCTCTCACGAAACCTTTTTCTTTAACCCTTACCTCAGGCCATCGATGAGCATAAGGCTTCATTAGCTCCAGACGCATCGATGTATATTCTCGAACATTTTCGCCCATAGACTTCTTTCTTCTATAAATAGTAATTTTACAAGTTAATATATAGACATGATCACAGCAAACCAACAGCAACCATGCGCGTCGTGGAGACATAGTGTAAAATAATAAACACTCACAGTTGTACTGGTGCTTGCTGTTCAGGCTGCTGTGCTGCTTCTATTTGTGCTGTGATTGATTGCTTAATCATGGCAACATGATCAGTTCGGCATTTTGTCAGAAACGCGTCGACAAGGCTTGCTTCACCATGTTCAAAAACGCCGTGGGCAACAGAAGGGTAACCAAGTGTCTTTGCACCACGCACCATGCTCTCCATGGTCCAGCCATGTCGAGGCACAAAAGGCAAAGTGGCTTCAAACAATGCGTTGGCAGGGTCACTATATGAAGCAGTTTTTCTTTTTCAATAGGTGAGGGGGTACTATGCTCCTTCTCTTTATATCATACTTGGTCACTATCGTCACAACTACTATAACAATAATAACAAAAAATGCTAGAAAACAAATTACGTTTTCATGGAAGCGCTGCTGCTTGAAGCTGTTGCCGTTGACATGCATCGATATCTAGTGGCAGCCAAACAACGTTTCGTTAATGTGCCGAACATGGTGGTTTGGTGAATTGTAAATAAAATAATTTGGGCAAGGAGGGACAGTTGATGGCGGCATGTGGCTCCACTTTTTTTGACACCTCGAAACTGCGGACTTTGTCTGCGGTTGTTGCATTTGCCCATTGTCGAGGTGCGGCTTATCGGATCTTGATAATGGTATTTCGGAGGCGAGGCAGCACGACTAATAAGACGCGATGCGTTTATTATCAATCTCTACACTAAGTATCAATATTAGCAGTATAACTAAAGTGGGAATAGTGCTGACCTATTATTGTTCCATTTAGCCAAACCATAGATTCTTCCCAAGGAGCAATCGCAAAAGTTCACGCTGTCGCATATCTGATCAGCTAGAGCGCTTCCTTGCTTCCTACCTCATTTCCCTCCCCAAAATATTATCTTGTATCACACTTGAATTCTAAAGTATAGTTGTTCTAAGAAACCCCATCTTTCAATACTATTTCTTTTCAAAACGGGCTTCTTAACTTTTAAATCCCAGTAGGTTGTTTACTTCTTAATCGTCGTATTTGTCTCTATCTTTCGGACAAGAATAGTGGCAACAACTGGTGGGCTGTCGATTCGTGCCCGTTTCCGAGTCTGTCTCTTTATAGTGACACCCGCTGATGCTTTTCATCTGGTCAGTGCACGAATTACCATGTGCTGTGGTGTGATGTCTAGCATGACGTTTGTATATCTCGATTGCAGTATCGATAGAAACCACAAACGACAGTATCAGTGACTTATTGAGAGCTGAAACAATTAACGATGGTCATTGAAAAGCGATAGTTACATTTCCATCATGTGTTCACCGACAAGATATTACACCTACAACGACATGGTGTCTGAAAAAAATCTCCCGTCTAAGCAGACCTTCTGATAGCTTTGCTACTGGTCTCCAAGTATTTACCGGCGGATAGAGAAAATGTATGACGTACCGTCTGTACATCATCCGTCAATACTGTCAAAATCTGCTCCACGGTTTATATACGGTCGTTTCGGATATACCTAACCTACAACAGACGCTACCATGATGTTATACTGTAGGCAAGATTAATGGAGAATCTGACAATGACCTGGTGGAAAAACGGTGGTTCGAAAAAGGGTCACCGAGCTGTATATTTCGATGCTACTTGCCGCATGAGCAAGGTATTAGCGTGCCACGATTGACAAAGCTCCACTGCATCGTGAGTCTCATGACTCGGCAACAAAACGTTTCTGCATCCACTATGTATCTGAAATATGCTTCCCTTCTCTGTCAATGTATATATAATATGTGAGGGTAATAATATCCACCTGGCTCGGTGAATAATCATCACAGTATAACCGGATCTTAACAGTCAGACAAATGTGACGCCAACTAAATGCGAGCACGCGCGAATTATACTTGTGCATGTTAATCTGGGTGGAGAATTGAGGAGGAAAGATAATCAAAATTGTGTACGAGTACATGTACCATGTATTGTGTTTCTTTTATACAGTAGTGACATGGTTATCGCTTTTACATGCTGTGCCAAGAGTTACTGCCGTTATGATTTGGGAACGTGCTAGCTCTCTATATACATTCTCATTATAGTCAAACTCAAATCCATTACATTTTAATTTGACGCTTAGTGGCACTAATACATGTATACATCACGTAATAAAAATAGTACGAGCGAAAACATTAGCCGTCTTAAAAGAAAATAATAATACATACACCTTCCTCCAAGTCCCTCACTCCTCATAAAGTGATTAATAGTAACTTACAGAACCAATATAGCCAGCAATCCCCCATCATTTCAACCCAGTTGACTTGCGTGCCTTGATTAAAAACGCATTTTCCACTTTGTGTAAACATGGAAGGTGGCGTGGGTATTGTCGCTATTGCTGTCGGTGTGTCCGATCGCTTTTGGCGATTAGTGGTTTTGCTACTCCAAGCACGAAACTGGATATTTTCAATGGTCGTTCGATTCAATACAAGTAGCCATAAATGGGAACAAGCAAATGTGCCAATGGAGGTCATCACTAGACCTGACCTATAAATACATGTCATAAGCATAAGTATTTATGCTAACACTGTCACGTGTGAGCGCATTTATGCATCTCTTGGGCTTACAATATTAAGATGGCAATTACAACGCCGTTGTACGTTGCCTGTGCATGTGTGTAAAGTGTTGGAGCGATAAAATATGTTCATGTAGTTAGTAAGATGTAATATGTAGCATATGGGTGTCACAATGCATCTTTTTTCAACAAATTTAATATTACCAGTCCATTTCCCATGATAAAAGCTGCAAGTGAAGTCGTAAACACCCAAGCAGCAATACCGGATGCATAGCAAATAAACTGGATGAAATATCTATAATTGGCAAACCCGACACATCCATTGACCCTAAATAATTATAGTTCAAATACGTAAGGATTTAATCCAAAAATTCAATCCTTGCGTCCGCTTCTCCGTTTTACCATGGACAATGACTTCAAGAAAAAAAGGGGACCATAAATACTGGTGTTGTTAGCGCCTCTCAACCTTTCCGTTCCTTCCCGTGTTCCATGCCAAGAAAGCCTTTCTTACTGGTCCATCCGTAGCACACAAGTATCGCATACTCGACAATGATGAGCTCGATCCGGTTTCCACCATTCGCATTTATCACACCATTGTTGAGGAAGAATGGATACATATGGCGGTCTTGTATGTTGATTGTCACCATCACTACTGTTGCCACTACTAGTATTACTGCTTGTTTCAAGCATCACCATTGTCATAGCCTTTTATAGCCAGCAGGTATACAGGTAAGATCCATGTGTGAGTGTGGCAGTAAGCAAGAAGTCAAGAATGGACAACGACAGCTAAGCTTTAGTAAACGTAATATCAGCAGTCAAGCACGTACTTTTTTAGGGGTTCCAGGTTCTTTCAAAACCACTCTTGCATAGGATGTCAGTAACAGAACAAGCCAAAGATGAAGGGGAACAAGATATATGACAGCTTGGGCTACTGTGCCTTGATGGATCAGGGTTACTGCATTGTTGATCGATTAGCATATGGTTTGACGGACACACCCTCAGCGTCTCACAAAATTACATTCTTCCCTCCATCTTTTACATCTTTCCTCCATCTTTTTCCTTTGGCGCTTGATAATACAACAGCATGACTGCTACTACTCACAGCATACTTGGTCGAGATATCCATAGTATAGAAAGGCAATGATACTGAGAACGACAAGGATTGGCATCCAGCCCCAATCGCGATGCTGCCCTGGCTTTTTATCATATGGTAATGGCAATGGAAAATCTGTTACTGCCGAAAACAAGAATAGAAAAGGCCAGCATCGGCTATATATCGGCGAATCCGTTCGACAGCAACAGACATCGGTCACATCTCTTTCTGCTCGTTTATTGTCATTGTTCTGAGTTGCTGTTGTTGGTGCTGGCTGGACTTTTTCTGGTTGCTGTTCGTCCTCTGTATTATGATTTCTATGCTGCTCGTTTGGATGTTTGCAGCATACACGAAACGGGTGACCGCCAACCACTAGGATTCGATTTGCTAATCGTTCTAACATAGAAAAGACCAACGAAAAGAAAAGTTACGAGAGAGAGAGAGAGAAAGAGAACAAACGTCGTGCCAATCAAGAAAGAGGGGTAAAAGGAAAGAAAGGTCTTTATTCGTTTCTGGCGAATGATTCCAGCGCATGCACCCGGAAAACTGGGGCGCGGTTTCTGAATGATCCGTTCCCTTTGCAGAGAATAAAGTTCTCTGTCACTCCCCCCGTATTACTGTTGTTACTGTTGCGCACGCATGTTGTGCGTGTGTGTTATGCTATGATTCTTGGCGTTTCTGTTTTTTTCCCCTTCATGTCTAGGCATCAGTTTCGCGTTGTATGCCGTAGACCACTCCATTGGCTGATGTATAACTGTGATATTTGTTCTGACAGGTCACTGTTTCAAGTGTATGTGTGAATATAAGAAAGTGAGTGTTAGGTCCTATTCATAGTAGCATATCATAGTCTTCTTACAACCAAGGTAATTTATTACCTGTCACAGATCTCAATCTTTCGTTTTGTAGCGCTGAAATGGAACGAGTCAGCTCTGTGGCATCGTGGACCATTTGAACCGCGGCTTTCGCCTCAACAGCTAATTGACCACCGGTTGTGTCCTGCATTACACCAAACGGTAGAGCTAAGTTTTTGGGAATTAAACACGAAATGAGATGGAAGAAAGCCGTTCTTTTACATTGATAATCTCTCCGTCATTAGTTGAAGCTGCGAAGGAGGCAATGTGACCCGGTAGATTAGCAAGTGATTCAAAGTTGGAGGACATTCTGCAATGCGTGTAGAAGCACTAGCATAAATTACGGCACTGCTGCACTGCTGAGTTTTTTAACGTCTCCTGATTCGAAAGCCTCAAAGCCAAGTTGTGTGTGCTGTCATTTTTTTTGTATTTTGAAACACTTAAGCTTTGCTCCTATCCGGCGATAACCATAGCGACGGAAAAAAGGATATCGCTAAACCGTTTGATTATACACAAAGTGCTGGCTTCTTATTTACAGACAGTACGGGGTGTTGTGTTCATGCATATGGTGATTTATCTTCAATGCTGTTTTTCTTGTCTTGGATTCTTTGCTGTATGTACTTGGATATGCAGATAGACTGCAATTGCTGTTAATAAAGCTCAATATAGAGAGCTTCGTATTCTACATCAGCGAGAAAGTCACCAGCCACTCTATTGCTCATGCATTTTTCAAATACAAGTGGCAGCAACCAAGCCTGGCCTAGGGAATGCCTGTGTGGCTTTAACGAGCCAAGGAACAATAAAAGCGGAGGCCTAAAACATTGGTATAAAAAATAATTTGGACTGGCACGCTTAAGCAACTCCCTCTTTGATACATCCTTCGAGTAAGTAGTAACGACAATTTATTTGCCCATCCATCCATCCATCCATTCATCCATCCGTATCATCCGTTCTAATTCATCATCCATCAATAACAGAATGGCCAAGTCCACCCAAAAGCGTTCGACTCTTGCTGACGTTGTCACTCGTGAATACACCATCCACTTGCACAAGTTGGTTCACGGCCGTTCGTTCAAGAAGAAGACTCCCCATGCCGTCAAGGCCATCAAGGAGTTCGCCACCAAGGCCATGGGTACCCAGGATGTCCGTGTCGACCCTGGTTTGAACAAGGCCTTGTGGGCGCGTGGTGTCCGCAACGTCCCCCACCGCATCCGTGTCCGCATTGCCCGTAAGCGTAACGACGATGAGGACGCCAAGGAGAAGCTTTACTCCATGGTCACCTTCGTTCCCACTGGCAACAACGCTAAGGGTAAGTCTCCTTTTCTATTGTTTTGACTTTTTGCGCTTTTGAACCGCTGTCCAGTAGTTGGGGTGTGTATAAATGCGTTCTCTCCCAAAATGCTGGCGCATGGGGAAAGAATGATCTTTTTATGCACGGTACCCAGTTTCTGGCAGTTGAAAACGCGAGAGGTTGGAGTTACTTTTGTTTTCTCCTATCTGTGAAGCGTACTTTTTTTTAACAATTGATCCATTTTCGGAATGTAGGTTTGGAGACCGTCGTTGTCGATGACGAGTAAATCTTTCGTTCACGTCTCGCTCTTTCTTAGTTTAATCGTTTGATACAACTGGTCAAAAATAAACAAAGTGGGCAATCATTGGAATGTACATAGTTCTTTTGTCTGTGTTGGTGTTATTATTGTTATTCACGGCGTGCAAGCGTTTGCTCGAAAACTTTTAAGATCTTGTACGCATGAAATCATTTTTGATCGATCTATGGTTTGATCTTGAAATCTCTCTTAATAATCGTTCACTTAAATGTTTTATAATTTTGGAGTGAGTGGTGGCTTCCATAACAAAGAATAACAGGTCGTACAAGCCATGACAACCGTTGTCACTTTACTGGTGACAATTGTATGAAGAAAAACTTCTCACATGTAGAGAAAAGCTGACCTGTTCGTGACAGAACGCGAAATATACGGTTTCTTGGGAAAATGTGCGTTGCACTGAACAGTCTCCTATCGCACATGAGTTAAGTATGATTCTCATCGTACTATTTTCAGGAGTTTATACTTTGCCGCCTTTTCTACATAAACAAGCATCGTTTTGAGGGCTTTGGTGACCTCTAAGCACAATTGCACTAAACGTGCAGGCTTTCACTTCTACACTCATTATCACACGTGCAAAGGGTGTAAACGAAAAACTAAGTACATGTGAGATAGTCTTCCACTTCTTGACACATACCGAATAAATGGGCCATATGCGTTGTTGCTAAAAATCACACCACCGGGACGATAACCTTCCACTCCCATCCACGTTGATCCACGCGACGAGATAAAAATTGACATTACGTTACTTTTCTCTTCCTTGGAACAAAAGCAAATGTGACAAGAATGTGATGTATTTTATTTTGTTGGTGTGCGTCTAAAGAGTTACTGTCCGCCTTGTTCTTTGTATTGTTTTGCCCACTACCAATGAGATACACAATACATTTGATCAATAACCCATTTTTTACTATACATACAATAACCAACGACTTACCATCATGGATGGAATCCAGCGCTTTGGTTCTTGGTAGCGACGCTATAGTAAGTAGAGTATTTGTGGTATCAGCATCAAATTGTTACGTCGTTTTTAGGTTCGTTATGTAGACTCGTGCGCTTTGTTGTTGTCCTTTACCTCCTTGTCAGCGGAGACACTCCAAATGGCGCCAAGGGTGAAAGCCATGCCAAGAACAGCAATGGCAGTGTTGGGCTTCCAGGTTTTGGGCTGAGCCCACCAGCCACCAGCAGGAGACCTATAAAGTACACAATGCGTTAACACTAAGAATGATCTCAAGACATAAGCTTTTCCATTTTCGATCGTACCAGACTTCTTTAGGATAAGGGAAACGGCTAACACCACCCTAAAACATTTCAATTCAAGAAATTTATTAGAAACGCTGCGAATCGCAAGATAAAGTGTTTGTCAAAGTTTGTCGCCGTGAGTTTTTACCATTGTAGTTTATTATTTTTTGTAGTACTGACAAAGGCCACAGCCGGAAACAACTCGAAAAGTGCAAAATTGAGCGGAGAGTGATGACGTCGCAGTACGAGGATTGCTGCTATAGTAACCTGCCGCTGCCCGCTTTTCCAATTATGCAGAATAAATTTTAACCATTTTGTACAATAATTTTTATTACAATTATATGACCATGTTTTCATCTGCCCAAAGTTTAAATGTGCGGTCAAATCCACACGAAGCAATATATCGACCATCTATTAAAAAGAGGAAGAGAGAACATGAGATATACTGTGCTGAAAGATGACCAATCACTTATTTCTCAGAGTCAAATATTCCCAAATTGTGAATGCTATCTTTTACCTTGAGACAGGTCGATACCCATGACTTTACTTTCATGGCCTTCCATACTCTTGATTAACCGAAAATCATCACCAGACCAAATTTTAACACATCCATCATAGCCCGTAGTGCCTAAATACAATCCGTCCTTGCTGTACTTGATATCTGATACGAGCGATTGATGTGCTGAAATGGTATAAATGTTGCGTAATGTTCGCATATCCCAAACCTTGACCGTGTTGTCGGCACTTGCTGAAGCAAGCTGATAGCCATTGGATGACCAGTCCAAACCAAGAATATCCTTCACATGTCCTTCTAATGTCATGGCCGATCTTCCTGTCCGCGTATCCCAGACACGGCCTACGCAATCCAAACCACTACATATATATGTTTCTGATAAGCATCAACGATTCAACGATAAAAAGATATTTATGGAAAAAGACAGCCTTCACCTTACCCAGTAGCAACGAGGCTACCATCACATTGGAACGCGATGGCGTATACTTCCTTTGAATGACCTTCTTGGAGTAATAATTCGGTCTCATTTTCAACGTCCCAGAATCGCCACGTTCCATCAAAACCTGCACTTCCGAGGTATCGTCCAGAAGGATGGAAAGCCACACGAGATACACGGCCCACATGGCCAGTTAAAGTCGAGAAAGGTGTTTCTCTAGCATAGCAAATCAGATGCACATTAGTTAACGATAAATCCCCAAAGCATTAATACATTAGCTGCGTACGGATATATTGAGAGCATTTAACAAATTAAGTTCATGCCTACTACTTACTTGTCTAAGCTCCATAAGTGGATTAAGGAATCCGCACCACCTGTTGCAAAATTCATTACACTTTTCTCTCGACTTATTGTTGAGTCGGGATGGAAAGCGATACCACCAATACGGTCTGTGTGGCCTCGAAATTGCATAACTTGCTCACACTGCGGTACAGACCATAATTTGAGTGCACCAGACCATGCGCCAGTGACAAGCATTGAAGCATCAGGTGTGAACGCGCATTGAGCGACTGGGCGTTCGTCAGCAATTTGTGATGCCCAGTTGGTATAATTCTATTTATTCGCTGAAATTTAGCTAGAAAGCCCTTATTCGATTCTCCCTTCTCCCGTTCTTGTCCAGAAAACAAACCTTAAGTTTCGAATGGAGTTCTTTGCGGCTCGCTTTTATTTGTGGTAAAGGAATATCGACTTCAGCGTTCTGTCGTTCTATCCGTGCCTTTGCTCTGATTTTGTATACGAAAAGTGCAAGAACAGTTTCAACTATTAGCATACATACTCTTGCAGGCCTTACATCTTTCCCTTTCCAGCCTTTCAGCACGCAATAAGCTTGATGTCAAAAAGAAACATACCGTGGCAAAGAATAATTTGCAATCCATCGTCGTGCTTCCAACAGTTCTTGTGATCCAGGAGTAAAGAATTCTTCTTCTGCCTAAGTTTACACATAGAAAGCCATGACAATTGTTTCCAGCAGAATTGATTAATTAAAGAACTTCAAAAATTCAAGTCTTATTATACGGACCTCTTCTTCTTCACTTTCACTTTCTGATTCAGATTCAACTTCACGGCCTTCTTGGATAGATAGTAGATATCTCAAACGAGATCGTCGATCATCTGGCTAAGATACATATGGTTCGTTATTATTAGGAGTGAGAAACAAGCAGCTGCATAGTGTAAAATCGTAATAAACTTACGCCTTCGCCAAAGAGACACTGTGGTTCATCGAGTTCCCGAAGTCGCATACGAACGCGTGAATCGTCTGTTGGTACGGCAATATTCCGCGCGCGTTTTCGTCGTTCAAATTCTTCCAGAATCTCCTTGTCAGCTTGTCTCGCTCGCAAAGACGATTCAGACATGTCAAGGTCGGTGGCATCGGCTACATCAACGCGAACTGTTAGTTTTAATTCTCCAAGGCGAAAGGAAGAGACAAAAGCGAATACTAAGTTAGAGTGCAACAGTACCTAACGAATCGAGATCAATGCTGCCTGGTGCCAAAGTCGGCACACCGGTCTCGCCCAGTTTAAGACGTTTTGCATTCTCTTGTTCATCTAATGCGCCGAAGTGTACACGTGTCTTTGCCTTTGAATTATCTTCCATGTCGCTTATCTACTGTGAATGCGCTGGCTGTCGAAGAGGATCGTTTAGCGTATAGAAGAGGGAAGGGGAGGGAGGAGAGATCTAGCTTGATAAGATCTACTGACAATAGCCGAAGCTTCAGAAATCAAATATCAAAAGTTTGGGAGGTGGCTCTTTCCTTGAATTATTTGGATTTCCGAAAGTACTAATCAGCTTAGCACATATGCAAGTATCAGGGAGAGAAAGAGAGAGACAGACAGAGAGAACGATGATCTACGTGCGTCCTCTACTGGTGGTGGATAGTATGCATGAGCTGTGATCACCGGAAATAGTACTATGTTTGTTGTTAAGCAATACATGGTACATCCCTCTGCTTTATGAATTAGAGCACATCAAAATCAATTCCCACGGCAACGCCACAGAAGCATAACAAGTACAGCACTGCTTTATTTCTACGTGCACACGTTTGGGCGATTGTGTAGTATGAGGATAGACCAAACCCAAATCAAGAGCTCGTAGAAAACGTGGCATTGATAAAGTGTGCAACTCGGAACTTCCAGATTGCCATCATGCACAGTACATGTGGGACAGCCGAATGATACTAATGAGAGAGAAAAGCCTGGGAGCCACTTGCCTTGATTATTTACTAAAATGGTTTCCCACTACTTCACACACGCGTTTTCTCAAACTTAAAGAAGGTACTTTAGCTCTTTTATCCCCTGTCGCGCCCGACCTCTGCTTTCTTTGCTCTCTTTTCTTCATTTTTTTCCACACATCGATCCATCTATACATCTTTGCCCATACATGGTTGTTTACAAAGCTACCAAGTATAACACAATTGAGCCACTGCCTGACCTGGACGTGTACACGTTCCTGTTCAAGCCAAACGAATTTAACTTAAAGTTCCCTGCAGACCGCAAGGTTGTGATTGATGGCCATACCGGACGCTCATTAACGCATAGTCAAGTGCGTGATTTGTCGAGTCGCATGGCAGCTGGATGGGTCAATAAGGTGGGCCTGAAAAAGGGCGATATCGTTGCATCTTTTGCTCCCAATCAATATGATCATATTGTTGTGTATCTTTCGTTACTCGCCGCTAAATGCACCGTAACACCTGGGTAAGAGTTATGACAAGAGCAGCACCATGGCAGTAACAGAAGGATGATGGTCGCTATGCAGTGATTCTCTCAGAACTAAACAAGAAAAATGTTATTCTCGCGTTTAGAAACCCCATGTATACAGAAGGTATGTATGCGGAAATAAAGTGAAGTGGAGATCAACAATAATTCGGGCGGGAGAGCAATGATATCTTGCGCTTTAATTCAGTTTTCCCACATATAAAACGTATAGCAAGCATAGCTAACAGCTTCTTTGTACTATATAGCCGAATTTCAACATCAGATCTCAAATAGTGGGGCCAAGGCATTGATTACAGTCCCAGAGCTATTACCGGTGCTCCTCAAAGTGTGTGCACGAGTCGGTATTCCCAAAGACAGGATTTTCTTGTATGGGGAAAAGGATCATGATGGATTAAAGTCAGTTTACTCCGTCATGGCGTCAGTACCGGAAGGTCGGCATATCGAATACCCAGTACAAGGCTTGAGCTCCAAAGAGGATGTCGCCTTTATTTGTTACTCAAGTGGCACGACAGGGCTCGCCAAAGGCGTCATGCTGACCCATCAAAACTTAATTGCGCAAGCGTTGATTACTATGGAAACGGACAAGCATGCACATAATGAGCTTGATATGACATTGTGTTTTCTACCCTTGTATCATATTTATGGGTTGACGGTGCTTTGTTTCAATGCTTTTTATAAGCTGCTACCTGTCGTCATCATTCCCAAATTTGAGCTCAAAACTTATTTGGAGTTAGTTCAAAAGTATCGTATCACGCTGCTTAGCATTGTCCCTCCTGTTGGTAAGTACATAGTGAGGTCTTCGTAGCGTATAGTGTTTTTTATCTTTAATATGATCGTTACTCATTCTGATGAAACTATAGCCGTCCAACTTGCCAAGGATCCCTTGGTACTGAAGTATGATTTAACGTCGGTCAGGATCATCCAATGTGGTGCTGCTCCTCTCGGCAAAGAACATACAGATAACTTATTGTCGCGAATCCCTGGATATCTAATTCAATCGTATGTATCATTGCATTTACGTCTACTTGTCACATTCTTTAAAGCTGTGCTCTAATGAATTGGTACTATATGTATGTCGGACAATTACTAGCTATGGAATGACGGAAACTACAAGTGGTTAGTCTATATAAAATCTATCTATATGCTTCATTTACTTCTTTGCCAACCAGCACTCATTATACTCACATCTTCCATGTAGCTATCATACAATCAGGCTACGATGGTACTGCTATTGGTTCCGTAGGCATTGTCTGTCCTAGTGTTGAATGCAAAATTGTGGATGAACAAGGGAACGGTTCGTAGAGTCATAATTTCTCGATACATGCGTTGAACTAAAATGACTAATTATTATTGTGTCAACCCTATAGAGCTTGGCGATGACCAAGAAGGAGAAATATTGGTCAGAGGTCCCTCTATCATGAAGGTACATAGACCAAAAAATGGTGCTGCTAATCAAACCATATCCATGTAACGGTCATATATAAGACGCTCCAAATACCTTAATAACGAAATGAAACCATTGATGTAGGGCTACTATAACAACCCGGAGGCAAACGCCAAAACGTTCACCAAAGACGGATGGATGAAAACAGGAGATGTCGTCAAGTTCGATAGCGCCAAACAAGAGTTCTTCGTGATGGACCGTTTAAAAGAGTTGATTAAGGTCAAAGGATTTCAGGTTGCTCCAGCTGAACTCGAATCTTTACTATTGGGCATGTCAGAAGTGAATGACTGCTGTGTTATTGGCGTTTATAGCTCGGAAGAAGCCACAGAGTATCCACGGGCCTATGTAGTGCGCTCGTCCATCACGGCAAAGGATGATGATGCTACGCTTGCAAAGAGAATTGAAGAATTTGTGGCTAAAAACGTAACGGGTTACAAGAAATTGCGCGGTGGAGTCTATTTCCTAGATCAAATCCCCAAGAGCCCAAGTGGCAAGATATTACGTAGACGTATTAGAGAGTTGGCAAAGGAACAAGATAAGGCCGAAAAGCTTCCTGCCAAACTGTAGCTATACTATTAGGCTACTAGACATTCAATAATAAAGGGTACAGAGCAATGTATCGGTTGACGCGTTTAAAGCATCCTAACTGCAGCTGTTGCTGCTGGCTATGTTAAGCGGGATATATCAGTACTCAAAATTGGTCGGTCGGAAGAAAAAATTTTTTGTGGCGGGGGACGTTTTAATGTTGTGATGGGCGTGCACATATACGTTCCTTCTCTTTCTTCGTTCGTGTCGAGATTTTTACGAGTACCTAAACATGGCTCACGATAACGTCTGGAACTCCCGTCCCCGCCAGTACGGCAAGGGCTCTCGTCAGTGGTATGATTTTTTTCCACGATTACTTTAATGAGTGGAAACGAAACAAGAACGAATCCACCATTTTACTTTAAGGATGACTTGATGGCTTATACGTTCACTTCCATTCCATAAAACGATATAGCCGCGTCTGCGCTCACCGTGCTGCTTTGATCCGCAAGTACAACCTTAACATCTGCCGTCAGTGCTTCCGCGAGTACGCCAACGACATTGGTTTCCACAAGGTAAAAAATTATACACAGTTAGCTTGTATAAAAAGGGTGTGAATGGTGGATTAGGTTTCCAAGGGCAGAGTCCGTGTATGTATACTAAGATTGTCGCTTTGCCATTAAATTTTCTCTATAGTACCGCTAAATTGTTTCTTGTGTTGGTCAACAACAATCTCCAAGAATCACCAGACGTATCAACGGGATCTTGTAAACTCTCCTTCTCTTTAAAAATAAAAAAAGAAGCAATAAACAATCTGAGTGCTTTTTACTTGTGAGCAGCAACAGTCATTCTGATAACCGAAGAAGGAGGCATCAAAACTGTGGAAACTCGGCGACGAATAATGATATGCTGTCTTGTTACTATATGTACATATTATATGAGTTATGACACATAAAAGGAGGGGGAGGGTGGTCGCTTTGAGGGGTGTGGGTGATGAAGGTCATTCGTGCTCTATGGTATATCGGGGAGGATTAGAAAGTGATTTACTTATGGCGAAATAAAACACAATAGGTTGTGTTGTGTGTACAGCACATAGGGAGTGCCACGTTTGAAATTAGTTTATATAACGGGCTTCAACACCCTTAAAACTTACAAATAACACAAGGCTATTTTCGACACACTCTCTTTCTTTTTCTCTTTTCTTCATCTTGTTCACCTCTTCTCTGTTGTTATTAAACAACCCTCTTTCCCTTCCTTTTTACATATAATCCCTTTCCATTCCTTATGAACTACAACTTGTCGCACGTTACGACCAATCCCATGGTGCTGTGTTCTGCCGTACTAGCTTCTGTAATATTAAAGAATTCAATTGATTATCGATCCGTGGAAGAGCCAACATATCTGTTGACCAACTCATCGTGCTACATAGATTGGCTGGTTGGTTACTTTTATTGCAGCATGCGTGACACGTCTTCATGGTGCAAGCTGGTGGATCATTGTCTACGAACTCGGTCTGATCATTGTTATCTATGTGGTCCTTACCAAGTCATTATTCGCCCAGTATCAATTGACGGTACCGCTAGAATATCACCAGAGAGATATACATATGATGTGCTACATCTATAACTAAATCCTTTAATTGTAATAGCTACTTGTACTGCTGGCAATTAGTATCGCCATGCTCACGCAGCTTATTGAAATGTTCATCAACCGCACGGATCAAGCGTCTCAAGCAGGTGCTGCTGGATCATGTATCCTAGTTATCATGCAGGTACAATCTGTAAAAACACAGAACATCGTTGATAGCAATCACCTGTCTCTTTTATCAATATGATCCGCTCTCCATATATGTAAATAAACGAACAAACAAATGGACAGCCGCTAACAAATAATCGTAATTTACGTCTGCTCTGATTATCTCGGCCACAATGCAATATACGACCCATTCAACAACTTTCAATTTAACCGAAAAACAGTACGTGTGGGTGTTTATCTTTGGCAGCTCTGAAGAATCGGCCATCCATCGCTCGATCTACGGCTTGCACAACACTTCAGCTCCTATGGTGACTCAGGCGCAATTCTCGAGTGACTCACACCGCACTGGATCATTACGTAGTATGGGTACAGCATCTTCTTATCGCCGTCAAAACAATAATCACAACGGGTATCCATTGGAAAAGCAACAACAGCCCTCAAAGCAAAGCGCAGTATCATCGACCAACCCGCCTGCTTTCACTTCCGATGGACCGCTTGTTGTCAACAATCAAAATGCTGCTAGTGCTTCCATCATCACAACAGAATCTGATGCAATGCCTGCTCCAGAACTGAAAAAGAACGAAGCAAAGGCACTACATGCATGTACGTTATATAATCGAATCCTTCCCTGATAGCACTCACAAGTTGCCTAACAACAAGTCTGGCGTATCAAAATTAGATCGTGCTAACGCCGAAGATCCCAACGAGCTTTCCTTTGAGAAAAACGAGATTCTCGAGATTATAGACAAGCGTGGTAACTGGTGGCAGGCAAAAAAGAAAGACGGCTCCCTTGGTATTGTGCCAAGCAATTACGTAAGTTTTATTTTCAAAGTAGTAGAAGTAAAGCGTCTTATGACAGAAACACACAGAGACAAACGCCAGCCCAAGTACTCATCACTAAAAACGTTTTGATATCGTCAATCAGTTTGCTGCATAGGGATTTGACAAGCATAGCACAACAAGGAAGCCGAGAAAAAAGCAAAGAGGAAGCGCGCCTCCTTCTTGTGCTTTCTCCTTGTTTGAAAATCTTACTCTCAATCCCCCTTCACCACTTGATCAATAATTGTAACCGAGTTCCTATCTTACTTTCTTTCTATTATCTTTGACTCTCCTTATCTTATTAACAACGCGCAAGAGGGAGAGGAGGGAAGGAAGGAGGAAATCAAAAATGCTTCTTCTCCGCTCACCTTTTCCTCCTGTTCCTCGTCACCCGCTGCTCTACATCATTTGATACCATACCGCATTTCATATATCCGTCGTCGTCATCATCATAATATCTCATACTACTATCACAAACACATTCAAAACTAGTATCATTACGTATCTTGGGCGTAGCACTGGTTTACTACGCCAAAGTGAGAATGGAAAGCTAGCTTCCCACAAACTAAAACAGCTATTTTTACTTTTACCAGCATTATTTTGTTATTACTTATTCTGATTTATCATAAACATTACACAATATTTACATACATGCGCCATTCTTCTTTTTTTCCATTTTCTTCGAGCTTCTAACTTACTCAATCTAACATTGCAACGCTATTTGTTGCTGGATGCACCTGCTGTATTCACTACAGACAACGAAATTCAGATAGAACTTCACAAAACTACTGTCACAACAAGAGTTTTCATTTCCCTCAGATTGCAGCAATGCTAACGGCGAAAATATGTGTAGAACAACTAGAGTTAATGTTTTTTGCTGCAAACGAGGGATGGTCCTTTGTTACTGATATTTGTCCTTTGCTGTACCCCGAAATGTAAAGTTCATGTGCAATGTGAGTGTTAATTTATGGATGAGAACAAAATAATCCTTTATTATCGTGCACCAGAGACACGACCAGGTGATATGGTGTGATTTTCTCTTGCACTTTTATCTAAGGGTTATCAAAAGTATGGTAGCAATATTTTGATTCGTTATTCTTTTTTGTGTAAAAGGAGTAAATTAGAGAGAAAAAGAGGGGAAATGGGATATATGGCTTTTTTCCTCTGCAGGGCAGGGGAAGAAAAAGGTAGGGGGCGCGGAGCACTAAGTACTAGTTAGTTGTAGTAGGGTTAAGAAGATTGTACACAGAGGGAAGAGAGAGGGAGGTATAAGGGAGCTGTAGTACGTTGATTTGGTTCCTCTTCTTTGTTATGCCAGCTTATCTTTTATTTACTGGAGCATACCACCAGCGGCCATGAGGGCGACAGTGAGAGCAATAGCCATGAACTCCTTGGGGACCATGTTTGTAGCAACAGAGCTTGGTGCAGGATGGGAAGGTTGGGCAGCTGGCACGCTGCTGCTTAAGGCGGATGGCATGAGGGCTACAATGATAAAGAAAATATTACTAAGGAGCTCTTTATCTTTCCTTTCAATATTGCGGATAGACTTACAGGAGCTTGGGAATGAGAAGGATGACGAAGGGAGCGAGATCGATGAGAATGAAGCGCTGGACATCATGCTTGACGACTCGAGCGAGGCCGAAGCCGAAGCCGAAGCAGATTCAGATGCAGATGCAGAGACGGAATCGGAAGCACTAGCTGAGGCAGAAATAGAGTCGGATACGGATGGCGTCGCCGTGGCGTCGGATACGGATGCACTCGCGCTGGGGGTGGCATCTGATGGTGATGCAGAGGCAGACGCAGTTGTCTCCTCTTGTATAGCACCGGGCCAGTTTTGACCGATACAGTTCGAGTAGCAATCATTGGTCTTACAGGTCGAAATACAGCTGTGGGTGGTATCCACTATAATAGAGAATCGCGTTTCCAAGTAACTGTCGTCAGTACATAATGATCATCCCAGCAACTGATTCATCTGCTCCATGGTTTGTTACTATCACTGCTACTACTACTACTACTACTACTACTTACCACACTTGCTCAGGCAGTTGTAATCAGAGTTCTCACAGGAGCATGCGGCATTAGCAACGCCAGCAGTGGCGGCGAGTACAAGACTGGCAGTGGCGATCAAGCTGAAGGTCTTCATGGCTAGGTTACTATCAAGTGGGTAAAAGAAGAGTAAGAGAGAAGAAGAAAATAAAGGCGGGTTAGTGAAAAAAGAAACCAAGTAAAAAACTTCTTTTATAGTCATTTTTCTTCCCGGCCACAGAGGTAATACATGACCCACTTTATTACACCTGGAGATAGTAAGTATGCAAGTAAGTAGTAGTAGTAATAGTAGTAGTAACAGCAGCACCCCTGCACTGTCCCCCCAATAAAGAGAGCGAGCCTCCATGTATTCAATCGCTATTCCATCTCTGGAAGCATCTCCTTTCCATCATCATCAGCAGCAGAACAGCATCATCAATTCAACGTAATATGTATTAATGGCTTTAATGTGTTTATTTTTTACCTCCTCTGAATTCCCCGCTTTTCTTTCTCTCTAACACCTCTCCCTGCGTTCCTCTTCACCTTCGCCCTCCAACCCCCAACATCTCTCCTCCCTTCCGCCCTGGATTCTACCTCGCTTTTTTCGTTCTTACTTTCCTTCCATCTTTTGCTCTCCTTGCCTCTCGCTTTACCAAATGCGCATAGCTGTAGCAACTTTATGTCGCTTGCTAGCAGTAGCATACACTTTGCTGCTCCTTGTATCATAAACCAGTCGAAGAATGACGCAAAATAGCTGACGGCGTCTTTGAGCATAATGAAACCTTTCTTTGTTGCTTAAGCGGTGTAACGTCTGACTGTATAAAAAAAAGGAAGAATCTATAATTGATTGCGTCGATCTGGTTATGATATCCCGCACACACACCTTTTCTGCACCTATCGGCTTTTTAGTGAATTTGCTGTATGTTGTGCATGTTGTCGGTGATAAAGAAAAATAAAAATAAAACGTCAAACAGATCGCTTTCCAAACTGCATGCAGGCAATCTTCGCATCGCCAGTGTATCCTGGACTAAAAGTATGCTGTGTCTGTGTGCATCGTCATCCGCTCTCACTCTTTACTCTCCCTCTCGCTCTTTCTTTCAAAAGCATGCACAAATACCGAAGAGAAACTGGCATGTGGAATTACCTGTCATGATGTGTATATTCATGTAACAAAGAGTAGGTAGACGGTCAGGTTGTCAGCTGCAACTTCAAGCATCTGTTTTACGAGTGTGCGTACTACGTGTGTAAACGTATACAACGAACAAAACGTAAGAATAAAAAAAAAACAGGTCATGATGATAGGAACGAGTGTGGCGATCTTTTAACGTTTTGAATGCATGGCTGCTGTTACCCCTCACGCGCCCGCATCCCCGCACTCCACCTGCCACTCGTGTTGTTAGAATGATAGCAGCATCACCTCAAAGAATCTCAGAGATATACCTTAAACAATAGGCAACACCGAGGTATAGCCAACAATAATAACATGCTGGGGCAAGTTGGTAATACGTGCCAATGCAAAACACTTACACAAAAGAAAAACAATCTTCGCTGTACATCGGTGCCACCGCCATTGCTTCCCTCGGACTTGTGCAGAAGGGTCTAGTGTGGATATCATAAACAAAGCAGCATGGAAATCCGGAACAGTCATGCACGGGTGATTCAAGGTTTTTAGTAAGTAAAGCAAAAGAATAAAGCGGAATAAAAGCGTCCCTTGCTTTGTTGTAGTAGTAAATGTATGGGAGGAGCTAGTAAATTAGAAAACACGACAAGATGTATTCCTACAACTACTAAAGAGTGCACTTTCTTACTACAAGTAATTTACGAAGCCAAAGCTAAAAGTTCAAATGGTGAAACAATGAAGAAGAAACGGAGATTCGGTAAAGAGAAAGCGAGATTGTGACTCATTTTCATTCGTTGGATCATTTTTAAAGCGCTCTCTTTTATTTTCCCAAGGCATTATCCTCGATTCCGTGGAAAAGTGATTCTGTTCTCCCTCTCTCTCTCTCCTCTATCTTTTCCCTTCTTGATATAGTCTTTAATAGTTTGCAGTCCTACGGACAAATGACGCATATTATACAGCAATAATTTTACATGGTCGACTTACTGAGTAGTATCCCATTCGCGGGTTTTCTCCTTATCACTGCAGGTGCCTCTTTGGCCTTACAAGCTGGTATGTAAATAACTCTCGATGCATTATTTCAAAATCGCTACTGACACGCTGTTTGATATATGAAGGATGTAATTCGAATTTGGCAAAACATGGCGGTCGGACGTTTTCTCCCGTATGGTCTTTTATATCGGGTCTTATATGCTGTTTTGTATTCTTTGGCATCGATATAGGAGCACTTGGAACGCCATTACCGGATAAAAGCATTCTCGGTAATTATACTGATCATTATGCATTGCTGACTAATCATGCACAATAACGTAGCATGAAGAAGTATTCAGTTTTAGTTAATCAAAGAGACGTGTGTGCTTAAAATCACTAGATGCCCCTGGATACGTTTGGATTGGTAATATAAAACTTGCAGCTTTTCAGTTATTGGATCGGTTGCTTACATACGCCTCGTTTGAAACAAAAAAATTGCAGGTGGTCTTATGGGTGCATACTATGTCTTTGCCAACCTTATTGCTATACCGAAGCTAGGAGCTGCAACTTCATTGAGCATATTTGTATGCTCGCAGGTAAAAAATAACAATACGTGGTGTGGTACTACGGAAATTGTGCAAACTGGTTTTTGACCGTTTTCATTGCCCATGGCGTTGACTTTGTGTGTTTCCCGTAGGTCATTATGGCATGCGTGATTGATCATGCCGCACTAGTCGGTGTCGAACAACGCGATTATACAAAGTGGCGTATACTGGCCTCGTTTGGTCTTGTATTTTGTGTATATATCATTTCAAGGTATTAAACTGCATATATTTCGGGGGTTTGTGTGTGTGTGCGTGTCTGATATCATGATCCTGTGTATCAAAAAAGAGATCATTCATGTGGGTCATGCCCGGGAAAACGTTTTTGCATGTACCTCCCTCCAACACACATATACATCTTCCTCTCATATTACAACCTGTTTATTGTATACCATGTAATTTTATTTTCTCGTTTCATCCCTACTTCCACTACTACCATACCTAATAGAATCCATACATCATATTCAATTCTTATTCCGTGATTGTTGATCTTAAAGTGGTGTTATGCGCTTAACCAAATTTTCGATCTTTGTCCGAAAAATGAGTGAGTGATAAGATACTGCTGTTCTGCTTACTACTTTATGCATGCTTGGCACTTTTCGACAAACAACACCACAATCATCATTGCGAGAGCAGCAGCAGCAGCATTAAGCAAGCATTGCTACCGTATAAAATATAGCATCGATCTGTTTCCTTTTAAAATTACCTGTGTGCATGTTCTATGATCATCCCAATTTGCGGGAGCAAGAAATGCTATAATTGTTATCACAGGTGCTCGGTACGGATTACTTGGCAATTATCATTGTGGAACGGATTGGAGTTTCCTCAATTTTCGGTTCCAGCAATTTTAGTTGTCAAAAAAAACAGGCGTTGGTGTGTTCAATTTTTAAACTACAACATATTATACATGGCTGCACTCACCGCACTGCACACTTACCGTCAATTATTACGTGAAGTAAATCGACAGGTAAACATTCTTTTATTCATGTGCGTCCTCGTCGTCAATAGAAAATGAAAGTAACTGATCGTCCGTCTTACAAATGTCTTTTATTCTAGTTTACCAAGACCAATGACATATTCGCTAAACAATTAAAGACGATTTATCGAGATAACCAGGGTGTTACTGATCCATCCAAAGTTGAAGCACTTAATCGTAATGCAGAAAATGTCTTGACGTATCTGAGAAGCTCACGACAACACAAAGTAAAATTGCAAACCGAAAAAGAGAGAGGATCGTTCTCTATGCGAAGAAATATAGAGTGGGTGTGCATGGATGTATTCAACTAAGTTTTGTGATGCTATTCAAAAATAGGAACTTCGAGACATGTACTCGGCTATTGTTTTGGAGCAAAAGAAGAGAATCGAATTATCGGCAAAGCGAGTAGGCTTGGAAATGCCCAAGCAATATTCACCGGAAGAAGCCTCAACGGACCGTGTCATGAAGGCATTTCAAAAGTAAAAAACATTGTATACATACACAAGCGTAATTAATAAAAGCAGAGGAATAAAGAAAAGAGGAGATGATGCTATGTACATTTATTTGTCGTATATATCTCGCGCACAAGGAATGCTGCAACATCCAAGTCCTGTGTACAAGAGCTCACTCGCGATTAGCTTTTTGTTGTTGACGTCTTCTATCAACGTGATGAAGGATGTATATTCTTACCTGCCAGTATGTCATATGCGCGCTGAATGCACTCAAATATGGGTTTTCTAAAATGCCTTCTTGTAAACAAAAATCGACGCGTCCATTTTTGTTGAGCATTTGGAGCTTTTCGGCTCCCGATAATTCACCAGATGACATGGATGCAGACCTCCTTCGATATTTTTCGGCTAATGCAGGGTCGCTTCGTGATCTAGAGCGCAGATAATGTTCATCAGGAGTGGGTGGAGTTGATCGATAGGAGGAGTATAGCTGCTCTACGTCTTCTTGTTTTTGTTCTACTGAATCAGATTGCTGCTGCTGCTGCTGATGTTGCTGATTTAACTCTTCTTCCATCTGTCGTGAAAGACCCAGACCACGCATGAATAAACTTGTCGTAAAACCCATCTTGACGGATTCAAACATGGCACCAGCTCGATTTGCGATACCGGATCCGACGCTAAAACCTGCATCAATGACGCTTTTTAAGCCTCCCTTGATGTATGCGATAGGAACTGGTTTGAGTTTCGCTGTGTATTGCCGGGCAATCAATGGTTCGAGTCGATAAGCAACTGGATCCGACTGTAATTAATAGAGAAAGAGATCAGTACGTTTCCTTTTCTTCGCACATCATAGGTAGAATGATGAAAGTCGCATATAATTGTATATACCTTATGGAAAATATTGTATAAGTTGTCTACTGCTGGATAGCAGAATGATATCGTGGAAGGGGTATACGACATGTTACCGAAATTGGCGGCGCTATCGTTCATCTGGTCAGCCTCGAGGCATTTCCGTGACGCAATCTTGTAACCTCGCAACAGTAGAATGACGCCAAGTGGAGATCCTACTGCAAAAAAGTTTTGTACTGGAAACAGCAGTGCCGCACTGTTCTTTTTGTCGGTCGAAGAGGAGCTTTTTTCGTCGTCGAGTAAAGATATAGATGTGGGTTTGGAGTAGTTCATCTGTGGTTGTGTGCTTAGTACGTCAAACGCAAGTAAAGACTACAAAAGAAAAGAAGATGTTTGTTCAAAGTGAGGGAAGTTAGGCTGACATATTTCTCTTTTTCAAGCGTGGCATACACGCAGCCTAAAATACTTACGCCAAGCGAGTGTCCGATAATAGTAACCTTGCCTTGTTTCTCTAAAAATTCCGGGTTTCTTTGAACAAAGAGTCGATACACACGATTGATTTCCTTAATGATTATAGATGTCATTTGGTCACGGTATTTTTGTGTAAGATAGAGAGGAACTATGGTACCAAAAAGGGGTGTTCATCCAGTTAGCGTTACAAACTAATGATCTCCCAGCATTCAGTGAAGGTATATAGAAACCTTTCGTACCACCTTACCATCCAAAAGAACATCGGATACCACCAGACGGATATTGGGTACGCCTTCCAGAGTGAGTTCGTCCAGAGTTGGATGTCCATCGTCTGCTCCAACCATACCTAGGTCCATTTCAAGACCCTCTTCGTCATCACTTGCTACGCCAAATGTGATTTCATGTCTCCATAAAATAGGCAGAACCTGTATACCATTAGGGCGTTGAGGACTGTTTGTAGCAGATATGGCTGTTGGATAAGCAGATTTTAATGTTTTTCGCAATACATTGACATCTAAAAACACCAGACCAGTTAATTTTTTCGATACCCGTGTATTGCTATTGTTGTAACTTGTTACTTACCATGAGTAAAGTTTTGACCCATTCTTTCTGACATTTTCTGACCAATTCTACACGTACATAATGGCTGGTGTAAGTTTTGGAATATACCTTTTCCAATCCCATCCTTAAATCAAAGCAGCCAACGCGTGCTTGCAGTTGCTTGCAGTTGCTTGCCTAATATTTATCTTCGACTTACCCATGTATGACAAATATTAAATGATCGATCGGTCGCATTTCCTCCTCGCTATCTTCATTATCATATCCTTCGACCTGTTCTTGCGCCATCGTGATATCGTCGATACTACGTTCGTTCTCTTTGCCCGCCTTTTCTTGTTCCATCGTTTTCGGTGAATTGGCAGTTTTGGGCTTGCTTTGTTTCTCTACCTCCGGGTATCCTCGAAGTAACCGTGTGCCGCCCAAATTGGATCGGTTCGTCAGTCGAGTAATAATACTTTTGGCAATCTTGCTTCCGGCTGTGTTGCTATATACATAATGCCAAGTTTATTTTAAATGGGGGCAGTTAGTTTCGATGATACTGGGCAACACTAATCATGAAGGAGCTTCTCTCTAAGCATAGCCCTTTCCCGTATACCATAAAACACATACTATAATAGCCACGCTGTATTGGTACCCGTGTATACAATATATTGTCCAAGATACGGCCCAAGCAAATTCCACTGCTTCTCTACCGGTTTCTGTTCCAAACTGATTTCCAGCTTTTTTTCTTCGATGGCTGTTGCGGATCTTTGTAACTCTGCGTCATCTTTGTCTTCTTGTTGCTTTTCCTCTGGATAGAGACTCGAAGTAGATGACGGGTTTGTAGTAGTAGTAGTGATTGGGTCTTCAGCCATCAAATATGGTTTGTGTTTGCTGTAAATATATCCCATTGAACAAGTTAATGATTATCACAGATCCACATGGTGATTGTTCTATCCATATCTTATCTCCTAAAAATGATGCGTCATGTACTCACTAATAGCCCAATTCAATTTGTTCCGCCAAGCTCTCTTCACATGGAACCCACTTTGACCCATCGCCTTGGATGAACCATGTTGCGCGCCGGACTTCATAGATTGGACCTTCCCAATAAACGGGGCTTATCGTGCGTGCTGTCACATCCACTTCGAACAAATGGTCTTCGTTTACAAGTACTTTGGCCCTGACATCATTGTTCTAATATTGTATTTACTACCGTGTCAGTCTTTTTGTTCTTTTCCTTCTTTTGATGTAAGAGGTAAAGTCGCTGCTCTCCACTTGCTTGATATGCTTTTTCGAGGGCATTCGAGTCTCTTTTAGAAAACGGTAGCCACTCTTTGGGAGGCAGCTTCTTTGGTGAGCCCATACTAGAATTAGTTGACGGCGATGAAGTTGACGTTTGTGTTGATCGTCTTGACAAACTTTTCGCCTTTCGGACTGAGATGGGGTCTGTAATTGGATTATCTATGGCATGGAACCTAAAAAAAACCAAGAAGATCGCAGGGAATTGTCAAGCATACACATATAGGTGCGTGTTTATGTTCGTTGTCAATAGTTATTTTAGAATTACCATCGCACGGCAAGATTAGGAACATCGCTATCGGGAATTAAGCTGCGAGGTCGGGCAACACGTCGATTGACAGCATAATGGTGAGATAGATTCGATACGTTTGCTAGCGGTGGACTATCCAAATCGTTCATTTTAATTTTGGAAGGAGGAGTAAGAGAGAAAAAAAAAGGAATCGATATGCACAAGCGTCACGGATATAAAAACCCCGGGTGTTCCTTGCAGGAAAGAAGAAATGCGATGGTTTCAGACTAGTACCGTATCAATACTTATTGTTCCTAGGCTTTCTTGGCATCTTTTCCTCAAAGCTGGGAGTGCCCGATCTTTCATTCTCAATATTACTGGTAAGCGTCTGTCAGTATGATGGTCGAGGGGTATGCTGTGCTTATCTTTGCTGTGCTGTGCAAAGACTTCCAATCGGTTTTTGGCATCCGAATTGTGCTGCCTGGATGCTCCTGCAGGTACACAAAGAAAAACTACGCTCCCTGGATACTGGAGGAGAGTAAAAATCCAAGCCAGCCCGCATGCTTCTACGCGTCTACAGTTAAAACGCACTACGTGGTCAAATTGCATTGGGACTGTACATGATATCCTACAGAGATACAGACTAATTACGTGATGCTTTTAATATCGTGAAGGGCATGAATGTTGCAACTACTCGGTGCCGTTCGAAGCCCGACACTCTCTTATTGCGCTTTTTTTTTTTTTGGCTCAACGCTGAATCTTGTTCTTACGGCATGCCACAAACTATAGACGACGCGGTTATCAACGAGCTACGATTCTTTCTCGAGAAGATTAACTCTGTAAGATTGACGTTTATTTCAAGTCTCAGAAGTGGACAGCTGCAGTTGGCGCAATATTTCTCTAACGCCGATTCATTGCCTTCCCTTCTGCGAATCTACTATAGCTCAACCACATGATCGAGACAACAAACGATGAGAAATTACCAAGGCTCATTGAGAAACTTCGACGGATCGAACAACGAGTCGCGTTAATCCACACCTTTTTCATGGCATCCTCGTACAACACCGCCACAATGCAAACACAAGACAGCAACACGAACCGGCCTTCCCTTCCGTGAAAGCAAACCGGAGCGCGGGCACGTATAATACACGCGTAAACATTTAATTTATTTCTATTCAACGACCTCCTACCATCAAAGTATATACACACGTACTTATCGCTAACCACCCGGCAGTAAATACACCACTCCCTTTCGCTTCTGCAATTGCTTGTACTTGATCCACGATACCCTTTTTCAATATTTTATTACCATTACAAAAGCAAGAACATCAGTCTGCATTATATCTATTATTGACCACTGACTCCTCATAACGGTGCCTAGAACGTAGTAATGCTGTTTATGAAATCTTGCTCAAGTCACGCAGATTCTGGTGACCCACGTAGCGATAATAACGCGACAATCAACAGACAATGAAATATGTCATCGTTCTACAACTATGCCACAGCAAGTCATGCTGCCCTGAGGGTTGTCAAAAGGCAACTCCATCCATGTGCAGCAAAACTTTTATTGTTGTCCCCAACTGGTGATAAAGCGGGATTTAAGGGCACAATCCCGAATTTTCCCACGAGTCCGCCCAGTAATTTTTGCCCCAAATGCTAAAAAATCGTTATCTTTTTCTTCTCCAACCTCCTTGTTGTTCTCGACCCCTGTCCATGTACCGCTCATCCTCCTCTTCACATCTTGCTTCCTCTGTTGCTGCACGTACGCGTTTGGCGCTAAGGTCTTCCGCGAACAAATGTCATTACCATCGAGTGCTGGCGAATGTAAGCTCTTATTTTCTTGACACCTTTCCACTCTGTTCAAGATAAAAAGACAAAGGGAACGGTTCATTAAGCCGTATCTTCCACACCCCTTCTATGCCAGAGTCCCTTGAGACATATGAAAGAATGAATGTATGCATGTCATTAAACTATATTTGCTCCCTTGGCGATATATGCAAACAATAGAGACTGTATACCAGCGTCGCTTCGACTACTAATGCAACAGCACAAAATGGTTCATCATCATCGTCATCAGCAGCAACAACTGCAACACCAAGCTGGCACAGTGCAGAGAAATTCACCAACGAGATGAGTTTCATGCAACATCTTCGAGATATTAGCAAGGCTTATCGAGTCATGGATCACACTGGGCAGGTGCTGGATGCAAAACACGATCCTAAACTATCCAAAGAGGCAATCCTGAGCTGGTACCACCAGATGTGGACATTGCGGACCATGGATGAGATTCTGTATGAAGCCCAGCGCCAGGGCCGTATCAGTTTTTACATGACCCACTATGGTGAAGAAGCCATGATTGGTAGTGCGGCAGCTCTTGAATCCCACGATGTTGTTTATGGCCAAGTACGTATGATAATCAGAATTAGCTTTCGTAGTACTGTCTAATATAACTGCAACAGTGTTTGTTGACCGTAACGTTTTTATTATGAATGTCCATCCAGTATCGTGAGGCTTTCATGCTTCTTTACCGTGGTTTTACTGTAGATGATTGTATGAACCAATGTTTCTCGAATGCTCTGGATGGTGGCAAAGGAAGACAGATGCCTGTGCATTATGGTTCCAAGGAGCATAATTTCCAGACGATCTCGTCGCCCTTGGGCACTCAGATTCCACAGGCTGCTGGTGCAGCTTATGCGCTCAAATTAAACAATGATAAGCAGGCGGTGACCATCTGTTACTTTGGCGAAGGTGCCGCTTCCGAAGGTGATTTCCATGCTGGTTTGAACATGGCTGCTACCTTAAAGTGCCCTGTCATTTTCTTCTGGTAAATAAGAACTATTTCCTAGTGTTCCTTTGATCACGTTACATTTAAAAGAGGCTGCATATTACATGTGTCTTACTAAAACACGCGCGGTATCCACATATACATAGCCGCAACAATGGTTTCGCGATTTCAACGCCTGCTAGTGAACAATATAAGGGTGACGGCATTGCTCCCCGCGGCATTGGTTACGGCATCGACACTGTCTGTGTTGATGGCAATGACGCATTTGCCGTCTACAATGCCACCAAAGCAGCTCGCGCAATTGCTGTGAATGAAAACAAACCCGTGTTGATTGAAGCCATGACCTACCGTGTGGGACACCACAGCACGTCTGACGACTCGACAAAATACCGAGACCGCAAAGAAGTCGAAGAACGCGCCAAATTTGATAATCCAATTACCCGCCTGCGTCGCCATATGGAACTTCACGGCTGGTGGACCCAGCAACAAGAAGATGAGCTACGCAAACAAGTTCGCAAGGATGTATTAAAGAGCTTCAATGCAGCTGAAAAGCTACCCAAACCTGGATTGGTTGAACTGTTCAACGATGTCTATGACGAGGTACCGCCGGCACTGGCAGCTCAGCGCGAGGAGTTGGAGCAGCTGATGAAGAAATATCCAGAATACTATAATACAGATGAATATGCATCTGCTTCATTGAAATGAAATAAAGTTCTGTTATTTCGTTTTGCTTACTACTGATACAAACTCTACTAGTGCCACACTTAAACATAGCGATGACAAGGATTGAATACTACTCAGCAAATAAAAGGTTTATTGTTTGATTACTATTATTGACATTGCAGTCGCATTATACGAAGATCATGCTTTAGCTGTTTGATGTATTCTTCACGGGCCAGCAGTTGTTGTTCCAGCAGGGAGTTTTTAATTGCAAGCTTGCTTCGTCTCATATGCATGGTTTCTTCCTCAGCTTGCATGCCTTCAATTTCATCCAGCAGTATCCTTATTTTGCGCTCGTATGACAAGGCTACTGATCCATGGAAGCCGCGCTTGGATAAAGTCATGGAAAGCTCTCGCGTGTCTCCTCGTGCTACTTCCTCTATGCTGCTGTCGCTTCCATCGACATCAGATGGCGCTGGAAGTACCATAGCGATCTCACCAGTTGACTGACGCCGCCGTTTCTCTTTGTTATATGCAGCATCAGTGTTGCTCAACAATTGAATACGCGAAAGTGCACCGCGCAGATACTTGTTTTCTCGTCGCGCGTCGGCGAGTGCTTCGTTTTTGAGACACATGCCCGCGATGTGCTCGTTCTGTTGTGTTTGAATCTGTTGCCGTAATCGTGCATTTTCTTGGTCTGCGAGCTCAAACATGTGACGCCATTTGTTCAACGAGTCCTTCTGGTGATAGTGGTGATGATCTTGACAGTGTCCTTGTTGCTCTTGGTGTGAAGAAGTGATGTCGGAGGTGATGGCGTGATGGTCAGAATTGAGAGCCGTTAATGCTTCACAAGCATCATCTCCGTCGTTACTATAGGTCCGACCTCTGTGCCACTTTTTCCCTGGATCCCTCGGTGGCGGGCTCAGCGCAGTTACGTGATGTTGTTCCGGTTCGCATGATGGATAACCTTCTTCCGGCAGATGGTTATCCACAGAAGACGACCAGGATTCCATAGAACGTAGTGAAATGCTGTCAATGGAAAACCGAGTAGTATCATGAGACGGAAAAGTAGACCGGCTACTGTTACTCTCCATCCTCATTTTGGGTTGCTGAACAACCGGCTCTATAAAGGTGGATGATGGTATTGTACCACCTTCGACGGCACCTCCGCCGCCATTATTATCTTTCGTCGTTTCATCGTCACCAGCATCATTTTGTCGTTGCTGTGGTAGTTGGTCAAGCATGCCAATATCTGTTACGATTGGCTGTGATATGAATGTACTTGCGTCAAATGAGGATGCGGTTGAGATATGTGAGGATAAAGTCGCCGATGTGCTGCCGAGTAACAGGTCGTCGTTATCAAGATTATTGGATCGATTGATGACCACTGCACCGTTGGCTTTGATACGGTATGGGTCTTGCTGGTATGTATGGTTTCGTTTAGCCGATGACATCGCTGTTGAGGTCGTTGGTGCTGTCGTATGCTGTGGATTTTCTTCAAAAAGCTGCATCACTGTACCCAAAGTTTTTGGCCGATTTTGTTGCTGCTCTTGTTGCTGTTGTTGAACATATGGACTAACACCCCGTCGAGGCTCAGTGACGGCGCGTTGTTGCTGTTGTTGGTTGTTATTACTATGCCATGATGATTGTGATGTACTCGACGAACTAAAGCTGGAGTCATCCAGTGACGCTTTTGTATTCTGTGATTGGAAAAATTTGAGCCGCATAATAAATAATTGTGTTGACCGTTGATTAATAGTTAATGTGAAAGGAAAACAAAGCGAAATCTCCTTCTGCTGGTATATATATTTAAATATATATAGCATAGTCTCCACTGTCTCCCCACGCCATGTAACAAAACCAATTTTGCTACGTCTGTGCCAATAGACAACTATTAAGCAGACTTGTGTAACTCGATAAGCGACACATGGGTGTGCAAGCAAGGCACGATCTTGTCAGTTAATAACCGGAGTTGTATTCCATCGTGCGGTAGTACAAGAGCCTTCTCTTTCTAGTATCAGCACAAACAGTATTGATGGCTTGCTACTACATAAACGGTTGGCATGGTGATCACTTTTTAATATTTGTGCACCAGGCTATTAGAATTTTGGAAGTAACTTATCCGTCAGAACCACCTTTGGGCTCATTATCATTCATTCAACGATTTTACCCTGGTACCCAACGCCACCACGTTGCTCCACAAATAACCAATAGCATCTTGTTAAAAATCAGGTCATTTTGTAGCCCATGTGTGGTAATAGGAGTCCGTTGCTGTTTTACGAGGCAATACTTTAAAATCGATGGTAACACAGACAGTTAAATCCCTAACCTGATTGTAACTTTGTACCAAACATGATTTTTTACTTTACCTTGGTAAAAAAGAAAAACGCATGCATGTTATACTTATCTCTGGAGTTAAGGAGGAAAATCATGCACACGTTACCACAAATAAACAGTGATCGACGTCAGTAAATAAACAATATGATTGAAAGTACTCTTTGAGAAAAAACCATCGATACAGTATCATATGCTTTGCCCCCCCCCCCTTCTCTTCATACTTTACTACCACAGTACTCTCGTTATCACACGTTTTGTAGCCGTAGAACGAGAGAGCAAACGAATATACAATATGCTATCAATGCGTCACGTATTGCTAATACATAACAATAATTGGCGGATACTCCTATTATAGAATTGAATGAAAAAGGTCTTTGACAATTTTGACAGTCCTACGTAGTTCATTCATCAACTAGATAAGTGTTAACGTCAAACCATTTTAATGCGGAAAATACTCAAAACCCAATTAAGTGTATACTTAATTATGCTTGCCTGCCAGTGCAACACAAATATGAAAAACACCAAATTTACATTCAGTAAACAATTTGGTTCCCTTGCATTGAACACCTATGTGATAAGCAAATCTATGCTGTTGCAACAATTTGTCGTAATACTTAATATATAAATGAAGGAGTATGCCAGTTTGTAAACAAAAAGCGATAGGACGTTCTTGATATTGCTAATGTACACGGATTGGATTTCTGGTATAGATCTTTGTATTTTTAGTAGTAGCATGCCTTTAAAAGTGAAAGCGATCATATTTGAAAAGCGAGCATTGCTTTGGCGTGCCAAAGGACAAAGCGAAGTCAGCGGAACTAGTTGGGCGGCATCCTTTGGCAGGGACTACTGTGGAGGTTTTCGCCTCGCCATTTGAGGTATACTGCCTTCCCTAATGAGCTAAACCAGCGTTCGTACTCCACTATACGAACGGTATTTTCATTCCTCCTTTCTTATATACGTACAGTACTACGAAATATCTTTGTATTTTATGTGATTAAAAACTATTACTGCCATTCTATCCTTACTATTCTTTCTGCTCCTGTTTCTCCTCAGCAAAAGTACCGTTTCGACAATGAGTTTAGTGTGTAAAAGATCATAGTTGTAGCTCTTATAGAGCTGGCCATGTCACTGTATTTCTTTCAGAAACTCAACGATTAAATCAATTGAACTAACAGTTTGATAACGGCGAGTCAAACAAGGTAATAAAGCTTAAAGGGTCAGTTCCGTACTTAGAGGTCTATTGAGCAAAATTGTAGCATCGACACCTCTTTCTTTTCCGCAGATTTCTCCGGCTGCGTGAACTACATGTCATTAGCACGAAACTAGCTGTAGCTCTTTACAGACGGGATGGAGCAGTGGATTTGAAAGAGAAGACAGAGACTACAAATGCAAAAGAGATAAATAACAAAAGAAAAAATACTATTGTCTTTTGCAATGTAGGAAGCACTATCGCGTCTAATATGTAAGTATATGGCAACGGGCCACCAACAAATAGCGCGTTAGAAACATAAGTATTGCTGGTATGTCATGCCATTCTGTCGCTCCTTTGCCATCTATGAATTGATCTAATGACAAGGCGTTTGTGTTGAAAGCATGCTTATTGTATGTATATTGAATACACCGGATTAAGCCAGACGATTATTGACTATACCTTATTTTGGGATGTTTGGTAAGAAAAAAATGTGCTTGACTGTGAGGGCCTGTTGATGCAAAGGGCAGCACTCATTGCCTTTTGGCTTTTTCTTTTGTCTTTCTCGGCAATTGCCAAGTGCTGCCGATACTCGCTAATTATTGACCACAAAAGCATCATAATCAATCAAACCGACAATTTATTTAAAGATAAAGACAGCAATAGAAACAAGCTGTATTTGCAACATTAAAACTCGATGTATAATTAATTGATAGCCGAACAAGACAGTCATATTAGATGGCTCATCAAAAATAGCCTTTTTTGTATAAAAAAATTCTAGCTTCTGCACTCAATGTAAGACTGTTGACTTGTACCGTAGCGCATGAGCGGTCAGTTTTATTTTCAGAAGCAGGATACTCTTTGGATAGCAGGTAGTGCATGGGAACCGTAATCAATGTGATAACAATCCTTAAGAGTGTATACTAATTGTGAGAAACTAAAAGGTCTACGGAAATGCAGTAGACAGCATATGCTAAGATTTTTTATGGGACTGATTTATTACCTTAGGAGCTTTGCTAGATCCTCGGTACTTCTTGTTGAGATACCACGATGTAGGACCAATCAGGTGACCCTCTTTGGGTCCATTGAGGAATAGCCAAAAGAAATTGCTACTGGCTACACTATCTCTTTCTCATCAAACATAGTGGCAGACTAGTTGTATAGCATGTGTCATCAAATGGATAACAAGTTCCGTGCATTTACTCCCAAACTTTTGGAATCTTAGCATAATCTACTGGTTTATGAGGATACTGACAAAAGAATATTGTGCGGTGCCTCATTGACATGACACCTTGACAATAGCAAGTCAATTTCCAGTGCTAATTTAGGCATAACTAGCAACAACTCAACACTGTACATACAATAACCTGATGATAGCCCTGTGTATCTTATGCTGCGGTATCAACTCGCTCACTTTGTACTAGGTACTATATACTGCATTGATGGCATACTCATTTACAGTAGTAAGACTCAATACATGTGTGTTGCAGAGGCTAGAAGAGAGATTTACCGCTTCGACGTGACAATGTACTAGTTACAAAACATCTGCTGTTGCCAGAATTGCCAGGTATGGTCTCCCATTGTACCGACTGTATTTTTTACCACGGTTCTGTTTGGCGCTTACATGAGATTATTGTGTTTTTACGCATGAAGCCCATGAAGCTGTAAAAGATGGCTGTGATTAAAATATTGGATCCAACCTGGCTACTTCGTTTGAGCGCCAGGCTTTTGCAAACGTTCTCTAGCAAACGCCAAGTTAGCTTCTTCTTATCATACTCAGCAATTTTTTTTGCCTAGTATCATAGCTACTCGTATAGCTTCACTCAAAAGCACCAGCGAATATGTCTCTGCTACTAGTGGTATTTTTGAGCTCGAGAAGTTACGAATAGCACTAACGTAAGTATATATTTTTCTTTGATAAAAGGCGCTATCGGACCCGAGTCTCATGCACAGCTTTGTGGGGAGAAACCGTCGCCACGTTTTGCCGAATGGGGTAGAGCGCTGAGAATAGCTCTGACTAAGCGCAATGCATCATTTTTATAGCATTTTAGCGAGGTCAGAAAAAATAGCCCCATTGCAACCCACCTTTCATTCTTTTATATCTACTTTGCCCTCTTTTTTCTTTATTAATTTAAACTAAAATTTAATTTGCATGCACTTGTAAAAAAAGAAAAAGCCCGAATGTCATCATCAAGCGCTTCTTACACAACTCAGATTCGTTTTGCACGAGCACTTAGTGTTGTGCGTGCATTACCCGATCGTGGAGCACTCCAACCGACTGCAGCCGAAAAACTTAACCTCTATGGTCTATACAAACAAGCTACGCAAGGCGACTGTAACATTTCACGACCCTCATCAAAGCAAATGGGTCGCTATGCCAAGTGGTAAGAAAAGCGTTTCTATAAATATTGCTCGTGGACAAATAGGAAAGAGCGCTGTTTATGCTTTTCTTTGTTTATACCATTTGTTGTTAATTGTTTATGTGACAAAAATAGGAAAGCATGGGAACGTCGTCGTGGAGTGGGTCCAGTGGAAGCTCAAAAGATGTATGTTAATGCTTTGATTGAGCTGCTGGTCGAGGTAAGAAGCATCTTTCATATGTTTAGTCTTGAAAACATATTCTTCGATAGCATAACAAACACACCTTGCTTTCTGTATACATCGTCGACACACTCATAGTTCATCCATCGCTATCCGGATCACGAACAGGCGCCTTCGCTTTCCCAGTCGCTTCACTATATTGAGCTGAGCGAAGACGAATCCAACGTAGAAGAGTCCTTTGTGGACGCGTGGGATCCAGATGATGCAGAAAAGGAAGAGTACTACCTCGCCCATCTAGGACCCCATCAACTGGATGAACGGCAGCTGGATCTGTCGTCGCCCGAACAACGCTACCACAACCATCTTTTGGATACACCCTCGCTAGCCACATTCCCATCCAGCACCAACAACAGCACATTCCCTGAAACTCCCGAACTGTCTCCACATTACTCACAACAGAATCAAAAGTACTGGCACCGCAACAATAGCAAATATGCACGACCGATTGATTTCCTGGCACACGGGGCCAACAGCAGTGTCACATCCGATACGGACACAATGGATCGTGAAGTAGCAGCCGCCACTGCATCCTTGGCCTTGTCATCGCCCAACTACCATCCATACACACCGGCTACCAACGGCAGTAGCACTCGCAAACAGTCTGTAGACAAGACAAACAACAGCACTGTAACACCTTCAGCAGCAGCAGCAGCAGCAAAGAGCAGTAGCAGCACAACAGCCGCCAGTAATGATGGCAGCAGTAACAAAAAGCAACGCGTTGGTGATGTCTCTGAGCGAGCGCTGGAGAGTTTACAGACCGAGGTCACTGCGCTATCGGAACAAATTGACAGATTAACACGGGGGATGGTTGAGCGCGACGAACGACAGCGGCAAATGCGCTGGTCATGGATGCGCCTGATTAAATCAATCGCCAAGCATACGTTGATCAACTCTTTGGTACTGCTCCTTGTATTCATGGTCTTGTGGCGCAGAAAGTCACCTGTGGCGTTAGCAATCGTAGGCTATGTCGGTCCTCAAGCGCAAGAAATCATGCGCTACCTAGTACGACGCATCGTATTCTGGAAGGTGACCGTGTGAACTACCACTGCATGACACAGTTACGCCTCCTCCTACCCCCTTCATCCTTCTTTTTCTCTTTTTTCTTCAATTCTTTGTATACGTCCATATACTACTACATATATTACCGCTCACCATACCTTCCATACCCTCTCCATCTACTGTTTTGATACAAACGAACCGCATCCCGACGGGATCTAGCAAACAATAAGGAAATAAACCGAACCTGCAGCAAACCTTATTTTACTTCGCTCGTACTGTAATCACGAGTTATAATAAGATAAATAGTGAAAAGTCTTTTTCTCTTTCCTTTCTTTCTTTACGCGGATGATTCCTCCCCTGCATCAAGACATCAGCAGTCATGGTTATGACAGGAGTCCTCGCGGTCGGTATATAAACCTTCTTGCTCTCGGCAGCCTTTTGCTCTTTGTTACGACGACCTTTTTATTCTGTTTCGACCAAGACGGCTTCCAGTGTTTTTGCTCGCCTTTTTCGTCTGATCAGCCTCCAGCAAACCCACCACCGCCGAACAAAGACATCGACATGCCCAACAACTGTCCTAATAATTTTGCAGAGTATGTCATCAAGAGCACTTTGATCCTCATCAACTGCGATTTCTCTTCCTTCCTTTTCTGCGCATGTAAAGAGCGTGTGTTGCATATAATGCATTCATCATCGCTGGATCTATCATTATATGTAACCAGAAAACAACTATTTATGCAAACAACCATGTAGCTACGCCGAAACGTTTCATGACCCGGGTAGCGGTGGTCCATTGAATCTACCCTTCCAGCGACCTGTAGAAGCATGTCGAAGATTTACCAGCAGCGTCGTCAACACAGCCGTTGAAAGTCTAGCATCCAAAGTATATATCGCATTTCCTCGTCTTTTTTCGTGCCAGAACCAACATGTCACTCGTGACATCGTCATTGCATAATATCACTTACCATTGCTCTTAGATTGCGGATCTCGATCTGGCACGACTGTTCACTAATACCTATCCCAACACCCTCGATACCACAATCGAATCCACTCAATGTATCAATACAACCGATTGCAATCCATTATCATTTGTCATTACCGGCGATATCCATGCCATGTGGCTCCGAGACTCTGCCAACCAATTACTTCCCTATCTCGACTATGTAAACAAAGACCTAAGTCTAAAGCGACTGTTCCTGGGCCTTATCCATATGCAAGCAAGCTTGATAAAAGTGGATCCGTACGCCAATGCTTTTAATGCGCCCAAATCCATGGCAACAACTGGGACCGAATACGGGCATGTTGATAGAGCTTTCAGCAATGAAGGTTAGTAGTATGAGTGCTACGGCAAATAAGCGGAAAATTGGAAGCGGCACAGAGAGCGGGTAATCGATGACTTGCTTAGGGATGGAACTTTGAAATGAGACGGCGTAAGGGGAAAAAGGGAAAAACATAACATAGTTAAGGTTGAAATCTCAAGACGTACCTTTTTACTTCTATTTGTTTGATTACTTACGCAACAGCAGTTTTTGAACGCAAATGGGAAGTTGATTCATTGGCGTCTTTCCTCGGCTTTTCGTATCAATATTGGAATGTCACGGGTGACTCGTCATTTGTCCAAACTACTGATTGGATGGATGCTGTAGAGACCATTATTAAAACCATCCATGAGCAACAAGAACCAACTTTCAATGAAGAGACAGGTAAAGAAAAAAGTCCTCGGCGATTCTATGGACTTCTATCACCCTTCTAACCTACCAATACCAACAGACTAATGTTTGCTTAATTTTCAAAATACAAAAAGGCTATCCGATGGACAGTTACTACAAATTCAAGCAGAATACGGAAAGGCCTACAGAGACTCAATTTCTGTCTGGCATTGGTCAACCCGTAAAACGCACAGGTCTCGTCAAAAGCTTGTTTAGACCCTCGGACGATGCTACGGTATATCCGTTCTTCATTCCTGGTAACGCCATGATCTCGGTAGAGTTGGCGCATGTGGCACAGCTTGTGCAACAGAATAACGCAGCCAACAACGATCGCTTAGCCCAGATGGCTACAGAGATGACGAGATTATCAAAAGAAATCCGCGATGCTATTTACACGTATGCCGTTACCGATATCCCCGGTTACGACAAAGTATTTGCATGTAAAGTATTGTGGTGTTTTTTTGTGTGTTAAAGAGAAAGATATCAAAGTGCGTGGGAAGAGCGGTTGTGTGCTACTAAAAAATATGGACGAGCCGGCATCAACATCGTCATTATCGTTGTCGACACTATCCTAATCCAACAACGGATTCTCAAATCATTGCTATAGACGAAGTAGATGGATACGGCTCGAAGTTGATAATGGATGATGCGAACGTGCCTTCACTGTTATCGCTCAGTATGCTAGGCTTTGTCAGTGCTGATGATCCTGTGTATCAAAGCACGCGTAAATTGGTGTTATCCAGGGATAATCCTTACTACTTTTCTGGCCCGCGCGCAGGTGGTCTGAGCGGCATTGGCGGTCCTCACGTTGGGTTGAACTATGCCTGGCCGATGTCCCAAATCGTTAGGGTAAGCAGCATCGTACTTATTTAACCCTATATTATCTTGTGTGCGTGCTAACATATGGTACTTTACGCGTGCTTTGCAGATATTGACATCAACCAATGATACTGAGATTGTGGAGGCTCTTGGTATCATTCTCAGATCCACGGATGGCACCGGTCTGATACACGAATCAGTCAATGTTCATGATGATGGTAAGGAAGAGACAGAAAAAAATGAGGACGATGCTACGGACTGAGCTGATGGATTGGGTATTATGGGGAATGATACGAAATAGGCAAGAACAAGTATACACGTCCGTGGTTTGCATGGGTCAACGGATTGTTTGGCCAGGCTATTCTGAAATTGGCAAAAGAACGACCCCATCTCTTGTTTGACAGACGCTATAATTAACTCATTTAAGGTTTAATTGTATACGCCCCGGAGTCGTTTTTATAAACCAAGGCACTAAATAATAAATTACTACTACATACTAGCCGCGAAAGTATCACATAAAGCAAGAGGGAAACGGATGATGAATGGATGAGGATGATAATGATTGCGAAGTTATATAGTCAGAGGGTTCCCTGAAGGTTTCTTTTACATATACAAATAAACAAGAATATACAATGGCGGCAGAGGAAAAAGGAAGGAGAACGCATCGCTCATATTAAAGGTTACCGAGCAGGTCCAAGACGCAAGGATGGGGGCATGCCTAATGCGTTCGGTGATACATGGTTTGCTCGGGGTCGTCGGCCCGTAGATCGTTGTTGTCTCATCTTTTTCGCGGTAGTAGACGGATGGACATTCCGACGCTTCATTGAAGGTACCTTTTGTCCTGGAGCTAGCTGCTGTGTTTGCTGCTGTTGCTGTTGTAGCAGCTGTAATCGCTTGTGATGATTGATTTGTTGCTGACGGCGCATCGCCTGCCGCAAAGCCAAGGAGCTCCAGTGAGCTGGAGGAGGAGGAGGAGGACCCACACTCTTCCGCTGTGGTTGCTGTTGTTGCTGTTTGTGCTCTGGATAACGCTGTGTATAATCTTGATGCCGTTGATGCTGCTGCTTAAATCCATCTTGCTGTAGCTGCTGATGTGTCTTTGACTTTGTTGGTACTGTAGTAGGTGGCGAAGGAGTCTGCGTATTTTGTTGATGGAATGCTGAGGACGAGGATGTGGGCGTGGATGGAGAAACCGGAATCGTCATCTGATCTTGCCCTCCCCCTGCCTCGTCCATCAGTGAATTGACGCGGGCAGTAATGTCACGCAGCTGCTGTGCTAGGAACTGATCATCAGGCTGCATAAAAATTGATGTTATAGTTTGTCAGTCAACCATATCGCGTATTGATGACAATAAGCGCCGCTTAGAAGGAAGGACTGAGATATACGAATACTTACATGCATCACCATACGAGCAGGCTGGTCAGCACCAATATGGCTCATGTGTTGAAAGTTGGCAGGCTTACCAATGATACTTTTCGTCACTCGTTTGTATTTGGCGTTCCGTTTAACGGAGATGCTCTTAACATTGTGTTTTTTGCCTTTCTTTTTCTTTTTCTGTTGTTGTTGTCGTTGCTGCTGCTGTTGCTGCTGCTGATCTTGCTTGTTAGGGTCATTGTCAATGACACTGCTACATTTGCTCTTACGCCGTTGCTGTAATAAGGCTGAAAATCGTATCCCTCCTTTCTTGACATTATTACTGCTGCTGTTGTTCTTGCTACTGGCAATAATGTCCCGTTTAACATCGTCGTCAATTTCACTTTTTTCGCAAGCTACAGTGGCGGATGCACGTATGAATCGTCCCTTACTATCTACAGCGCTGTCTTGTTTTGAGGGTTTGGAGACTGTGCTACCCATATTAAGGTTTAGGAGACTGGTGGGGCAAGAAATTTAGAGAGATAGAAAAACGACAAATGGGAACTTGTTTAAGAAAAAGAAGCTCTTTAATGAAGAAGAAAGACAAGCAGGCTCATCGTCTCTGAGAGCTTCTTATATAGAAAATCAAAAAACAAACTACCCGTTTTGGGTTGTATTTGCATAGACGCCACAGCTATACGCACGAAAACCATATGATCATTAAATTTTACTGTTGTATTTGAATATACGAAAACGTTTGTGTGCACATCATCTTTCGGGATTGCGGTTGGAGTTTTTTTGTGTTTGTCTTTCGTCGACCGCATTTCATTACGAAGCCTCTACAGTACTAATTGCACATTTGACACTGAAGAGGCAGACTCCATCGAGCACAATGAGTAGGAACTCCAAAAGTAGAGAGATAAACGGTGATTCATACGAGCTTATATTTGTTTCTTCGTCAACTATAACGATAAAAGCTATAATTGGATGCGCGTCATTGTATTGGCTTCATAAAAGGGCCATCATCTTCCGATTTCAAATGTATAGCTTATACCCGGCACAATACAAAGTGCGGTTGTCGACGAAACTCCACTTGGTGCCTCAGGATCACCGCTTTTGCTATTTGATCATAGCGCACCATTTTCACTGCGCGACCTCTGTAGTGGCAAGTCGAAGAAAGGTGTGGTGCTGTTGGTCCAATCGGTTCCTGCGTCGTAGCAGCTCCTCCTCGTCATCTGTAGATCCCCCATGCCTTGTGTATCTGACAGTTGATCGACAATTCGCAGCAGCCTCATAAAGCTAGAGTGCCCATCACAAACAATGCAGCAGATAGTCGTCACACGTGCAAGCACTACATATAAAAACCGTGAATACATTTCATTTTATTGTACTACAAAAACGATGGCTCCAACTACTAACGAAATTCATCATTATTGGTTGGTACGGGTTATCATACTATAGTGACTAGTTATTTTTTGTCGATTTGAAGGTATTGATTAAGTACGCCCTAAAAATGAAACGATTAAAGGATGGAAGGTGTCTTCAGTTTTCTTCATATATATGACAGTGTCTTACAGCAACTCGCTATACTTACCTTCCGAATATGCGAGTGGGGTAACTGGATAAACTGCCCAAATCGTTCCTGCCGCTCCTTTAATCATATTAAATCCTTTCCCTCGCAAAAAATTACAAGCTCATCATATTACAGAGCTCAATGATAGGGTTTCCCGGGGCTGTCTTCCCGTGTTCGTATCTGTTATAACGTCGTCAAGAAGTCTTCCGTGCTGCTGGCTTGTCTGTACAGGTAGATCGTCACCAACTATTACAATAGACAGCTTTTTTTACCACCACGACCACCATTTCTCCAACAAACAAATACATTTTGCCGCTTGCGCGTTTGTAGCGCTATTATAAACGCGTCCGGTACGCGACTAATATATAAGAGATTCTGTATTACGTGCAAAGGTGATGCACTGCGTAAGAAGGCGACATTCTTTTTAGTTCGACACGAAAGTAATGTGGCTTCTTCTTATGTGAGCACTTGTTACAGTAATCTCTGTTGATAAATACTTTTCCTCAGGGATGTGTTGCTGAAACCCTGTGTGTGCACCTTGTGGCTTGACGGGTGCACGCACCTTCCTGTATGGATAACAAGCGGCGACGTTGTCGGGACACGCCCTGCATGATACCGGTGAAACATATTTCGTAGGACAACCAATACACGCAAATCACACACGCCTTCTTCTTGACCGCTTGACCGCTTGACCGCTTGACCATGTCTCTTCTGCACATGTTTTTTTCTTCCCTACCCTTTGCTTTCTCACATGTTTTTGAATGACGAATCACAAGTCACGTGACGTGTTTTTTTAAGACAGGGGTTTGAGTTCAAAAAATGTAAATACGCCCACATTTCTCAGGCCATTCCCTTTTTTCTCTTCACTCTTTCTTTCCTTCATTTTTCTATTTCCTTCACTCCCTTGAAATCCTCCTGGTCTTCCTCTTGGCTCTTCCCTTGGTTCTGGTCTTCCCTTCGCTCTGGCTCTTCCCTTGGTCCTGGTCTTGCCTCTGTCGGTCCTGGTCTCAGCCTTTTTCCCGTGGTCCCCCTGGCTGCCTACAACCGGTCCCTGCTTGGGGCTGTCTAGTCTGGCGTTCAACGGTGTTGGTCACAACCGGTCTTCAGGCGAGATCAGAGGACGGAGAAATCCTTTTCGGTTTTTCGCCATAGAAATATGGTAGTGTCCTTTCGGTTGGATGCCTTGTCTGCTGGTCTGGTCTGGTCTGCCATGGTGGGGCTCGCATGAGGAGCCAGGTGCCACCGTAAATCGCGTTCGACTCTCAGGACTCGACTATCGGCAATCGACTGTCTGGCAATCGACTGTCTGGCGATCAACTCTCTGGCATTCGTCTCTCTGGCATACGTCTCTCGGCAATCGACGCTCGGCATTCGACGCTCGGCATTCGACACTCTGGTATTCGACTCTCGACAATCAACTCTTCGGCATTCGACGCTCGGCAATCAACGCTCGGCAGTCGACTCTCGGCAATCAGCTCCCAGCTTCAGTGTTCGGCTCCCAGCATCCGAGTATCCAGTAAGCAGCTCCTCCAGCATTCGACAACAGCAGCAATTTTTTTTCTTTTTCTTTTTTGGGTGTTTCGAGAGTCAATTCTTTCCCCTACCCCCACCCCTTCCCTTTCCTCTTCCCTTTCCTCTTCCCCCACCCCTTCCCTTTCCTCTTCCCTTTCCTCTTCCCTTCCGTCCTTCCCTCCCTTCCTTCCCTTCCGTCTACCCTTCCATCTTCCTTCCGTCCTTCCCTTCCCCCTTCCCCACTCACAGGCAATCCACAACCGATTGCTTGCACTTGACTCTCGAAACGTAGCGTACGTCATGGTTCCCACTCGTTTGTACCATGATGGCTGGGTTTGTGGTTGATTGACCCAGCCAAATGTGTGGGAGACTGGGACTCCCAGGCCGAGGCATTGGTGGCTTTCTTTTCCTCCCCCTTTTACATACTTCTTCTGTTTCTTCTTGCTTTCTTCATGCTTTTTGTATAGCCTGCAGGTTGTGCGAACTGCTTGTTGAGGTCACTTTGTAAAATCGCGTTCTTATTATTTGTCTTTATTGTCCACTGATTGTGTTCTTTTAATAAAATTTGTACCCTTCGACTATTGATATTCATAACGATAACTTTTGTCTTCTAGAAATTGTTTCTTTACTCTATTATTACAATGAATAAAAACCCGCTCCTTTACTTTATGCCCTGCTCTAACTCATTTACAATTTCTTTCCTTGTGAAGGGATTTAGGAACTGTTAAACCTTGCAATTGTCATTTTCTTTTTGATCATGTTTGAAAGCAACCGCAATGGCCCTGTTTTAATTGAAGCTGTCAACCTCAAACAGAGGTTTACGTTTGCGTTGACTTTATTTTTCGTTGCGTTGACTTGATCGTTTTTTGGATCTCGTCTCCCGACTTCGCATATATAACCCAGGCAACTGTTTGACACAAGCCGAACGCACGAACCATGTCAAAGCGTTGTGGAACCGGCCCATTATAGTGCCAATGTATGGGGCGATTGGGAGAAAGTGAGCTGCCTTTCGCTTTTCATATGAAAGTACCATATGAGCGTTTTTCAGCTGGGGACAGTTTGGTATACCACAGCGCCTTTAATTGGTTTATTTAGTCATTCTGGTTGTCTGTACTGTTTCGAAATAAAAGCTGTCGAATTATACTATAGTTTCTACTCGTCGCATGTGCGGGTACCCACGTACGAGGATTTAAAGCAAATGGGTTCTGGCCAGTTGGCCTCGAAAGTAATAAGTCTCGCTGGGCTGCTAAGATGTGATGCCTCTTTACCTTCGGACCGACCTCCGACGTTTTGTCGTATTAAGCTACATAGTATCTTTAATTGTTGACCATATAAACTTCCATTCGCCGAGATTTTGGACTCTGTGTTCATATTATCTATCATACACGTGTCATAATACGCTAGATAACCTAACTTAGAATAGCACTTAACTAATTACATTGCGAAAATAGCGAAGCTGCATCTGTATAATATTATACAGCCATAAACAACTGACAGCATACATGGAAATGATACTGCTGATTTTGTTAAATTCTTTACGATGGTTCATGGTCAGTTTACTTAATAACATAAGAGGAGCGTCATTTACAATATGTATCCAGTACATGTAGTAGAGTTATCGATCGTTAGAAATATGTAGAGAAATGATAACTCCTACACATCACACTTAGCCTTACTGCTACTACTTGGTTTTTATTGATTCCAAGTGAAAAAAAAACGCACCCGATATGATAGGGACAGTTTGAATAAGTATTATTTTTACATCTCAATTTACAAAAAAACACCTTTTTTTGTTCAATCCATTCCTCCAAAGTCTCTGCTGGCCGACCAAGAAAGATAGACAAACCGGGTGTTGCGTTACGATTTCGAAGCATTGAACGACGACTGCAAGAAAATATACGCGAGACTGTGAGGCATACTAGCTTGCCAATATTCCCGGTGGAGCCTAGTATAGTTATTTTCTCCTCGTAAGCCATTGTTCGTCGTGAGTTTTGCTTAATACACTTTTTATATCTTTACATCCTTTAAAAAAAACACCGGAAAATGGTATACCCTTTGCCATCCTAGTTTAGTGATGTGCTACCGTAATGAATGCTGCCGAATTAGTATGTGTAACTTTTTACAGCGAAGACGAAATCGTGCATATCGCGATTCTAGCTATGTATCGTATAAAGATGATAAATAAGCCCCGTGTTTTGTGACATTTAACAAGGCTCGTTTATTGTGTCTTCTTAAAAGTTTAACGTTGCAGATATCGTGCAAATTGCGTAAGAAAATGAAGCAACGATCAATTAAGGCATACATTTGTAGGTATGCTATTACCATATTGTTTCTCATGTGTTGCATTTAAACTATATTTACGAGGACCAAAATAATGATCGTTATTATTAACATTATTCATGTCATTTTCCTGCATAACGTTACGCTATGTTATAGAAAGGCCGACTTGTTCTGTTTAATCCATTGCTCCAACGTCTGAGGGGGACGGCCAAGGAGGATTGATAAACCGGGTGTGGCTTTTACATTTGAGAATGCGTTCGTCATCAGCTGAAGGGACATGTAGGCGTGCAGATGTGACATGCCGGCTTGTTTGGTCATCATATCGTAGCTTTGCTGCTCACTTGCGCGCTCGTATGTGATATTCTTTCCAAGCACCTTGGATAAGATTGCTGCGTGTTCTGTTGGTGTTCTTGGGTCACCGATCATTTCGTACACTGCGTCGCCATGCTTCTCGACAGTATCCAGCAGGATATTAGCCGCAACATCAGCGATATCGTTCGGAGAAATCCACGCCTGTGTCTCGTTCGGGTCTCGTGTACTGATGACTTTGCAAGCGCTTTTGATGGTGAGAACATCTGTTGCCAACTGATTTGACATGAAAAAAGCTGGTCGTAAAGTCACCAAGGCTTTACGATTTGGGATAGACAGCAAGGATTTTTCAACTTGGACAGCCACTGAGTTAAACATCACGCTCCGATAAGGCATGGATGCAGCTACGCCTCCAAGCATCAGAACCTGCTGAACACCAGCATTGTATGCTTTTTCGGCAAATGCACGCGGAGTAGCCAGATATGCGTTCAAATCGGTGGGCTGGATGAGGAGAAACAGACGTGCATGTCCGGAAATCGATTGTTCAAAAGCTGTCCGGTTGACATAGTCGCCTTGAACAATTTGCAGCTTGCCTTGAGGATGATCATTACCATAGAGCTCTTGGACTTTGGCAGGTGATCGTGCATATAGTGTAACAGCCACTTTTGGATCGGACAACAGTCGGCGCACCAAGGGCTGACCAATGTTGCCTGTCGCGCCAATCAAGAAAATTCGTTCTTCATAAACCATGGCTTGCTACTGTAGGTGTTGTTCTTTTAAAGTGATATATAGAGCCCATTTTTATATGTGTAATAAGCACCTAAGACTGCATTGTTATGGGAAAAAAAAAATATTTAAACAAAGGAAATTTACGCTATCCTGCCATATGGAGTATTGTTTCGTCAGCGGGCGAATAGTTTTACCGATGATGCGAGTGCTCAGAACGGAAATTGAGCCAGATCCGGCTATGAGAGCGATATGCATAAAAAATTGTAACAGAGCAACTTTTTACTGTTTAGCATTTAGTGTGTGCTATATATGGTAGTCTATGGCGAAACACCATCATGTATCTTGTCAATGCTTTACTAACACGAGAAAGTTCAAACCACAGAGGAAAGTTTATATTCGATACAACATAAATATATTATACTTTATTTTCCTGCCTTTTCAATTAGTCTTCTTTCACTTGAAACCAATGATTTTCAAGGTGCCATTGGGCATCATTTCGCCCAACACAGAAGTCATAAACCAACCATCCGCATCCATCACAGCCTCGGTTGCTTCAGGATCGTTCCAGTATCCAGCAAACACATTGTTGCCACGAATCCAGACTTCGCCACGTGGATTAGGAGTATCACTGCTCGTCATGTTGCGGTCAGGCAAATCTTCCAATTTGACTTCATTGCATGGCAGAGGAGCACCACAGCTGGCAGGATCAGCAAGGTAGTCATAAAACATGGACAATGTCGTTGTGCCACAGGTTTCTGGTCGGTTAAGAGATTTAAGCACCTGTGTACCGAGCACAGTTCTGAAGAATGGTGCCAAAGAACCACTTTGCAGTTCTAAAAATCAAAGTCATTTCTTGTCAGTAAAACAATGATCGGATTGGCGAAACCAAGAGAACCAGTCTGTACCGTTGTCGATGATTAGTAGACGAATGTTGCTGCCAAAAGTCTTTTGTCGAATGTCTCGGAAAACAAGCATGTCATACTTGCTGTCTGCAACCAAGCGACCGTCTGCAAAGTATGCTTGCTTTCTGTCCATGCCACGACGGAACAAGAACGAATTACCATACCGCTTTTCAATGTTTTCCTTGACCTGATCGAGGAATGGTGCGCCACTAATGAAGGGAAATATCGATTTCTTTATTCTCTTTGATCTCAATAAAGGGTTTTCGATAAAAGAGTAAAAGAGATTCAAGCTTACCTTGCATAAATAGTAGGCTTGGCTTCCAGAGCAGCCGAAAGATTGGATGACACATCCACTTTGACATCGCCATCACCAACTTCATCGCCATATGCAATTGATCCTCCAGTGACACAGATAAGACCAGTAAGAACATATCCAAACACATTATCTATATAGTTTTGTTTAGTGAGCTATTAGTATATTCGGCGTGGAAGCCATTTTCATCAATAAATCACTTGCGCTCTTACCAATAGGAAGGTTATGCATCAATCTGTCCTTTGGAGTGATTCGTTGTTGAGGGGGTATGACTGCCATATAGCTTGCTAACGAATCACAAAAAGATGGAAAAAGGTAAGGTCATGCGCTTCCCGCCCAGACCATCCATGCAATGCCCTTGAAATCTTACCAATAACTGAGACAATATTCTAAGAAATAAACCACGCGACTAAAGTGAATACACAAAATTTGGGAAGAATTCGAGGTGTATGCATAATCAATTACCTTGTGGGTCAACACAGCACCTGCCTTACCACCTTCGTGCTAATTTTGAATCATATACACATAATTATTAGCACCATACTTGTATTTCCTCGTTTTTCTTTTCTTTTAGTTGATAAACCGTACGTCGTTGGAAGTGTAGTAGATACTGGCAATGTTGGTGTTTTCTATGAACAGGATTTAGATTTCTTTTGACCCAAGGAAAATCTAGAGTTCAGATATGCTTACGTGGTTGGCTCTGTTCTACTGGATCCTGGGATCCCTTTGCTACAACATCCTTAAGACCTGTCACCTGGATATTCAACTTCTCTGCCGCCTCCTTGCTTGCCGCATTGACGTTGCCAAGGACAACCAAGTAGCGAACGCTCGTCTTGGCCCCAGACAATACAGATAATACGCGATCCATCAAGCCATCATCAACAATAAGGACGCTCAGATGCGATTTTTCAAGAACGTGCAAAAGATGCGACGAAGTCGACTCTGCAGAGATAGGCACGGTCACAAGGCCTCCGCAGTGGCATCCTATTATGCATGTATCATGCGGGCAGAATCCTGCATTTAGCGATTTTACTATTTCCCACAATAATATCTTTCAGGTTACGCTACTCACCAAGCTGAATAGCCAATGTATCTTCAATAAGCGATGGTAAAGTGATTAATTGGATGATTTTGACATTTTAAGCTCGGGGTTTATTGTATACTTCTTTCTATTTAAAAACAAAATACCTGGAGAGTTGGCTGCATACAATCCTACAAACGACGATTCGGTATCAGATAATGGCTGCAATCCTGCGGTGCCGACCAAGCCAGAATAGACTTGCTTGGACTTTTTCTCGATTGCATCTAATAGAGCATAATTATCAATGCCATAGTTCTTTCTATGGCTCTCCATCATCATTTTTCTTAACGTCGTAGATGTATGGGTTATACGATTTACCATAGTTGCACTGTCGAGAAAAAAAAAGAAATACACATAATGAATATTTTAGGTTGCCGATCAATAAGGGGGTCAAGGAGAAGCCAAGGTTTTATTGCTTTACCCAGTTGAAGGACTTGTTGTCACGCTTTCCAGCAAACACGTTCGACTTGTGCTTTTCAAAGGCAGCTTGATAAAAGTCACGAAGCGTACGAATGGTGCGGTCAATGGTCGAAAGAAGAGGTGCACCATTGGGATACATTCGTGAGCGGTAAACGGCACTACTGCCTGGGTATCGTACACGCGAGACATCCGATTGCGTGTTGAGCAGTAAAGGATGAATGTCAGGTCCACGTGAATTGCGAGCAGAAAGAATAGCGGCTGCACTGAAAATGGAGGCTAGCAGTGCGTAGCTGAGAGAATCGAGTTCAAAGCTCATGGTTTCGTTTGCGTTTGCGTTTTACGATGAAGAAAAGAAGAGAAGGAAGGTTCAATGGGCCGAATTAGAGGCGTTGAAAATGCGTGGGGAGCGGAATTACTATTTTCAGCTGAAATTACATACGCTTGTTCATGCTGCTGCTGCTGCTGATATAGTGTTTGTGCATATTATGGAAATGTAACCATGCCAACGACCCTCCCCCTCGCCACATTGCCTGCGACAAGTCATCAAATCTTACTATGGGCTAGATTATCAAAATTATCAAAGTACTATTTTACAAAAATGCAGCTTTATTTTGCTCTACCCATTGCTCCAAGGTTTCCGGGGCACGACCAAGCAGAATCGACAAGCCGGGTGTGGCCTTTTGGTTGCACGATTGTGATAGCTGCAAGAATACCCACGCCATTATATGTGACATACCGGCCTTCGTGGTCAGCAACTTGTAAAACTCCTCGTCAGAGGCCTTTTCATAAACGATCTTTCTGCCAAGCACTCGAGTCAGGATTTCGACATGTTCTTGTGGTGTTACCGATTCACCGATCATTTCGTACACTGCATCACCGTGTTTCTCGACAGGCTCCAGCATGACGTTAGCAGCAAGCTCGCCGATATCCCGTGGGGAAATCCATGGTTTTATTACGGTAGGCTCGCGGGAATCGATAACCTTGTTGGCGTTCTTGACAGTAGATGCATCCATGGACAATTGGTTAGACATAAAATATGCAGGACGCAATGTGACAACCGTTCCACGGTTCGAGATGGAAAGTATAGACTGTTCGCGGTAAACGCCAGTTTCCGTAAGAATTGAACTTCGCCACGGCATGGATGAGTTGATGCCGGAGATCAGAACAACTTGCTTCACACCAGCAGCGTATGCCTTTTCGGATAAGATACGCGCACTTTCATCACCCACTTGGTGACCTAAGACGAGCAGAAAGAGACGAGTATGGCCAGTAATAGAATCTTGAAATAGTTTCAGGTCCTCCAAGTCGCCTTGGACGATTCGTAGCTTCTCGCTTGAATAGTCAGTAGCAGTAAAAAGTTCTTGGGCCTTGACCGGGGTTCGCACATATAGCGTCACAGATGCTTTGGGGCTCGACAACAACTTGCAGACAAGGGGCTTGCCGATATTTCCAGTTGCGCCTGTAATAAAGATGCGTTCTTCGTATGCCATAGCGCTGTGTTTTAGAAAAAAATGAGCTAGGAAAAGAGAAAAGGGTGAATATAGTGAATTTAATAGCTCTTTTTTGCGTGGGGAAAAGTGGGGGTTTATAAAGGAACCATAAACCCTGAAAAAGCGCATGTATTTGGATTAGTAATTAGTCTTGTAAAACTTCGGCATATTCGTCGCTGCCGAGTCTAAATCAGTTATGCCGCATGTAGAGCAAGTATGTGTTATTGTTTACTGCGACACAAATAGGAAGGTGCATTTCTTACTTAGCCACTTATTAATATAGTACATTGGATTTCTGCTTTCTTTCTCGTAATTTCACATAGTTCTCCAGATCCACACCGTTTCTCTTATCGGCTTTCTGTCAAAATAAAACTCGTGTTTTTATTGCTATGGCAATAGTACGACCACGGTATCCTCTATAGTATGTAGCTGTCGACCCTTGCTTTTTTTTCGTGTATTGACATCGTAAAATAATCGTAGTTGTCCATACATGAATACCACCTGTCAATAGCGCAACTTTAAAAAAAACGAGCAATATACACAGCCACACAACCACACAACTAGATTACACGAGAAGCGGTGACATGCACCGAGAATCCGCGCTCTACTTCTAGACGTGTACGTACAAGTAGGTCTCAGCATACCGAAAAATGTCCGCACTACTGTATGTGATGCTTCAAGGTCGTTTATTAAAAAAGATAGTTTTAATCATGTAGATAGCTGCATCATTCAGATGAAACATATATGTGATTATTTTGTTAATGGTATAGCCAATAATGGCTATACTTTGATATACAAATTCTATTGACGAGGACGGAACTAAGGTAGTGGGCTGAAGCAGGTTACAGGGAAGTTGTTATACCTACTAACAATGTCCCAGTCTCGTTCCATTTATAACAGCAAAAGAGCATGTGGTCCAGTATGTTTCTCATCACACTCGCTACACTTTTCAAGCCCTTGAAATATTTTTGCTCTGATCTTAGTAGTACCCTGTTCTTCTCCTAGGCACTAACACTCTGTGCTTCCCCTGCCTTCTTTGTCGGTTCGGCTTCGGTATCTGATTCTCCGATACTGCCCAGTAAGCTTCGGGCCTATTAATTATCCGAGCTTGACTACTCTTCCAAAACAGTTGTTCCCCGTTAATTTCATAGCCAAGGTCCCCGACTTTTGTGTGTACTCTAGGGATCCTGCATATATATACCGTTAAATCCTGATAACCACACAACAAAGAGGCATTGGGAATGGCACGCATGTGTTTTCGTAAAATACCTTCGCTGCTTTTATTTTTGAAAAAAACACCGTGCTTGAAGCATTCCACGCTCGAAATTTTTTGAATCAATGAGCGCAAGGTTGACGGTTTTTGTCGTGGTCGTTGAAGATAGCAAATGAGACACGATAATACGAGATAATAATGAAGAAGTGGATAATAAGCTAAGTGATGGTAGTAGTAAATGCTTCTTTTCACTTTATAACATATATTATTGAAAACAAGGTGTTGCGATGCTATCGTTTTTAGTATTTATACTGTGCTGAATTCCATGACCATGATAAATAACAAACAAATGGGAAGCCCAATAATGAATGAAGAATATCTCACAGTTTAATGGAGAGTTTCTTGGCAGCACATTATGGGAACGAGTGCGAGTCGCTGCGTTTGAACAGCAGTGTCAATTAAAGTTTAAAGTCATGTTTTGCCACTGGTGGTTAAATCGAACCCGCCGCAAGCGAACTATATGGTTATCAAGCATTTGGTTACTTTTCACTCTACTTTGTTTATAAGTGGGCAAAAGGTACATTATCGTCAAGCAGCTCTTTGTTGTGTGTCGGCGAAAAATCCGGAAATCCGGAAATGTTTATGAAGCGGGTGAATATAGTAACACAAAATCTACGCATTGTGAGCACCCAATTTACGAATCTTCCTTCTTGACACCTTCTATGAGATCATTACACATAGCTTGCTTAATTACACATAGTCTGATTACGTATGCGTTCGCCTATTTGGTTAAGCGCAAGACGAATCGTTGTTCCTTTTTTGAAATTTAATTACGCGTCGATTACCATTTATGATACAGGTTGAATCGAGCAAATTCCGCGTCAAATTCTACGATCCTCGGCTGCAGGTGAGCGGGGTGGAAAAGGGTACGATTGACGATTTTCCATGTTAACTATTGTATTGCATTTCAATCCGTGTTCCAGCTAAATAATCAGCAGCGGAGAAGCTGAACGGAACTACGTTTTCCATATCAGCGGTGGTCCAGTAGTATATAAAAGAGAAGGGCAGGAAGATGAATGGAAGCTACAGAAAATACTCTTCCTTCTCTCGAGATAACCATGTCTGCTCAAGATAATACGTTCCATGGATGGGTCTGCAACGGCAAAGGTATGCGCCATTTCGTTGCTACTGTAATTGCTCTTTTCTGCATCTGGACTCTAAAGGTATTGTGTTGGCGTGTCGGCATCATTCGAACTATTTTAATATCTTTAGGCCAACCACTCGAGTGGCGCGAATTATCCTTGAAGAAGTTTGAAGATGACGACCTAGAGATCGATGTCACACACTGCGGGTACGTACATTATCAGTTGCCCGGATTTCTCTGTGATAATTGGTAGCGCTAACAGTTTTTGGTCCACGTACAGTATCTGTGGCAGTGATATCCACACTTTAGATTCGGGCTGGGGATCTACAAAGTGAGTGCAGTCTATATCGTATATCTTATGCCTATTTGATTTCAAGCTTATATTATTCTGCTTACACTCACAAATACTTTTAACTTCATACAGCTATCCTTGTGTTGTTGGCCACGAAGTAAGCCCCCCCCCCTTTATTTTTCGTATTAAAAACTCACACATATATGTAGTGGGAAAATCCTTGCTAATTGCTGTCGCTTTCTCTTAACAGATTGTTGGCGTTGTAACAAAACTCGGCAAGAACGTAACTGAATTTAAGGTTGGTGACCGCGTTGGCATTGGTGCTCAGTGCGACTCTTGTGGTGAGTGCCACGAGTGTAAGAACGGTCATGAAAATATTTGTCGTACTGGTATGACTACAACATACGATGGACGTTGGAAATGCGGCGACAAGACTTACGGTGGTTACGCCGATAAGTGGCGCGGCAACAAGAACTTTGTATTCAAGATTCCTGACGACATGTCTAACGAACTGGCTTCCACCTTTTTCTGTGCTGGTGTCACCACTTACTGGCCTTTGAAGAATCATGGCGTTAACGAACAGTCTCACATCGGTGTCATTGGCCTTGGTGGTCTTGGACACTTTACTGTAATGTGGGCCAAGGCAATGGGCGCAAAGGTCACCGTCTTTTCGAGCTCTGACCGCAAGCGTGAGGATGCTTTTGTTCTTGGCGCCGATGACTATGTAGTCTCCAGCGACAGTGAGGCCGTTCTTGCTCGCGATCGCCAGCTCTCACACTTGGTGTGCACTTCGTTTGGCAACAATTTCGACTGGTTGCAGTTCCTCAGCATGCTCGAACCCAACGGTGTCTTCATCATGGCTGCTAATCCAGAGACTCCGCTCTCTAATATTCCCGCTGGCATTCTGCTCATGCGCCAGATCTCGATTGTCGGTACCGCTATCGGCTCGCCAAAGACGATCCGCAAAATGCTCGAGTTTGCTGCCGAGAAAAACGTTAAGCCTTGGATCGAAAAATACCCCATGGAAAAGGTCGTCGACGCTATCCAAGATTTGAGAGACAACAAGGCCCGCTACAGATATGTCCTTCAGCGTAACTAAACAACAAGGAAAATACACGTTTTTGGTTTTTTTTTCTGTATATATATTTCTATAAATAAATTCTAAGGTATGTGTAAATCACTACGTCATCGGTGTTTTGTTATGTATGTCTTTTGATATATGATCTGTGCCCGCAGTTAGCAGAATTGGTACAGCGTAGCACCATGATTAGCCAGTAATATACCGGTGGTTCAGGTACGGTGGCGCGCATAATTTTCTGTATAATGTCAAAGCACGGGACACAATAGCTGCGATATTTCTGACTCTGTGTATCGTAGCTTCGCCTTTGGGTGAGTCTATGATCACAACGTAAACACAAGATATGAACTTGTCAGTTTCTGAAGGTGGAGCAATATAATACTTTAAGTGAGCGTCCGGTGGGTGTATACTGTAGGCCATCGTGGTATAACGCATTTGCAACATCAAAATTGATAAAAATAAACTTATTTAGCGATAATTGTCACTTAAAATATAACATATGACATACTGGATGGATGAAGCCGCTGTCACTACAAATTGACTTAGGTCTAAAATTATACAGATGATTGTGCTGTGAAAATGTATGATAGAAGGCTTATAAAAGACTAATATACAACACATGGATCACTATGCCTTCGTCACTGCGTATAAACATTTTAAGTTTATAGCTCTTCGGCAGCTATAATTTAACATTGAATTAGTTTTCTATGTGGCGGATCAATACAGTATAACAAACGACACATACCCCAGCCAATGACACCGCAAGCCAATCGAGCACCAGAGTTTCCGGTCAATTTTGAGTCTGGTGTATCACCTTTGCCTAAATCATCCTTTCCTTCGTGCAGGACAATACCACGTCTATTTATCATTTGCGTTACAGTGATGTGATAAAAATATATATGATCCGTTATATTCATTTGTTATTTCGCTTGAGTAAACTTTGAATACATAATGGATAAGATCTTTTGTCGGTTTACATACCCTAGAATCGAATTCTTGCCTGAAAATTCCAAAGAATCAACCGTTAAGCGAACGTGAACAGTATCATTTGCATCTGCAACTACATTGCCAAAATCGCCAACGTGCTTAACTTTGTCGGTCGGACCGCCGTGAGTATGGTTGTAAGGATTGAAATGAGGTCCAAATGATTCACAGCCTATCATCATATAATCACGGTTATTACATATTCAAATCATTCAAAAAGCTCTTCTCTTGTGCTTTAAAATGTTATATGGAATATGGACATATACCTCTGCTAAGATCTCCATATTGATGAATGTGTAAGCCATGCTCACCGGATGAGACGTTCGAAATGTTTCCGTAAACTTCAGTCTCATTGCTGCCGTCTTTTTGAGCGAACCAAATTAAGCCGACGACTGCATATGCGCCATTTCGAATATAAGCAACAGCGTTGACCATAGTAGCTATGAGGAGAGTCCAAAAAGGTATGGTTTGAAAAGTTTGAAGAAGCTGTAAGCTTTTTATATAGACGGCGGAAAGAAGCTTTGTGTGCTGTGCTGATCACGACCTATTGAGAGGCAAAGTCTTTTTATACGAGTGGAGGCAGGATGCCTTTCTCACTTTGAACGCCGTTGCTTTATCGCAGCGGCTTAGAAGTATAAATAGAGCTTAGTCGTTTCACTTCGCCACCACGTATTACGTATGTATTACATATTCAAGTGATGGTGTCACGCCTATCTATTGGAGGCTCAGACACGCAGGTGCGTCAGTGAAATTTGACTGGGTGCCGCATTTGCATTAATCCCATTTTCGGTGGAAAATGAAGGATGGTGCTCAGCCCATCGACCATTATTGCAAACAAACACAGAAACTTAAGCACCATTTCAGCTATTCTTTATACTCATTTCCTTTTCCATTTTCTCTATCATTGTCCTGCAAGTTCACTAGCAGCGACTATGAAGGGTATTGCTTAAAATGATAAAACAAGAGCGTATCTTCATGCCTTGTGAAATCGAGACGTAGGCGTCCCACTTTCTTATCGAACACATGAGAAGATCATCATCATGGCATACTCCTCTCTCCATTTTTTTACCGTTTTGCGAATGTCTTCGGTTTATGTTACAACAAGCCAATTTGCACATTGTGTAACCGTAAAAGATTTTGCAGTTGTTTTCGATGAGGCAGAGCCAAAGATGCTAGTACTTTAATTCCGGAGATGTACACAGGGGATTTCCAGCAGCCATTAACGCAAAAGAAACAGCCACTTAACAGAATTCTACAACTGCAAGAGAGACAGGCTTGGTTTTCCTTCACTAGCTTCTACGGAGAGAGGAAAACAGGTTTTGATACGATATCCTATGTATCTTTGGTATGCAATACCAGTGATAGATGGACAGGAGTAGTAGTACATACTTTTTATTTATGATATATTCAACAGGAAATCATGATTATACTGTAGATGAAGATGTAGAGTAGCATATACTGTATCTAACTTCTAGATGATCATATCGTCGTGCTGGTAGTTTACGAGAGCGTAGACTTCTGTATTACATACTAAATTTTCGCTTTTTTGTGAACACGAATTTATAAAGTCTGCCACAATCTCTAGATAATCAAATAGGAGCACGGCTGCTAACACTTAAACAATTACCCCCCTTCATCAAAATTTTGGTCCATACTGGAAGAAGAAGTCGACAGTAATTACACAGCACATGGGAACCCTTAAATATTACATAAACCTGTATGTCAATAACAAGTAAAGGATTTATTGACTAATGTATACTGTAATGACCCTGACGAAAGTGAACAGTGACGCCAAGTTTAACAAGACCTTGGTGTACACTTAACCGCGATCTTCTGGAAGATCGTTATGCCGAGCGACTCGGTATGGATCAAACTTCGGTACTAAAATACATAGTGCGTACCGGAAGACTTGCTAGAAGGCAATGCATTTCTTGGTTTTACTATAGATGAAATAGTGTCAATATTATATTCACTTTTAAAAGAAGTATAACTTCACGCTTTATTATCGCATCGTTCTTAAAGGGCGCTAATCCCGTTCATTTCCTCTTCATTGGAGGTTCTGGTACCTATAGGCAGATAGTTTAAACGATTAGAAGAGTTACTTCAGAATTGTTTCTATGTTGATCTGATTGTGGAATCGGCTGCTATGTAGACAGGATTAACCAAATATTTGATTCACTTAAAAAAGATCAGTTAATAGGCAGGGAGTTATGTAAGCCACCGATCCCTCCTATCGATAAATTACAGTATCATCAATCCATTTTCCCTGAGTGTATGAGTTTCGCTTGCTTCAGGACGACTCTTCTTATATTACTTTCTTTGTATTTACTACATATCCTAGAAGGGATTTAATGTAGAGCTGGAACATTGTCTTTCCGGCTTATCTTCTTTTGGTGTGAGTGTAGAAAATGACATCATCACCACCGTTATTCACAACATATTTGGCTCTGTTTTCACTGCTGTTGTTTGTTTTTACATCTGAAGAGTCTTCAGAAATAAGGTGTGTTCGGATAATACACAAGGACAGAAAAAATCGCGTGACACAGCTCGGTTTGTCTCCTCTCTATTTGTACCTCATCAACTTGCATAACAGCCTTAAGACTGACAAAATAGAAAAAAAAGTTGATCCAGATTCCCATTCTTGCTTGAGAATTTGTTACACAATGCATGAACCACTACGACGGCTATTTCTTACGCCGTTTTGAGAACCTGTAAATCTTATTCTCTGGTGCAGCGCGAATCCGTCGTAATCATGTCAGAGTGCCCTACACCTAGAGGCTTGGCCGAGAATGCAGGCTTGTAACGTGTTAGGTTGACTACAGTGACATTTCGACCGATCTCCTGATTGACACTTCTTTTATATAGTAACCCTGACTTTGATCTAAAACAACTTGTCCTCGATCCAGAGTAATTGTCAAAAGCGAGATGGAAGAGGGGGAAATCCCTAAACATATGAAAAGTTTTTATAATATTTAGCTCTCACTGTCGTCATATATATTTGTTAAATATACAGTTCCAATATGCATATCTGGGGATGGTTAGTTTCTGGATTTTTAACGCTGGCGGCAGTGACCTTGACCGCGCACTCGATCAAACAACATCTGTGTCACTATTATACCCCTTCGATCCAGCGCCATAAAGTCCGTGTGCTTGCATACCCGGCAGTATATTCAGCACTAGCATGGTTTTCGTACCTTCAATACAATTACGAGACAGTCATTATGTTCTTCGCCACACTGTTCGAGAGTTTTGCAGTGTACAATGTCTACATGTGTTTGGAGGCCTATCTCGAACCGTTCCGTCAAAAGTACGCTGGACAAAAGATACCTATTACAACCAAAGTGTTTGGTATTTTTAAAATTCATCTGTAAGTGCTTGTCCCGCGTAATCGAGTTCCTGTATTCGAAATCAATTAACTCTTCTATGTATGATAATATGACAGCAACTCTAAATGGGGCCTACATTTTCGAGTAATTACCAAAATCCTGGTTCTACAATACCCAGTGTGGTAAGTAAAATTTCGATAGAAAAGGGCACGCATTCTTGTCTATATTTGGATTTAATTTAACTTTTGACAACAAATGTTACTAGGAATATCATAAACTCATTGATTTCAATCATTACCCAGGTCAAAGGTATGGAACCACCTCGCCAAGTTATCTGCTGAATTCACCCTTTATGAAGCATGTTGGACAATGGGTATGCTGACAGTAGGATGCGCACATTGATTTCAGGTGTTTACTGCGACGGCCAATTCGTATTCAATGGCGCATATCTATACCTGGTCATTATCAATTTCACTTCATTGTGCATTATCCTTATGGCAATGTTCACATATCTTTCAGTGTTCAACGAAGAGTGGCACCATGGCAGGATACGTGCGCATGCCATGTTCTGGTGGTAAGTTTGCCAACCACATGAGTATCCTCTATTTACGTGGTTTATGTGGTGGTATGCTAAAGAAGTCAGTGAGGTAACGGTATTTTCTCATTGATTTCTAGCGTAAAAGCACCAATCATGATCATCTTTTACTGTGGTGATATCCTACTTGCTGGACTGGGCCATTTTGGTGTCATTCAGGATTCACGACCGCAGCACAGTGGTGGCACGTTCTGGCCAGCCGATGCAGTTAAAAACGGCTATTATGTGCTGATTATTTGTGCTGTAATGTCACTTGTGGCTATATTCATGGAACGTTACTATGGCTTGGACCCAGAAGAGTATGCGCGATACGAAGAAGATTGTACTTGGTCTGCTTATATGCATGCGTTCGCAGATGGTTATCTTGCATTCATTCCCGACTTCTTCCGCAACGTATTTTCATGTGGCGGTGATACAGTGGTATTAGCAAAGAAACGGATGGATCTTCGACAGAATCACAAGCGACGACTGTCAGAAGACGAGCGACACTTGTTGCAACCGAGCGATATGGAAACGGCTCAACCGTTGGAGGACGAAGAGAATGTGTATGCGGCATTAGGGCAGCGCCGAATATCGATGGATGATGACGACGAAGATGATGGCCGGCTCAATGCATCAAGTGTACCCTTGAAACGTTTAGGTATATCATCATCGGCCAAGAGTGATGATCCCATACCGACCATTTCTATGCCTCCAGCGCCACGAAAATCGCGTATGATCAATCACAACGATCCAGTAGCTGTTGTATCTACCACTGGGTCTTCACATTTCCAGCCGCATGAAATAAGTAGGGCTCCTAATTTCTAGACTGTTTTCATCATCCACTGCACCATCTGTATAACCCTGTATAAATACGTCTTTTGATACCATCGACTTTGGCATATGTACATGAGATGTATAACGTAATCCAGCGAAACATTTGGAAACAAAATGAATATTTCGGAACGGAGTTTAGCTTTGGCCGTCGGGTTACTCTGCTTGAAAGCTAATAGCGGAATCCTGGGTGCAACAACAACCTTGTTTCTTTACTTCTTCCTTTTCCCCCTCGCCCCTTGTCAACCCTTTTCTGTGTTTTACGCCACTCGATTGTTTCGGAAAGGGGTTACTCGGACCAAATAAAACCATGAATCACTCTTTTCTTGTCCACATTTCCAAAAAGATCACCCGATCGCAACTTAACAATGCCCTGGCCTCACAGTTGCCATCCATGTCGTCGACGACGACCTCTTCTGGCGCACGATCTTTCTCGACTGCCGCCACAAGACCTGCCGTTACCATGTTAGCATCCGAGTCAGTACGTCAGTCTTTGTACAACCGAGGATCTTCGGTCTTTGTTGCACTGCAACCTATTCGCAGCGCAGCAGCAGTAAAGCGACACATGAGCACCCTGCACTTGCGAGAACAGGACCCGACCAACAATGACTCGCTCGGTGATGCTGCTGGAGGAGGAGGAGAAGGCGGTGCAGCAGCAGGCGGCAGTAGCAACAACAACGGCAACGGTGAGAATAATGGAGACGGTGATGACAAATCAGCGCGACGCGCGTTCAACGTGATTGACAATCAACTGCAAAAGCCGACTGTACCCGATGTGTACCCTCAAGTACTCGCCGTTCCCATCGCGCGTCGACCCTTGTTTCCTGGTTTCTACAAGGCTGTTGTCATCAAGGACCCCAATGTTACCGGTGCGATTAAGGACCTGTTGAAACGTGGCCAGCCCTATGTCGGTGCGTTCTTGCTCAAGGATGAAAATGTTGACGTCGATACTATCACCAATTTGGATCAAGTGCACAAGGTCGGTGTATTTGCGCAAATCACCAGTGTGTTTCCGGCCAATTCCAAAAATAAGGAAGAGGGCGATGGTGGGTTGACAGCTGTACTGTATCCACACCGACGTATTCAAATTACGGACCTTATAAATACGACGGGCAAGCCTGTAGAAGCTGCAGTGGAAGAAGTTAAGGCCGAGGAACAGGAACTTGCTGTCAAGGAAGCAGAAACTGTGGCAAAGGAAGCAGAGGCAGTAACTGAACGTGCACAAGGTAAATAGTTGGTTCTGGAGAGGGGTGTGGGATGTACAGAAGATGTTTGTTGGATGTATATTAAGCCGAGAACTTCGTAATCACCAGAAGAGTCGAATACCGCTGCTGAAACTGAAAAGGAACCACAATATGCTACGTCGTTTCTGGCCAACGAGCACGCTGTATCACTTGTCAACGTCGAAAATATGATTGATCCACCATACGACAAAAAGGATCCGATGATCCGCGCTGTCACTTCCGAGATTGTTTCTGTGTTCAAGGAAATTGCATCACTCAACCCGCTCTTCCGTGATCAGATTGCCAGCTTCTCCATGTCGCAATCAGCTGGCAATGTTTTTGAAGAGCCTGCCAAGCTGGCCGATTTTGCTGCTGCCGTGTCCACTGGCGAACCACTCGAATTGCAAGAAGTCATGGAAACGCTGCCTGTCGAAGATCGTCTACAAAAGGCACTTATCGTGCTCAAGAAGGAGCTGATGAACGCCCAACTGCAAAACAAGATTTCCAAGGATGTGGAAAGCAAGATCGCTAAGCGTCAGCGCGAATACTACTTGATGGAACAGCTTAAGGGTATCAAGAAGGAATTGGGTTTGGAGAGCGATGGCAAGGACAAGCTTGTGGAAGGATTTAAGGAGAAAGCTGGCAAGTTGGTGATGCCCGAGGGAGTGCGCAAGGTCTTTGACGAAGAAGTCAACAAGTTAGCACACCTCGAACCTGCTGCATCCGAGTTCAATGTGACTCGCAACTACCTTGACTGGCTTACTCAGGTTCCATGGGGTCAACGCTCGCGTGAAAACTACAACGTCAGCCACGCTAAGACTGTGTTGGATGAAGATCATTATGGTCTTCAGGATGTCAAGGAGCGTATCCTCGAATTTATTGCTGTCGGGAAGCTGCGTGGCACTGTCGAAGGCAAGATTTTGTGCTTGTCAGGTCCTCCTGGTGTTGGGAAAACCTCGATTGGAAAGAGTATTGCACGCGCTTTGGATCGAGAGTTTTATCGATTTTCTGTTGGTGGTTTGACAGACGTGGCTGAAATCAAGGGTCATCGACGAACCTATGTTGGTGCCATGCCGGGCAAGGTTATCCAGGCTCTGAAGAAGGTTAAGACCGAGAACCCGCTGATTCTTATTGATGAAATTGACAAGATCGGTCGTGGTCACCAAGGCGATCCCTCTTCCGCACTGCTCGAGTTACTGGATCCAGAACAGAATAGCAGTTTCTTGGACCATTACATGGATGTCCCTGTTGATCTTTCCAAGGTTTTGTTTGTATGTACTGCCAATGTGCTTGATACCATTCCTGGACCCTTGCTGGATCGTATGGAAGTGATCCAATTATCGGGTTATGTCGCTGAAGAAAAGGCTGCAATTGCATCCAAATATTTGGCACCAAGCGCACGCATTGCCTCTGGCTTGGAAAATGTCAACGTAAATCTTTCTCCTGAAGCCGTGGATGCATTGATTCGAAACTACTGCCGTGAAAGTGGTGTCAGAAACCTCAAAAAACACATTGACAAGGTTTTCCGCAAAGCTGGTTACCAGGTCGTGGAAAAGGTCGCTGCATTGCAGATTGATGAAGATGTCAAGGTAGAAGAAAAGAAGGAACCGGTTACAGAAAATGCCGCTGCTGGTGCCGAAAGCACGTCGGTAGATAAAACAGAACACAAAGAAGAACACAAGCCTTTGTCCGTACCTGAAGACATCAAGGTCGATATCACCGCCGATAATTTGAAGGATTATGTCGGCCCACCTGTTTTCCAATCTGACCGTATCTACGAGACTACGCCTCCTGGTGTCATTATGGGTCTGGCATGGACAAGCATGGGTGGCTCGTCGTTGTATATTGAATCTGTGCTCGAGTCTTCATTAACACCAAAGTCGACGCCAAACCTGTCCAAGACCGGTCAGCTGGGCGACGTGATGAAGGAATCCACAAGCATCGCATATACCTACGCCAAGTCGCTCATGGCAACACGCTTCCCCAAGAACAAGTTCTTTGAAAAGGCACGCCTGCATCTCCATTGCCCTGCCGGTGCAGTACCCAAGGATGGTAAGCTTCGCGAAAACTTGTTATTTATCTGAGTTCTATGGAAACATAAGGCTAAAAACGTCAATCCGGCGAAACAAATCATAGGACCTTCTGCTGGTGTCACCATGGTTACTTCGCTGGTTTCTCTAGCCTTAAACAAGTCAGTGAGCCCCAACATTGCGATGACGGGTGAACTCACTGTCACTGGTCGCGTGCTCAAGATTGGTGGTTTGAAAGAAAAGACGATTGCCGCAAAGCGATCCAAGATTGATACCATTTTATTCCCCAAGGACAACCTTTCTGACTGGGAAGAGCTTGCAGATCATATCAAGGAAGGCATGACGGGCATTCCAGTCGAGTACTATGAAGACGTATTTAAAGTTTGTTTTCCAGATGTTTCCAAGGACAAGGCTGAGAACGTCTGGGCCCATGTGCTGAAACCTGAAAATGAAGAAACATCCACCACCTCCTCATCCTCCTAGATCTCTTTCAAATAATAGAACGATAGAAAAAAAACCAGATCAGCCCTCGATTCTAATAGTAGTTCTGATAGTTACATGTATATTGTTTCCTCCCCTCCCCCCTCTCTGTTTGTACTATTTTCCATAATGTGCTTGTAAAAAGTCCACTCTGCTCCCGAATTTATAAAGAAATGTTGGTTGTACCACATAAAAAAATGCCGAGTTATGTCATTTGTGCGATTGACAGAAGTTTGGGCTTGACAATACCGCTATATATTCTTAGAGTCTTTATTTAGGCAAAATAATCATTAAGTGCAATATAGCTCGAACACCTATTGAGTGTGCATGAAGCACTAGTTGGCTAGAAGACAGTGGTGACGCTGGAAAGCCTTAAAAAGTATCTTTTTGCTAATGTGTGTGTTGCATAAATTGATAGCAGATCTAACTAAAAAAAGATATTCTAATACCGTCTTTGTTAAATAAAAAGCGGTATTAAAGCGCACTTCTCTTTTTGATGTTTATCAAACGGCCCTTCTTCCTGTGAAGTAGATCAAGCGCACTCAAGTATTGAACAACTAAGATACCATTGGTCATGCATCTTTTATATACACATCACCGACAGATACTATAGACACATACACAACAAAATTTACTCTAGATCGAACGTCCCATATTCAATTGTCTTTTTTACAGCCTAAACATCACGTACATCAAAATGATACAGTACCGTATCAAAGGATAATTTAAGTAAAGCAGCAAAAGTCTACTATACTTTTCATTCTTCACATAATGGCGGCCATTCAGCATCAGGCTCGTTCTGGTACCGGTCAAAATTATCCTTAAAGTATGTCCAGCTAGAAACGCTTTTGGAATTGGGATCATAAGAACTGGGAGCGTGACTATATGCTGTCACTCTATTCTCGATCTCGCTGCGTAAGATTGGGCTGATAAGTTCTTTGTATGTCGAGCCTTGAGGCAATTTGTGTCCTGTGCAATGATATACTAGGTATCCTTGCTTGTCACCCATTTTCATGAATGGTGCAAAGTGGGAGACCCGTGTCCAGTGAACTTCGGCATGATCGATAGCACCTTGCTCATTTTCGACTTGAGCAGTAGGGCAGGTGAAAGTGAACAACTCGCCAGCTTTAATTTAGCCATCAAGTCAGTAACGTTTGCTATCATTTAATTGTTCATGTGTTTTATTATAAAGGTTTAAATCTTACCTTGATACATTTGGCGTGAGTCATAGGAAGCAAATTTGGGGTCGTCAGCCAAAGGATTCTTGTAGAATAATGGTATCTCAGTCATCAATTTAGTGGTGCCCGAAAAAGGGTTCTTGCGAACATCCAAGGGAATAAATGTCGGCAAAGCCATCTGTACCGGATCATTGGCAATGTGTACCACTAGACAAAAAAGAAGCGAAGCAAGTATCACTTGGTTAGATTATAAGAGCAAGTGATTGTAGGTAAACATGTATCCACATATAAGAATCGAAGCCAACCTGGTACACGTTCTCCAGTCCATGGGTTCTCCCAATGAGTCAGCTTTTCGTGTGTCTTTGGGTCCAAGTAGTAAGTCAGTTCTCGTGTTGTTGCCAACAACTTGTTGTCCGCGATATGGGCTTTGCCGACGTTCATACCAACACAGTGAAAAATCTTTTTTGGTTGTTCGCCGGGAATGAACACGCTATGAATTACAATTCAGAATTTTATCAAGTTTTGTTTTACCATGTTATGGTGAAAAAAAACAGAGAAAAAGGGAGAGATTGAAAAGTTAGAAATGACAACACGGTATAGGCTTTAACGCAAATCTCAGTAGCTTACAATACTGAGCCTTCCCATTCGTAAAAGGTGTCGGCTTCTGGGTCATTAGAGTAGCGAAGACGAAGAAGTAGATCTGTTGAGGGGAACACGGGTTGCGATTGTAAATACTATTAATAAGTAGTGATAGAATATGTTCTTGCTTTTCCTTACTGCTCATTGTTGTGAGTTGGTGTTGTGAATTTCTAAGGAACGACAGTACCACGCGGCGGCATAGCAGTAAATATTTCGGAACCATGGGTGCACTAGGTTGCATCATGCATATGATAATAAAGCCGTCGCGCCAAAAATCATAATACTGTAGTAGCAAAAGGTGGACAATTCTATACCTGAAAGCATACTGCTGTTCATTGAAATTAACCTTACGCTAATCTAGCATACTATTCTAAGCACTGAATATCATCAGCGGTTGATCGAACCCGCAGCAAGCACTAAGTAGCACGCGCACACATAATCCAGCTATATGCTTTACCTTTTGAAAGCCATACCTAAACTTACCATTGTCGGGCTTGAAGCAAGAAGATGAAGCGAGAGAAAGCATAGAAAGTATAGAAAGCTAGAGGAGATGACATTAACAAAGATGATGAAGACGCTCGACTGCGAGTGATCATTGCTAGTATCGTCATCTTTCTTGACATACACATATTCTTAATAAAATGACACTTTATATCGTCTATTGTTGTTGTTGTTGCTATTACTGTCCTCGTCTTTTTAGACGACAGGGCGCAGCGCGGCCAGAGAGCTACTAAAGGAAGGATGTAGAAATAGAAAAGGTGTTAATAAACTCTGAGCCATCATCACCACGACCCTCTTATTTGACACACACACACACGCACACACATCATGCATACAACCATATATGACATCATGTGTTTCAATCTTATTAAAGATACTGAGAATAATGACGATAAAGAAAGTAAAATGGATGGATGGCGCGATGCGAGCGTTTCGTATGACTATCATTCTTGTTTATATGAATCAGACTCGTTGATTCAAAAAAGCGTGAATAATCTGTTGTCCAGTAGAAAGCTGATCTAAAGTGATGAGGACAAAACTACGGAAGAGCAATGATGCATGTCTCATGCAACAGTGCAGAAACTGAGAGATCATTTTTAACGAGCGATTATATTTTATATACTCGATGGAACACCGTTAGCTAGTATTTAAAAGGCAACGATATCGGTATCAGTTATAGCTGCGGATCTGCTTTACATGTTGTACGCTTTATTGATGGACTTATGTGAGCCACGTTTTGGAAGGGAAGCAACAAGTGGACAGTGTCGTTTGGAAGGAAAAAAACTGACGGGAACCAATTTTATTTTTCTGATCGGCTGTCTGAAGTAGGTCCTCTTTCAAAGCAATCTTTCGCTATCATCTACTGTCAAAGACGCATGATATTAGATGATTGGCGTGGATGCTTTTCAAATTCGCATATTCGAAGCCCATAGTCTCTACTTACCAAAAGTCAAGTATCATAAAATCAAGGATTCACAATGGCTATATCATGCATTTGTTTAGAGCGGCGTAATAGAACGAAGTTAGGTCCAAGTCAACGGTTGGAAAACAAGTATGTACTACGTGGAAACCTCATCATCTTTGAAGTTAGTACGGTGTAATCTAATACTACATATTTCATCGCTAGCTTCTAAGGATCACCTCACCCGAGGTCATCGTATAACGTGTCATCAAGCCCTTTAGAATGGATTAATAGATATGTACCAAAGAGACCGTATAACTTTACAGCGTAAAAGTTCTACCAACGATGGTGAAAAATTAGGCTGGGAATATTTTTCAACGTTATGCAGTAAGCAGATTTCGTCGATAGCTTTTTTCCCGCGCACTTTATTTTCACAGAATAAAATGCTTATACTACTTGCATTATTCCAACTACCATAAATTTTGCTTCTAGCACGTGCTGATGAAGGGTTATCCAACAAGCAATGTGATGGTTGTATGATCTTGATCCTTGACGAATAAAAGATGAAGAAGCAAGTAATAGACTGTATTCCAGCTAGTGCAAGCGCGTTGTATAACAGAACAGCACAGTAAACTGTTGACAATTCCCGTAATTTTACTCGTCAACGAGTCAGTGTACCGCTTAAATTGGTCAAGAGAAGAGGAAGCAGGTTATATATATCTCAGTTGGTGCAAGCGCGTAGTAGTATAGCAGAAATTACTGTACACAATGATCTATTGACACTACACTTAATTTTATTCAGCAAGGAGTCAGTGTACCGAAAGAGAGAATGCGAGGAACCGACGTCTTTATACATAAAAACCGCGATCTGCACTACCAATAACAGGAGCAAGAAGACTACCGAAATGAAGGTCTCGTAACATTACTATTCCTGGGTACATGTTGCAATAATCACCAAGAGAGTTATAACTATTATTGCAAATCCTGTATACTATTGTCTGCCAGGCGTCTAGTATAAGTTTCTAGCATATGGTTGCTTCTTTTGAATATGGCTATTAGGAGTAATCATGCGGAAACATAAGAAATCTGACCTCCGGGATATAGAAATTGGGATTATATAAACAGGAACCATTCAGGTCCGCCAATTTCATTTAGACCGTTTTCTAAGCTTGTGCACTGTCTGTGTCCCAGTAATACATGTTTAACTAGACACACCCAACAAAAAGAAAACATACTGTATCTTCCTTCTTTTTCTTTTACATTTCATCTATCTCTCTTTACGCTATCGCGGGTCATGCAAAGTTTATGCCAAGTTGGAATGAAAAATAAGGCGAATAATTCTCCTGTGAGAAATCTTTTTGATGGAAAATCGATACAGCGTGGTAAATAGAAAAACCCAAAATTTTGAGATGTACACGAATTTTAGTTAAAGCGGGTGGTCAAATTGGTTAATGTGCAAGGGGGGGGGAGAGAAGCTGTATCACCCTAGCTTCCCATGGAGCTTCTGACATAGTAAGCACGGTACAATCTGACGCATATATAAGAGAAAAATTCACACCAGATATATTCTGTCTTTCTTGCTTTTCCCCAAATGTCTAACGATAACCGTAAACCCACTATTGCTATTATTGGTGGAGGGTAAGAATTTCAGTAGTTACATCTCTTTGAAGGAGATAAGCATAAGGCAACGACATCATTCAACGTCGAAGTTTTCATTCGTTCTGTTGTCAGCAAGAAAAAACAACGCTTATTCAGGTCCAAAAGGTACCCGACGTATGCTGACAAATGTGAACTACACATGTGTTTAGGTTCAGTGGAATATTTTCTGCTATCCGAGTCAAAAAAGAGCTTGGTATTCAACCCCACATCTTTGAAGGATCAAAGGACTTCGGCGGAACTTGGCATTTAAACACGTAAGGGTCAATCATTTAAAAAACGGGTTTATGGCAGCGGTAAAATAAACGAAAATTTTATAATGCAGATATCCAGGTTGTGCCTGTGATGTTCCTTCTCACTTGTACTCATTGAGCACCGACTTAAACCCCTGTAAGTCGAGAAGATACGTCGATTGAAAGCCAGTATGCAGATAAATTCGTTTCCGACTTATTCACTTATTACGAATCATTCATTCTTTAGACTGGTCGAAGAAGTACAGTCCTCAGAGTGAAATCCATGACTATATGCGAGGCCTTGTCGACAAGTATGATCTCCGCAGCAACGCTACGACAAATTGCGAAGTTGTCAAAGCAACCTGGTTAGATGATGAGCGTAGATGGAAGCTGGATTATCGTAATCGTCTTGATCCTGAGCACGAGCTACAAACTGTGTATTACGATGTGGTGTAAGTTTACCTGTTATCTATCAGTACTAATGATAAATGTATTATGCCCAAAAAGAAAAAAAACCCACTTTGAAATGGTTTGTGTATTTGTTAGGTTCGTAGCAATTGGCTCTATCAGAGTCCCCAAAGTTCCAGAACAATTCAAGGCTTTCGAAGGAACAGTTGTCCACACCGCCATGTGGGATTCTTCGATTGATTTTACGGGAAAGAAGGTTGCCGTCATCGGTAGTGGTGCGAGTGCTGTTCAAGCCGTTCCTGAATTGTCAAAGGTTGCCTCAAAATTGCATAATTATCAGCGCACCGCCATCTGGTGCCGTCCTCGCGGTCAATATGCTTACTCGGCCTTGACCAAGTTCTTGTTCCGTTGGTGCCCATTGTTGATGAAACTTTATCGCCTCAAATTCTATCTCATAGTAAGTCGTCAAGTGCAACAAGAATGGAGAAGAAAATGCTCCGCGCTAGTAGCTCCATCAGATAAATAAATCTCACTCCGATTTATCCACATAGCTCGAGCTTAATTATGTTATCTTCGGATATTTCAAGAGCTTAATTGCTCGCATGGTATCACGATCACTTGTAAATGCCATGAAGAAGCGCATTTTGAAGCAAGGCCGACCTGACCTCGTAAAGAAGCTTATCCCCGATTATGCCGCTGGGTGCAAACGCATTGCTGTCACTGATGATTATCTCGAAGCATTATGCCGTGATAACGTGGTCGTAGAAAAAAGTAGCATCACAGAGGTCCATGGTCGCACAATTGTTACGGCGGACGGAAACAAGGAAGAATACGATATCTTGGTCTTGGCTACAGGTTATGATGTCCAGGGCTTCCTTGGTAACTTGACTGGTAAGTTTTTCTCTTCGCTGTACTTCGTTTCATACCATAAAAAGCAAATCAGTCGCTTATTAGTAAGTAATTTGCGATACATAATAGTTCAAGGCAAGCATAAGCAAACATTGAACGACTCGTGGCAAGATGCTTTCCCCGAAATGTACAAGACCACCTGCATTAATGGATACCCGAACATGTTCATTATTCTTGGTCCCTCGAGTATTTTGGGCCATAACAGTGTCTTGACTATGACCGAAACTCAAGTTAATTATATCGTGCAAGGCTTAAAATTGATGGTCAAGGAGAACCTTGTTGCTTTCGATCCAACCAAGAAGGCTCAAGACAAGTTTGTTGCTCAGCTCAAGGATGATCTTGAAAATACAGTGTGGAAGAAAGGAGGTAAGGATTGTTATATATCTACTATATTAAAAATCTGTTTTTCATTAATATTTTTATCATAAGGTTGCAATTCATGGTATGTGAACAAAGAAGGCGATGTCACCGCCAATTGGTCGAGTACAGTGACCCGTTTCTGGATCAAATTGCGTAAATTCAAGAATTTTGATGATTTCAACATTTACAAAGAATAAACAGACAAAGATTATATTGTTTTATGGCCTATTATTACTACCACTAGTAGTACCAGCACCGTCATTACTACTGCTACCAACAGGTGCAGGTGTACTAAGCATTATCTCCACTGCTCGATTCATATTGTTGTGACCTGCCGAAAAGGCACGCATGATAGTTTCTCGTGGATGATCGGGAAACATACTCATCAGTATTTGGACGTCTTCTTCGGGCGGAGGCTGGACTTCCGCTGATGCACCACGACCTGTTAAGGTGTCAATGTATTCCTAAGTAGTTCATATGTGATATTTAGCTCGCTAGATTCAGCATTTTCCCTTTTTTTCTAGGCGGTTCCAATCATGCTACATTTTCTGCTGCTGTATTACCCTGACATCAGCTGTGTTTGTAGCTCGAGCACGGGCATTGTTGGTGCCAGCATTAGATCGCCGATTCCGTAAATTCGCTGCAGTAGTTAAGATTTCGGACGACCTAGCTGTTGTTGGCATGGTTGTTGATGACCGAGGAATAGGTCCAGATGCAAGTGAAGCGTCAGATACTCGAGAAGCAGCGTTTCGAACATATCTAGGAAACCGCCATTTCTTTACATTCCCCACGTCGGATCGATACAAGGCACCTGCCATCATTCCACAGATACATGGTACAATTGTTGCAAAAGATTGAGAAATCATCATCTTAAAGAATCAAAGCGTTGTCCATGTTTAGCTTTCGTTCCTTTCCTGATTTCCTACATAGCTTTTTTTACTTGTTGTATTACCTGAAGCGCTGGTGCATAAAGGAACATTTTGTCATTCAAAGTAGCTCCGAATATCCGGAAGCGGTAGGTGGCAGGAATAATGCGATGATATTGGTATAACATGGAAAAGACCAAAGCATAACTATGTTTATAATTCAATTCGAACAAACAAATTGAGTATCAACCTTCTCCCCGCTTAAGTAATACAGATGCAGGAAAGACATTCTTGTACTTTATATCACTTACGGCCCTCCTGGTATCCGTCGGAATCCCAGTTTCGCACCTGACACTAATGCACCGAGTTCAAGGAACGTTGAAACCCATAATGTGATAAACAAAAATGCCTATACATTATAGGTACCAAAAACTTCAATATATTGACGACGGGCAGACAGTAAATTGACCAGGAAACAAAGGAATGTGCTTACTGCATATTTCGCGCTGCCGTACTGCCGTTCAATAATACGCATAGAGTAAATTATGAGTAAGCCGAAGAACAATTCACCCGAGTTTGTGAATGCGCAATGGGATGTAAGTAGTCGCCAGAACTATATCAGTAATTGTTAGCCAGATTATAGCTCTCTCTCTTTCATTCAAAAGTTACACGATGTAAATATAATACCTGGTGGTGAAGGGTGACATGAGGACTGAGCTGTAGATGGAAAATGGGCTTCAAATCGAGAATGGAGGCAAGGACAGAGCAGGTTCCCACAAACAGAATGAGGAGCTTAGTGGTGGGTACATTGTAAAACCCTGAATGGCACAAGCAACAAGTTTACGAGAACTATTTAAGTTTTCTTTTTATGTACGTAAGCAGTGGGTTATATAATATATACCTGAAGGTCCGGCTGTTTGCATAGTGAGGGAAAGCACAGTTCAGCGTTCAAAAATGAAAATGCGCGGATCAGCTATTGTGACTTTTTAAGGTTTTGAGAGCCTTATTGAGTGTACGTATATCTTGTTGCGTAGCAAAATAATAATCGTATCTGTCATGTTTTTTTCTGTATTTATCAATAATAACGCTATTTCACGCAAGAATAATCCTTTGATACATTGGTAAGTGTGTTGATGAGATAGGTTTCTATGTATAACGTCCACCATTAAAAACGACCAGCGCCCCTCACTCGGCTCTAAATGACAAAATTTACAAGCTGTCCATTCTTGGCAACAATAGCTCTGCGAATAGGCTTATCCGCAAGCCATTTCTGGCCCTGTGGTGTATCCCGTGCCAGTTTTTCAATCGTTGCAGCATCGCTGGCAAGTGCGACAGGGACAGTGATATTCAAACGGGTCTTGCCATTCACCTAATCATATAATAGATACTTATTAGTAAGCTGGGCGTCTCCGTCTGTTTCCCTGAGAATATCCAAGCGTGGTTCCATAAGAAATTACCTGAATCACACAGTCTACAGTATCCTTTTCCAAAGCCTTTTCTTCAAATACTGGCCATGGCTGAGCAAATACACTTCTGCTACTGTTGTTGGTTTGGATGGTGATCGCTTCCCAGCATTCTTCACCTATAGTAGGCGCCACAGGTGCCATCATGGTAACTATTGAGCGAACAGCATGCTGATATACAGGGGATGAAGGTTGCAACGAGGATGCACTGACGTGGTTTGACAGTTTGATCAGGTCGGAAATAGCGGTGTTTAAGCTGTATGTGGTGGACATGGCTTCAGTGACCTGCTTGATGGTAGTATGTGTTTCGCGGTAGACATCTCGTTCTTCGCTGGTCATCTTGTCCAGTGCAGGAATATCAGTGCAGGGACTGTCGTTGCCAACAGACTCTGCAAGTTTCAACACCTTCGCAAGCCAGCGCTGCATGCCTACAATACTTGTGTCTTCCCATTCAAGGACCTCAGAGGGCGGTGCTTTGTAGAGGATGTGTAAACGGACAGGATCAACACCATGTTGGTTTACGACGTTCTTTTTTAGTTTTGATTAGTAAAGGAAATGCTGATGAGGCCTTTTTTCATGTATGTGTTTAAATACTTACAACAGGATCAACACCGTTGTATTTGCTCTTGGACATTTTTTCAAAGCTAATTAGTGGAGTTTCACCGGTAGCAATGATCTTTGGATTTTTTGGTTCTGGATATGGTTTTTTTGTACATTAGCAACAAAATAATGGTCTTCAAAGTTATATTAAAATGTCGTATTGCTGAATTACCACTAGTGTCAACTTCTTCAGGCTTCAAGAATCGCTGTGTTGCAGGATCTTTGTAAGTTTGACCGTGAACCATACCCTAAATTTTGGACATGGGAATACCAATACCAATATCAATATGCTTTTCTTTATACATTAATCACAGCAAGGTCACATCCTCACCTGAGTCAAGAGAACATTGAATGGCTCGCCATTTCCAGGCTTAATATCGGGAGTTGCATGGTAAGCACCATTTCTTAAAAGGAACTTTGAGTAGAACCGCGAGTACAGCAAATGAAGAATAGCGTGTTCTACGCCTCCAATGTAAATATCGACAGGCAATCGCGCAGAAGCCTTTTCTGGATCGAATGGCCTAGTATTTAGCATGATCAGTTTGGAAAAGATGTCGCACACTCTCCCGTATTTTACCAGGAGAAAAACAAAACTTACAAAGAGGTATTGTGAGGATCTGTGAATCTCATAAAGTACCAAGACGAGTCGACAAATGTATCCATCGTATCTGTTTCACGCTTAGCGGGCCCGTTACATCTAGTGTAATCTTCATCAATAAGCCAACTCTTTGCTTCTGCAACGCTTTGTTCTTCTTTATTATCTAATGGACTTACTTTGGACATTTGCAGTTGACCCAGTCTTCTGCCTGTGCAAGTGGAGAGCCACCCTTTCCTGTGAATGATATATCAAGAGGCAAATGCACAGGAAGCTGCTCGTTGGGTACAGGCACCACCTAATACATTCAATATCCGTATAAGCCTAAAAGCTAGGCCTGCTATCCTCTGACTTTAATTGTTCTAATTTCTTACATCGCATTCAGGACAGTGAATGATGGGAATAGGAGCGCCCCAATAACGCTGTCGAGACAAAAGCCAATCTTTGAGACGATACTAGTCGAAAAGCGCATAATTAAGAGAAATTAATACGAACATCTCGTTATCTTTTTCAGAAACTTAATGGATTTAACATAAAAAAGCGCGCGACTTCAATACCTGTGTGGCACCATGGCCAAATCCGATCTTGCTGGCATCACGCATGATAGCCTTCATAGCTTCCTGGGACTTCATGCCTGCATAAGGACCAGACAATGCACTGAGTACACCTTGAGCTGTAAATGGTTCGGCATAGTCCAATGGCTTGTCTGTTTCCTTGATGCTAGGCTCCACCACAAACTTTACTTTATCCACAACCTTATTGGTGTGGCAGAAATCCCAATCACGCTTATCGTGTGCTGGAACGCCCATCACCGCACCTGTACCATACTCAGCAAGAACATAAGGTGCTACGTAGATGGGAATATCTTCCTTTGTAAGTGGATGGTTCACATACAAACCGGTGAATACGCCTATAATAAAGAAACAGGTACGAACCCGAGTACTTAGTACCTCTTTACCCGTCGACATTTCTCAGATGTATGTATATAAACGTTACCCTTTTTGTTTTCTTCTGCTTCTTCCATATTTTGAACTTTATTCAAATCGTTAACGAATTCCATAACCGAAGCTGCTTGTTCTTTAGGAAGAGAACTAAAGTTTTATCACCACAAAACATAGTTATAAAACCATGTCTTTTTCTGAACTAGATCACTGTCTATTTTTGTACTCACTCTTTGTTAACAAGCGGATGCTCTGGTGCGACGACGAGGTATTGAACACCAAATATGGTGTCTGGTCGACTAGTAAAGACTTTGAGAGAACTGACCTTCTCCGTGGGGGTGGTCTGATAATTCCGCAATAAGATGAAATAGAGCGTTAGTAATCCACAACACGTATATAAGCAACAACAATACAAAATAACCTTCACCCCCCCCTCCACAATATTTACAGTTGTTTACTTGTAACAACACTTACCAAGGGGAAATCGAATTCGGCACCCTTTGATTTTCCAATCCAGTGACGTTGCATTTGTTTGACACGCTGAGGCCAGTTCTCCAACAAATCGATATCCTTCAGAAGATCCTAAATATCCCGCACATCTTATTGTATGAGTCGCTCTTTCTCTGTCTTTCTCTCTCTTCCACTCATAATGAACTTTTTTCTGAATAACCGTACCTCTGAGAAATCCGTGACTTTAAAGAACCACTGTTTCAACTTTTTGCGTTCTACAAGGGCACCCGAGCGCCACGATTTTCCTTCATGATCCACCTAGAAGCAGTAATTCGACAGTTTGCTCAGCAACGCATGTGCAACATAAATATAGACAGATGTGATATATGTATGGATAACTTTACCTGTTCATTGGCCAGGACTGTCTGATCCACTGGATCCCAGTTCACTACAGCTTCTTTTTGATACGCCAAACCCGCTTTGTACATTTCCAAAAAGATATATTGAGTCCATTTGTAATAGGATGGATCACATGTAGCCAATTCCTACACAAAAGAAAAAAGTGCGAACCAGTGAGTTTGTCTCTTTTTTCTGGCTACTTTTCTTTTCCTCTTATTCAAAGATACGCTACCCTTGACCAATCGAACTCCAAACTAAGCATGCGCATTTGCTCTTTCATAAGCTCAATGTTCTTGACTGTCCACTCGGCAGGATGGATCCCGCGCTCGATAGCTGCGTTTTCTGCTGGCAGGCCAAATGCATCCCAACCCATTGGATGTAATACCTACATAAATATGCCCGTTCATTATTTACCGTCCATAAATAAGCTATTTTCATCATCTTCCTTTTCCTTGCACCCTCACTCTGTGGTTTTCTTTTCTTTACGTTATATCCACTCATATGACGGAAACGCTGCAAAGTGTCGCTAATGGTGTAGACGCGAACATGACCCATGTGCAACATGCCACTCGGGTAAGGAAACATGGACAAGACGTAATAGTTCGGCTTGTCTTTTGTCTCGAGGTTCTTGAATGGTGGCGATTCAGCCCACCGAGCTTTCCACTTGGCTTCCATGGCGCCGAAATTGAGTGATGCCTTCTTTGTGGACTTGTTGCTGGCATTAGGCGTTGCCCTCGTCGTGGTTGCGTAAAGACGGTTGCTTGAGTTTCTAAGAAACGTACAACGTGCAGAAGACGACGCGCGTAATGGTGTCGTCCACGGCTGTAGTTGACACCGAAGCATTGTGTTTTCTTCCCCTTTTTCAGAAGTTTACTTAGATTGGAACCGGAGATACACCTTTTTTTGTTTGACAGCATGGTTGTGTGCGCTTGATGGCTGAGTTAACCTGTCTTGTCACCTTCTGAGCTTATATTTTCTAATCTGTGGAATATCTTTAAAGCGAGCGTCTTCGAAAGCATCCAATCCATGAACTACTACATCATACACAGAGAAAAGGTGATATCGTTTATTTTCGTGTTGCTTTATTATATTTTTATCCCTTAACATAGGCATGTTTTATAACCATTTGCGCGTCCCTGAGAAAGCGCTCTGGGTCGGCCAAGTTGCAATAAACCACACCAAGACGACGTAAACTATGCGACTGGGTGATTAACACATCGAGCGCCTCGTTTGTGACCGACTGACACAGATACAATCGAACGGCCATCAGTTTCTGTAGTCGACCAAGAGATTCAAAAGCAGGCTGCGACAGACACATGACACCATCAAGCTCTAAGCACTCGAGTTGCTTCAGCTGCTGGAAAAACCATGCCATGTCTTTGACGCTGTTACTGAGAGAGGTGTCCAGTACAAGGTCACGCAAGAACGAGCCCATATGTTTGGCTATGCTGTGTAGTACCTCGTTGGTAACGAATCCTATGCTTCCGGCTCCACGGAAACAGAGTCGTCGGGTCGTTTTGGGGGCAGTACGACAAAAGGCTGCCATATCTGTAGAATCATTATTCAAAGCGTAGCGATTTGAGATGTATAAATCAAGTTGTGTCAGTCGCTGTAGCGCACTAAGAGCATCCAAGACATTTTGCGATATCTCTGGCGTTCCCCATAGCAAAACATTTTCTAGTGCAGGGCATTGGTTTATTAGCGTTGCGAGCGTTTGGCCGTAACATTGGATACCGTTGAGCGCGAGCGTCGTTAGCCGTGTTGCATGGATGGACCCAAGGAAATCCCATTCTTCGCCGGAAGTAATTGGTGGTATAAAGCCGTAGCCAATTCGTTTACCGATCCACAGCACTTCCAAAGTCTTTTGATGCTTGGCGATAACCGACATGATTTCTGCAGGTCCATTTCCTTCCGCCTCACGGGTGACAAGATACCTTAATCCTCTGCTGCTACTGCTACTGCTACTGCTGTTGCTGCTGTCGTTGGCTACACTTTGATAACGTGCTTGATACTCGGATTCGTATGCATAGCATTCGAGATATTCCAGTTCGGGACACAGTTCAAGCACCTTGTCAATATCGATAACGTTATTGCTCGGCCATATGAGATGATCAGCATCTTGCATCACATTAGATACAACTAAGCAACGGATTTTCGGGCAACGACGTAAAATGCAGATGAGTCGGTCGTTGCTGATGACAGCGTTCAGATACAAGGAGGTAATGATGGGAAATTCGATGCTAGGCCGCAACGTATGACGCTTCACTGGTTCTTCTGCTGGATATGTGCGCCATTGATCCCCACGTGATACGGAAATGTAGTTGAAATGCGTCAAATTAGGACAGGTGTTAAATATGTGTAAGAACGCAAGGTTCTGGATGTGTTTGTTGAGCGTGAGCTCCGTCAGATTGCGGGCGATAGGCTCTAATGCATTTATAAATGCTTCTTGGTCGGTAATACGGCACGTGTGCAGTTCTACACACAACATTCATCAACATCATTTTCGGTTTTGGTTAACGGTGAGTCCTCATTTAAGGACGCCTAAACGCATGCTACCTATCGATCGTATATATTGGCACTTCCGGACAGCTAAAGTCCTTAATATCGCAAGTAGTTTATTTTCGTGTCTACCGTCGTCGTCTCGTAACACAAGCCGGTCTAGCTGGGGTCCAAGGCACTGGATAATACGCTTGTTGTTGACGTCAAAGCTGTCCAAAGGAGTATCCAGTGTTTGCCATAGGGTGGCTGCATATTGACTCATACTGCTATTCCACGAACGACATACTGCCATACACTCGAGACACTCGGATTGTGAGAGGTTGGAGAAGATTTCGCAACGAATGTCATACGGTAGTGAATCGATCAGGTGCGGAAGATGCCAAGAGGTGATCGCCAGTGGGTGAGAATCACCGGTGGAGGTCATTATCGTCCACACGCTTATCAAAACGCAACGGAAAACTAACTGGCTTACCCAACCCCTTTGCGTCCATTCATGTGTGAAAAAAACAAGGGCATGATAATCACGGTTACACGGACCACAAGAAAGCGCCTTCCCACAGATTTGTTTTTATGCCGACAGGCACTTGTTGATTACAGAAATATATATTCTATTATGGCCTCTTTTTTTTAATGAATTTATTTACAAAGTAGTCTTGAATTCCTCAATGGCACCGGCCAAGCGAGCAATGCCTTCACGGGCCTCTTCCTTGGTCAAGGTGAGTGGGGGCACAATGCGGACGGTGTTGGAACCAGCAGTGACGACCAGCAAGCCACGTTCACGAGCCATCTTAACGATAGGTGAGGGATCCTTGACCAGCTCGATACCCAACAAGAGACCTTCACCACGGACGGCCTTGACGACATCAGGGTATGCGTCCTTTAAGGCATTCAAATCCTCCTTCATTGCATTGCCCTTTTCAGTAACCGACTTGAGGAAGCTAGGCTCGCTCAGACGGCCAAACACATTCAATGCAACACCAGCAGCTAAGGGGTTACCGCCAAAAGTGGTGCCATGATCACCAGGCTTGATCATTTCCGAGACTTTCGCGCTTGTCAAGACTGCACCGATGGGGACGCCGTTAGCCAGCGGCTTGGCCATCGTCAAAAGATCTGGCTTGCAAATGTCGCTATGGTGTTCGTGACCCCAGAGTTTACCGGTACGGCCCAAACCACATTGGATTTCATCAAAGATCAGCAAAGCACCGGTCTCGTCACAACGCTTGCGCAAAGCTTCTAAGAATTCGGTCGTGGCTGGATGGACACCTCCTTCACCCTGGAAAGGTTCCACAATCACACCACACGTATCGTCATTAATTATGTTCAAGGCCTGCTCGACGTCATTGTAAGGTGTGGTTTTGAATCCAGGCACGAGCGGAGCAAAGGGCAATTGGTATTTGGGATTGTAGGTCGCAGACAGGGCACCCATGGAACGGCCGTGAAAACCATTGACAAATGAAACGATGCCAGTCTTGGTCGTGTTGTCGTTGCCAGTAACATGCTTACCCCACTTGCGTGCGAATTTGAGCGCACCTTCGTTGGCCTCAGTGCCGGAATTGGCTAAAAAGATCTTGCTGGCCCACTTGCCGCCGCTTTGTTGCGTGGTTGTGACAATCTTTTCTGCAAGCTCGCCAGCCTTGTCGTTATAATACAAATTGCTGGTGTGAACAAGTGTCTTGGCTTGCTCGTAGAGTACTTGGGCAACTTCGGGATCAGCGTGGCCCAAGGCGCAGACGGCAATACCGGCAGTGAAGTCAAGGTAGGCACGGTCGTTGGTGTCGTACAAGTGACAGCCTTTGCCGCGCGAGATAATGATGTTGGGTCGGCCGTATGTTGTCATGGTGTACTCGTTGTATCGTTCCACAGTCTTTAAAGTTTCCTGGGGAGCCTGGTTGTCAGGGTGAGTGATCTACGCATTTCGTACAAACCATTTGGATTAGTTAATGACTTGTTGTTGATCGAAATTGAAGGACGGTTTAGAAGAAGGGCAAAAATAAAAAGGTGCTTCTTTTTTACCTCACTGACAGGTTTTGGTAAAGAGCTAGCGAATCGAGCCTATATGCAATGTCGAAATCATACACGTCAAAAATAATGTATAAGCCAGATCTCGGTAAAATATAATGAGAGAATGAAGGTTTCCGGTTCTAATTACACTGAGGAAAAGGGGCTGGGTCTTCTTTGCACAATTTCGTGCTAATCGCGTCGACAACTTTAGGCTATGCATGATATATAGTAGAGTATGAAAAGAAGCTTTCTCTTCTTTTTACAACGATCCCCCTGGCTAAATTTTTATTTTATAGCTTGTTTCATCTCTAAATTTCATCAACGTGACTCACCACACCGACGCATATCCTTTGTGTCACGATGAATGAGTGTTTAGTCGTTTACACGCTCTACAATTCCCTAGCACAAGTAAGCATGAACCTACATCCCCATATACCTCAGTAGGACATGGTTGATCTGTTGGTAAATGGAGATCCTCAGTCAATCGCACACAGAAACCTGCGGGAGATATAGTTGATATGATGATCAATGTCCTTTGTATTCGTCCTTTCCCTCTAGGTACAGTAGAGCGTATGCTTATGTTATGTGTGCTTAACAATAAAATAAAGTGGGCAATGCCACTAGAAGTGTTAGTAGTGATAGTAGCGCGCATTCTTGAAGAGAGGGAGTATAGGCCGTGTACAGATAGACTGTTGTTCATTTTACTCTCTCAATATTTGTTATGGTATCCAAGTTAAGTGGTATCCTTCTTGATCCATGTAGCTGTCCTTTCCTTCCCGAGGCTTGACCGAGGCTTGATCATCCTTGAGCTACATCGCGAAGGGATCCCATTGTTGCGGGTTCCTTTTCTTCATCATCGAACATTGTACAGTTATGTTGGACCGGAGGAAGAGGGGTTGGCTTTCATAAGCTTATCCTCTACACGAACATATGAATAAAACAAATAAGCGATCACATCTGTCAAAAATAAGGCGAGCTTTTGCAGTAACTGTCATATTTACCTAGATAGCGTGAGTAGTCATCCAATGCGCGCGCGACTTTTTCAATTTCAATGGTTTGCTGGTCGATATCATCGACCTGTGCCATGAACGTGCTAAAATCCGCATCTGCATTAAATATGCACCAATAGAACAAAGTTCTTGTTTAGCTTTTGTATACAATCTATCGCATAAATAACTACTTACAAGTATTCTGTAGTCTAGACATCTCTTTCATCAGCCGCTGTCCCATCTGGGACATGTCTGCATATTTTTCCTTTGTCGTCTTATTCATTGTCTCTAGCAACTGACAATCTTCGGTTGTTGCTACAAGTGCGTACATATTGAATATAGAGAAACTGTTGAAGCTCTCGTTTCTTCTCAACAAGAAAGTACCACCTGTGTACCAGAGTTGTGTTTTTTCCCCTGTTACCTTGAAGCTCATTGCGGGTATAAAGAGTCAACTTTCGAACAGCGTCTTCCGTGAGTCGTGTAATGTGCTCTTCATTGAGCATTTTGGTCGCTTCATCTGGATTTAATGGGGTGCCTGGTGATTTGCTGCTTCGTAATATCGGTGACACAGCGGCATTGGGCGATGAAGGTGAAGGTGAAGGTGAAGGTTGTTGCTGTTGCTGTTGTTCGGCCATGACGTTATTGGTTTGGTTAAAAAGGTGGAACAGTTTTGCGGGACACGAAAACTAGGCGTAGAAAAAACGCGTGCCCGCCATCGCCCTTTTCTGTCTTTCTCTTTCTTCTTTTTTCCCCCAAAAGTCTCATACAAAGATGGTCAGCAGTGACGAAGACGAATATAAGGTTGGACAATAGAACAAAACACGCGTCTACTTTTCTTTTGTCATGAAAATTATCATCAGTTTTATGGGCATGCTTACCCTACCTTCGCCGGTGCGAATAGCAAATCGAAACCAACGACGCGTCCTCTGCTGACGAAGAATTTGTCGAAAAAGTAAGTGTGTATTCTTTCTCTTCACACCTATAGCATATTCATATATGATGGTGTTTCTGGTCAAGAAAAGCGTTACTTATAATGGTGGTGTGACATAGGAGCAACCCATAGCGAAAAAGCAAAAATCCAAGGCTGTTGGACAGAAACGCAAGCGTGCTGCAGCCGTAGCGGGGGACGACGAGTCAGGTGGCGAGAAGCACGACAATGAGGAATCGACGTTTGAGGTAAAATTGCGATACACATGCATATATTTACACAGCCTCTATGCTACCATGTCTTAATCTTCATTCTCTATAAACTATGAAAAGCTGAGCAACAAGCGACGAATTTTTGTCAAGCCTTTTTCCAACGGTCAGCCGTCGGTTGACATCCGAGCTGTGTGGTTTGACAAGGAAAATGAAATGAAATATGGCAAGCAAGGTAAGCTAATACCACTATAACAGGGAGCAAGGATCTCCGGGGTTGCTGAACATAGAACCATCGAAATGGCTCTGTAGGCATTACTCTCCCACTGGCGCAATGGGAACGCTTGAAGGAACTCATGCCTGAAATCGACGAAGCAATCAAAAAGATCAAGAACTAGTAGCTCCCAGACTCAGTTGTACTTTGTTATATGCAGATTACCCACATCAAATCATTATGGGAATGCTTGGATGTACACTCTTGCGACGGGTGATTATCTATCCTTCCTTGCTTATATTAGCGCAGTGTCTCATCCGCCGGTAAAGAAGTGCTTCTTCTGATAATTGGTGGAAACACAAGATGTAGATTTATGATAAAGCAAGCGGTTTTCTGATTATTTCGTCTCATTATTTTTATTTCGAGCCAAAAAAAAAAAAATTGTACATAACTCACAGGCCCAGTCAGCTATAAGTTATGCAGCATCTCTTTCGGTCGATCGCCACAACAGATCCGACGTCGACAACAACGACACCGACGAGCGGATTACCCATGATCGACTTGACACCATCACCACAACATCGCCATGGTGGTGTCGACAACGAACTAACCAACAACAGCAAGTACAGCTTCGATCGTGTCTTTCTAAACCGCTTTTATCGTATACTTCAAGTCCTCTTTCAATCGGCCTCGAATCAAGATCGATTCTATTCACTCTCGCCCAAAGCCCGTCAGAAATCACTGTTTTGGCTTTACATTGCATTCATTGCACTTGCGAGTGGCGTTGAAGTTTTATACTACTATGTGGGCTTAACGTCAAGTCGATTCTATGCCATTTTGACCAGTCAAGATTTGGGCGGTTTCACGCGATTCATTATACCTTGTATGCTGTTGGTGTTTGGAACAGCCGCGGTAAATAATAAAAACAAGAGGCTTCTTTTAAATGTCATCTTTACGATTTAGTTTGTTTGCTTGTCTGTAATACAGTGTTCCCAAACGCTTATTATCTTCTTGTATAATCTTCCCCCATTGAAAACATGCCCTTGCTGGAATGTGCATTAGGGCAAGAGTCTGTTATCGTACATGGGCGGTCTGTTTTCACTCAAGGTTCGACGGATATTGACACAACACTTGCATGATTGCTATATCAAGCCAAAAACACTTTATCCGGTTGTCACGAGTCCTGATGCACCCGATAATCCGTAAGCATGTTTTATATAAACAAAACATTGAAACCTTTTCGCTACTTCTACATTCAGCAGCACTAGTATATTCCAAACAACTCACATTGATTTTGTGTAGAGACCAACGTATAGCCCAAGATATTGAAAAGTTTGCCGATGCATTGCGCGAAATAGTTGAAAACCTTATAATTTCGCCGGTCTTGGTTGCTTACTACACCTGGAAATGCTGGTCCGTCACGGGAGCTCTAGGGCCCATCATGATCTATGGTTATTTTGTCGTGGGTTCCGTCCTGAGTCAACTGCTCATCAGACCCATCGTGAACTCGGTGTTCTACAAGGAACTCGCAGAAGGAAATTTCAGGTATGTGTGTTGTGTGCTGGTGACGGGCAAAGAATGGTGTTGAATGGGTAACACAAAGTGTCATGCGCACACACATAAAAGTTCAGTACCTGATCGCATTACCTATTATGATTTTTTGGGAGGGGCTCAGATTTCTGCACGTGAGATTGCGTCAATTCGCAGAAGCTATTGCGTTCTCGCGTGGCGAACGTGAGGAGCATGCACGAGCAAAAGAGAGTTTGGAGACCCTCCTTAGATACCAGCGACAAGTGATCAACAAGGAGCTACCCTTACATTGTAAGCGTCCCCATTTGATATCACATCAAGGTCAAAGAGTTTTCTGCTGCAACAAAAAAGTACTTACATGACTACCCACTCTAGTGTCGAATGAAAGCTTTTCATACTTTGGCTCTGTTCTGAGCTATCTTATTGTTGCTATGCCGATCTTTGCAGGTGCTTTTAAGGACAAGGATGCTTCTGAACTTAGTGCAATCATTTCTCAGGTGGGTAAATGCATTCCAGTAGTATGCCCCAATCCTCGATTAACTGCATACTAACGTTTGTTGTGGATAATTAGAACTCGTTTTTTTCCATGTATCTTATCTTTAGATTTACAACTATTATCGAACAGTCTGTCAAGTTATCTGACCTGGCTGGTTATTGTGCTCGTATTGGAGAACTGCTAGAAGTAATAGATGACGTGGATGATGAGCTCAATAACGTTGCAGTACATCACCCCCGTAATGATATTGATGAGTACGATTCAAGGTGAGCCTAATTTTTCTACGACATTGACGAGAAGGATAAACGTCCTTCAAGGGAAAGAGAAAGAGTCTCATATATTATAACTGTAGCACCATCTTATTTGATAATGTGCGACTAGTATCACCACAGGGAAAACTGCTTGTTTCTGAATTCAATTTAGAAGTGTCGAGCACCGATCGTGTGGTAATCGTTGGACCTAATGGTAAGTAGCAGAGGGAAAGAGAAACATACATATCTGGTCGTCTATATTCTGAATTTTCTGCCATGATAGGAAGTGGCAAGTCATCTCTACTACGTGCCTTAGCTGGACTATGGCAATGCAACTCGGGTCGCATCCATGTTCCAAAGGATATCTTTGGAACTGACTTTGTATTCTTGCCTCAAATACCATACCTTATTGACGGATCATTACGTGAACAAATCTTGTACCCAAACAACTCATCCACTATCGCCTGTAAGTTTGTTATCTTATTTTCAAAACGAGGAGAAAAGAGTGTGTGATGGATTGTATTTAAATCCAGTATTGAACATCTACAGTGACAGATAATCAAATTCGCGAATTGTTACATCAAGTCGAGCTCGAGCATTTGGAAAGTATGCTCGGATCCTTTGATGCTCGGTACGGAGAAGAGTGGCAAAAGATGTTGTCTCCTGGTGAGCAACAGCGTTTGATGTTTACGCGTATTCTATACTGGCAGCCTCGTTTTGCAGGTAATTCACATATGGGAAACATGTGGAGATATTCGTTGTCCCCTAACAACAACACAATGTAATATGTAAATAGTTCTTGACGAGGCAACTAGCGCCATGGATATCAATGCTGAAACCCATCTTTACAGTCTTCTTGCTGGAATGGACATTGCCATTATCAGTATCAGTCACCACCCGCAGATTGTTAATTACCACAATAAGATTGTAACACTAGACGGACGAGGCGGATTTACAGTAGATGAGACAACCCCCTCCTCACCAAAGCAATGATTACCATAACATATATTCATATATCTTTTTCTTTTTGTGTGTTCTGTTTTAATATATATAATTTGATATATATATTTGAGAGAGAAACTTATTCTTTTTTTCTGGTTTTATATATATGAACGTCTCGCGAAAAGAAGCGATAGAGAAAGAATTGTATGGGGTGTATGCGTGTGTGCGGGGTGACTTGTGTGGTTGTTGCTGCTGCTGTTGTAGTTGTTGCTGATACTTGCTATGAGTTGCGGGTTAATAGAAATAGAACATATACGCGATCAAACTAATAAACCGCGTCCCGCTAGTTGTTTACGGCTTGGATAGTACAGATATTGTCGCCCTTTAACATCAGTCGTCCTGTATAAAACACATAAACGATTAGAAAGGATCTGATGTTAACGTGGACCAGCATATAAAGCCCTTCCTCCTCCCTCCTGCAAATCACGGCTGTAAACCACATACCTAACTGTCTTCTCGAGCCTTCTTCCTTGGTCATGACTTCCGCTGCGTCATCAAGCACCAAGTTCATGAATTCATCGAATCCCTAAAAAGCGTGCACACGCGCGCGTTTATATCAGCTTAGCTTCTCTCTCCTGTAGTTTTCTATTCGCGATAAATCGCAAAAAAAAAACTTGGTTGCTAATGCTTCAGAGTGCTTACAATGATTTGACCTTCGATTCTCATATCCGTCTTGTCCACCAACCAGATTTGTACTCGGGTTTTCTGTAAACATAAATTGTGTCAGTTGTCTATCTGTCCTTTGTACGCCTTCTTAACACTGAAGGTTAGAATGGCGCATCTAAAATAAAGAAAATTACTTACGTTTTGAAGATACCTGAAAATCAGGTTCTACAAAAAAAAAGAAATCAAACGATCGATCGATTAGTTTTTATCTCACTATTAGTGTATACTGTGTTTAAACTTACGATGGGCTGAACCATAATCTTTTGGACTTTGCTCGACATTTTTTAATATGTGTAAATGATCTTTTCGGAAAGTGTGTATGTGAAGGGCTGCGCGAGAGAGAGCGACTAGCACATGCTATTTGACAATTGGAAAATAGCGGCGCAAGCGCTCTTTGTGTTGAATGACAAGTCACGCGCTCATAATGCTGGCTGTAGGCCACTGTGAAACCCACCACATCACTCTTACTATGACCCCCCGATATATTCTCATACATATATTTTGTGGATCAGAGTCAAATAAACGTGAATCTTAAGTAATGTAATCATTAGTTCTTCCTGCCCTGGCCGTCAGTCAGTCCAGCAGCACAGTGTCAACAAGCAAATTGTAATAGCGGAGACTACTACATACAACCATATAAGCACAAATGGCATCTTCCTTTTACTGACTGTAGATGATAGCACTAACCTAAACTTCAAAATCAAACATGCAGTAGCGGATGTGCAGTAACAATGCTTAGAGATATGCAGAACAACGTTAGGGCAAGGGAAATTTCATATCAAACGCATGTAATTAGCTTACACATATTGAACTAACGGGCGAAGCGCAGTGTATTCTTTGTCATGTAAAACGTCTGGCGCTATATACACCAAACACGGCAGTACACGCAAAATACTTGTAGTCATCAGCGCTTCAGCAAGCTCTACTCGTTTAAAATGACCGGTACGGGACGCTTTATTTAAGCACCTTTTTGCATTTAAATGATGGATGACCAAGAAGTACAACATTATATTTATACTGCGTGATGTCATTAATTAACAGTATGTGCAAACAAAAGCTCATGACAACACCACATGCTCGTTGCACTTACTCTTTTTTGCGTGCGAAGAACATATAATGATCAGTATGACTACCGAGGTTGACAATAGTATAGATGGTTTTACCACAACAGGCTGATGTGAGGCTTTGTCAATATCTTTTATCCCTAATCAATGCCGATGGCAACGATAAGCCGGAAATTTCTCTGCAATGAATACGCTTATAAAACTCGATTAAACCAAGTTCTATTAACGGGGGAAGTCATCGATAAGAGATGCTGCACTGCTTCCAATGCCTACAACAGCTGGTATAAATGGGATATGACGCTTTGGTTCTAGATCCTGTTAATCAGTTTGCAACAAATCTTGGTTTACATCGTATATCATCCATCCTTTCCATCCTGTCGGATTACCAGGCACCAAGACCAAAGAGAAGGGGTGCAAAAGATCTATATACACAATCAATGGCAGTCCAACAATTCACTTCTCGCTTATTGTCCTGCTTAATATATATATACAAGAGCAGAAGAACTCTCGAAGGACAATATCTGCAAACATTACGAATCCACAACACATCCAAATCTAGCAGTTTGATGCAGAATATTCGGGATAAAGCGACTTTAGCCTCTGATCATGCATGGATGACACTTTATGTACAACTGCTACTGCCACGATACGTTTTAAGTATCCTAAGAAGCATTGAGATTTAACAGCCACGAGCATATTGGTCGATGATAGTACTGTATGGATCTTCGCCGGCCATCACTTACAAGTTAAGATCTATAACGGTGCCCGCAGCACGACCGAATAATCATTGGCTCTCATCCGGCTACTCGAGCACTACTTAGAATTGTCTGGCGCGTTCATGAACGATTTCAAACGACCTTGAAACATGTATTCTGTCAATATTGTTTATAATAGCGAATCCTGTGCTTTCTGCATTGGGTGGCATTAAAACACTCGACATCATGAGAAATTAATTATACGGCTTGACTCGTGTTACAATCCAAGCAAAATTGTGACGAAGCTGCTAGTGTCCGATCAGGTGCCACATCTTGCTCTGAAAGGACAGGGTCCGTACAGACGAAACCATCCTAGCTCTTGGAGGGCTCAGTAGCATCATTCATGTCGAGTAAAATGGCTTTATAAAGAACGTGTCGGATCAAGGTATACGAAAACTCTACTCATGGCCATAAAAGCTGTGCTTAATATCAAAAACTGTCCGTTAGTTACAGACTGACGAATGCATACGATACATAATAAAAAACCAATGGATGCTGTAGATATGTAGCTATTAAACAAATAGAACATGCCGTTTAAAATGATTGCTTAGAGAGTTTGTTCTAATATAAACATAGCTTACATATTATTGTATTAAGCGATATACAGTAATGCAGAACAATCAAAAATCGCAAAAGTCTTGACACGTTTCAACTAGAGCCCTACTGGCTCTCTGCGCCGTAACTAGCGTGTGCAGATGTATAGTATGAGGGTATTATAGATGTTGATGACAGAGCTCAAATTGTGATATTTTTTATCAAGGGGGAAATTTTGTTTGACGGGAATCAACAGAACTAAGTGGAGGACAATGTACACACACAAACAATCAAGTTGCCCGAAGTTTAAAAGCGTTCTTGCTGTTTATACACTGCAAGACTATTCTTTGTCGTGTACGCAATGAGCCGGTTTCATAAAATTCGACAAGGTCCGTGCGTCCGGCTTGTGTCAAACAGTTGTCTGGATATATATGCGAAACCAGGAGACGAGATCTTAAAAACGATCATGTCAATGCAAAGAAAAATAAAGTCATCGCAAACGTAAACCTCTGTTTGAGGTTGGCAGCTTTAAATAGGGACATCGCGGATGCTTTCAAACACGATCAGAAAGATATGACAATTGCAAGGTTTAACAGTTTCTAAATCCCTTCACAAGGAAAAGGTTGCAGATGATTTTGAGCAAGACATAAAGGAAAAGAGCAGAAGTAAAGGAGCGGGTTTTTATTCATTGTAATAATAGAGCAAAGAAATATTTTCTAAAAGACAAAAGTTATAGTTATGAATATCAATAGTCGAAGAGTACAAATTTTATTAAATGAACACAATCAGTGGACAATAAAGACAAATAATAAGAACGCGATTTTACAAAGTGACCTCAACAAGCAGTCCGCACAACCCGTAGGCTATACAAAAAGCATGAAGGAAGCAAGAAGAAACAGAAGAAGTATGTAAAAGGGGGAGGAAGGGAAAGCCACCAATGCCTCGGCCTGGGAGTCCCAGTCTCCCGATCATTTGGCTGGGTCAATCAACCACAAACCCAGCCATCATGGTACAAACGAGTGGGAACCATGACGTACGCTACGTTTCGAGAGTCAAGTGCAAGCAATCGGTTGTGGATTGCCTGTGAGTGGGGAAGGGGGAAGGGAAGGACGGAAGGAAGATGGAAGGGTAGACGGAAGGGAAGGACGGGAAGGACGGGAAGAGGAAAGGGAAGAGGAAAGGGAAGGGGTGGGGTAGGAAAGAATTGACTCTCGAAACACCCAAAAGGACAGCCATTTGCTGCTGTTGTCGAATGCTGGAGGAGCTGCTTACTGGATACTCGGATGCTGGGGGCCGAGTACTGAAGCTGGGAGCTGATTGCCGAGAGTCGATCGCCAGACAGTCGATTGCCGAGCGTCGTTTGCCGAGAGTCGAATGCCAGAGAGACGATCGCCAGACAGCCGATTGCCGAGAGTCGAGTCCTGGGAGTCGAACGCGATCTACAGAGGCACCTGGCTCCTCAATGCGAACCCCACTATGGCAGACCAGACCAGACCAGCAGACAAGGCATCCAACCGAAAGGACGCCACCATATTTCTATGGCGAGAAACCAAAAAGGATTTCTCCGTCCTCTGATCTCGCATGAAGACCGGTTGTGACCAACACCGTTGAACGCCGGACTGAACAGCCCAAAGCAGGGACCGGTTGTAGGCAGCCAGGGGGACCACGGGAAAAAGGCTGAGACCAGGACCGACAGAGGCAAGACCAGGACCAAGGGAAGAGCCAAGGGAAAAACCAGGAGGATCCAAGGGAGTGAAAGAGTGAAGAGAAAAAAGGAAATGGCCTGAAAAATATGGGCGTATTTATGTTTTTTGGATCCACCCGGGCTTTATAAAAAACACGTCACGTGACTTGTAATTCGTCATTCAATTAGCATGTGGACAGTAAAATGGCAGGGAAGAAGTTATGTGAAGAAGAGACATGGTCAAGCGGTCAAGCGATCAAGAAGAAGATGTATGTGGCCTGCGTGTATTGATTTTCCTACGAAATATGTTTCACCGGCATCATGCACGGCGTGTCCCGACAGCGTCGCCGCTTATTTTCAAATAGGAAGGTACGTGCACCCCGTCAAGCCACAAGGTGCACACATAGGGTTTCAGCAACACGATCCCTGAGGAAAAGTAAAAGACAGGTGCCAGGAATGGTTGACATTGTGAGAAATATTTTATCAACAGAGATTAGTGGTACTGTGACAAGATGCTTACATAAGAAGAAGCCACATTACTTTCGTGTCGAACTGAAAAGACTGTCGCCTTTTTCGTATACGAGAAGAAGCGTTCGAACTAAAGGATAGTTGCTTTGATGCGATGACTTTCAAAAGAATGATGCGCACTGTTACCATACCTTCCTCTTTCTCTTTGATTATGTCGTCACTGAGGTCTGGCAGCAGTTGTAACAGCCATATCAACGAACATGCTGTACGTATGTGCTTAGTATGGATTATAACTCATATGTACAGTCCAGGGAAGTTGAACATGAAACTGTGTTCTCCACGCTGTCTGTACTAAAGGTGTGGTTTGTACTTAATATGTGACCTGAACGGACAAGCAAGTCACAGTACGTGAAAACTTAAATCTGTTGATGACACAGGAGAGAATACGGATTAGCCATGTTACTACTATAAAGGGGAACAACTAGCACGTCTTCTCATACTTGCTAAAAAGTAAAGGCATCTCTTCTTTATATACTCAACCCCATAGTAATATCTTGCTGTAACAAGACACTAGCTGGCTACGTAGTTAATATAAACTAGCATAACGAGGGTTAGTTACAATCTGTGTGTAACATACGTAGCCATTTATACTACATGTGAATTTAATAGAAAGTGAAAAAGAGACGATATTCCATGTAAAGATTACCAATCGGATTTTTAAAGTAATTTTGCATCGCCTATGGTCAAGTACTTTGTTCACAACGGATGGGTACATGTTTGATCAAGTGATTATTACACCAGCAAAATCACTGCTGGAGGGGGTTCTTTTCAGCCAATGCTTGACACGTATCTCATATTTCGATTAGATATGTGCTATTCGAGAATCACTTTTCCGGATTCCGACGCGTGTTTGATTCAAAAGGAAAACAGAAAAACAAAGATAAAAGCATGGGATTAAATGTAACGTGGAAGAGACAGAAAAAGTATTGGGAGGAGAATAACAAGCATGATTATGCTGATACGACTATTATCCCCAAATACTACACGTGTCATTCATTCATCGAAAGCATCCGAGATGGCCCGTGCACGGTCCGCTTCCATCCGCCGTTTCGCTTCCCGTCGATCTAGTTGCATCGACCGAGTAATGAATAATTAGAAACGTTCCAAAAAACATGCATCCTTCTATTGTACCTCTTTCTGCTTGGAGTAAGTTACGTTCTGCTTGTCGTTGTTCCGGAGTTCGAGCTGGTCCACGTACACCCAATGCTCCATGGACCAGCCGCCTCGCCACCACATCACTAGTAGCTGGACGTCGCGGTATTGGCTGTCCTTGCGGTGCTACATTGACGCATATGGCACACAATTAGCATATATTGTCCTTTCCTATCCTTTTCAATATCACTTTACATTCTGAGAACTCAATTCCACCAGTGTAGGGTCGCAACTTGATTTGAGAATTCTCGAGATTATCTAGAAAAGCTCGTTTTGCTATATCAACGAGTTCTTGTTCTTAGAAATATACTCTTTTGTTTCCTTACTCCACTCCTTTTGAAGCCTTTACCCGTATGTGGGTGTACAAAAATAATCAAAGCCCGTGTATCGTCCATCCACTTGATCTTGAAGCCGCCTTGAGCATTCTCGAATTTACTGAAAATGCTCTGTAGATGATATGTCTTGAAAAATGATGGAAAATCATAGCAATCCAAAATGTTGGTATATTCGTTGGGTGACTGTAGATTTGCCATACTTGGTGACCTTTTCTCTTTTACAACGTTTCAAAGAAAAATGAACAGAGACGATAAGTTGGAATGATAAAGTTGGACTCTCCAAATCTCCAATTTTTTCCTTACCAGGCGTTAGTGGTGGATCATTTGTCTTCTTTGAAGGTTTTACTTTGTCTTCTTTATCCAATGTTTCCAGCAATTCCTCCCATTCTTCTTTGGAAGATTCGTTTTCTTTGCCATCGCTGCTGCTGCTGCTGCTGCTGCTCTCATTATTTCTGGTGCTGGCGACATCCAATTTTTCCAAATCCGTAACAAGGCGATCCACGCTGCAGCTGTTTTTATTACCATCGTTGCTGCCATCTGGCTGATCGTTTTTGTTTATCATAGACATCCAATCGCTTGATGATAGGTTTTGTCGCTGATTATTATCGTTGTCGCTGTTGCTCTTTTTTAAAGGAATTGGTCTGTTGCCTGGTGACGACGACCAATTGTTTGGTATTGGTGGTGTTGTTGTTGTTGGGCTATTATTACTGCTACTACCGCTGGTACTCCATTCCCTCCAATTCCGTTGTTGATTGACATCATTGGTAATTGAGCTACTGTTGGCTGACACTGGAGCTCTAAATTGTCCACGGCCTCGACGAACGACTACTTCGTGTGGTGAAGGTGTGTCTGATGTCCTTGCCGAGCGAAATTGCTCGTTTTCGTTGTTCGTGCTGTCGTTGACTCTGCTGCCACTGGGCGTTGTTGTTGGTTCCGGCGATTGCTGCTGCGCTACACGACGATGGCGGGGAATATAGACTTGCATTGGGGATCGACGAGCATTATCTGGATTGTTCATCGTTGTTGTATTACAACGACAGAAAACAGAAAAAAGGTTTGTTTTGCAAAAGGAAACTGTCTGTGTCACCGCAAAAATAAAGCACAGCATCCCATCAGAATTTTTTTTATGGGTATCATGCATTATAGTGTGATGATCCACCATCCTTGATGACATATACATCTCATCATAACTTTTCACAAGTTTGACCTTTATTACTACTAGAGATGATGTCTGATGACTATTACTACAAGTCTCAGTGATGATCCTAAACCGCTTTTTTATGAAAATTTCGGTCATGGTTGCTGTATCAGTAAGTGTTCTTGGCTTCTGCTACTTCTAACTTATTGGTAAGAGCTCTTTGTGTGTGCCGTCCCCTTCCCCTCTTTCTTGAAACCTGTTTCCTGGGGTGCCTTACTGTGTTGGAGCATTTTAATTACTGGCACTTAATCTTTGTTTTCTTTTTGAAGCGAGGCACAAACAAGGCATGAATATTGAAGAGAACCACTCACTGCACCCTGAGATTGAGCTCAGTTCCGGTAGAGTGGTGCAAGGGAAGACGATGGGGAAGTTTACACAAGCGCAGGCATGTATTAATACGAAATCAGCTAGTTTCGTTATTGGATGCTCTCAAACATATTTATTAACCTGAAAACCCCGCCATTTGTAGCTTGTTGTCTAAGATATATATAAAAAATCATGGACTGTCGCATGCAGTTATACCGAAAAAGGATTCACTTAGCTCATTGATATACTATCATAGAGAAGAATGTGGTGATGAATGCTCCAGTACTAAAAATGATATCATATGCTACATTATTTACACAGGCATTAAAATAACAATCGTCATATTATGCATAACGTGTAGCATACATATCATATTAAAACATTTGTTAATAAAGATACAAAGTTATTGGTTTAAAGTACATAAAATAATAAATATATGACTATATCAGTATGATTATAAATATGTGTGTGGGGATTTGGGCGGGATAATCGAAAAGTTGTGAGGTGTATTTTCTGGTTTGTAAGGGTTTTATATAGTCATTCCAAAGTGAGGGGCATAGATGACGATCGAGAAGGCCAAACCAGAAATGAGACCAGCAATAGGGAGTGTCATAACCCAGGCAAACATACACCAACCAAGCATCTTCCAGTTAACAGCACGGATATTACCATTGCAAAGACCTACTGCGGCGGTAGCACCAGTAGCGCAGTGGGTGGAGGAGACGGGAACACCGGCTTGAGAGAAAGTTAAAATGGTGATGGCAGCACCCAACTCGGTCGAGAAACCACGGGTAGGAGTCATGTAAGTGATGTTGTTACCAAGACGGCGCATGACACGGTAGCCAAAGGTAGCCAAACCAATATCGATAGCAATACCACCATAAGCGAGAATCCAAATGGCGACAGGCACCTCTTCGCCGACAGTGGCAGTGGTCCAGATGGTGTGCACAGCAGATAAGGGACCGATAGCATTAGCAACATCGTTGGAACCGTGGGCAAATGAAAAGACGAGGGCAGTGATAACTTGAAGGAAGGAGAACATGTACTCGGTGTTGTTGTCGTACTTTACGGCAGCGGCGTGGATGTCCTTCAAGTGAGCCGAGTTTAAGTTGCGGACATCCTGGCGAATACCATGAAGCACGATAGCCACTGACTTCTTCTTGAGGTAGGTGAACGACAAGAGCTTGCCCCAGTAGAATGGTGTATCGAGAATGTCAACATGCTCAATGACCTGTTGTTGACCGCTATTATTCTTGTCATCAGACGATTCACCATCATCGGTTGCATCTGAAGCACTCTTTTCCAGCTGCTGCTGCTCCTTCTTGATGGCTTCTTCTTTGGCAAGGACAGCATCTTGATCAGTGGGCAACACATGCTCTGAAACATTCTGGCCTTCTTGATCGGGAGATCCAGCTTTGGGACGCGCGGAAAGGAACGGAGTGATAAAAATATGGTACCATCGAAGTTGCTCCCGCTCAACGACACGGCGACGAAGCCATGGGACAAAGAATAAAAAGGACCAGATAAGGAAGACGCCACCAATACCAAAGGCAATACCCAATTGAGCACCAATGCCCATCTTGGCAGCTTCAGTACCAGGCGCACCCTTGAAAATAATGTAAAAGGCTTCGATAAACGTAGTAACGAACTATGAAGAATAGTAGATTGTATCTTAGGTTAGCAATTTATATAAGAACGGTATTTAACTAAGGATGGAAACTGATATAAAAACTTACAAAGAAGATGGGAACAAGGTAAAGACCCCACTTCATACTGTTCTTTCGCTTGAGGACGGCATACTTGACAATCATGTAGATAATAGCAGCGACAACACCGGAAGCAATGGGTGAAATGAACCACGAGGCAATGATACCACCGACACCACCAAACGACCAGTCAACGACACCGGGACCGAAACCAGCAATACCCATGCCAATAATAGCACCAACGATGGAATGCGTCGTGCTGACGGGCCAGCCGAAGCGCGATGCAGTCAGAACCCAGGTTGCAGAACCGAAAAGGGCGCACATCATACCAAGCATAAGCATTTCTGGTTGCTGTTCAAATGAGTCCAAAGGCATGATACCGCTACGGATAGTATCAGAGACTTGGTTGCCGAGCAAAAGGGCACCCAAGAATTCAGTGAAACAGGCACAAATAACGGCTTGAAGGAGCGTCAGCGATCCAGAAGAGACTGATGTGGCAAAGGCATTAGCGACGTCGTTTGCACCGATACCAAAGGCGTCGGCGAAAGCCAGCACCATGGTGACGCCAAAGATCCACGTAAAATCATAAGGGTTCATCATCTTGGCGAGAGATGAATCTGTATAATATGATAGTAAGGTTTAATATAAAGTGTGGAGTGAAGCGAGATCAAGAAGATGAGAGAAAGAAGAAGAAAGAAACTTGGTTAAAAGGTCCAGTGTCTTTTATTTTGAAAGCAATTGTTGCATCGTATAAGTTGGTCGTCTGTGTGCGCGGCTACTCTATTTGTGCTCCCATACAATACAGAGCCTTCTCTCTTGTCGCGCGGTAATTGTGTGCTGATGGGCACCATCCAACTTTTTTTGTGTACACATACACAGTAGTAGTCAGATCATGATCCAAGACAAAGGAATAATCAGCGATCTGAACTGCACCAGCGAATGCGTGAAAAAGCCAGCCAATGACAAGCGGGGATTCTGAACATGCCTCCCAAGCATAAACGTGAATTTCGAAAATCCCGGTTTTCCATAAGGTATAAAACTTCCTTTTATGTCTCTTTTCGAGCATCGTGCGCATTTTGATGGAAATTATTGTTCGTCAGTTGTTTGCATTGCACACTCTATAACCTCGCTTGTCCTACGCTGCACACTGGCCGCCAGCCGAGATCTTGATGCTACACGTGTGATATACGCTGTAGCAGCAACCACCATCCCGCCTTCTTTGCTATCGGCCGTTCTTCCTCCCTCTTGCTTTGTGTTAGCACTGCTTATACTACGACTGCGACAGAGACACAACGTTCGTGTGGATAAAGTTATACGCTCAATATAGCATAGACTGAAACCGCACGCATGGATTGATCCGACAATGACCAACGCGGTAATGGAAAGTTTAAAAAAAGGCTCAGAAGGGATGTCGTTTGTTACACTGCTGCACCTATCACATGGATCGCTTATTTTGCAACAAGGAGAAAAGCTTCCACTTTTGCGTATGCTATATAACCCGCGAAGCCGTACCAAATTCAAAACAATAACGCGCTTTTCAGTTTGCTCGCTCATGTGGCCACGCCACTATTTGTATGATAATCGTGTCAGCCTCATCAGACCGTGTGTTCCTGTAGTTTTTTCTCTTGTTTTGCAATGTGGTGATCGTGACGGTGGCTACTATGTATCCGTCACGCACACTTTTTACATACATGGTATATAGATTTTGATAACGGTTTTCTAAAAATTCTTTCATGTACCGCGCAAATGGACAAACTCTTTGCTGCTATTCGCTGCTCAAACATAATATAAATTCTGGACCATCGATCTATGTAACCAACACCCGTGGTTTCCGTTCAACTTTTGTGTTCTTTCGGAAGTTTTTAAACCTATACTTTACTCTGGGCGATGCAATTGATAACCTCTAATATAGGTTCATACAATCATACACGCTATTCATCTTTGAAACCGGCAATCTGCTATTTCTAAAGGCAAAACGATTGAGGAAGTTTGAAGCTTCCCGTATATCCTTGCGCTCCAATTGTATCTTTAAGTATCACAAAAAAGAAACAAATAATCCAACTCTATAAAGTAGTTAGTTGATATTGCTTGTCATGCTGTCAGTGCGGCTTCCCCTAAAAGCAGTAGCGAACCAAAGCATACTAAAGAAGATCTCGGCATCTTTGTTTGTATCGTGCCTTGCATTGAAAACCATTATTACGCGGCTTTACCTGCTCTCTCCCACTCCAAACACACAGCATCAAACTATCAATTGTCACGGCAGTAGCTCTTGGAAACAAACCGATACTGTAATTAGTATGTAAGCGCGACCATCAATTGCAAAGCATAACCGAGAAAGCGTAAATGCATAATTGTCGCGAAAACATCCATTGAAAAACTCGCTGATTTCTGCTACACCTTATACTACAGCGATCGTGGATTCTGATTGGCTTTACGGTTCAGTATTGCTATATTATTAAGGTTCCGGAAAAGCAGCTGCGGTGGCACTGTATGGACTTTCACTTTTCACTCGACGACGTGTCCCAATACACCAAACGCCTCGGACCGGCCCATATCGATTTTCGCGTATGGCCTCCTCCACCTGACAAAAACTCAGTGTGGTATAACGCGCGTACAGACGATAACGATCGTACTGACGCGACAGAATATGGACGATCGGTCATGAGCACGCAGAAGATAAATTCAGGCAAGGTGGTAATCCAAGAATATCCCCAGATTAAACAATTGGACAATGCCAATGTTCTTCACCGCTGCTCGCAATGTTTTCGCCGTAGTGCCGACTTCAAGTGTCGTACCAGCAATTGCCCTTGGGCTTTGCACTATTGCTCGAAAAAGTGCGAGGCGCGACACTGGTCGTCTGTGCATCGTTGGCTCTGTCGCTTTCCTGAACTGTCTAAATATAATGATATGACCCACGACAATCTCAAGTCCCATACTGGAGAGACGCCCATGATGTTGGCAGCCTATTTCTTTAGTAACCAGGTAATATATAAGAGGGTGGTCGATTCGATGACCAGGGAGGAGGGCCCACGCGTTGTTGCATACTGACTAGTGATATAAACATCTATCTTCGTTCTTGCTTGTAAAATAGTCAAGGATCCCGTCGCTTGTTTCCAACCTAAGCAAACACTCGGTATTGGACAAGAAGAGATATCGCGACAAGGCCCGGATGGTGGCAGTTGTGCTTAACCTTACGCGTGACAATGTCGTGGACGAGCTCATGGAGATCCAAGCCCAGATACGCTGTAACACAATAGCTATTCGCGAAACCGACGCGGACTGGGGTGTCAACATGTTGCTAGGAAAAGCAATCTATCTTTCTGCGAGCATGCTCAATCATAGCTGTGATCCCAACGCAATTGCGTTTTTTGGCAAAGACCCTGGCCACGATCCATGCTTGCTGCGTATCAGAGCATCAAGAGATATCCCAGCTCAGCAGCAAGTTTGCATTAGTTATGGATTCACTGCAATGAAGCACGAGAAAGGAGCCCGCAGAAACTCGCTAAGATCGCGTTATTTCTTCAACTGCAAATGTGAAGCATGTCAAAGTGGGTAAATATTTTTGACGCGATATGGACGAGATCAAGAGCCATCAAATTGAATACTTACTGCTTTTATTGAATAAACGGATAGAAATGTGGAGAATCCAGCCACGCATATGTATCAGTGCCAAAACTGTGCAACTGGACGGCTTGCTCACGGCGAGGATTTCTGCAAGCGTTGCAACCGCCGTATCGATTGGATGACGATAGCCAGGGTAAGCATATTTGCGAAATCAAACTGGATGAGAGCCATCTCCATTAAGCAAATTTCGATAGGTCGAACAAAAAGCGGATGAGTTGGTTGAAGAAGGACAGCTTGTTGAGGCCTTGAATCTACAGGACATGATCTACCATAAATCGGCACTGCGATGGGGTGAAGCAATGGACAGGTTGGGACAAGGATATGCACAACGAGGGAACTATGAAAAGGCTGCGCAATGTGTCACGGCATCCCTCAAGGCAGTGGGTGATACTTTTGGTCCTACGAGCATTGAAACATCGCGTGAGTTGCTTAAGCTCGCAACACTGTTGTTTAACGGGTAATGTCATGTACAAACACTAGACAATACTAAAAACGAGATTAACAAGTCTACGCCTTAATAGACATATCATCGACAATGCGAAAGAGACAGTGGCAGAGGCTATCCGTGTTTACAAGGCACTTGGGTTGGATGAGCAAAACGGCAGCGAGTTCAAAGAGCTACAACAGATGCAGAGTACGCTCAAACACGTCGATCCATCACCGTTAGTGGCTGACGCCGCTCTCAGCACAACCAGTAGTGCCACAAATTCCATCACAGCAGACACCACAGCCACCAGCACCAAGAAGAAAAAGAAAAAGAAATGAGTTTTGTTGGCAAATAAACAAAATTGAGATTTTAATAAGACGATGCCGATGAGAATGGATGACGAGATTAAAGCGAAAAATACATGACAAGAAAAAAAGAAGGGGAAAAAGTCTACTCTAGATGTGGGTGTATAATATAAACTTTTGGAATTTGGATTGTTTTTGATTCTTTACCAATCCTCCTCATCAGAGTACACCTCCTCACCACGCTTGCGACGCTCCATACGCTCCTTCTTCTTCTTACGGAGTTCCTTGGAGCTCAATTTCTCCTTCTTCTTGACGGCCTTGACGGTGTTACCCTGGGCATCGACCATGTCTTCGGCTTCCTCTTCCTTGATCTGGGTGGAACCGTTACCAGAGACCCAGTTGTGGCCAGAGGCAACGAGCTCACCGTTGTCGACCTTCCAGACTTCAGTGCAGAGGGCTTCAGAGAATTGACGGTTGTGAGTAACAATGACGACACCACCACCGTATTCCTTGATGGCACCGGCCAAGGCACCGAGAGAGTCACGATCCAAGTAATTGGTAGGTTCGTCAAGAACCAACATGTGAGGACGGTTCCACATGGCAGCACCAATGACCAACTTGACCTTCTGACCACCGGACAAACCACGGATACGCGAGTGAGTGGCGAACTCAGGCTCCAAACCAACTTCTTCCAAATGCTTTTCAATTTCCTTGGAGGTCAAGGGGCGGTTGAGACCCATCTTGGCGGCTTCCTGAGCATCGACTTCGGCGATCTTCTTGGCGAAGCCCATGGTCTCCAAACGCTGACGGGAGATCCAGGTGTTCTCCATGGACGACTTGCCAACCCAGGCAACTTCGTACTCGTACGACTGCTTGAGCTTACGACGGCCAACAATGTCTTCGACAATGCGCTTCTCACCCTCGATGACGAAAGCCTGGTTCATCTGCTTCTCTTCCTCTTCGGTGATGACACGGTCAACCTTGTCCAACTCTTCACGATCTTCACCGGTAGCGTAACGCCACTGGATGTACTCGTTGGGGGTGCTGTCCAAGTGCTTTTCAATATGGTGGAAAGCGTGCTGAGCGACGTAGGCAATACGCAAGTTGGCGTGCTTCCAGACAGTACCGATCTCGGATTCCATTTCACCAGTCAACAACTTGATCAAGGTGGACTTGCCGGCACCGTTGGGACCAATGACAGCGACACGGGAGGCCAAGCAGCACTGCATGGTGATGTTCTTGAGCTGCTTTCTCTCGGTACCGGGGTACTGGAAGTCAACATTCTTCATCTTCAAGATGGCACGTTCCTTGGTCTTGATACCTTCCAAGTAACCGGGCTCAGGGAATCTGAAGGCAAGCTGCGAGGCATCCAACGAGTAGTAGGCGGCGGCGGTGGGAACCTTCTTGACGAACTCGGAAAGGTTACCTCTGTAACGTTTGAGCTTGTAGTTCTTCTCGTAGTGAATGATGTCCGAGCAGACGTGGTCCAAGAAGTTGGAGTCGTGGGAGACAATGATGGAGGTGACAGTCTTCAAGCCGAGCAAGTAGTTCTCCAACCAAGCGACGTTGACAACATCCAAATGGTTAGTAGGTTCGTCCAAAAGCAAGATATCGGCGTTCATCAACATAGCACGGGCGAGAGCGAGCTTCATCTTCCAACCACCGGAAAGCGAGCCAATGGCCATGGAGGTGACCATCTCCTCAGAGAAACCGTAATCACGCAAGATCTGGGCAACCTTTGCTTTGTCCTTGGTCTCGACACCGTCGGAAGCAATGATGAAGTCGACCAAAGGAGTATCGGCCTCAGAACCATCAATGTCGTGCTCGACGTAGACGGTCTTCAACTCGGACTTGGGAGGGAAACCTTCGACCTGCTCGTTGGCAATGGCGCGCATGAGAGTGGACTTACCACAGCCGTTGTAACCACAAAGACCATAACGGCGACCACGCTTGAGACGGAGAGAGGTGCGGTTCAACAAGATCTTGGCACCATAGGCAAGCGAGAACTCACAGTTGCAGAGATCCTCACCCTCATCATCTTCCTCCTCGGGGTCCTTGGGAGTGACGGCTTCCTCGCACTTGTCAAGAGCCTTGGAAATGATGGTCTCAGACTCGGCAGAGAACAACTTGACGTAGGGGGAAAGAGCCTTGACCCAGACATCCTTCAAGAAGTTCTTGGCAACGCAGAGAGCCAAAGCAACGTCGGCGAGGTACTTGGACTCGGTAGCGAAGAACTCGTCAATGTCGGCGGGCAACAATTCCTTGAAGGTGGAGCTGACCTTCTCGGCCTTGTCGGAGGTGGAAAGAATTTCGATGTTCGAACCGCCAACACGGGCCAAAGTGGCAAGAGCCTTCTGGACGACGCCACGGCACTCGGGATCGGCAACGACATCCTGGATCTTCTCGAGAGCGGGCAACAAAAGAGGCAAGAAGGGAGCAGCGACTTCGGGATCATCGACGAGCTTACACATGTTGTCGATGATAAGAGCAGACTTACGCTTGATGGGGGTGGCACGCTCGTTCAAACCACGGCTGAGCAAAGGAACCATGATGGAGAGAGTGGCGGAATCGACCTCCTGGACGAAAGTGGTGGCACCGAGCAAATGAATGGTCTCGGGGACATTCTCGGGCTTGTTGATACAAGCAATGACAGCGGGAATGAAACGCTCGATATCCTTGTTCTCGACCAAGGCGCAGATGTTACCCATGGTGGTGGTGGCGGCCTTCTTGACATCGGCCTTGGTGTCCCACATGCAGTCCGAAACAACGGGGATGACATCGGGGATGGTCCAGAAAAACTGTTCGGCCTTGCCCTTGACGAGCTCATCCAAGAGAGTCAAGGAGAGGATCTTGGTCTGCCACTTGCAGGAGTTGCCCAAACCTTCCAAAATGTAAGGAATGAAGACGGCAGTGGCATAGGGGTTGAACTTGACGATCATGTTCTTGGCGGCCTCGAAAGCAGCGGTCTTGACGGCAGCCTGCTTGTCGGCCTGGAGTTCCAAAAGGCTGGCCAAGAAAGGAACGATGTAGGGCTCAACCTGGCCCTCAACGCTGTTGTCGGTCAAAGCCTTGACAGCAGCAATAGCAGACTGACGGGCACCGGCATTCTTCTTGTTTCCGAAATCCTTGGCAATGGCATCGAGGACACCATATTGCTTGAGAGACTGGATACCGTTGGCGTTGACAAAGGCAGCAATCTCCTGGGCAGCAGCCTCACGATCGGCATCGGCAGCACCAGAAAGAGTCTTCAAAAGCTCCTTGGCCTTCTTGGTCTCGACTTCGCTGGGAGCAGCCAACTTCTTGACTTCGACGTTGCTCAGAGTGTTCTTAGCGGCGGCAGCTGGCATGTTTATACAAGTGCAGTCGGAAATGAGAAGAAAAGAGAGAGGGGATGGGCAATCAGCTACAGAGCCCGAAAAAACAGGTGAGGGAAAGAAAGGGGAGAGCAAACACTTCTCGAGGGACGGCGGAACAAATAAACTCGATTCGCAGAAAAAATTTTTTTGTTCGTCTGTCGGATAATTTATAGTACGAATATACAGCGCCACCGTCGACGAATGAAGTGGCAGCATCCGCCATTGTTGACGGCTCTCACTGGTCAGCGTATGCACTGTTACTGCGGTACTTGCTAATCCTATGAAATGCATCCTCCCGTGACAAGAGGCATCCCATTGGTCTGCTGCCTCATTTCAGGGCAACCACTTGGCCATTCATTCAAAAGAAGTTGATCGATCTGAAACTAACGTCTGTTCAATCCACAAGTCTGTCTTACACAGGACGAATCAATGAAATTAATTAACACACAAATACGGTAACCCTGCCAAACCGTAGATGTTTCTAAAGCAAAACAGCATTAGCTGCTTGATAGTCCGAGTAAGCATGCATGCACCCATATGATTTTGCCCTGATAATCACATTCAGCAAGGCTCATCTTGCCCTGCAGGAGCTGCATCGATGCTACCTGTACCATATTTTAAGTGTATCATGCTACTCTTGGGAGACGACAATGCATACAAGATGTTTAATCATTTTAAACGAAAGCCAAACCAAACATCTGTCTTCGCTGCGCATATCTCCCATTTGCATGGATCTAAAACAGATCCTTGTTATTGGCTGCCCAATCCTCAAGCTTCTCCGGCGCTCGTCCTAATAGCAGCGGCAATCCTCGCGAGACGGGACTCAAAGACTGATAGGTCGACATGTAGTATGCCATGGATGGTGTTTCGCCAGCCTTGATGAAAAAGTCGTACAACTCTTGAACTGGCAGCTGGGAATACGAAATAGTGCGGCCCGTCAACTTGGAGATAATGGCAGCGCGCTGAGCGGGTGTTTTAACGTCGCCAATCAGCTCGTAAGCCACATCTTTGTGCTGCTCGACCGGCTGTAGTAAAATTCTGGCTGCCACAGTGCCAATATCCGCGGGCGAAATCCACTCTTGCTGCTCATCCGAATCTGCCGAGTCCACAATACGGTTGTCGTTCTTGATGGTATCATAATCCGTCATGTTGGTCATAAAATTCGTTGGGCGGAGCACAACATGATAGCCTCGGTCCTTGATTGCGTATAGCGCGTCTTCTGCCTGCTGGTGTACGTGAACCACATTGTAACTACGCCAAGGCAGTCGTCTGGCCGAAAGCTCCACAAGCTGCTTTATGCCAGCGGCGTACGCGCGCGTACCGAACGCAATCTTGACCTTGTCCAGGTCTTCGCGGTCGGCAACCAATAGAAACAAGCGGGTATGGCCAGCAATAGAATTCTCGAATGGAGTTAAGTCGTCGTAGTCCCCCTGGACTATCGTGATGTTTTCGGCCTTGGGCACCTTTGCTGGTGAACGCGCGTATACAGTCACTTGAACACCAGCTTTGATAAGTTCGGGTAAAATCACCGAACCGATCCGTCCAGTAGCGCCAAGAAGATAAATGCGGTCGCCTTCAATCGTCATTTCGTCCTTTTTTTCTTTTATGTGAGGAAAGAAAGAAAGAAAAAGAAACACTGATTACACCTTTTGACTCAAAAAGCACTTGATTTAGTGTAGTATACCCAGCTGCACAAAACCACATGCATATGTGTGTGCTCATTTGTATGTCCATCAGTAGCCGTCCTGCAGGAATGCGAGAGATTCGGTTCAACATGTTGGACAGCATTATTGACATTTCGACAGTGTATTCAAAAACTCATGGCTATACACATTTGACGCAAGAAAGCGACAAAGGAGAAGCTTCTGTCGTGGTAATCATCCTGTTCTAGCAAGTATACGATAAGATAGACTCTCTTTTGAGCATACACAACAGTAGCAATGGCATGTTGTAATGGCAGCTTGGTGTGCAGCCTTGAAATTCGAGGACGAGTTGAGTGAGATATGCCATTAGGCTGATAGCGATATTAAAGTATCACTTGCAAACACAACAAATAGACCATCAATTACATAGCCTTGTACCTGAAATAGCCTTCTTTTACCAATGTTCTATGCAGGCCATGTAACAAGTAGCGCTGGGATGTTGGACTGTAACTACCTTTGCTTTATTCTGCTTATGCATCGACATGCTCGGAGCAACTGCAAAGTAAAATTTCTCTGCTTTGTTTTCGTTGCATATCCTTGCTCACCTTCACATTATGTACTGTAGGGAAATATTTTCTTTTTATGAAACCGGTTTGTAAAAGTACGAAGAAAACAAGGTGTTTATTCCAATTATAGCAGATAATAATAGTTATGCAATGAATCATGAGCAGGTGACTAACATGTATGGAATCAGGATTATCATCCGTTTTTGCTACGTTAATAGTAAATACATTTGTTTCGTAGTCACAATGAAATAAAAAGCATAAAGTCGCCAGCTAAAAATCACATCTCTTTCAGTAGCTTGCGTCTCCCACCTATATACCCTTACCCACGAGCAACGGTAACAAGAGCAACAAAGTAACTACACGCTGTGTGTCGCACAGAACATACTGTAGACTATGAAGAAAATTAATAATAGTGGAACATATCACTAACACTATGCAGCAAAAAAACCTTCAACGATGACCCAACCCCAAAAAGAGTCAAAGTCCAAAGAGACGCCGTTGTTCATCGAGAGCAGTAAGTATACACTTTTTTCCATTATTATATAGCGCACTATAAATTCTACAAAACAGTTAGCTGTAATGACACTGTGATTATTGAGAACTAGTACACACGGTACGTGAAACGATCGATGAATATCTCACCACCACACCCGCACGCGACTGGAACACATTAACAGCAGCCAAATATCTACGCGGAAAATTTATTATGATCGACACAACCGCTGATGTCCAGCATTTTATAGTTGTATATATGAAGCTGTTGCACGATTATGCATATTATCCAGGGTTCTGCGATGATGCAACAAGAAAAGTACGAGCAACGGAAATTTTGAGTGCACTCAACAAACACGGAGGAGCGATTCGCGCTTGCCTAAATAAAATTTTGATTAATACGTAGCGAACGATCGTTTATCATCATAAAAAGCTAACCCAAGGCCAGCTCGCATTTATGTGATAGCAATAGCGAATGGAATTATATGATACCTATCTCATGTGTAAGAAATAAAGGCACTTTTAACAGTTTATATGGTACAGAGGTGTCACTACACCGTTATCCTCCAACGATATTTCGACAATTATAAGTAAAGCGATTGAAATAGCAGAGTCACTCTCATCAGTACTAAGACGTGTTGGCAGCAGGACCCGTTTGAGGAACACAACATGAGCATACAGACAAATAAAGGGGAAGTGATGTTTCATGGGTTATGGCCAAAGCAAGCTTGAAACTGCAACATTGCTAGCAGTAAAACCTGTATTCTCACTCAGCAACCTGTACTATAGGCGTTTCTCGCCTTAAATCAGAAAATCTCAGGTCTGTCATAGAGTTATGCTTCACGCTATAAGAACTGGGAGGCATCAGCTAGCGAAAACTGGCAAATTCTGACATACATTCCTTCAGCATTAATAGCCAGATATGTAACCGACCATCAAGATACGGTATATGCTATATTTCATTACGAAACCACCGATAGCTTTGTGGCCAACATGTCTTCGGCGTCTACCAAACCATTGTTCATCGAAAGCTGTAAACATACATTCGCCGTTAATACTACATTACTGCTCTCATTACTGTTATACGACGGTTCTCAATACGTATAGACGATGGTCCTTTGCTTACTTTACACTAGCTGGTGTCACTATAAAAGCGACCGAAGCCTATTTGGAAGAAACACCATCACATCAGTGGAACACGCTTGTCCTTGTTGAACGTGTGTGCAAGGATTTTACGTTGGTGGATCCAAAAGCAGAAAACATGCATTTGTCAGACTGCTATGTCAAAGTGTTGAGACAACGCTATCTCACGATATGCCCAAGAGTGACGAACACAAGAAGAGACAAGCAGCAAGAGCTCGAGAAGTTCTCTGTTGCTATGCAGCAATCCGTAACATTTCTTTCGACCCATCTCGAAAAATCAAGACAGCGTTAAATTATGATCTCTGTTCACCATCCTTTTGTGTACGCGAAATAAATGGAAAGGAAGCTTTCTGGGACTCGTCAATCCCAGGATTACATATACTACGCTTAGCTTGGGACTCTCTATTTTCAGTCACCATATTTGGTACGTCTGGATCATCAGAGCAACCATTATCCATGCGTGCAGATGAACAACAAAAATTTCTTTTAAAGTCCCGCAGACTCTTCCCCTTCGTTTTCCACACTGCCGCTCACCACTTGAGCAACCTAACTCGATAGACACCCACAACCCTTCAATGTGAGACACTGCATCATTAGTAACTGAAGAAGAATTTGACAAAACTAGCTGTTGTTGACCCTGGTGCGTCTGTGTATGTGCGTTTTTACGACGCGTTGTTAGGCAATTTTGATGAAAGACACTGAACGCTACCTGTCGTCCATGCTAAAGCATTTTGACGGCAAAGAATCCGACACCAACTGGGAAGCACGCGAACAAACAATTGCACACATTCGAGAAATCGTACAAACGACTAATACACCGGACGAAAAGCAAAGTTTAGCACGATTGTTACGCTCCTATGTTGACGCCCTCACTCAATCGGTAAGTCTCTTTTTCTGTTGTTTTAACAACAAATGGGTTGTTACCACTAGGTTGCTGGAAGTGCCCAAAAGTTGGGAGAACATAGGATAAAGAAAAGAGGGCACCAGGGACTAAAACCACTATAATCTATAAATACAAATACTACAGGTACATAGTCTACGAAGTACGGTAGCGTTATCCGCATTAGGACTTGTAGGCGACCTTGGCATATACCTTGGATATGATCTAGATCCATACACAACAGATCAACTCTTTCTTCACACCCTCCGTTGCGCAAGCACGCCCAAAAAAATCATTGCCGCGCACTCAAAAGATGCATGCGCAACGCTATTATCCAACACCCCTTATCGCCACCGCATCATCCAACAAGTGACGAGCGCCATGGACGAGAAGAATATACAAATGCGACACTACGCAACAATCTATCTAAAGACGATTCTAGAAACGCATCATGGAGCGGCCATTGAGAGATCGGGTGGGCTGGACCTGGCCGTCAAAGCGATCAAAAAGGGACTTTCGGACGCGTCGCCAATGGTCCGTGAGGCGGCTCGACAAGCTTTTTCTGTGGTACAAAAGCATTGGCCAGCACGCGCGTCTAGGTATTAACACAGAGACAGTGTGTGCGTGTAGTGTTGTAGTACAGCATGAGTGTCGGAATATCTTTTGGTATATGTGTTCTCTTTTATTAAGGCCCTCCCCAAAAAAACAATTGGAAATAGATTGGCGCAAGGGTTGGATATGAATGTTCAAAAATCGTTGGACAAGTTGACGGTATCACCAGCAGCAAAACCAGCATTTAAACGGCCTAATACATACAGAAGCAGCTTGTCATCCGTTTCATCCGTCTCAACTTGCTCGTCATGGTCATCAGCCTCTTCATTCTCCTCTGTAGCATCGTCAGCATCATCTCTATCGTCAAAAGCATCAGCATCGCCATCATCTTCCAGACCATCCATTCGCTCACGGTTGTATAGTCAACCAACCGTTCGAACCACCAGCCCCCTTTCCAGCTTACCGTCGTCATCCCAGAAATTAACAACTACAACAACATCATCATCGCGTTATTTTCCGTCTCCTTCTCGATCATCCTCAACAACCTTGCCACAAATACGCGAATCGGCAGAATTAGCATCATCACCATCATTACAAAAAACCAAACTTGCATCGCTTGCTTCACCCATTCGTGTACCGCGGAAACGTGTTCATGATGAAGAAGAAGAAGAAGAGCAACACCACAACCAACAAGAACAGGATATGAAACTAAAATCTCAACGGCATACAATGGACGATCTTGATGCTGACCGTTCTCATGGCGACGGTGATGAAATTATCAGTAGCAACTACCTCATTCCTATTCCTGACAACAACACCCATCACCAAGGTCGGCAACATTCAAATTCACAGCTAGCAGTAGCCGCACTATTACAAATGCTACGAAGCAACGACGTCAATTCCAATTGCAGAGCAATCCGACGTCTGTTTGAAAAGCTGAGAGGACGCCCTAGTCTATATAACGAGGATGAATCCAAGATGATGAAACTGCCAACCGATGTGCCAACTACAGCAGACCTTGGACCAATACTTGCTGACTACTTGACACGAGAAACGGACGATGTAGAGTACTGGCGATTACTCATGTCATGGGATTGTTTAATTGGAATATACACCCGCGTCGTTGATTTGAAACGTTACCTTCCAATGCTCATTCTAGCCGCCAGCAGTCATATCAGCCCATTAAAAAACAGGTCTGATGTCTGTCAACAGAACAATAGTATCAAAAGCAGCACTTGTCGGATCGGGTTGAAACGGTTAAGGATGTACTTGGGAGCCTACGACGCGGAACTACCCAAACATCTACTCGCCATCCTCACTCATCCGACCGACTACTACGTGCAAGATCAGAAAGAACGTAACACGACTTTTCTATATATCGCTGAATGGATGGACGAGCTGGTTTGCGAGTATGTGGGACTTGGCAAGGATGGTGACGACGAGCAGCATGAAGAGGATATCACGCTAGTCAAAGAAGGCAGTGACGAGTACTTTGAACAAGATGGCAACCCGGCGTATCCATGGTTTGATGACGAACAGAACATACAACAAGCCATGTCACAAAGCGTGTCGTTGTTGGAGACTTGTATCTCTCAGGAACAAGACCAAGAAGCACAGCTCAAGACCATGCTTACCACATTGGTTGGCCGCCTGCGGTTATCCAACGAACGTGCTTTTGACCTTTTTTCCGAACGGTGTGAAAGGGCGATGCAACAGGCAGCAACGTCCCAGCAATCCAGTATGCTGATGACGAGACAGCAGCAAGGAGGAGATTGGAAGATTGACTTTGAGACAGTGGACGCTATACCTGACGAGGAAGAGAGCAGTGGCGCGACACAAGAGCTTTCCAAAATGGATCTAAAAACGGATGTAAGTTTATTTTCTTTGAAGGGGGCGGGGGAACTGGTTACACGACATTTATGCCTTTTGTTTGTTTTTTTTATGTCCCCAAAAAGAAAAACTCTTCTTTGGAGTACGGCGGAGCAAAAGTCGTGGCGGATCTGGAAATCCCTTCTTCAAGGACAACAACAACGACGACGACGACAACATTATCATCATTATCATCATCATCATCATCGCTATTACCAGCACCGCCGCCGCCGCCGCCCACAGCCCGGGAAATTCAATCCAGTGACTACAACAAGCTTAGGGACATTTTGTTCCAGACTCTGGGGCAACTGCCATCCAAAGAAGCGTTTGCCACATGTCAACGGATATCTGCAAAGACGCCGGTGTTCCGTGCAGAACAAGCATCGGCTAACTTTTGCCTGTGGACAAGCACGACGGCTAGCACGCCATCCAACAAGGACACGCCATCGTTCGGACCCTTCATTATGTTGTTGGAAAAAATAATGACTTGTGTTTCGGAACGGGACGAAAACAAGGCGATTGAAGCACTGCACTTGGCCATGACATTGCTCCGCAATCAGCCGGCGGTGCTGCAATATTACCAAGAAGCCACAACAACAACAACAACAACAACAAACAAGGAAGGGACGGATGATTGCACCTCTTCGATAGCGTATTTATTGGCCGGGGTATTGCAACGAACGGCTGCAAGCAGTTTGATCCGGGTAATTTAACCATTGTTGTTTTTGTCGGCTAGAGCAACAAAAGAAAGAGATATAAAGAACTGATCTTTGTTGTCATTGTTACGACTCCTCTGGGGGTGGGTTGTTTTTTCAACTTCAGTTATCGTCGGTTGCCGATAGAGCGTTTGTGGAGTTACTCTCGGTATTATCTGATAAAGAGAAACTACAGATCATAGGGTCGCTGCTAAGGGAATGGCTGGAAAACAATGAACAAAAGTCCGCCGTCCGTGCCTTGTTCGTGTGCCTGAGCAAGGCGGTCGCATCCAATGTCTCTCGAGCGACGCTGGAAGCAACCCTGGACCCCACGATCTTGATAAAGGTAAGCATCACCATCACAAGCATCGCTTGCTGCCAATCAAGGCTCACCCGTTGTAAAATAGGGCTACAATCATACAGAACTGGTGGTGCGACGGGCATGTGTGCAGGCCATTGTGGAGATGTATAAAATATTAGGAGAAGGGTTTCTAATGACTTATCTGGCGCCATCACTACGGATCGATCAGGTCAGCCTTCTGCGGCATTATATTGGTTGCAGCAGCAGCAGCAGCAGCAGCTCGTAGTAAAGCTAATTTTTTTCTGTCAGCTAAAATAAATAATAATAATAATAATAAATAGCGAAAAGCGGAATATTTCGGGCCAAGAGTGAGATGTTTTTTGTAACCAATGGGAGCTTTCATTTAAACCCATGCCTCCACATTTCTGTCTGCGTGGTTTCTTTTTTTTTTATATATTCCCGATTCTCCTATAGTAACATAATAAAGTAACTTGGCTGGACGGAGGCTGTAATATTATTTCCCCACTCCCGCCCCCCCCCCTCAGTTGGCTGCTGATACTATCTATCTTCCCGCAGGAACCAAAAGGCAAATAGCTGACATGATTTTTTTTTTTTTGGTTTCCTGGGTGACGACGTAACCATAGTGTTAGAATGTGTCAGGTGATTGGTTTTTTTCTTTTTTGACAGGTTTCCAGATCAATAACAACTTGACTATTTTATCCGGAAGGTATATCGGCTTACAAAAGGGCCCTGTGATCATCACACACACTCTGGCGCTTTCTGTCTGTGTATATGCGCAGGGCACGCACATGCACATGCAACGCTGTCAAAAGGTCACACAAGGCCCCAAACCTTAGTCCCAAAAGGGGGTGTGTGTGCCTGCATTTCCTCGCACTCCACACATCCCAACCTTGGGCGCTCTCTCTCTCTCTCTCTCTCTCACATAGATTCCCATTCAAAGCAACTGTATATTTTCTCTCGCCCCTTGTACCTTTCGCACGTGGGATGGACGCTATTGCCTCTGTGCTCATATGAAAACTGAAAGGGAATTATCATCGAGTAGATCGGATAATTCAAGTCCTCCACCTTTCCCCCCCCCCAACGGGAAAGAGAGGGTTAAAAAAAAAAAAAAGCGGAGAGAAGAAGCCCAAAGGAATCATTATCACCCGACAAAAATTTTCGTTGGTTTTTCTTTTTTTGCCCTATCTTCCTTATGGGCCACACACCCCACTTTGATTTATCTCGTTCTGCAATCGTTCCCGCTTAGCTTTAGGTCTAGGGCTACGTGGCGGGTGGGGGGGGGGGGAGAAAGTAGATCCTGCGTGGTCTCATAGGCGGCGTGGCAGCCAAGGATTGTCAGGGTACTAGGGTTATGTTTGTGAGAATGTTTAAGATCCCTGAACGATTGCTTCACGTATCACATCACTATCAGACACACACTTATCACGGATCCATGAGCCCCGATCTCGTCGTTACGAATGGCAAAGTTTCATATTACATGATTGAAGCCGGCAGCCTCGTCGCTCCCCCACATCGGCAGGATCCGAATTTCGTTGACCGAGAAACGAAGAAGGGTCCGGGAGATCGCGGCAGATTGCTGAAAATAGCGAGTGAATCTTTATCCACAAGTCGGCTCCATTCTAAATTGTGGGGTCGGAGAGAGAGACCCTGCACTCTTGCTTCATCCAACGCCCCCCCCCCAGAAAACAAAAAAAAAGGAGAAACACTGCCTTTTAATGATAAGCCTGACTCGCTGACAGATACCCAATGGCACCTCTTGGTCGGTTGTGTCGGCAGCAAAAAAAAGAGCCCTCTGGGATTTCCTCAACTACCCCTCACTTGGGAAAATCAGGATATTATTATCGTTCAATATAAAAGAAGAAAGTCAAACGCCGCCGCCTATTGGCCCTGTTGTGTCACCCGCACAGATATCGGCTTGCACCCCCCCCCCCCGTATCTTCCTTTTTGATTTCGCATTATCAATAAAGAATGCGTGACACCCACCTTAACCTTGCTATCATCAACCCATAAGAGGATGTGGGGGGGCTCGTGCACTTGGAAGGAAGGTTACGGAACAACAGCGCTTACTGTCACAGCATGACTCCCCTCTTTACTGACGACCTGGTTTTTTCAAAAGGCTGTGGTGGATTTCTTGTGGAGTGACACGCACACATTCTCTTTTTCTTTCCGTTTCGCTTCGCAGACACAACACACACACAGACACACACATAGCACGCCTTCTTTTGATAGGCCTTTTTTTTATTATTTTATTTTCATGCCTGTTCAATAAGTGTAGCCATCTCCTTTGTCCGTTCCACTGCGCGTTCAAAGCAAGTGCGCAGTGCACTCGACTCGATCGAATTGCCTCCATTCTTGCTGACGTGGCACACCTGACCACTACTGTCCATCACAACTGTCACCGTTTCCTTGGTGAGTGCCTCCTCTGCCTCGTTGGGATCCGATAACACTGCCATGGGTTCCTGGAACACGCAAAAGGTCGATGCAATGGGAACACGCGTCATCTGGAATACCGGCGACTTGTTGGATGCATCGGCCTCAACCACCATGGATTCCGATACTTGCGCTTTTGGCAGCGTTACTAGAGATGCATTTGGAGGGATGGTTTTAATAATAACCGGACTCTGACATGTGTACATTAAGACTTACGTTTTGAAAGTGCAGCAGTGAGAGCCAGCAGACTTGCGTCGAGGATGTTGCCATCATAATTTAGACACACGATATCGGCGTACAAGACCCATACGGCCTTGCCTTCCTCAATGCATAATGACTCGAGTGGGAACAAGTCAGAGCTTGGAAATAACATGGTTTTTAATGTGTGAGGTTTTCTTTCATGCGATGCTTCACTTGTTGGCTTGCAAAAAAAAGAAAAACCATACTTTGTGAACAATTGATGGATAAATTCGGATGTAACTTGGGCTTTTTCAGGAGGTGGTCCTGCACGGAACTTGGGTGAGCACATTGGTGATAATTCGACATTGGGCACTACACAAATGGAATTGGTTTTAGTGTTGGGGCAATTACAAAGACGCGTCTCACGGGCACGCGTTTGTAGCAGCCTACACAGAGAAAGAGAGAAATACCAAGATAGCCTTGATTGGGACGTTCCACGTGAGGTTCACAGACCTCTGCTTTGATACCACAGACAACGGTAGTACCGCCGAGGCGGACCATGGCGCTGGCATTGGCGGTGGAAATGGATCCGGTTGTGATTAATGTTTTGCGGAATGAGTCGAGTAGTCGGCCATCGGGACGGACACTGTGTTCTAAGAATCGGCGAAGATACTCGTGGGGCTGGATTCGGTGAAAGACTTCAAAGCTTTTTGAGGTAGATTCGAGAGGAGGAGGAGCAGTGGACATTATGTGAGGGTGTAAAGAGAAAAACGTGCTGCGTATGAGAGAGTCTGTGTTTTTTGGAGGAGGATAGGGGGGGGGGCGGAGTAACTTTTTTGCTGGGACGCATGAGGAAAGTGAGGATAAGCCACTCTGCGAAATTGCCATTCTTTTTTTTTCATATAACAAAAAAGATAGAGTGTGAAAAGATCGGCGGCGATGCTGATAGCTTTTCCTTTTCCCTACAGTGCTGTGTGTGTGAGAAAATAGAGGAAAAGTAAGCATGTGCACCGCTGCTTGAACAGAAAGGGGACGATGCTTGGCCACTTTCATGTGATCAAAGCCAATGGGGGATCGTAGGATTGCGTGATCTGGAGTAAAGGCATGATATGGGCACCCAAGGAGACAAGTGGTGTGGTGTGTTGCAGGCAACTTGGTTGGCTACTTGCAAGTTTGGGGGGGGTGGGGGTAAGGGAGGAGGGGGGGGGAGAGAGAGCCATCGGCTTGAGACGGAAAGGATTGAAAGCGAGACCCAGAAGGGGGGTTTGCCTTATTCGAGACAATCTGCCATCGATTTCTCGGTTGTTGCCCCGCAAGACCCCCCCCCCACCCCAAATTCAGTCAAACACTCCGCGTCCCATCCCGTAATCGGCTGCGATCAGTCAACACTGGCAGTTCAATCGCCAATATAAATACCAGCTGCTTTCCCAGCCCTGGTTTCCATTCTCTTCTTTTTTATCTAATATCCTTCTTCCCCACACACACTTTTTCACTCTTTCTTTCTTTCTTTCTTTCAAGAATGGCCTACCAAGCTGCTTCAAGTCTCTTGAGCCTCTCACACGCTACGGCTACTACTACTACTACTACTACTGCAACTGCAACAACAACACCATTGTCATCATCATCATCATCGCCACCCACACCAACACAACAGCAAAAGCGAGCCATCGCCGCCATCGACAAGGCCAACGTGCCCCGTCCCTACAAGTGCCCCATGTGCCCCAAGTCGTTCTACCGTCTTGAGCACCAAACCCGTCATATCCGCACTCACACGGGCGAGAAGCCTCACCAGTGCACCTTCCCTGGCTGTGAGAAGCGATTCTCCCGCTCCGATGAGCTGACCCGTCATGTCCGCATCCACACGTCGCCCAACAAGCGCCGTGAACGGAAACAGCAAAAGACCATGAAGCGCACTGCTCAACGCGCATCACACAAAGACCAGTCGTCAACATTCTCGCTATCATCATCATCATCATCATCATCATCATTATTGCAACAACCACAAGAAGACACCCATATGCTCGCCACAGTGGCCGACATCACACCTACCGCAACCCCCGTTCCTTCTGCCCCTTCATCGCCCGCTCTGTCAGCGGCAGATCAACATCCGTCAGACTCAGAGACCGAGTACCTCTTCACCCCAGGCAACTCGCCCACCATGTCGCCCCGCACACTCTCCCCAATGACTTCGCCAAAGATCATGTCGCAAAGCAAGATCGAGCCCTTGGAATGCAGTCGGTTTGGTCCGGTGTTTGCCCGTCCTGTTGTCACTGCGGGTGCCCTTCACAGCCATGACCACCACCACAAGCACAACAACAACAATAACAACAACAACAGCACAAGCTTGTTGGACCTCTTGGAACGACCCCCGCAGGCCCGCGTTCTTCCGCCTATTTTCACGGCATCATCCGATCAAAAGACGTCCTTGCCTTCGATCCACTCTGTCTTGCCATTCTAAAGCACCACGCTTGTCTATTATTTGCATATTTCATACATCCACTACTGCCACTACTACTGCTACTACTACTAGATCCAACTCGCTCTGACCCATCCTTCACCCGTGGCTCGCTCAGTACCTCAGAACATTCATTCTATTTCTTCTCATTATATACACATCTTTCTCACTTCATACTCTGTAACTTCATTGCTTCATTCTAAACAACAACACCCATATTTGTCATTACGGTATAGCTTTATTATAAACCCTTCTCTCTCCTTACTTGTACATACACATATATATATACATATAACATGCGTAAATAACTTAAAATACATCACATATGCCTCTATACAAACTTGACAACTTTTTTTTGTTTTTTTGCTGTTGAAAAGTATGCAAGCGCGTGGGGTAGCAGTGACCCAAACATTTTTTCCGACCCTCCCGAGTATAACAACGGAAATTTTCTCAAAAAGGAAATCGAACCGACAGGGCAGTGGTGCTGCAGCTGCAAAGGTTTGTTTTGTTTGTTTGTTCTGTGTTGACGGTTCGAGTGACTTGAAAATGGTTGAGGTGAGAAAAGGGCTCTCAAGATATCTGAAGGGTGGGTGGGGGCTGGTTAGTAAGTATAGACGATTCCCCCACTTTTGTTACCAAGGGAACAAAGCATTATTTTGCATAAACACATTGAAAGTGTGGGAAAAATAGCCATTCTTTCGTACAACACGCTTTCTCTCTTCCTTTTGAGTTTCTCACGAGGGTTCTTCATTTTAACCGTTTGTCAACTCCTCCCCCACCCACAAAAAAGATGATGTGTCAACGCAATAGTCGGAAGTACAATGGCCCAGTATTATATTGTTCGAGGCAGAGCAATCAGCTCATCTTTTACAAAGTGTCCGAGCTGGAAAATAGTCTGTATCAGTAACAACCCCTGTGGTACTCGCTGCGACCCGACAGCTAAACCAGCATCCACTATTTGGCAGCGGGAAAAAAAAAAAGTGGCTCGATTTTTTGTTCAAGAAAGGGCTTCCACTCTCTAGTCGTCGTCGTCACCGTCATCATCATACGACCCTAAAAGCATTTCTAAAATCGAGGCGCTATAAGCGGATTCGGCTAACCCATTAGCCAGGCCCTTTATGTAAGTGCTGCTGCCCGCATTTGTTTCCGTCTTTTTTTTTTCTATATTTTCTAAAAGTTTTTGCCCAGGGATGATCCCCTCATGTACCTTGTACAGACATGTGCCCCCCCCCGTAGATAAAAGCTCGTTCTGCTTTTCTTTTTTCGAATTGGAAAAATAATATAGAACCGGACTTTATTATTTTCTGTGTCGTTTAGGCAATTATGTCAGCATCAAAGTTTTATTTATTCCGGCATGGGCGGGGTTTCTTCAAGTCCACCCAAATCCACCCCCCCCCCTTGCAACTTGAAGTCTCTTTGGCTATGTAGGATTAAGTAATCAACAAAGTGGACACAATTCGGTTTACTAATTGGCATGTCGCGTGAGATGGAAAGGGGTCATAGAAACAAGGTTTCACTTTGAGAAACCTGTTGTCTCTTTCAAAGGGATGGATCAGTAAGCCAATGACTATTTGGGGGGGGGAGGAAAGGATCAGATTATTGCAATTAGCAAGAGTAAGCGCAATTGCTGCTGGTGGACAAAGGAGAGTCTATTTTCACGTGTTTGGCCTGAGCGTTGCTGTCGATTTACCACTACTCTTGTCATCCAACCCCGGAAGCAGTAGGAACGAAAAACAATAGTAGTGGAGGAGTATGTATTCTCGTTTGTGTGATGACAATGCAGAGAGATCGCTCCATATGGGGAGTGATGTGGGGGTGGGGGGCGGGGGAGAGACACAACCTAATCAATCACCCATGGACGTCTTTTCTATCACAGCAGCACCCTCCAGCTATTACATAGTAGTAGTCAGTAGCATCCAGAGACACAGCATGTGGAATAAGCACAGCACAGTCAACACGGGAAACGAGGATGGACCAGGTTGAAAAAAAAAAAAGAGATAAGCACCGGGCTGGTAGTAGTTATTATGAACAGTGATTAGATAGCAGCATTCACCAGAAGGATCGGATAAGTAAGCGCATATCTACTTTTTCCCCTCAAATTGATTAGCCGATCTCCCTGTCTTTCTCCTCTCCAGCTGCATTGCCCCCCACACGCACACACACAAATTATAGTAAATTGTCCGAGCAAATATATCGCTTCAACCCGATACCAAAAAAAAAAAAAGGCATGATCATCAGCCTGTACTTACTAAGCAGCAATTTGTTCGTCGTCGGCTTGGGTGCGACCATTGGTACAAAATAACTCTATTTCAGCATCTGTCATCATCATCAGCAACAAGTAGCATTCTTTCTAATATAATTAAAGAAAAATACTGACATGCAATTCACAGTATATCAACATGTGAAAGGAGCACAAGCCAGGTTTGGTAATAATAAGGTGTGTGTGCGTGTGTGTCCCATATGAAATTATAGCGAAAAATGTGGCAGCGAGCCCATAATTCCGGGTTGTTGCGGATCGTGTTACACAAGACAAACAAAAGAGCGTTTGTCACTTGTCCAGTTGAGTGGTTTCAACCGTAACTAAACTATCAAACAAACGCCACCCCCTTATTAAGTTCATTGGGCGTCAGCGTCCCAGTAGTCCGTATAGACATCCCCTTTGGCGTTGTGCGTCATAATGGCATCACAAATATAGCTGTATGCCTTATTATGGACAGATGACAGTACGGGGTCAGAGGCCCATCATAAAGAAGATGACTTTCTCTCCTCACTCATAATAGCGCATGTGGATAATTAAAGTGTTTTGTCGATTGAACCTTGTTGTGCTTCATTTGATCTGTTTTCATGGGCTCTAGAAGAGTAGATCTCAAAAACACTATTCTGTTCAACATATAAACAGTCTTGAGTAGCCGCTGGATGTAACCTTTTTTTCGTTTAATCACTACCAGTTCATCCAATATCAACAGCCAGTAATATCAGTAAAAGTTCATGAACTGCTGAACGATAATGGAATCCTTTATTGTTACACGGCAAAGGTTTGCTTGACATCTTCTAGCTATGGACACACCTACTCCTGCTAACACTCTATACATGTTAATCCTGTGCGTATAATAACATATTCTCTAATGTTCAGAATACTTAAATATATACATAGCGAAAAGAATGTCAGCATCAAGGCCAGTCAATTGATTGACGCCATATACGTAACTGCTGTCTATCTGTCATCTTTACAACAGTGACCGAGCAAATCAAGACATTCAACATTGTATTCATTCACACTCATTTACAGCACTAGGTACAGTAATTCACGTGTTTCAAGTACGAATTTTTGAAAACAAAAAATGTAGTAACATAACATACTATTTCTCCATCATTATCATCCTTTCTCCAAGTTTCAAAAGCATTTTTAAATCTGTAATATCCCGTTGTTGCGCATGTGTGCATACTGCTCTCGCTTCCAGTGCTATACGCTTTGGGGCTGTAATGAAGTGTGACAAACAGCTTGCATCCAATAGCTTTAACAGGTATCACAACATCAAGACAGCGTGCTCCCTGGGTTATATAAGCCGCTGCTGCTGATGAAGCGGGTGTCAATGGTCTTTTGGTCGTCATTGTTGGAAAGGTTCCAGGAATTATGATTATTTCTGTTAAGCGACGATCCCTATTGGAGGGATAGATAGTCATTTCGGCGCTCATTATCAGCTATCGCCCACGGTATGCAATGCCGTTGAAAGCGATCCATAGACTAAGTCCTTCTTGACCTATTGGTAAAGGTGACATGAGCTTCGTGAACAGTTCCGTACATTGACCGGATCAGTGGCTCAAGGCCAAAAACGTAGCCTTGGAGCGTTTATTATACGGGAAATCCTACATGGTTTAAAGCAAACGCATGTAGTCCAAGAGCAAACACACATTACTATCCCTACCAACTTTAATTGATATGCCATCTTGCCACCAATCAATGCACCAGTCGTGAATGGGATTACTGCTGTAAGAAGTCTTGTAGTGAAGAAGCTACTCGTCCCAACACACTTTGCTGTGGCATCTAAAGACAAGGCATAGTAAAAATAAGCGGTTCGTAATTTATACCAAAAGGGACTATATATTAAGCTAAGTGGGACGTAATGCACAGTAAACGGTGCTCTTAACGTACAGAAAAAGCAACCGCAAAAGAGCAGGACTTTTCTCTCGGGGTTTATTATTACATCATTGATTCGGCAACGGCAAGAAGTGTGCAAAGAGCCGGTCAGAGACACAAGCCCACATGATGTGAATTTTGCTGTGAAAACAGGCAACAGTAGGGGTAAATTTGCTGCGTCTCTCTTTTCTTTTTTTATTATCACATAACGAAGGCTCCGATCACGTACGCAAATAATCAAGGAAGCAAAGGTAGTCTAGGAATGAGGAATTCAGGAAGAGCGCGACACAGATCTTTCTTTTTTGGATAGTGACGAAGTTACGCGTGTGCCAAACCTTGAACGTTCCAACAGCTTTCCCCTGAAACGAAAACTATGCGCATTGTGACGCAGCGATTTGGCCATTTGACTTCGCACTTGAAATGCACAAAGGGATGGCGAGTGAACGAGGTGATCAATAGAGCAACAATATGCGCAAAGGTGTCAAACGTTGGAGGAAGTCATCGTTTGTAGTGTTATTCTTCTGATCGTCCCAAAGGAACTTAAACGCTGCTTTAAAAGAACGTAGAACCGCACAAAAACAAACGAACAGATTTACTATGTCAGCAGCAATGTAAAAGACTGAAGGATGAGTCGATTTCACTAGCGGCAGCGGATACTTATTTATGAGCGGGCCAACTTATCTGCAGCAGCACATACTTGGGATGGAGGATAGAACGTTAGCAGTAGCATAAACTGGGATGGAGGATGGAGGGAGGAGGTTATACGGCGTGGTTCAGAGAACTGTTGGCGGATAGCGTAGATGGTAAAGCAACAGTTGACGAGCACGGTTGAACATAGAAGATACCGGGTCTTTATCATATAGTGCAGCGTTGGGGGCATCTTTTTCCGCACACACATAACATTACGTACCACACACACAGTCAAAAGACAATATTAAAGTACTGTGGATTTGTCTGTGAACTACGCTATATACACACGCTGTTTGTCTTGTTGGGTGAAGGACTGTAAACTGGCTGCTGGGTGGATTGTGTTCTCACTGTTCACTGATGGTGAATTGTCTACCTTGTCAGTCACGTCTATTTCCGGCATTTACTGCTCACGGAAAAGCACTTCTTCCGTGAATCTACACGCTCATTCGCATTCGTGTCTTTGTATTTGCTTTACACGATGCCGTGCACGGCCCACTCACAAACAAGCGGCGACAGCATCGGAGGGTACAGCTCCGCATGGTGAGAGACACGTACCACTACCGCCGCAGCACATTTGTTTACTTGACCACCAAGCACACCCCCTTTCCTTTCCTTTCCTTTCCTTTTTTGGTGCTGAATCTTTTGTTATATCATAGTAGGCAACCCACAAGTTGAACAAGCGAGAAGAAATGTCTATATAAAGCGAGCAGTTTCGCTTTCTTTTTCTTCTTCTTAACTTTAGTTCGTTTTGGTACGGCTTTGGCTATAGTGCAGATTCACCGCTCTGTGCAATGACCAGTCCAAATGACTGTGCTGGCGATTGTTAAGACTCTTCAATGATTCGCTAGATTCAGTGGTCTGCCCTGAGGAGACTCTTGCAATGTACCAGTGGGAATGTGGACATGTACTCGGGCAAGTGATCGTGCACCTTCGGGTGCATGTGATGCCAACGGTATGTGGTGGGTTTTAAACGAACAGATTATTATTTACAGTATTAAGCACAAATAAGAAAATGATAAAAATCTTTTTCTTTTCGCACTCTTCTCATAAACATTTTACCGCTTTTTATTTTATTTTTTTTTGCTCACGCGCACGACAAGTTCCTTATTTTTTTTGCCCACCCACAGCTCCGTGCTAAACAAAGCGCAGAACAATGACAGACGACAGTAACACGATCACAACGCGCTTTATCACACTTTGGAAGGCACTTTGCACCTTTCTTTTTCTTACATTTCTGTGGTCGCGTAGTTCTGCTCGCGAAATAATCGAAAGGAAAGAATTTGTTGGGAGGGTATGGACTCCAGCAACAACGGCGCTTAAGGCAAGCTGTTCTAAGCTGAGAGAACCAGTTTAATGGTTTGTTTCGCTCGCCACGCCCCTTTCAACCCCTTGATTAACCGAAAACAGCCATGCTGGTCTATAATTTGACAATTTGTTTAAAGCTGCCCACATCCATCATTGCGGGAAGCTTATTTGCATAGTACACTTGACAAAGTTCTTAAAGACTATGCCGGGATACATTGATAACGCTAACAGGGAAAGGCGCACTTTTTGTTTTTTTTATGAACTGGGTTACTTCATGCTGGGGAGTTTGTGTGCTCATAAAGTCTTCTCTTATAAAGTTTACTGAATTGCTATCCCGTCATAATAGTTACAGTACTTAACGCAGCTAGTCGTTATTGGCTTTCAGCATTCTTGCATAAATACGATAGTTTAGGGGATCTGTTGATGTGCATCACTGGCCACTAGAAATAAGTAAAACTGCGTTGATCTCTTCTTCTCTTTTTATAAAGAACGACGCAACAAACCAAATGACTTTGTATTATGGATATCAAGGTACATCGTGCTTACAAAGTTTAATATGTAATTAGAATGATTATTGTCTGTTGGAAAAGTAAATGTTTGGCTTTTATTTGACAAGAATCTAGGACAAAGCTAAGATTTAACACAAAATCTTGGCAAGAAAAGCCCGGATCGCATTTTCTTGGTCAGGGTTGCTTTCATAGGTTATCATGATATCCTGTGCTCGTAAAATTTTGTCCGTAATAGCTTCTGATTGATTTTGATCATTGGCACTACCGCTATATTGAAGCAAGGACTCAACGTAAGCAGACATGAAATGCTCGACATCAAGAGCCGTATTAACCATTATAAACTCTTCGCGCACACGATTGGCTGCAGCCACTACGCTCCATCGGTTCGCAGGTGTTGTTTCAAGGTATTCATCGATTACCGCACTCACGGCACGGGCTACCCGAGAATCATACTGTTACACAAACTGTATGTATAGAGAAAGCAATATGTATGATGCCAGACTTACTGCACTCAAGAAGTACCGGCTTGTCTTTAAGCTCTTGCTTCGATGGTGCTGTCGCTGTTGCTGGTTATACGCATTATAGTAGGGATATATGTTTATTCGTTAGGACAAAATGAAAGAAAAAACCTTATATAGAGTCGGCGTTCAGGAGGGGCTATACTCACGCTGTTGTCCTTCATGAGTTTGTTGTAGTTGCTGTTGCTGGTTCCCGTCAGCAGCTGGAGTCGAAGACATTGGAAGAAGAGAAGTAAATTATTAGACCTTATCACTGAGCTGTTAGCCGGCTCATTATTAAAACTGGATAAGTTGCTAAATTGACTACTTTTTTTTTTCTCATGGTTCGTGTATTTCAGCGGAAGCACATAATGACGTAAAAGAAACATCGTAATAGACAATGCTTAAGTATTCGAGTCAATTTGCTGCAGTTAGGACTTGCATCATATAATGCCATTAAAAGATTCTTCTTTGTTGTCGTTACAGTGTTCTCAATAAGCATTAAAGCCTCAAGTGCAGTCATAGACACATCAAACCGGTGCATTATAAAGTCGCGGCATATGTGTCTTGGATTGGGGTACTGAAATGAAAAACTGCATTCTCCCGTATGCTGCCCCAGACATTTATCGCGTTGAAAGTTACTATACACTATCAATGAAAAACCAACCTGAGGCGATTGTTCCCAGCGGCATAGGCTGCTTATTAATTATGTAAAAATGGAACGAATGGTGCATAGCATCTGTATACAGATAATGGCTGCTCACTGTTGACATGTATGATATCACATATCACCTATACATTTTGGTAACGCCAACGAGCACAAAACTTATATTGTATGCCAGGAGCAACAGGGTCTGTGACAAGCTTTTAATGTATATAAATTAGAGACCACACCAGCACCGCTACTACGATCAACAACCAAAAACAGTATGATCGGCTCAACGGAATATAGGCTAGACGTCATTAAAATCTCTGTGAATCAGGTGCATGATGATGACGACCCTAATACTCAAACTGTTCGCGGCCACATGTGTTTCCTTATTGCTTATCACATATCCCAACATGTTATTGACATACTCCTGCTCTGAAACTTTATACAAAACTGCCAAGCATCCTTGGCGGTATGAGAGAGTTGAAGCTGCATGGCGGCCTTCTTTATCCGGGATGAAACTTGCAGATCAAATTGCATGCTCTCATCGCTGCCGCGAACCCCGAATGGGGTGCGTGATTGGCTCCAACCATTTGCCATAGTAACACGATGGCGCATTGATATGCGTTGTGCGTTCAAGCCACATATACGATACTCTTCTTTTCCCTCCAAATCACCTAATTACTTACAAGAGTATGTAATGACAAAGACTGGTTTTCTTTGGGGAAAAAGGTTTACATTATTAATTGCATGCTGAGCAAAAGAACAAAAGGAGCGGGACTGGAGGGGGCGTAACTTTTATCCCTTTTGATCATTTCGAACCGCTTCATTTCCGTTTTTCCCCTTGGGTGCTTTCCAATTACACTCTCTCCTATCCTTTTTATTTTTATTTCGGATACCTTTCGGCTCTTTCCACTCTTTCTAAACTTTTTCTTTTTGTAATTTTGCAAAATGTACCTTACAGTGAACAACAACAGTGACGAAGACTCGCCACCTGGATCACCAAACTCATCGTCGCCGCGACAACCGAAAAGCCGACCTGGCTCTCTTGTGGTTGAAACGTTGGGTGCCAAGACGTCTGAGACTAAGGACGGCTTACGCAAAATCAACAACTATCTGTTGAAACGAGAAATAGGTCGTGGAGCTTTTGGTACTGTGCACTTGGGTGTGGACACCAATACAGGGACCGAATATGTAAAGCCTTTCCACATGTTATGATGTTCTGTAATGTTCAAGTGATGCTCATTTGTTTCGTGTATGCATATTTGACCAGGCAATTAAAGAGTTTAGCAAGTCTCGTTTACGGCGAAAAGAGCAATCGGCAATGCTACGACGACCAGGTCCTCGCGGACGTGGTCGAGGGCGTATTATGGGTTTGGGCGTTGGTCGGTCAGCCTCTCCACTCAGCACCAATCCATTGGATCTTGTGCGAGGCGAAGTGGCCATTTTGAAGAAACTGAATCATCCTCATATGGTCAAGCTCTTTGAGGTGTTGGATGACCCGAGTGACGATTCTCTTTATATGGGTAAATCAACGGAATTGAGAATACACAAGAAAGAAAAGAGAAGGATATGAGCAGCATCAGAGAAGTCTCTTTCTTTGGATACGTTTTGTGGAAGGCAATGGACCGCTGCTTATTTGATGGTCATGTCTAAATAACGACGGTACTGTTTTTTTTACATGGTAGTGTTTGAGATGGCACACAAAGGTGTATTAATGAACATCGAGTCGGACAAGACCGCAACACCCTATACATCCGAACAAGCAAGACATTTTTTCAGAGAGATCATCCTGGGAATTGAATACCGTGAGTTTCTCGTTCCTCCTTCACACAAAAGAAAGACAAAGAAGCTATAAAGTTAGGTTAATTGGTATTTCTTATATCATCTCTATCTCTCTTTAGTACATAACAACGAGATTGCACATCGAGGTAAAGTATCAGTGTTTGCATGGTTCTGGTGATCGGAGATCTGTAACATATGTCTTTGCTCACATTCTGTTGTGACGAACGGTAGATATCAAACCGGACAACTTGCTATTATCAAAGGATGGTGTATTAAAGATTGTCGATTTTGGCGTTTCTGAGATGTTCCACAAGGGTGATGACCGGATGAAAAAATCTGCAGGTAGTCCAGCATTTATGGCACCAGAGTTATGTGTACCTAGTCATGGAGAAATATCAGGAAAAGCAGCAGATGTTTGGTCAATGGGTATCACGCTTTACTGTTTAATCTACGGACGACCTCCATTCATGAGCCATAATCTTGTGGAACTGATGAGCATAATCAGCAAAAATGAGTATGTATTAGTGTGTATGGAAGCTGCATAAGAAAAGGGAGAGATGGATGGATTGGAAAAGACAAGGATTGGACATTATTTTGACATTCTCTGCTGGTAAACAATTTAGAATCGAATACAAAGGTGATTTGGATCCTGATTTGCTCGACATCTTCCATCGATTACTGAAAAAGAACCCAGATGAACGGATAACTGTACCGGAACTCAGGGTAAGAAGCTGTCGGGTGTTGTCCCCATAGTTGAAAGGCAAAATGTTTCTCCGTGTAGAAAAAAAATTAAAGAATCATATGGCACCTTAAATAAGGTACATCCATGGGTAACGAAACACGATGAAGATCCATTGATCTCAGAAGAAGAGAACTGCCAGATGGTTGTTACCGAAGTTACTGAAGAAGAAATCAACAATGCTATCTCTAGCATTGCTAGTATATTTACTGTGGTAAGTTAACAAATAAAAACACGAAAAGTGAGTATGTGCATTGCGAAAATTTTTACTAATTTCATATGCTTTTCCATTCATGTGCTGACAGATGAAAGCAGTTAGCAAGTTCAAGCGGCATTCAAGATCATTATCACAGCATTCGCTGAATAAAATGATGGAAGAGGTCAAAAAGGCAGACAGTGAGAAGCAGCAGCAGTCTAATACCGAGAAACGACACAAGCCATCGCCAACTACTACTACAAGCTCTACGAATACTAGTGAAAAGGATGACAGCGACGTGGAAACGTTAAAAACGGATGCTGCAGCATTGAATATCGCTTGTTCAGAGTAATAAAAGAATAACGATGATCGACGGTGTTCGTGTGAAAATCATGTGGTTACTAGGACGAAATGAATGGGTTTGTTGTGCTTCGAGAACAATGGCATATGCTGGCAGGAACGATGGATATGGAGTAGAGCACACCGGGGTAAGTATATGTACTGCGGTGATCAATGAGACTTAATAAGGCTATTATGTATACCCGGAGGTCATCATTCCTGTACTAAAACTCGAGCTTTATCAATATGCATCATGTAATCTACTTTCGATGCATTACATGGCTGTCATGGTTGTCTGTGGTTTACATGTGCTATTGATGGAAAGCTTATTTTGCGACACACGTACATCAAGTCTATTCTGGAAAGTATTGTATAGTATTTGATGAGAAAGGCCAACGATTGTCCAAATGCAGAGTACTCAGCATCTAGTAATTACGGGATAGCTGCCAAGATGTGAAGAATTCAGTATCATTGTAGGTGAAGTGACTAAGTGCACACCATCCAGGACCCTTCGAGATAAGTGAAGAGAGGGCGTACCAAGAAGGACATTATCGAGTGAAAGATATCGAAACTGTGTTGAGAATTGTGTACGAGTCTCATGACAATCTTTGAAAGACGCTGTATGCTAATTAGCGTGTGTGACACACGCTCACACACAACACATCGTACACAAAAATTATGGGATAATCTGCCTCTCTCCTTTCAGCCTCATAAATCCTTGTCCTCTCTATACGTTCCTCCCCCCCTGTTTTTCATTTTGGTCCTACTAAACCGACCATGGCCAAAGGCTCACAGACTCTTTCCTCCAAGAGCAACAAAAACAGCAACACCGCATCTGACGCGAGAAAATCCGCGTGGCGGGGAATAGCCGTCAAACAAAAATCGCCCAGTCGACCCACGTCTCGAAAATCAGTCAGCAGCGTTTCGTCATTAGAATCCCAGCAACTGCTCAATGACAACTCATCCTCTCGTTCATCCTCTCGTCGAGATACGATTGACACTTTGCCGTCTTTGAAGTTAGAAAGTGTTCAAGAATACTCGACACCATTGACCGCTTCAAACAGTGCTAGAACCACTCGATCGCGTGAATCTTCAACAAGTGAATCATTTCAGGATGCTCGAGATGGGTTTATTATGCAGCAGCAGAAAATGAATGTGAACCCAGTCCATACGACGACAGCAACGGCGACGGCGGGTCTTCAAAAGAACAATCATTACCAACCCCAAGAGGCGATAGAAGAAGACGACGATGATGCGTTTTATTACGGAAGTTATTTTTTGGCGGATACACAAAGAACAGGAACAAGACCAGTGGCAGCAAAAACAGCAGTGGCAGCACCATCTCCACCGCCTCAACGCATAACCTCGATGACATACGGTGGACCGCCTCTGTTTTATGAGCCACAGCTTAGAGAAAAACATAAATCGCTACAAAGCTTTCAATATGGAAAAACAGCAACAACTGTAGCAGATGATCCAGCGTACACGTACAAAGAGGAATACCTCACTTTCCATGATATAGACGATATTCCTGCTGCAACCGATACTGTTGTAGGCATAGCAACATCAGAAAATTTGACAAGCGTTATTGCTGAGGAACCAGTTGGCCTGGTAACAACAACAACGACAACGACAACAAAGAACATCACAGCGGTCAAAAACAAGGAGGAACAAACATCTATTAAAGACCAAAAAACGCTATCGGCGAGCGATATGGATGACCATACTGATGTTGTTGGAGTAGCATTGACGACCCCGACAACAATTTCAACCCCACCAACGCCTGCAATGAGATATGATACCACATTTGCTGACAGCGCAGGCAGTAGTGATGACAAAAGAAATCATCAGCAAGAGCAGCCACTATTATTTTCATCAATTTCTCCTCCTTCTCCTATTACTACAGCGACTGCTGCGAATGCAGCCGATCCCCTACCTTCACTATCTACAGCACGTGCTTTGGAAGCTAATAATGATCAGCATCAAGATCAGTCTCCACCTCCGATGTCTCCTCCTTCTCCTGTTGTTCTTACAACTACAATTAACACCCCAACGACCATGGCAGCCGAGCCAGAACAGATAGCTTCACCATCACCGCCAGTATCAGTCGATTTACAACGAAAAGATGAGAAGCAAAATAATGATCAGCAATCGATACAATCGCAACCACCTATTATCTCACCACTGGAAGAAACAGCAACAGCAACAGCGACAACAACAACAGCAGCAGCACCCTCATTTGCTCCTGTGGAAGATATAAACCAGCGACGAGACTCTGTATCGACAAACTCGGTTTCTACCGTTGGCAGTGATGACCGTATCAAGTTTTCCGACGATCGACAAAGTCATAGCCGATTCGACTTCTTGCTCATGGCAGCCGAAGAAGATCCGGTGGATTTGGATATGCTCAAAGACAATGAGATTGCTGTGCAATCTGTGGATGTCAGGAACATTCACGCTAACCGACAAGGCCCGCGTGACCAAGAGGAAGCTGGTATGCCAAAGTGCACTTATATACAATGCTTGCATATAACGTTTTATATATGCTATTGTTAGATGAACCTGTTCGAGAAGGGATGCGGCTTGTATTTAATAACAAATTTATGAGGGCAAAGGCAAAATTCCAGATGCACGCAGCCACGTAAGTAGTTGTATCTGGATCTGGTCTTTAGGTCCATAAAGTCTAGGAATTCATTCATCAACAAGTCAAACCAATCTATGATCTCTACATTCTTTTATAGTGATCCACTCCATGGTGTTGCATTGGGTGTCATTGCTACAATCAAAGGTATGCATTAAGGATAGAGTTATTATGGCTGGAAAATTTGCTGTATGATTAGTGACAATACTAATATCTGTTTCTCATGGATTGAACTTGATATTAGCCATGATGGTAATTTAGATTTTGTTGTGGTAGAAAAACCAACCTTATTTCCTGAAAATGATGGATTACTATTAATAGACTCATGATCAAACGGACTTGGATAAAGCCATGAGCACACTTGCATCCGCTTATACCATTGCCCAGGCACAAATCGATGCTGTTTCAGTCAAACGATCACTCAAGGATTCCTTGACCCATTATTTCTCAGCATTTATGGTGAATAAGAGTATCAGTGATTTTGGACCCCCAGCTGCTCCAGCGCCGACTACAGTATCTTCATCCGGAATAACCAGTACGACTACATTCTTATCCAATGGTGTATTACGTGCGCATGTTATCAAGGCCGAATGTTCTATGCTCATGGCAGTAATGCAGTTGAGTCGAGAGAATGTCGTTGATTATTTAAAGTGCGGATTAAATTTACGCCGAGGTAAAAAAAAACAAAAAAAAAAGGGCACAGCAGATAATTGTATACTGTACACTTCTTCTAAACATATGATGTGGCAATGTAGCTTACAAAAGCTATGTAATTGTTTGGCAAGAGTACAAACGGATGGGACAAGAGCATACCAAGCACATGGATCGAGATACTGTATCTGCTGTTTATTTTGGCATTGGATCAATACATTTGCTTATCTCTGCTCTACCGCCTAAGATTTTGAAAATATTCTCATCTTTTGGGTTCACAAGTGACAAGGAGCTAGGTCTCGTGCTGTTGAAACTGTGTCTTGAAGGAAAAGGCATCCGATCCCCTCTTGCTGCGATCATGTAAGGCTTATTCTCGTTTATCTATTATCAATCCACTATCTTAAATGGAAATCTGTATCCTGCTGTTGAGTCCTTCCCCTGCCGATACTTCCCTAGTCCCATCTTAATTCCATCTTAATCCCACTGGGCTTTCAATTACCAAATATCTGTACGACTTATATTCCAACGCGAGCTAAATATAATGTTATTACTATCAACAATAGGTTACTATCATACTACTCTATCCTCACATCATCAGTGCCACAATTGTATAGCAGGGAACTTGCAGGACCGGCAGTTGAATGTTTGCTAGAAGCACAAAAAAGCTTTCCGAGCTCATGCTTCTTTTTGTACTTTGCAGCCAGGATAGCACGGATTGCAGGAAACTTGCCACTATCGCTCCAATCCTTTTCATTTGCCATGGACGCGAGCCGAAGCGAGATGATGGAAGTGGCGATGCGACATGTGACATCATACGAGATAGGGTGGAATCATGCACTGCAGCTCGATTGGGAGAGTGCTGCCAAAAATTTCGAGGACTTGGCCAAAGAGAAGTACAGCCCCCCCTTTTGCATGTATCTGGTAGGCGCTTGCCGCGAAATGCTGGGACAACGGACGCAAGGTATACTTGCTTTTGCAGAGGTGCGGCAGCAACGCATCAGCAACAACAAGAGCAACGGGAACAATAATAGTAGCACCGGTAGCTCAAGCAGCAGCAAGGACCAACAGCATCCACAGCAACAACAACAACACTCGCCTCCGTCGGCGTACATTGAGTCGTATGTTTGTAAAAAAGTAGAGCTTTTCCAAAAGAGTGGGTACCAGGTAAGCTTTTTCGTGTATTATGTGCGAAAGCTTTGGCATATGACATAGAAAAGGATAATGTCGGACAGATACACTAAAACATAGTACGTGTATGTAGGATATGGATATCAATTTACCCATGCTCGAGCTTATGTGTATCTGGAATGCATTTGAGCAAATGGAGCAGGGAGCATTAGAGCAGTGTCTCGAAATAGTTAATTCGGCACTTAATCATATCCATGAACGGGAACGACGTGAGCTCAGCATCCGTACCCAGGAACTTGCACCATCTGCGTCCCCGCCGGATTATTATCATCACCGCGCCCTTGTTCTTTTAATCAAAGCATCGCTGTTAAATGCCTTGCAGCGACATAGTGACAGTATCCCGCACCTCAATTGGATCATGGATAATAAGGAGGACTTATCATATGAGACAGCGGCTTGGATCATTCCATTTGCTTATTGGGGTAACATATTTTGTTTTATTTATTTCGATAGAAAAAGAGACAGCGACAATACTATTGGATTACTAACTGCTGAGTGCTACTATTGTAATTTAAAATTATGCATATCTATCTATCTATAACAGAGGCGGGAGTCACAAGCTGGGGCTTGGGTAACTATGTGAAGGCTCGAAAACTATGGCAACAAGGTCTTTCATGCTCCAAATACGATTTCGAATATAAAATGGCCATCCGGTTCAACTTGGCTTTGTCAAAATGCAACGATGCCGGGATTGGGCCTGTCGAAAAGTCAGCAACCGAGAAAGTGTTAGACATGCATGCGCAGAAAAAGGCAATGTCTGTCGTCCATCCTATTAATAGATAATCTGTTTTTGATAATACATACAAATCTTATTGCTAGTACTATTTTATACATATTTTCATCATCTCTATGTCTACCAAGACTGTCATCACTATAATATAATAATGTTATTCTGTTTCAGTAGTACATATTTTGTCTGGAGGCTACAATAATATGTAGCAGCAGTGTATAGTAGGCTAAATTGTTGCTATTGTTATCATTTCTTCCACCGTATGTATACCCTTCACAGTCAGTACGAACATTTACAACTTTGTAACGCTGATGTGTCTATTATGTACACAGTAGGTATACTAATAAATGTATTGTATATACCTAGACGGAACAACAGGCAAGAATGCGGGTCACTTGAGGATCTCAACTTCCGCTGTTGTTAATCAAGTGATTTATATTGATAGAATATTAGACCTTTCTACTACGTAGACGTGGTGAAACGGAGTGAGCGGAGGACGCTGAAGGGATGAAATGAGGGGCCAGCGCGCAAAAAAAAATAGGGAGCTAATTTTTTTTTTTCATATAAGCTCACGAATTTGGCTGAGAATGCACGCTTTAACTGTTACCCGTAGTATGTAGCCAATGAAGACTCAATGAGACATTCCCTATCTGTCGTTTGTGCATATAATATATTATCTTACATTAGAAACCTTGTATGAATGTGTGGATGTAGAGGAAGAAGAGTAAGTTCATTCGGAGCCAGATAATATCTGCTCGGCGGGTGTTAATGCATTAAACTTTCTGGCGACAAACAAAGGTGAGATCGAAGATGGCGACGTCGTATGTTGTGTTTTGAACTGTTATGCGTACTACCGCCTCTCTAACACTCTCCGCCCTACTCTCCGCCTAGAACACACACGTCGACCGCCTCCATCGGTTTTCCCTCTTTTTCAATTGCAGCATCATCATCATCTGCTTTTACTAAGGAGTTTGTGACAGGATCCCCTCGCTTATCCCTTGTTCATTTTCAAAGAGGCGACGATGTTCAGCCCATGGCGGTCGATGCAAAACCCCACCGAAAAGTAAACCAGGGATATCATGCATCACGGATAAAAAAAATTTACGAAAAGCAACAACAGGACCCCAAGTGTCATATGTACTTTCTATACGGCGATGTCATCCTTTTGTAAATTAGCTTTGCATGGGAGGAGCAGGTATGCTCATGTACTGAAAGGAACAGGAACAATATAGAATTCACGGATATCGCATTATTTCTATCAGTGTCATTCTTCGATTTGCCTATAAGAAAAGATTAAAACTTTTTTTAGGGTACAATATCTTTTTATTAATTGTTATCGTTATGCATATTCGTCAATATCAGCAGCATCCGCATCATAATAATTGTCGTATAAGCATAAGCAGCAGCTATCGTCGTTTTTTCAGCAACGAGTTTAGCTGGCGGGATGAAGGGTGCATGTGGAGGCTCCCGAAAACCCCAGCATGCCAAAAGCAACAGTGGCATTAGCAACAACAGCAGAAACAGCGATCAACAGCAGTTCCCTTTTGTTCCGGTCAACCATCTATAAATACAAGCGGCAACACGAGGTGTTCCTCAGATCCCTTTTTTTCTTTGTACTTCGCTCCCGGTCGATAATCTATTCTATTACTATTACTGCCACTATTGTCACTACTACTCCTCAGCTGTAGTGTATTTTCTTGTAATTTTTTTCGCTCCTAATATATCTTTATCTTCTCTTTCAAATCTTTTATATTTTGTTTTTTCCCTTGTAACACGTTTCTACAAAGACAATATGCGAAACATTATCACTACCGTTGGACTCATGCTTAGCAGTGCTTGGATGATGGCAACAGCAGCTACCACGGACGAAGAACAAGCTCAACAAGGCACTGCAGGTGTTATGATGTACCATCAACCGTTTTCTTCCGCAACGAGCAATGGATTGAGCAAACGTCATGCTCGAGGAACTTGGTACGTTCCTGGACATCTAGGATGCAATACTGACCACAAATAAGGAATACGCTAACTCTTTCCGTATTAATCAAGGTACGACGGCAAGGACTTGAAGAATGCTGCTTGCTACGGCCATAATGGAATGCCATCGTGGGACGCCACAATACATGACATGATTGGTGCCATGGTAACGCTTTAACTTTTCACGGCTATCACTATTTCCCAATTGATCAAAGAAAAGAGGTTATCAGCTTCTGTAATCTTTTTCTCCCCAACAACCCCTTGCCACGCATCATCGACAGTAATGATCGCGCGGCAGGGTCCTTCCCTATTCAACATGCAATCACATGATGACCTCCTTATCTTTTCGTCTGTATATCTGTCTAACCATTATCATCATTGATTTTCATATTATTTAGGCCATGGCAGACCACGAGCAATGCAACAAGTGCGTGGAAATTACCAACAATAAATTCCGTGAACTGTCTGCCACCATCATGATCGTCGATAAATGCGCCGCATGCACAAAGAGTAAGGAGAGCCCACGCAAGCAGAATATTCAAAGTTGTACATAATGGTAGTAATATAAACCTTATTAACATCAAACTATGCATGATTTGTAGAGAATTGGATCGACCTTTCTCCAGCTGCATTCGCGAAACTTTCAAAGCACGGCGATCTCAATATCGGTGTCCTTGATATCAGTTGGAAAACAGTACCGTGCTCCAAGGTGCATGGCCATCTACCACCCAAAAGCGAAAGAAAGGATGGTAATAGCAAGAAGATCCATCATGGCTAAAAGAAGTTTGGGTTTTTATCCATGTTACCTGCACACGAAATATCCCTTTAAGCTTTTGCTTGTTTCTACATAATCGCCCATATGTCGGGAATTAACCACCACTGTTATTATCTTAAATCAGGCAAATGCTCTTAATCTTTTTCTTTTGGCCTTACTCCTTCTTCTTCCTATACTGCTGACTATATCCAAGCTATTACTGATATTTTTTATACTACAGCTCTGTTTAATTGAAGTTTTCTTCTTTTCTCTCTCTCTCTTTTCTTCATTATGTTAAAGAAGTAAATAGCATATAATGTAATCTACACTTTTGTTTATCTTTTTGTACCGATACACAGTTTCTCTTTATAAAAAAAACCTCTCGATTTAAAATGATTTCTCGTCAAGGGTAGTTATGTATATCAATGATACTCTAGTTATATCAAATACGAATGGTGTTTTTGAATTAAACTATCTATGTTCAAGACTTTGTTTCCTTCTTTTGCTGGCTTGCAGCTAGCTACGGTAGTTCCTTATTTACATATTTCATCACGTCAATAGTTAGTTATCATCGTCATCTATGACTGCATTGGCTACATATTGCAGCCCACCTCGTGAGATGTACTTATACTTAAAGGCTGATTATAGAAAGCAGAGACGCATAAAAGTAAATGTGTAGAAGTATACGTTATCTTTGTGATTTTAAGTTGGTCCTCGCCTGGTCTTCATTAATTAACTGGTTTTCTCAAAATGTAGTTTAGGGCAAGTAATCATCCGACACAGTCAATGTTCTTGGTAATACGGGCATTGTTACATTAACTTATATTGTGTTATTTTATTAATACATACAAGTTTTCCAATATGCCATATGATGGTCTGTGTACTTTCTGTTTGTCTGAAAGAAGTTTAACACCATTGACGATCTCAGATAAATTCGTAGCTGCTATTATCTGTTGTTCTTGATCGCCGAGCAATAAAGTTTCGATAGCAGCTTGCCGTCCTGCATGATTGCTTGATGGTTTGTTTTCGCTTTCGATATCCAAGTACGTATTCTTGAAGCTGCTCGATGAAGTCTCGCCGTATTCAACGGAATCCTCTTGCTCTTAAAGTGGTATAGGCGACCGAAATATTTCATCTAATGCTATCATTGAATGTTCACCGATCAATACTGAGACGATCCTGTGGCTGTACATAACGTGCCACTTCTGATAATAGTGTCAGAAATTGCTTCTTTTCGGCCACAGCACCCTCTAAAAAAAGAATAAGTGTCCTGCTTTTTGCCTTTAAGATAGTGCGACTATGATAAATAAATAAAAAAATACTCTGGTGATGGCGTCAAAATTTGTGGGGGACAGAGGGATGAGCCTTGTTGGTTACTTCGTAATGGTAGCACATATTGTTGTTGATTTTCTTCATGCAATATAAAACTGAATGGCTCCGTCGTGTCATAGTGCTGTATTATATGACCGCTCGTCATTTCTGGTTTCTTATATAAAGTTTTGGGCTGATTAACAATGGTTTTTCTTCTGCCGAGAAATATCAAACATATGGTTGGCGAACATATTATCCACTTTCCAGCCATTGGCTTGGCGTTTGGCAGGGTGTTCTCCTTAAAGAGCACGTAGTAATCTTTATACGCTATTGATTCGCCTTTGAGCTTTTATATATATTTGTTGTAACCAACATCAATGCTTCTTGGCGTACAACACAGCGTACTATGAACTTGTCCTGCCTAATCAAGTTGAACTCTTTACCAGAAGACAAATGCGTTGTCGGCAACTCGCCCAGATCAAACAATGCGCCACTAATAACCTTTCAGGTCGTCGACAATGTTTTTTTATTTTCCAAATTGTACCGCAATACATGTGACAACAACAGTCAATACAATCATCCTTATAACTGTTTATGTACTAACATCTCTATCATCGCTATCGTTAAACGTCTTCCCTTTCCCACATACTTACATTTATTGTATGGCTGTTCTGATGTGTTTAACGCCAGGTGAAGCTTCACCTTCTTTGAAATGAAACGCTCTTCAAGGTAATAAATCTTTTTCCGATTGACGTTGCCATAATTGTGACAATCACGCTGCTTTCTCTTTGGTAACAGCAAACGAAACTCCAGCTGATTGAGGTAGTGCTTGGCAATGGTAATCTGCCACTTTGATGGCTTTATTTCATACCCACGCTATTTTGATTGTCACTACTATCTTTCTTGAGTGTGGTATTCTTTTCAAAATTACACATTTGTCCTAATTGTCAACACGTCTGTTGATTTCTTCGGCATATTGATATACAGCGAAGTGTGGATGCCCTCACATGGGAAGACGGTAGCACTGTTATATGTTCGGGTCACTTCCAAACGTTCATTTAGCTGCACAAATTTCCTGCCGTTGTAACTATATATTATCATTACCTACGATCAAATTAAAAGCGGTAATGTGTTTGACATGCACTAGCTAATCTGTGCCGCATTAAGTGCGAGCTAAGACTTTTCTTAAAGCTTTCGATAACATTTTTAGAGGCTCCAAGTAACGAAAAAAACACAACAATACAGTGCAACCATAAAGTCCCGTGAAGCTAATGAAGTAAGATAATGTTCAGATAACGACAACATAATAGTATTACATCACATAGCAGCATAGTGATCCATATTACGAACCATGAAATATAAATATGGAGTTATAATTACTGCAACGAGCTTTAATAAACTGTCATGAAATTTGTGTGACATGTCTTCTCCTTTACAAATTTGTATCGAATGAGCAGTTCTAAGTACATGTGAACTCTAAGCGATAGAGAAGACTTTTTTGAAAATTTACTTTTGAGAGGCATATGTAGTAAATATTTACAAGAAGCCAAAGTATGTACATGGACTTTTAATAGTACAGGACTACTAACAACGTTTACTCTTATCAATACTAGAAGAACAGAAATATAGTACCATACTACAACATAGACTCTTCTACCATCAATGGATTAGTTCTATCAATCCTAATTTTCGAATTAGCAACCGCGCTGGAGAGTTCTGCATTGTCGATACGATTACAGTCAACGACGCTGATTCGACAAAGAGACGACGGCGGTGACGCTGCATGACCATCAACAAGTTTCTGAATACCTTTTACTGTTATGTGGTGAAGCGCTTTCAAAACGATAGATTCTACTGGAGCAACCGTATCGAGCTTTGCAAGTGCATCATCCTTCAAACTTTTCACATGCTCAAATTCGATCCGCTTCAGTAAAGGACTGTCAAGTTTACTATGGTTTAACGAAGCATTGCGACAGGTTTGTGACAACTTTTCGAAAAAAGTATATATGCCTGCAGCCGTAATAGTGTTGATCTCTTTGAGCACTAGCGTGTGTAAGGTCGGAATATCAGCCAAATGGACAAGTGTTGTATCCGTCAATGCTCCACACTCTTCAAAGGTCAACGACTTGTCCGTCGAAAGCATGCTGCAGGAAGAGTAGCCACTCGATAATGTCCGTTTGCAATTCACCAGAAAGGTACCCATGTCCTGTTCCTGCAGCTCTTGACATCCTACCAGATGCAGCTTGCGAAGTCGTCGCGTCAAGCACAACACTAAGTGCTGGAGACATTCTGTGTTTGCGTTGGATAACTTGATGTCCTCCAACCAAGCGCATTGACGAATGACAGAAGACAAAATCGTGGCATCGACGGGAGCATCACAGTGGAATCGTCGTAACGTATTGGTATAATTGTTGATGTCTGGGAAATACATGGCAGCGAAGTTCGGCATTTCTTGGTGCTGTTGTAAACCACCATCGTCTCGTCGACTTGTGAGCCCAAACTCCTTCAGCGTCGTGTTGTTGTGTGTGAGGAATCGCAAGATCTGGTCGCTTTCAAGGACTGGCCCCTGATTGACAATATTCAGAACCTGCATACCTCCTTTTGCCTTTTCTAGTACTCCTCCTCCTCCTCCTACTGCTACTACACCATCTGCGTTCCCATCATCAACATCATATGCTTTGTTGCGTCGCCAGTTGTCTTCATCTGCATGGTTGTTCCTGCTCTTGTTGTTTTTCATAAGTTTCAATCGTTGTGTGGTATTGTAATATGTCAGCGTGGGCATGTTGTAGTTGAGATATGGGATATCAGGGCAGCAGTTGAAAATGGTATCCAGAATTTCCGGTTTGCAATAGCTGACATTGAGTCGTTGTAGATTGCGCGTTCTTTGGAGCAAGCAGGATAAATCGTTCGGATCTAACTGTTCGTCAACATGAATGTATGCATACTGAAGGTGGATGTGACGATTACTTGAGTTGCTATCCTTGCTAATGTTACGAACGATGTTAGTACTACTACTGCTACTAGATGTGTTGTAACCGTGGTATGTAAGGTGAGTCAAGTTGGGACAGTAATCCGTGACCATTTCCAGGGACAGTTTGCTGCTATCTAGATAGGACACAGCAAGCTGGTCCAAGAAACTGCCCACAGTGGCCAATGCTGGATAGATACTGTCTTTGAACAAGTGATCACTAGGGCATTCAATTTCAAGACCTAAATAACATACACGACACATGTCGAGCTTAGATACGTTTCACACATACACAGGAACTGAACCAAGACAAAGGAAGAATGACTAACCAAGAAACTTCAAGCTCTCAAACTTGCCTTTGATCAGCAAGTCGAACGCAGCCGTCAAATCAGCATCGCCATAGATGGTCATACTTGTTGCCATATTCGCCACTTGATATAACTCCTTGACACAACGTGCATCGGCTTCCCTCAATTCCAATTCTCGCCACAAACTTGGACTGCGCAAAAGTCGATAGCGCCAAAAGGAAGAAACATTCAAGCATTCCACCAGTTGTTCAGTTGGAAGAAATGAAAACACCGTCAAGACAATTTCGTACGGCAACACTGCGGTCATAGGGTCAGCGGAACGATCTCCAATCTTGTAATGGTAGGTCATCTTTTAAAGGCTTTTTCTTATCGTGGGGGTTTTAATGGAAAAGAGGATAACGAAGAAAAGAGCATAGACTGCGTCCTCTGCATGTTGGCACCCCGCTAAATAAGCTTGTGCTGTCGCTTGTAGACGCTTCTCAGCTCTATGGTAAGAAAAGGAACGTACGGTCTATACGGTGCGATTTATGCTTATGAATGAGATAAGTCAAAGCCATTTAAGATAGTTAGAACTTGCTTATTTTCATACTTCATGAAAGCAATCAGTTGATGATCGCGGATACAGGGGGTGACATCCTTGATATTAAACGGATGCCAGCGAGATACGTTCAAGCAATTCTTATGACTTGGTCTTATACCGTAGAATTCTCCTCTTCCCTCTTCCCTGAATATGTCTTTACTGTATGTCTCTGATCGAGTAAATAATCATCTCACAAGGGTTCTTAAAGGTTTGACCCGAGCAGTGACTTTATTGAAGCAACCAAACTGTTTGCCTGCTTTTTTATTCCGTTTATCATACGAATTACTTTGAAACTGAAATTGCCTCTGTTATATATACATGCGGGAGTAGGATTACTGTTATAATTTAGTACTGCTATATACATCTTTGTGGCTGACTTTAATAGTTACACTAAATGGTTCTCTTTCAAAAACGTTCGATGACGATCCTAAGAATTAGTTGAGACGAACTACAGCTTTACGATAAACTAAAAATGATTTCACATGGATGTTTACTGAAACACCATAGAAGCTTAACACATACTTGTTAAATTTCCAGATTTACAGTTTCATGGCGAGATCATATATTACTATGTGTTTATGAGCAAGCAAATACCAGATACTGAGAAAAGGTAGAATTATTGTTCACACGTGAAAAATGAGCATCTGGGGTGTATGAAAAAGGTTAACCCAGGTTGCAGAAAAAAAAAGAAAGAACAATAAACATGTTGCAAATCCGATCGTCCAGTAAAAGACAAGAGGAGAACGAGAAAAATAGCATAAATGCGTATATAATATACCATGACCGTGCTTCACCAGGTTTTAGACTTATCTTCCGCTCGTCCCAGCCAATGGTTTGACGCACAGAACCAACGCGGCCGGGTTATCTCTGGCTGTGACAAACGAGATTGGTTCAAAGATCGGGAAGTGTGTGACTTGAAAAAATCTTATCAGCGTCTTATCAAACGGAATCAACCGATAATTTGTTGAAAAAATCCTTCCGGTGAGAGGAAGGGGGTGGGGTGGGGGTTGGAGGGACATACAAACCCCTCCTGCCCACCCCCTTGAACTACTCTTTTCTTCTTTTCTTTATCATCAATTCAACTTGACCACACTACTTGCCTAAATTTGGATGCATAACGATTACCACAACATCTTAACAAAAAGCTACAACGACCGCCACTCGACGACGACAGCAACGCTTATTCCATCATCGCCATCACCACCACCCTCGCTGATACACCATCATCATCATCATTGTAAAGGCCCTGGTGACCTTCATATCGATACCCGTCCATTCCATCACCGGCAGCCATATACCCCTACCAAAGGCAGAGATGAGTATTTTTCGTCGTTCGAAATGGAACAACCCATGCCGGTGCCGTTACCCAACACGCGTGCAGCATCTGGATTGATCACAGCCGATGGTAACCGAATTTTCGCTACGGTCGATTCTGTACCTTCGTTGACATCCTCAGCAACAACTGCACTGTCTCCTGAAGTAGACGATGATCACCCTGTTGACAATGGCGACGTCGACGTTGATATAATGGCCGCTGGGTCAGCACCTTCGTTGACCACGATAATGATGGCTAGAAGTCATAGTGTCCATCATCATCAACCTCGACAACAGCATCACGATCATCATCATCATCGTCAAGAACAAAGCCCTGTGCGTCGATGTCAATCTTTGGCAAACTCACCTGCACGCGTGTCGAGTGGATCGTGGGGTCACATCAAATCACCAGCTGCGTCGTTTTTGGCGCGGTTCGGTATGCCGGACCATCTCATCAACGACAACAAAAAGAGCAACAACGAAGACGAAGAAATTGATGACTACATGCTCGAAAAAGTGATTGGCACTGGCGGCTTCGCCACAGTACGACGCGGATATTGCATTTCCAACGGACAAAAAGTAGCCATCAAAGTGTACGCCAAACCAAAAGACGGGTCATCGTCGAAACGATTAGAACGTGAACTGGCCATTTGGAAACGGTTACGCCACGATCATGTTTTGCCGATGCACAAGACAGTCGAAACGGAAACAAGCATCTATGCCGTATGCGACTATTGTCCCGGAGGTTCTCTTTTGGATTTGGTGAGACGACGCAAACAAGGGCTCAATGAAGACGAAGCACGCCTCTTGTTTATTCAATTGTGTGCTGCGATCCAGTATTTGCATGACGAAGCACGCGTGTGTCACAAGGACATTAAGCTGGAGAATGTTCTGCTCGATGAGAACAATCGTATCAAGTTGTGCGATTTTGGCTTGGCCATGTATTGTCGAGTCATTCTTAGTCCGCCCAAATCAAAAGCAGCAACAACAACAACAACCACTACAACAACCTGTGCAGCAGAGAGTATGCACAATGACGACATTACAAACAAGAGCAGCACCCGTGATAATATTACCAATTCTATATGTGGTGATCATCAGCAGCACCGTAATTATAATGACGAAGAAGAAGAAGAAGAAGTGGCAGGCGGATCGTTGGCTTACTTGGCGCCAGAACAAGTCTTGTCGCGAACGCCCGTGGCGTCGGCCTCGTCGGATATGTGGAGCTTGGGCGTTCTGCTGTACACCCTCATGATGGGTCGGCTGCCGTTCCATGATGACTATGACCCGCGCTTGCAGCAAAAGATCGTGAGCGGCCAATACGAATGGCCGTCAGACGAGGACGGAATATCAGCTGATCTGCGTTCGTTGCTGAGCAACCTGCTTCAAGTGGATCCGAGCAAGCGATACACGATCCAGCAGGTCTTACAATCAGCCTGGTGCTCTTCAGAATAATCCATAATACCACCTTCTTTTAAATCGCTCTTTTGTACATATTGTTTGTTTATATCCATAGCCATCCCTCATATCTGTAAATTCACTCTTCATACATAATAATAAAAAAACACACAGAATCGATACTATCCTTACATCCTTGCACAGTCTGAGTTGAACGCGTTGCTGGTGGAGTTGAATTTGTTGCGTGTTAAACAAAAGGGGGCGGAGCTCAACACCCGCTCTTGAAAACATTTTCTTGCTACTGCACCAACTGAATGGCTTTATGGAAACGATCTCAACAAACACAGCGCTAGTACTAGACGATCAATCCGTGGATAGTTTGGCTCGTTACTTTGGGCACTATATGCAGGTGACTCTCAAAGATGGCGGCGGTGTACGAAACGGCTACCTTTACACGCTCGATCCGACATTGGGAAACTTGATTCTTCTCAATAGTAGTAGTGGCAGCAAAGACGAACAACGCGCCACCGACAACAACAACAACAACAACAGCAACGATGCTGCCATTGTTATTATGCATCATGCCATTGATTCGATTACCGGTAAATAAGAATCTTTTGTTTTGCTCTCCTGAAGGTGAACCCCCACCTCCTTTTTTTGGTCACCCCTGTTCTCTCTCTCTTATCTCGTTCGTGTTGAGTGATGTGTAAATTCATCTCAACCCAACCCAGCGTAACCCCCACCTTCTCCTGGGGACACAGAAAAAGAGTCCGTCTTTTCGTGTGTGTTTATACGCGTTTTTTTTTGTATGGGGGTGGGGTTTGAAGGGGTGTGTGTGTGTGTGTGTGGGGTTAAGAAGAGTTGAAGAAAAGCGGTGTGTGTATATCGAATAAGGGCTACCCTTTTGCTTGCTCCTTGAAAAAAAGGTGTTATTCTTACTCTCTGTCAACTAACTTGAGGACAAAAAACAAAGTTGAACCGGATCTACAGCTAAAGATGGAGGACATGGACCGATGGTTGGGTTACAATCAAGATCAGTACAGGTCGGACGCGCCTGTGATATTGGAGCGACGCGATGCATTCGTGGCGTATCTTGAAAAGGTAAACTATAGGTTAAGGAGAATATTTTTACGCCCTATTTGCTCTGAGGTGCTGGAGGTGCTGCTGCTGCTGCTGTTGTTGTTGTTGGGGGACTGTCGAGCTGCTGAGAGGACAAGAGGACCGACGGGGAGCAAGGGTAAAGGAAGGGAGGTTGAGGGTTTTGCTTTTATCATGGATCAAGTGGGATCAGAGTAAATGATAAACTCTCGCCAGTTGGTGTACAATTGTGCTTATGAATAATATCTTGCTGTTATTACGGGTGTGTGTAATGAGAGCCGTATCCCGTTTAGGCATGAAGACGACCCGGTGATACATGTCTTGGGACGTGCACGTGTTGAACCACCCTATGTTGCGACGAGCGTAATAAGCGATAATAATGTCATACGCGACCGAGTACGTGAGATGATCATGAATTTATTCTAATCTTTCTATATACAACAAGAACAACAATTGCGCGTGGTTGAGGTTGAGTTATATGGGGTGGGTGGGTGTGGGAGGGAGTGAGGGGCATGGAGCAAAAAAGAGTGGGCATGGCCATGTATGTAATTGGATGTGGTATACAATAAACTAATAGTGATAATGAAAGAGGATGCTGCAGATGCGTTTAATAGTAATGTGTTGTTGGATGTAGTAGTTGGATGTGATGATGTAGGGTTTATGACAAAATTGGAGGCGAATCGAAGTTATCATCATGCCATGTTGTGGAGCATGACCAGCAGGTTGGCAGCGTCTTCTTCATCAGAGGACATAAAGGTGCTCGTGGATGATGAACTCGGGGACGATATAGCGATCGGCTGGTGACGCTGCTTGCGTGGTGGCGTATTCCGCTTGGCAGAGAGTGGGCTCTGGAGGAACGTGGCGGGCGTGTAGTAGGATTTGCATACGCGACGAGATGGCATAGAGGAGGATGATTTCGTGAACGCAGAGGATGAGGATGGAATGGGCGATGTTGGATAGTATCGATGATGGCTTCGGCTATTGTTGCTGTTTTTCTTGGTATGGGCAGTAGCAGTAGTAGTAGTAGTAGTCGTGGCTGCTACAGGCGATGTCCCTGGTCGCTTCTTGGCGACCCGGAGCAGATTGTTTTCGAGAGTGTACAGATCGTATTTCTCGTAGCCGTGCTGTCGTTTGAAATCGGCGAGTGCTAGTCGTGCTTTGAGTCGACGGAGCATCTACGTAATGACAAGAGCCATTGTTAGTCGCTGTATGTAATGATTGGAAAACACGAAGAACGCGTGTTTGAAGCAGCCGGTCATTGGAGGGTCAACGAGGGGATGCGCTGTGTGGATAAGGACATGCTTACCTCGGCCATATTCGCATCGTGGTGTGGCATGGTTTGTATTCGCTTGGAGGGCTCAAGTGCTGGCGACGAGATGGGAAGTGGAAAGCAAAAGTGGAGAAAGAAGTAGAAGAAGTAAAAGAAGAGGAAGAGGGAAAAGCAAAGGAAAAGGGCCCTTTTTATTATAATGAGCCCGCTTCGGGCCGTCTTTGCTCGCTCGCTCGCTTGCTCGTTGTCTCCAGCTGTTTCTCGCTGGTCTCGCTTGTGTGTGGACCCTCTGAGCGAATGTGCCGGTTGATGATCTGTAGCACCCCCATTTAGGCACACACTTGGGCCGCAGACCAGAAATCCACACCCCCCCCCCCCGGCACCTCCAGTTCCCCCAGTTCCCCCCCTTTTCCGTCCGCATGACCGAAAAGGATACTTTCCAAAAAACCAATAGAAATTGCGTAATGGGTCTTCCTGCTCGCTGCTGTGTGCTGAGCTCTTTCTCTCTCTCTCTCTCGCGCTGCTGCAGCAGCAGCAGAAGCAACAGCAGCAGCAACAGCACAATCGTCCGTGCCATCGTCCCTCCCGTCCTCTTATTTTTTCGAGCCCCTCCCTCCCCCCCCAGAAAACTTCTTCTCTCTTCGCGTAGTATGGGTCGTACAGGTGCACGTGGTGGTTCAATGACGATGTGGATCTGCCTGTTTAAGTAAATGCCATTAATATCCACTCAGTGTTTGCTCTCCCACTGAATTTGCTTTTGAGGAGTCTGCTGACCAGCCACCGGCAGAAGAAACTACGGCTGTAGTAGTCAGTTTGGTCCATCGTTCTTTCAGGCAACACCTGAGTAAGGATGATTGCTCTGACAAGAATGCTAGCAGACAACCACTGTAAAGCGCAGGGACGCGGGGTGCAGTCTACGGATATGGATTGCAATCTTTTGGGCTGTAGCATACAGTATCGAGGATTGTTGCGTACGATGAGACCTCTGGTCGAGTTCTTTATGCGTCGTTGTGGTGCTCTTATCCTTGTTATAATTAATAATCATTACGTGTATAGCTTCGTGCTTTTCGTAATCATGAAAAAAAACTTACGCACCGCATTTGTCGCCGTCGCCGTCAATTCTATTACGCGTCTCCCACTTCATGACAGCTTCTCCCCTGTGTGACAGCACTGCTTCCATAGCATCGACTCTAGCCGTGGCAGCTCTACATAGCTACAACAGCAGAGAATATATCCCCATGACTACAAATTAACTTTTAATGTTACTGCATGTATATATTGCCTTAACAACCAAGTAACACAACAAATCATTACCAGCAGTTGTCGTTAATCCGTGCATGTAAAAAGTAAACAAAAGTGGTGGCTATTTTTAAAACTGCGGTAAAGTACAAGTTAGGCCATGTACACTGCGCTGTAACGGCAACGGATAGGATCAAGCAGCGGGTGATAGGAGCGCGTGCTTATTCGTGTTTCCTTCATCACCCGATTGCGAAAGGGGCTCTTTCTCCCGGCGCAAGACACCGGAAAGAAACGTAGAGTCATTTGTACACGACAGAACCAGAAAGTAAAAGAACAATCCATGAACCGCAGTCAACCGGTTTCTGGGATGTGTAATACGCAGAGGTACGTGCGTTACAGTATTACGCGGCGCAGCAACACACAGTGGGGTGGATGACACACAGACCTTGATTTAGTAGTACGTGCACCAATCCGACGCCACGTTGTTTTTGTTATTTTTCGTGTCCGCTCCTTGTTCAACCGCTTGACACTCAACACCAACGAAAACTTGTGTACAACTATTATGGGAGACGACGGCCCTGGGCAAAAACAACAACGGCAACCGCAGCAGCAGCAACAGCAACAACAGAACCGGCAAGTGTCAAGAACGCAGTGCAGTAACTGCGGCACAACCAAAACACCCCTCTGGCGTCGTGCTCCCAATGGCGACACCATCTGCAATGCATGTGGGTTGTTCTTGAAAGCTAGAAACGCGCCTCGACCTGTCACTGATTGGTCACTGCAACAGCATTCGAACGAAAGCAATGACAGCACACTCATGGAGCAAGAGCAACAGCAGCAAGGACATGACGACAGCAAAACAGGGTCGTGTCCTGGCGACGGCCACTGCAACGGCACGGGTGGCTCGGCTTCATGTGCAGGTTGTCCAGCTTACAACCAGCACCATCAGGATAAGCCGCTGCAATGCTCCAATTGCGGCACACGAACTACGCCATTGTGGCGGCGCGATTTGGAGAGCAATATCATCTGTAACGCTTGTGGTTTGGTAGGTAAATCAAAGGGAAAACAATATCTTTTTTCTCTCTCTCTCGGGTGTGCCTCTGTGCGCGCGCCGTTGACACACACACACAGCAAGTGATGGGGATAATAATAAACAAGAGCAACTTCTCCCCCCCCCCATTTTGTTCTTTAGTATTACAGGCTGCATAATGCGCATCGTCCAATTACCATGAAACGTACCATGATCAAGCGGAGAAAACGATCGGGTCCACTGCCAAACATCGATTTGAGCAGTACCACCAGCAATTCTTCTTTGCTCGCCGCAGCAGAAGAAACCCCAACTATTATCAGCACCGTCAATCCTAATAGCGAAAAGCAGCAACATTACATCGCCCATAAGAATGGGCACGACGACCTGGAGGCCAGTATTGCCGAGTTTGACGTCGTGATCAATAGACTCCAATGTTTACGTCGGGAGATCTTGTTGCAACGTACGAACAAAACGATTCAATTGATCGAACTGACAGACTCGCTCCGTGACGTGATAACCAAAGCAGAAGTTGCTTTGTTCACGTAACTCCCATAGTCTCAACGTTTATACGCTACTTGTTTATGCGTGTACATACATACATACATCCCATCAGATATGACCCTCCAGCCTTTAAGATCCCCGCCCCCCCAATCTATTCTCTCTTTTATTGTCATTTGTACATATACACTTCATGATTGCATTGTTTACTATTTACTGAATTAAAATTTACTGCGCTTTTCTGTAACACTACTAACCCAAATTCAGCCGGGGAGCTGTCCATGGCAGTGACTATATACATCAGTTTAAATACGTGTGATAGGGTTAAGGTAGTAGTAAATGTTTATTTCTGTATAAGCAGGTACAAGTATATAGGAGAGGGTTCAAGGGAAAGATGGTTATTGCGTCAGGTAGAAGAAGAGATGCGAGGGGCAGGAGGGGATGTGGGGTGGGGAAGAATTGAAAACTCATAACAAAAAGTAGAAAAATAGTATGTATATGAAATAGGTCGGGTTATGGTTTTCTTTTACTAGATAGAAGGATATGAAGTAAATTATGAGGTAAGTCGGTTTGAAGAAAAACAAGAGGGATGGGGGAAGGGTGGGCCGGGTGAAAGAAGAAGTGTTTGATTGTTATTATGACGATGGTGGCTGCTGTTGTTGTTGTTGTTGTTGCTGGTCTGGCTGTTGCATACCACCACCAAAGTTAAATCCACCTTGTGGCATCTGCATTGTCTGAAACGCAAATTGATTACTTCCCTCCATCTCGGACACCATGGCCGCACCGGCAGCAGCGACCGTCGGATCCTCTTCATTATCTTCATCACTAAAGAACTTGTCAATGATGTTGTATGCCTTTTTGTAGATCTCGTCATTGTCATGCGATTGGAGAGCATGGATATGATCGACACCGCCGCTTTCTTCAATCAAGAGTGCATAAGGGTTCAGACCGTCTGTCGAATGCATCCGCTCAGATTCACCCGCACGCAAAATATTCTCCAATCCATCCAACGCAACAAGTGTAATCTTGTTATCCATGGCCATCAGAATATCGCACAGAGGTTTGATACATCCTGCATCTACCAAATATTTGATTTGTGGTAACTCTTGAAGCCCTCCAGAGGTGGCATTGCAAATGGCCCAACAGGCCTCTTTACGCGTCTTGTTGTCACCGATGGCTAGAATTTGTACCAAGAAGGGAATCAGTCCGCCGTCAATGATTGCTTGGATCTGCTGTGTGTTGCCAGCTGAGATGTTGGAAATTGTCCAACAAGTTTCCTTGCGGATCGCTTCTTTGGGACTGCCGAGCAAGTGCATCAGGGCTTGTATAGCGCCACAGTTGATAATGGCTTGCGTCTGTGTGTCGTCACCAGTGACAATGTTGCCAACGGATCGTAATGCCGGTGTTTGCACGGATGTGGATGAGTGGCCTAATAGTTCGACAAGACGACCGCAGACACCAGACTCAACCACGGCTTGGATGCGATGATTGGCGCCGTCAGACAAGTATGAAATGGCCCAGCATGTGTCAATAAGCACTTCTTCATCTGTCGTGTAAATCAATCGCGATAAAACATCCAATGCTGGCGCAATCTACATGAAGCGCTAATGTAAGTACAATGTATATAATCAAACCGATCCTTTCAGGCTTTGAGCTTCTTCATTTCCTTCGTTACTTTGACTTACATAGTTCCAGTCAGGTTGTGGGTTCTTGCCGCGACAAAAGTTGGACAGTGTCCATGTAGCGTTGCGCAGCATGGAGATTTTGGTTTCTTCTTGAAAGATACGCATCAAAGCGGGTAATGCCCCGTTTTCCAGCACATAATCACGACAGCGTGGACTGTCACCTGCAATGTTACCCAAAGCCCAAACAGCCTATTATTATTATTATCGCTCAGTTAGTTTTTTCACTAGTGTATAGTAGTAGTAGTAGTAGTAGTAGTAGTATAAAAGCCTATACACAGATAATACTTGCCTGCTCCTTGACATCCTGAACATTACTACCCAGTAACTCAATAAAAAAAATCACAGCGCCTGCCTCAATAACAATTTGAGTCTGTTGCGACGATCCGGATGCAATGTTGGTCAGTGCCCATGCTGCTTCAAACTACATAACAAACGTCATGTATTATTAGCATAAAGAAAACTCATGATGGGTAGTCTTCGTTGTTGATTTTTCTCTGAAACACTAACTCCACGTCCCCGTCTTTTTTCTTTTAAACGAAAACAACAATGAAAATATCTTGTCTTCTTTTACCTGCAACACTGTATGCTCAGAACGCAAAAACTCGACAAACCGAGGCACCACACCACATGCAATCACTTGTTCAATAGGTGGATTCTTTTCTCTTGACAGTAACTTTCGGAACTGTTGCGTTGCTCCCAATTGTTCTTCCACATTAGCCGAATAAACGTTTTGTACAAGACCTGGCAAAATCTCTAAAAGCTAATGATAATACGCAGCAAATGGGTTGCGTGGGGGGTGGGGGGGCGAGGAGGAGGGAAAGGAGTTTTTGAATGAGTTGAGCCCCAAAATCTGTTAAACAGTTTTAATGAATCAATCAAGTTTTAGGAGACTTACAGAAACATCCAATTCACCAATATCGACATCATCGTCCGAGTCAGCTTCTAGGTTCTCGATCTTTAGGTTACGACGTTTGGCAAGATTCTCTTCCTTTTTCTGCTTGCGAATCTCCACTTGCGCTGTTTCACGCCGACGTCGAACTTCTTCTGGTTTGAAATGACTTCGGGCTTTGTACGCATTACGACGTCCTTCTGAAGCGTTTGGATCCATTGTTCTTTTTATGTGTTGTTGATTGGAGAAAACAAAGAACCCTCGAAAACGGGAAAAGGCGCAGAGAGGGAGGTAGAGAGAGAGAGAGAGAGAGAGAGAAAAGGAAAGAGAGAGAACAGCCTAGTTTGATTTAAACAAGAAAAAGGAAAAGAACTCCGCAACGCGTCTTGGTTCTCATTATATTGAGAGATTTTTGGTTTCTTTACAAGTTGCTCTCTTTTATACATGTAGCTTTGCATGAAGTATGGGACATGGCTTTTCAACTGTCAATGATAGCTTTTTTGAGCGGGAAAAAAGCGTATTAAGAGGTTAAGGAGATGGTGGGGGTCATGGTAGCGTAGTAGTAGGTAGTAGCTGTCATTCAACACGAAGATGATTAGGTCATCCGCAGCACGGAGAAGCAATCTTTTCAGATAAATACGCGCAATGCACCTACGCTTGTATATGTAATAAATCAACAACTCCTATAATATTCACTTGTAGTAAACCAGCTAACCCCCTTTTATACGTATATTCGACCCTGGTTAATGAGCAGGTTTAATATCATTATCATCATCCACCATACTAAATGATAAATTGTGAGTTGCTTACTGTAGTAACAGAAAGGATAGGATGAAAGGGGCTTTGACTATCCTTGTAATAGCGCTCTCTTTCTAAGCATAAAAAGCCACTGATAACTGTCTTGTGCTATTAAAAGAATAGCCTTGTTTTTTAGGCTGGTCTACATATAAAATGCTTGTTTGTATCTTGCTGTGTATGAGATATTGTCCTGCATCAATAAAAGTAAACACCATCGTTGATATACTGCTAAGCAACAAGCAACAAACGCTGTCTTCATTTTTTTTTATTCAAAGCTAACTAGAGTTAAAATAGATAATCAAACATAAATTTCAAAAAGTTCCTTGGATGAAGCTTTTGTTATACTTTTACATAGTTTAGTATTAATAGTATGGCCTTTATTTTTTGAAAACCAAAAATGTTTGATTATCATAGCAGCAAATGATATAGAGTATATCTACCAGGTATTATAACAGCTGTTCTTCGTTGTTCAGCATATTTGCATTAGCATATGTATTTGCCTTACCTGTAGTTTAGAAGATAACAGTCTCACCAGTGTAAGGTATTGTAAATGACTACGGACGTAGTCACGCGACCGGTCCACAATAGCCAGCTCTGCTTTCAGCTCTGCCTTTTGCCTTGCAAAACATATCAGGATGCAGAACCTGTACACCCCCCTTGGATATTCACCTTATTTTGTTCACGTGCTAACACACGACCCAGAAAGAGCGAAAGAGAGCCGCTGCGCTTTTCTATCCTCTTTTCTTCGTTATCCTCTTTTCCATTAAAACCCCCACGATAAGAAAAAGCCTTTAAAAGATGACCTACCAGTACAAGATTGGAGATCGTTCCGCTGACCCTATGACCGCAGTGTTGCCGTACGAAATTGTCTTGACGGTGTTTTCATTTCTTCCAACTGAACAACTGGTGGAATGCTTGAATGTTTCTTCCTTTTGGCGCTATCGACTTTTGCGCAGTCCAAGTTTGTGGCGAGAATTGGAATTGAGGGAAGCCGATGCACGTTGTGTCAAGGAGTTATATCAAGTGGCGAATATGGCAACAAGTATGACCATCTATGGCGATGCTGATTTGACGGCTGCGTTCGACTTGCTGATCAAAGGCAAGTTTGAGAGCTTGAAGTTTCTTGGTTAGTCATTCTTCCTTTGTCTTGGTTCAGTTCCTGTGTATGTGTGAAACGTATCTAAGCTCGACATGTGTCGTGTATGTTATTTAGGTCTTGAAATTGAATGCCCTAGTGATCACTTGTTCAAAGACAGTATCTATCCAGCATTGGCCACTGTGGGCAGTTTCTTGGACCAGCTTGCTGTGTCCTATCTAGATAGCAGCAAACTGTCCCTGGAAATGGTCACGGATTACTGTCCCAACTTGACTCACCTTACATACCACGGTTACAACACATCTAGTAGCAGTAGTAGTACTAACATCGTTCGTAACATTAGCAAGGATAGCAACTCAAGTAATCGTCACATCCACCTTCAGTATGCATACATTCATGTTGACGAACAGTTAGATCCGAACGATTTATCCTGCTTGCTCCAAAGAACGCGCAATCTACAACGACTCAATGTCAGCTATTGCAAACCGGAAATTCTGGATACCATTTTCAACTGCTGCCCTGATATCCCATATCTCAACTACAACATGCCCACGCTGACATATTACAATACCACACAACGATTGAAACTTATGAAAAACAACAAGAGCAGGAACAACCATGCAGATGAAGACAACTGGCGACGCAACAAAGCATATGATGTTGATGATGGGAACGCAGATGGTGTAGTAGCAGTAGGAGGAGGAGGAGTACTAGAAAAGGCAAAAGGAGGTATGCAGGTTCTGAATATTGTCAATCAGGGGCCAATCCTTGAAAGCGACCAGATCTTGCGATTCCTCACACACAACAACACGACGCTGAAGGAGTTTGGGCTCACAAGTCGACGAGACGATGGTGGTTTACAACAGCACCAAGAAATGCCGAACTTCGCTGCCATGTATTTCCCAGACATCAACAATTATACCAATACGTTACGACGATTCCACTGTGATGCTCCCGTCGATGCCACGATTTTGTCTTCTGTCATTCGTCAATGCGCTTGGTTGGAGGACATCAAGTTATCCAACGCAAACACAGAATGTCTCCAGCACTTAGTGTTGTGCTTGACGCGACGACTTCGCAAGCTGCATCTGGTAGGATGTCAAGAGCTGCAGGAACAGGACATGGGTACTTTTCTGGTGAATTGCAAACGGACATTATCGAGTGGCTACTCTTCCTGCAGCATGCTTTCGACGGACAAGTCGTTGACCTTAGAAGAGTGTGGAGCATTGACGGATACAACACTTGTCCATTTGGCTGATATTCCGACCTTACACACGCTAGTGCTCAAAGAGATCAACAATATTACGGCTGCAGGCATATATACTTTTTTCGAAAAGTTGTCACAAACCTGTCGCAATGCTTCGTTAAACCATGGTAAACTTGACAGTCCTTTACTGAAGCGGATCGAATTTGAGCATGTGAAAAGTTTGACGGATGATGCGCTTGCAAAGCTCGATACGGTTGCTCCAGTAGAATCTATCGTTTTGAAAGCGCTTCACCACATAACAGTAAAAGGTATTCAGAAACTTGTTGATGGTCATGCAGCGTCACCGTCGTCGTCTCTTTGTCGAATCAGCGTCGTTGACTGTAATCGTATCGACAATGCAGAACTATCCAGCGCGGTTGCTAATTCGAAAGTTAGGATTCATAGAACCAATCCATTAATGGTAGAAGAGTCTATGTTGTAGTATGGTACTATATTTCTGTTCTTCTAGTATTGATAAGAGTACACGTTGTTAGCAGTCCTGTACTATTAAAAGTCCATGTACATACTTTGGCTTCTTGTAATTATTCATCACGAAAGTTATTCAAAAGTAAAATTTCAAAAAACCTCCCTGTTGCTTAGAATACACATGCACTTTGATATCGCGGCGATGACAATCATGTAGCAGCACTCTACATGTTTGTCGATGGATATTTACAGTATGACGACAGCCAACCATTCGGAAATCCATTGCTGAGCTACAGTATATAGCTATTTGAGCACCGATATTACATACAGTACTACAACTACTTATGAGATCACAGTAATATAAACTCGCTACGTAGAAATAACTACAAGATAAACCGCTAAGAGTAGACGACAGCTGTAAAATACGTCGTTAATTCAATGCCACACATAGTGCAGTGAAGGTATGTGGCAATTGCAAGGCGTTTTACATGGTTTACTACGTAGGTCGTGCAAAGCATAAAGTATCACAAGTCATTGCCGAATCTCGCTTACAAATATGCTTCTTGTTTCTTACATGCAGGGTACTTTAACAAGTTAAAAATATGTCGAACGAAACGGTGTAGAAGCTTTCCGATCATCAAAGTCGTTACCACATTCATGATCTCGGATCCAGAGGCCCTCTGTGCTTTCGAACCTGTTGAGCACCGGTAAAAGTGTGCAAGCGGTGACAGCGACGATATCATCAACGCTTAAGGCTCTGGTGTAAGCCGAATAGCTATGGTCAACGTGATAGATGTACGATATTAACTGGATACCCTGAAAGCTGCTGATTACTTCCGTATACGATAAGCACACACAAAAATTTTGTATCGTCGCATCCAGTGATGGAGATCATTTGTAGTTGAGGTGTAGTATGAAAAATACGCTTGAAGTCGTCACTCAGAATGGATTACGTATGATGTCTACATATGCGTAGATTCGTCAACGAGTATAACACTTGCACACCATCATATCTTAGTGGATAACAATGCTCGGCTTGAATCAGCCTTTTTCAGGTTTGGGCAGTATTAGAAAACTGATTGAGAGAAGTACTTTCATCGTGTTCGTTTTGCCCGTCTGTGTAAGGGCAGGTCAATCTAAAAGTGAGTTCCTTAAACGAAAATATGACACCTTAAAAGTTACACAATGGTTTCTTTTGAGATGCACACACAAGTTCAGTAACAATTCGTCCACTGAAAAGCTGTGTTCATCTGCAAATTTCGAAAAGTGGGAGTCAATGGAAAGTACCATCACTACTTATCAGCGATGACCGAGCGAAGTTTATTTAAATGCACGCGCTTTATGGTATCTCGTAGCATCAGTTGCAATTTCTTGTTCCACTAAGCGTATGGAATTTCCAAATTTATAACGTGATTGCTGACCAGATCGATGGGCTGGTATAAAGTTACTAATCCTCGTTAGAACTCTTCAAGGTGACAATGTCCGACTTTCTAATGAAGATTCGATGTAGTAACCGATAGATAATCATATACACGTCGACGCATATTTTTAGATACGTTAACAGACCTGAGAACGTCGTGCTCGCTTAGTATAAGCACGAGACTTCCAAAGATAGTTTCTAAATAAGCCCCACCCGAGTTGTAGTTTCTGCCAGAATGTTGCTCGGAGAGCATTTAACACGCATCCAGCTTCTGAGGTTCCATGAAAGAAACCCATTAAAGCATCGCAAATTTCGACAGCTTCTTTGAGGTATTCTCATTATAATAAAAATGCTTGCAACACAAACGACCTTAGGCAAGTGCTCGGGATAAGTCTTGGACATGGTCTTGGCATCCTTGAGGGCATTGTCAAGTCTGCTTTCGTGCTCATAGGCTTCGGCGTATACTGGTAGGGACTTCATTTCCGAATTATCTACCTATCAAGAACTAGCTTCGTTCCATTAAGGGCAGTCGCAAAATCATGCCGTCTGCGTAAAGAATCTTCCTTATCGTTTAGGCATGACCATCTGTTCAGTACAATAAGTTTGCAAACATAGACTGCTTTGCGGTATATTGCGTGATTTTGTGGTTATCCTCTCTGCTTTCCGACTCTGCTGCAAACAATATTGAGCAGAGAAGCATCCGTCCAGTGATTTCCAACACAATCCAGTAGTTATTTCTATCCAAATTAGGTAGAATAATTGAAGGCATAACTAATTCCCCTCTTGCCGTCAAAATAATCGAGCAACAATTATTGTAGGCATTCGATTGTAATCTTTGGGTCTCTTCATTTGACATCGCTCTAAACATGGCTAGCCAGTTAAGAAGGGGACAAACGGTTGTTCTGCGTTGAAGGGCTTTGCTGAGGCACAATGTGACCCACTGCGAGTAAACTGAGCTCTCATAGTCTGCACTGTAACACATTACTGTATGTAATCATTCCTATTTCTTTTGGCACTCGTCGTTGGTGACGAGCTTCATCGAGCCTAGAGAGATGAATTAAGCGGATCCTAATACATGGTATCTCACGTGAATCGAGTATGTTTTTTTTGTGCAATGCAATGATTCCAAAACCCTTATTCTGATTATAAACGAATAAGTAATCAAACTGCTGTAAGCATCTTTACGATCGAGATGAATCGAACCCAGTGATAGCGTGTGCTTTCCAGAATTTTAAAGATGCTGGCAAATCTGTGCAAAGGATGCTGTGTGGTTCGTTTTTCACCTGCTGATCCAAAACAATATAATCTGTTCAGACACAGTCTAGAATCCGGAAGGCTCAATATGATAGAGTCCAATATCGTCTCTTCTTTCAAATCAAAGGCTGTCTCGCTCATGGAGCTCTAAAAGCCGACCATTCGGATGTTCTTGGTGAATCATCGATAATGGATCAATGAGTTCACTAATCCGGCAATCCGAGGTTGGCTTTCTACATCAAGTTGTTGATTTGAACCCCCCCCCCGATATACTACCATAATACCGGCCATATTACTATGTAAATGATGTTGTATTAGTGTGTATTGGAATGAGGGGATAAAAATGACGGAGAGAATAAGAATACATCGATGATACGTAGCTGAATTTTTCTTATATATTCACGTAGAGCGTCAACCTGTGTTTCGACATCCCACGGTGATTACTGTATGTATATAATCAAGCCAAAGATTACCTGCTATTACTATCTTGTCTAACGTCTGGTTAATATCATTTATCGCTTTTTACAGTGATATGATAATCAAAGATCTTAATAAAAAGGCAGGGAAGATCCATCGTAGTAACATCCCCAAGCGAGTCATCAGTCTATATTGCGTGATTCTCCCATTAAAGTCTTTTTTTTATGCATTATTTTTACTTTCCTTTCCATTTACTAGACAGTCATGTCTTGCAGGTGAAAAGAAGGAGGCGGGTGGTGCCAAGTTTGTCTCGCGCAGCAGGATCGCCCGTTGTCAGGTAACCACCTCATTGGACGGAGTTTCTCAAATTGTATTGTTGTTGCTTCCTATTCATTATCACGAACAATAGCGACTGCTATATCCGAGCTTACAAGCACTATAAAGCAGCAGAAGATAAATAGGTGTTTGAAACAATATATTCTATACGAGACTATATTTACTTTTCTACAAGGAGAGAGCAATGATGTCTCACATACGTGATAAATAGTCTCGTTTTATTGTTGCACAAAGCATTGCTGTGCGGTCTAACCGCGGCATAATCCATTGGCTGCATAAAAAAGTGGAAACATAGGAGCTCCAACTTACTTGGGACAGCGCGCGGTGTTGTAGTATCCAGCATATTATACGCAGTGAGAGACCTTTTGACATCTTCTTTTCTTTGATATTCTACTGTTTCTCCCTCGTTCTAAACAAATTATTTTTCGAAATGCAGTCCACGACGGCAACAGATTCACTCGTTCGACTTCAGAATGTCGCGAATCAGTTTCCGCTAAAAGCCAGCAACGGCAGCAATAACGCCGTTAAAAATATCCTTCACAATGACAACAACAACGAGCAGCAACAAGTGGTGGAGCCGCAGTGCAGCGAAAAGAACAACTCATTTGACACATTACCAGCTGAAATTCAACTCAAGGTGTTTGAACACCTTTCGTTGCGCGATTGCGTCCTAGCCAGCATTGTTTGTAGAAGCTGGCATGAATTGGCTTTACGTCGACCAAGTCTTTGGCGTTGTCTTGTTTTTGACGACAACCGCAGTGCAACGGCTCACTTACAAACGTACTGTCAACGCCAATATATCAGGAACACGTTTGTGCGTGAAATAAAGGTCCGCAGAGCGGTCGGTGAACGTTTGTCCGAAATATTCGGCTTTGCTATGGAACATAAATGGGACCATATCGAAAAAGGTAATGCAGAGCAGTGTGTGCTTTTCTCTCTTATTCTATCGTGTGTTCCTTGTCGTAAAAGCATGATAAGCTGGTGAATGTGTTATATAGCTGCTTAAAAAACGATATCCTTTCGTTTATCAGTGACCATTCGAACTGCGGTGCTGAACGCGTCGCTACCTGCGTTTCTGAACACCATCAGTAGTACAATCACTAGTTTGGTGCTCAAATACGAATACAAAACCTGGGAGTTCAAGCACTTAATACTTCCGGATTCTATACTACAGCAATGCCCGAATCTTGTCTCGCTGCACTATTCTACAACACTCCACCACGATCTTTGGGATGGATACCCGTATTTGGATATGCCACATCAAAACCTTGTGGATCTCGCCATCAATATAAGTAATCGATCGTGGTACGGGTATAAATTGGAATCACTGCTACAGTCACTGCCAAAACTGCGTCGATTAAGCGTACGTCCAGACAAGGATGAAGACCCTGAACTCATCTTTGCGAAATTGTCGCAATGTTGCCCGAACCTTGACTGCCTCAACCTCATCAACAGCATAAATGATTCACGCACACGTGGTCCTATACCCGCTTCACTTACTTTTTCATCTTCTGCTGTAACAGCTACAACAACAACAACAACATCGTCGTCTTCGTCAGATACTTCTGAAGGCGATCGCGATAATGTAGTACTACTTCGAGAACTTGTCATTGACGACCAGTCAAATGCATGGTATCCATATGCCAAAACACTCAGCGACGACAGCAAGGACAATTTTATCAAGAAATGCAGCAAAACGCTCGAATGCCTCGACATCAATGGGTACTGGTTCCTTGGTCCATCCATGCTGCACAACTTGTCACTGTATTCGTTCCCAGCGCTCAACATGCTTTACCTCACCGATGTACAAGAGCAACCACAGTACGAACGTATAGCGCTGAATCTGTGTATATTCTTACGACATACACCTGAGCTTTTCTATGCCGAATTCAAAGGGATCAATTCAGTGACAGATGCTGTCCTCAAGGCACTCAAAACCTACACGTACCTGGAAACACTGTGCTTAAGCCGTTGCCGCAGCTTAACATCGACTGGATTGACCGATTTTATTAACGGCAATACTTTTCTGGTCGAGCTCAAAATCAATTGCATGGATGCATTGACGGACACTATCTTTGGCATGCTAGGGAACGCGCAAGAGCTCGCATCGTTGCGTGTCTTAGAGATTGTGGCATGTCCGAATATTTCGCTGGCGGGATTGGATGAGTTTATCAACGCGATGGAAAGGGAAGAAGGCAATGACACTAACACCAAGAATGACAGTAACAGTGCAGAGGACTCCCAACAGCAACAATCGAAAACGAAGCGGCTGGCAAAGTTTTACATCAACTACAACAAAGCGGAGCGACCTTTAGACGTGGACTGGGCTATTGAACTACTGCTTCGAAGACTGGATAAACATGCAATGCAGTGGTCTTTTGCGCGTTTATCGCCACATGCAACCAAATTCGAGCAAATAACGAGCTATGAGTGGATGGAGCACGAGAAAAAGGCATGGCGGATAGAACAAGAAGTTCTAGAAGGCCTAAAGGATCTCTCCATTTCATAATCTTCTTCTGTATAACCATTTATGGCTGTAAATCATTATTCACAACACCTCCCTTCTCTTTTTTATTTTATTGTAACCCTCCACACAGCACATGCTTGTCATTGATACCACTCTCAATAAATGTGTACTTTTTAAATTACCTGATAAACGATATTATTGTACGCTAAGAAGAGTTTTAAGTGGCTATAAATCAATCATGGATCCTTAGGTTCTCCTATTTTTAAACCAAGCAAGACTTGCTATAACTTTTCTTCTATCGAATATGAACAGATCAATGGTATGTAGCATTCACATTTTGGTTTGGTAATGCAGCAACAACGCTAGAAACAGCTTTTGCTTATGTACTGAAATATTAGAAAGGTTTTAATAAATTAAACATCCAAGGCATAACGAGGGCATACTGCAATACGTTTGTATAAACTATCTGAAAAGTTTCACGCACTTTTAAGTATGAAAAGGCATCACAACTATGAAAATACATATACATATTACAAAGTGATAACATTCTCACACCAGCAATTGCTGTACATTGTGGTGTACATTGGCCATCAATATCCACATAGCAACAGAATTTACACGCATCACACACAACACACAACACACAACACCTTCAACCATACATGGAACATGCTTTAAACGACGATATATCAGTAGCAGCAATGCAGTTTTAATTCATAAGGAACGTCATATTAGAAAGTAATGGGACAACATACTGTAAACGCTAACTGGTACAGTGGACCCCCGCTTTTTTCAAGGCTGCCATTCCTGAGCACTCTTGAAAATAAAGCGGGTTTGAATTTCATCGGGGGAAGGGTAGCGGCAGCAATCTTCCGGATAAACTTTTAAAATTTAGCTGAAACTTTCTCACTACTGTACAGTACTGTTTCTAAATCCATACTGCCACATGCTTTTTTGCTTTATATTATATGGAATATATATTTTCTACAATTACCTGACACACAGCTCTACTTGTTTAAGATTTTGATAAACATATAATGACTTCCCTAGTTTCTCTTGAGATCCGATCTTATCAATTACTTGCTCCGATAAATAAAGAAAAAACGAATGACAGCCGCGAGAAGCCAGCAAACTCACTTCTGAAACAACACCATTCACTACTTGAGATCAGTCTTATCTGCTTTTTAGAGGAAGGCTCCCTCAAAGAAAGGCTTAGACAAGTGAGAGACCACTTGCGCCGACAGCAAATAAATGGGACACAGAGCACCTTAACCTCTTTTTTTAGAGCATAACAATAGGCATACATGGTCATAAACGTAGATATACACCTCAAATTCGCAAATTGTATTAAAAATATTCATACATCTTTATATGAATACCATCCACATGATGTTGCAAAATATAGAAAAATTCGGGGGTCCACTGTACCAATTGTTGAAGCCCAAAGCACTATCTACTTGGATGCGATCTCAATAACATACATATAACATCCTTGTCAAAAATAGAAACATACATAAGCACTATTCACGTTCGTCGTCAACGTACAAACACCTAGGTTTTTATTCAGAATGACCCCCACAAAGAGCTAATAAAGATGGTGGCAAGGGAAGGAAATCGTAATATCAATTACTGTGACAGAATAAGTCAACGAGTCCCGAAAGGAATCAATACTGGCTCATTATGATAACATACGTTTTCAGTACTGTACTTATAAAAGATGGCTTATCCTTGGCAGCTATCACAGCGTGTAAATTAAACAAATGAGTGGGTATTATTAATCATCCATTCAAGATTAAGTATTATAGGATGCGTAAGTGCAAGGTCGATCCGTCTAAGTGGATAATGGAATTACGTGATCCTATTAGTGACAACTTCTTCCTGAGCGTAGGTAATTCATGTGACACCAAGATGTGTCTGAATGGGGGAAATAACAGTAACATTAATGACGGATCAAAGAATATGTGTTATTGGCCATGTTGCATACAACAGAAATGCTGTTTTTGAAACAAGTGGACTCACTGTTATGGTGCTGCACACAACTTATGTAAATTTTTGTGTATTTTAAGGTTGTCTAACTTGCTAGAGCTGCAACGCATTGAACTTTATGTACATGCTTTACCATATATTTTTTCATCTACTTTCACTGGAGATTTAGTATCAGTCGTCGATGTAATTCATCCCTCTTCGTTTGCTTTGACTGGGCTTCAAAGGCTTGTTACGTTTGGATAACTGCTTCTTGTGGAGCAGGCCTCTATGCTTGTTGAGCTGCCTCGCCTCCGTCGTTGTCCCTCCGTGCTCCTCAATCTGCAGGTGTTCCATCTCGTCCTCCTAGGTGGACGCCTTCTCTCTGCTCAGGTGAATCGATTGGTGTCAAACAGCAGGTTGGTAGCGATTCCACACCAGATATAAATTTCTGGTCATTCAAGCCAGTAAATTCAATCTGGCAGTTGTTATCCTCGAAAGAACACCACTTCTGTAGACTGGACGGCATCACGAATAGATTTGCAACACGTTTCGGTATCACCATGCGCAAGTTCCTGCTGAACTGGGCAAGTAAGATGGGCTCTTCCAGTATCGAGAGTGTCGCCGATGGCGGGCAACGCATTGACATCACTGCTGAAAGCCAACATGACTGTGGCAAATGCAAAGATAGAGTAGTTCGCACCATTTTACTGATATCATCATACATAGTCATGGGCAATCTTTTAAAAACATCAGACGCCGACGATGAGGACGCCAAAGTGGCACATCTGCGTACTTGGATAATGCGGCAGGCAGGACCACCAAATTTTTGCTTGAGTGTATCGAAAGCATATACTGTCACATAGCTTCTATAAGCTCTTCCCGCGCGGAACAATACTCTTGGAAATCTATGCGATCTCCAACTGTTCTATGTACGATACACGGATTCTCTAATCGCTCTACTGATTATGTACTACTGTACCACCCTCTAAGAAATTGTGCATGGTAGCAACACCAACCTCAGATGGTATGAAATAAAGCCTTTCTCGCACTCCCTATATTGAGACCTTTTATGCGCTTTGCTTTTATGAATACGGGATAAATAACACTTACACAGTGCTATGATATATACCATCCAAGTCTTCTGGGACTACGCACCTTTAGTCTTAAGCCCTTAAGCCTCTCCTCTGCTTCGCTTCGACTTCAAACGGCTTGCTTTCCTACATCATATATTACAACGCTCATTATATATAAAAAGATCATAAATAAAATTTTTGAAATACCCGAGTACACCGCAGCAGTAAGCAGTTGTGCAAAGACAGACATCCTAATACGTCAAATAACTTGTCAAGGGGCAAGGACTATTTAGCACATAAACTTTGGATATCCCAGGCCTGGAAGATTTAGTGATATTTGCAGCTTAGAATACGGAGAAATCATTAAGTGGTGAGACCAGATTTGATGAAGAAACTTAGAAAACCCAAGGGTTGTACGAAAAGCGTGGGGTATAAAGAAGCGCGGGTTGCCTGAATATTATTTTTTTTTGAGCGAGATACCGAGCAATAATTTGGGTCGACATTGTAACTTATTAATATATGTAGGAGGTATACTACCTGACAAAAAGGCTCATATTACGATTATATCAACTCCACTTTCCCAGCTTTGTTGCTCGATCATCATCTCTATCGAACGCGTGCCGTTACCCTGACATACACGAAAGTGATAGCTATACATAGGCCAGTGGCCGTACCGTTCTTATATAATCTGGATTGGTAGCCAGTTATAAAAATGACAGCATACAATCAATCAGTGAAGAAAACCTGCGACTAGATGATGACAATCATGAGGGTGTGGTCGGATCTTACAATGGTGCTGCTGGCTCTCTTCCATCATATCTACGAGAAGCCACGGCCAGTTCAATTCACAAGCAATATATAGTGAGTGCGTCAGCGGATTCTCGTGTTGTCAATGAACACTCTAAGCGACACAAGGGACAAAAGAAAGCAATAGTTGAAAAGTAAAGACTTCTATTATTAATGATCGTCTTTCTGTCATGTGGCTTAAAGAAAAGTATAGCGTATTTAATAACGACATGTACTTCATTTTATTTGACCACGGTAGTATCATAATTGGACAACATGTGTATATGAATCTTCAGTCCAAAACTTATGATTTAAATTTGGTTAATGTCACTACACTGTCAATATCTTAAAGCCTGTAAATAAATATATCATGATGGTTAAATACCTTTAGATGGCTTATACAAAAAGTATGGCAGTAGTATACGCTCGTTGAGGTTTGTTTCTGGAGAGGACATTTGTACATATTGAAGCACTACTCAAGAGATGTACCAAGTGGTTTCTTTACTCTATGATGTGTGAGCGAGTAGGTTCGCAATTAGTCTGATCTTGGTTGCCTCAGGTTGCTTCTCTCAGTAATACCGTGGCTTACTTTCAATTTGTGTGTTCGTATTTTATAGTTAGTCATATACAAAAATCAGTCATTATGTGCCGTAAATGAAAAAGGCAGCACTTCTTGATCAAACGATGCACGTTTTAAAGTCGGCTGTTATCGTTACGAAATGCGGAAATAAATAGGTCTGGTGATCGAAAACATGTTCTTCTCGTATGATGATCGATTGTATGATATCTCGTACATAGGTAAAAAAAAAAGCAAACATCATTATCTGCACTATCCATTTTATCATTTAAAACCATTGCCCGTGTAGCCTATCTTAGGTTTATTTAAAGAGTTAGTAGTTAATCTATACATCAATGCAACCACGCTTTCTACTTTCTTTTGGCTCAATGAGAGTATGTGTGCGCAAGAAATCGGACTGCTCAAAAAAGTTCAAGTCATGCAGCAGCGCTGTTAAAGAGTTTAAAAAAAAAACTCATATCTTTTTTTAACCTCCACGCTTACTCTTTTGTGTCGTGTCAAAGCAACTTTGATTCAATAAAGTACAGTCCAGTCCAACAATGTCTGGAGAAACCCCACCTACAGTCTCCGGTCGATTTCAATCACATAAAAAGTTTCCCGGATCCTCAATGTCTCCCGGCTCTAATCATTCCCCTAATGGTACGTTTCCACACACTATCCTTTATTTTCATGCTTTTTCTTTTGTTGTACTGGGTGTGTGTCTGTGTGTGTGCTTGCATGACTTGATTTGTCTTAGCTTCCCCCATGATCGCTCTTTGGATCAAAAGGAGCTAATTTGAGTGAAAGGAGAGAAAAAGAGGAGAGAGTGTGTTTATGTGTGCTTATGATTACGAATGCGATATTGATCTATTAAGCTAAAGGCGGTCGAGGTGGTCACCACAACCGTTCCCGCGTATTGATGAGTAAAGTATCAGCACCACGTCCTATCAACCTTCCCAGCTTACGTCGAGAAAACGCAGCCGGTGGCGACTGGTCAGCCTCTTCTGGAGGTGGAGGCGGAGCACCAGGAACGAACAACAGCACATCATCGACGTCCGGTAATAATCATACAGGTGGAACAAGTGGTGGTGGATGGGGAACTTCGCCTTCCATGTCACCATTCTCGACACCGCAAAAGTGGGATCACAATAACGCTGCCAGCGAAAAGCCAGAGTGGCAAACAACAAGCAGTCCTGAATTACAATCACTATCACCACCCGCCGTCCACAAGTCATCTTTGTCACCGCCACAATCGTCATCTTCCACACACGCCCCTGCCACCTCCTCGACTTCTTCTTCTCCAGGCAGTCCTCCGTACCAAGGTACAGCCTCACGTGTTTGGGCTGCTGTATCCACAACCTCAACGCCAACATTGTCGGCCAAATTTCCCACAGCTGCTGAGACTGCTACACCGGAAAGTAAGTCAAGTGGTCTTTTTTTAATTCTTGTCATGCAAAAAAATGTGTGTGTGTGATCCTGATTTTTTTATATTGTGGCGTAATAAATAAAGGTACTGCGACAACTACCACTGGTGCGGATAAAAGTCCAAAATCTGATAAACAGCAACAGCAACAGCAGGTACGTGTACACTTGTCCAATTTCCCCGTGTGTAATCCGTTAAATTGAGGATGTCATAAGAATGCAAGCGCAGGCTACTGACTGTTTATTATCTGTGATAAAGCAGAGTGAAATCAAACCTGCTATTGACGAGAAAATCACTATAGGAGAAACCGAACATTTGGATTGGGACGAGGTGGGATTAAGCACACTCTACTAGGATGACGGTTGATTGTTTGTGTTCTTACTTTGTATTCTTATGATAGATCGTACGTCAAGACTTGGAAAACGACGATTCACCGGCGGATACTTCCGAAATTGAAACCGTGCTTCCATCTGACCGCTTCACAGAGGATTATGATCGCAGCTATCCTCCACAAATCCACCCAATCACAGACGACGCTAATCCTCCTCCTCCCACTCATCCCACCTCATCGATTCATACAGCACCCACCTCTGGTTACCACAACAAGGGCGGCTATGCACGCCGGGACAGCAACAGTACATGGGGAGGTAATCACGATTGGAACGGGTACTCGCGAACCAACAACCAAGAACGACGTGCATCAGCAGACCGCAATGCCTGGGGTAGCGGCGGTGGCATTGGTGGAGCTAATGGCGGTGGCAACCGTCGGGGCGATATGGGCGAACGAGGCAGAGGTCGATTTGGCAACCGTCGTCCGAGCCATGACCGGAAATCAAACTTTCAGCCCACAGTTTTGCAACGCCCTCGACGCATGTCCGAATTATCAGCACGTTCCGATCGCTCTTCATCGCGCGATGAAATACCACAATCAGTAGTAGCTGAACAATCACAATCACCACCGCAACAGCATCAACAAATGCCGCCTGTGTCGTTGCCAGCTGTCGTTGAAGGTTCGCCATCGAGTCGTCCCACGGAACTTACTGCTGCACAACGCGAGGTAATGCTCAGCGCTGCTGAACGAGCAAAGAAACGTCGTGATGAGGAGGAAGCAGAGTTTGCAGCTATCCGAGAACGTGCTCGCAAGAAAGCCGAAGCACTTGCTGCCATGTGTGAAAGCAAGTCGCCAAAGTCGTCAACGGACGCTGCTAAACCGGAAGAAAAGAAACCTGCCCTAGATGCCAATGCAGTAGCAACAACTGATACAGCGCCCAAGTCCGAAAACAAATCTCCAGTTGATGGTAACAAGACTACCACAGACAAAATCTCCACTACTAACGATGCTGAGAAGCAAAAGCCAGAGGAGCCATTGTCTGAGACCGGTGGAAAAGGTAAGAACGGCGGAAACGATTGTGTTTGTGTGCGAGAGATTATGTAGAAACTAATAACTGACTCCTTTCGTTCGTTTCCTCATATTTAATATCAGACGAGCCTGCAACGTCCTCAACTCCATCAGCAAATAAGAAGGATGTCAAAGCTTCGCCACAGCCACCCACCGACAAGCCTCATGAAAAAGAGGGCAGCGACGAAGATGATCAGAGGTGGAACGACTATGTTGGGAACTTGAAGGAGAGCAAGCCGGCCGAACGTGCGTCTACAAGTGACAGCAATGCATCAGCGTGGAATGCCTATGCAACACGTCTCCAATCAAGCAGCGAGAAACGCATGAATGCTGCCATCGACAAGTACGCCGCTGAAAGGAACTTGGATCCCTCACTATTTGATGACATGCGACATACGGATCGTGAACCCTTACGCCTACACCGCCAACAACGAGGAGACTATCAAGGTCGCGACAGTCGCGATAGACGCGGCCAAAATAATCGCAACGATCGTAATGACCACAGACAACATCGCGATGAGCACATCAGCAGCAAAAGACGAGATAAAACGTCTGCGAATGGTTCAACCGGGGAACACTCGGTGTCGCCAATCAATGTTGAGCTGTGGCCTGCATTAGGACAACAAACCAACGACGATACTGCCACTACCACCAGCAGTAGTCCAGCAAAACCGACGAAAAAGAAAACGGAACAGAAGGTATCGTCCGTAGCTGGCGAAGATAGCTCAATCAAGAAGAAAAAAAAAAGGAAGGGCAAGCAGACCAAGGATGAGATCGTTGATGATGTTGATGAGAAAGCATCAGGACAAAAGGACGACACGGTACCTGTGATTCCTGAGGACGAAGTGCAAGAAAAGGAAGGTGGCGCTACTGCTGCTGCTGCTGCCCTGGAGAAGGAGGAGGATACCAAACCATCGGAAAAAAGTAAGAGGAAATGTAATCATGATAATGTGCGCACTGACGGAACCAATGAAGAAAATGAGACGTCAGTGCAGATCGAGTCTGGTGTATCTAAAAGGGAATCATCATTCGTTGCAGACGCTACCACCAAAAGCACAACCGAAGCATCGGCTGATTTGTCGCCTTCCACTGGTGCTGATGATGGTGTTGGTAATGAACCGGTCAAAGAACAAAAAGGAGGAGGGGAGGTACAAGAACCACCACAGCAGCCTGCCTGTGACATTGACACCAACAAACAACGGCAGCAGGAACCGCAGGACTATCATCCAGAAGAAGTTCTCGAACCCCTTCCGGAAATGATCGAAGCCAGTGAGTCTGGATCCCTCGTGTCACACAATATCACAGACACTGTACCAACACCGGAAAGTGAATCGTGTGGTCGTGCAAGAACATATTCAGCAGCGGCTGTGTTTGGCCATTGGACTCGCGCTGAACGTCATGACTTTTTGCAAAAGTCCAAGGAGTCTGTATTTCCGGAGGCCATAGAACGACTTGCTGAATTGAAGCCTGCCAACCTTACATTTCGAACAGTGTCTGATGATAGACAAGCGGTGAGTTAATTCTCAATTCTATCTTTACATAGCGGCAGTCTCTCATCCTCCTCTACTTTTCCTCATATGTAGCCAAGTGTAGAAGACAACAACGACAGCATTGCCACCACAACATCATTTGATCACACCCGAGCATCTCCAATCATGGGCGGTGACCATGGCTTACCAAACCATATTGCTGGAGGACTTGAACGGGGAAAAGAATACATGATGATGGATCCAATGCATGCTGCGCCTATGGCTGCTGGTGCGACTTCCTCTTTGAATGACTTCACGCAGCAACAACGACAATTCTCATATGCCGTACCCGCCTTCGACGGCAATAAAGTCAGTCCTCAACAACACCACATGGCGGCTGCAGCACCTATGAGCATGACGGCCGGCCAACAAAACTTCCCGCTGCTCGTATATCAAGTACCTTATAACAACCGGGGCCCGTTCATGCCAGGTTCATCCACAGCCACTACAGGTTATGGTGTGTCCGCAGATGGTCAACAGCCAGGTATGTTCGTTCCAGCATCATCCATGAGTCAACAACAGCCGCAGCAGCACCAACAGCAGTCCATGATGGGTGTTTATCTTTTGTCACCTCATCAAATGCTTCCTCCATGGTCCGGTATGCCACTCAACAATGGCAGCAACAATAACAACACCCACCACCATCGCTATCAACAGCATCATAATCAGCGACGACGCCACTAGGTCTATTTCTTGAGCCTTTTTCTCCCTCTCTCCTCCTTCCGCTTTCTAGCCATGTTCAGTCATATTTTCTCGCGCTCTTTCACCTATCAACACCATCTCTGTCCTTCACTGTATTGCGAATAAATTTATATAGTACGTTTGATCGTTTGCTTCTGCGAAGAAAAAAGTTTGGATTTCTTCCCTGCCTTAATATTACTCAGCTTATGACACAGATGTACTATGTTTGAATGTGTCTGTGCATGATTTTGGCGCCTTCCACTATATCAACAATTCCTTTTGCCTGCTGCAATGCATGCTCTTTAACAAACACTGGGTCACCCTTGGGACTTATACATACTTGCAAGGACAGCGTCGCCGTTTTAGCACTGCTCACATAAACATAGTACATACACGCGGTGTCAGGAGTCGATAAAGATTATTTCAAAGGGGCGTCAACAATCTTTGATATACAGCGTCTTGGTGTGGAAAATCGTAAAGTCAACACTCAGTGGCCTTGGGCAAGTAACAGCATGTCATGGAAATTATCAACCCCTTGAACACGTCTACTTAAACGTCAAATCTATAAGACACTTTTATGTAAAGATACACCTCACGGGTCGATGAGCTTGCTAGCCGTGAAGTACCATATTATGCTCGGATACCTGCGGTGATGTCCTCTCTCGCTATATAATGTACGTAATCTTGTGCTTTCGTGATTCACAAGCGAGCGTATGAAGAATTCTCCGTATATGAAAAAATAGTGGCGTATGTATCTCTCCTACCACTATATGCATACGAGTTAAACAGCCAGAAACGAGATTTTCAAATGGAAACCTCGAGTGGTGATGATTATACTAGGAAAAAGAGAAAGGAAAAGGAGAAGTAATAAACTGTCTATTCAATGTTACATACAGAGTAACTATTAATGCAATGATTTCTATTTTCACGTAATCTTTTCGCTGTATACCGCCTTACTGTACTTCTTGCTGGATGTCATGATGGGTTGAGTCATTGTTATATACAACTGATGCTGATGTTACAGCATTTCAACACACGAAATCACAACAAACAACGGATTGATTATATTGCAAGTAAAGTAAGAAAAGTCATTACAGAAAAAAAAAGTTTTGTACTAAAAAATGAGATGTGAGAGGCGGTATGACATTACTGCTACTGCAATTACAGCCGCTCCCTAATCGTCCCCATTATTCCAAATCACTTCAATAAACGAGCTTTCCTTGACGGTCTGGATGGCTTGTCTTATGTTCTCACCAAGCGAATTGACCACAGCGAGAGTTTGCAAGTTTTCCAGTTCGATCAAGTCCAAAAAGAACTCTTCATCGGCCAATACATGATAGAGTTCGACACGTTCAAGTTGAGGCGCTCGCATCAAGAACGAAGACACGCGACGGTCGTCAATGACTTGTACTTCTGGTCCATTTAGATCGTCATCTTCAAATAGTTGTTGCTGTCGCAACCACATGATTTGTCGTTGCTCTTCCAATGCCTGAGATAGCTCGCCGCGGTGCTGCTGCTGCCAGTCGACGGGAGTAATGCCAGAAGCAAGTTCGACATCTTCATCAGCGTGTGAAACCTTCGTCTCGTCAGTCACCGTTGTTCTTGTAGTCTTTCTGATCGTTCTAACCCTGAGGGTATAGAACCGTATGCCTCGGCAAGTCAACTCTCGAAGACAGTTAAAGTCTATGGTGGCCATTTGCTGGATCACAGGAGGCAACAGATTGGCCAGGTCCATGACGGTAAGCGTGTTGTGATGCTTGGATATGATATCCTTCACATTGGGAATGTAGTGGTCCGGTTCATTGCTTTCTTGAATCCGCAAAAACTGTAGCCAGTGCCTCCCAGCTCGAACAGCATGAACAGGACAGTTGTCCAACTTTTTTTGCACAAACTCGATCGGACGAGTATATTCCGTAATAACACAATCAGGGCTGTTCCCATCGTCGGGAAAGACTCCTGGATCCCGGGATATTACGTCAATATCGAGCGACACAAGATCAGGACAGGCAGAGATCAAATTAAAATACAGGGCAGAAAGCATGCTATTTTGTGGATCGCGAAAGTCTTGTGTCGCGTAGCCGAGATGACGCAAGTTTGGGACACATCGTAGCAGCTGAACCAAAGCCACTGAACTTTGCACATTATCACCGTCATAGTAGCGCTTGCCAGATATCACTAGGTACTTGAGGGAGAAATGATGGAAGCCGCGGGTGTCATGATCAAAGGTGTCGCGATTTGCTGTATCAAAAAACGGGCGCAGGTGTCGAAAAGCACCTCCATTTTGTGCTTCTGGAGTCACCCATGGGGTCTGATGCACGGTGAGGCATTGGAGAGCGGGATACAGAATCAGAATGTGCCTAGTCCAGGCCAACAAATCCGCACGCACTTTAGAATGAAACACCACAGTAAGATCGACCAAATGCTCCGTCATGAAGCGCATTGCATGCTTTAGCCAAAAGTCCGGGATATCATGAATTGTCATTTTAGCTACATTATACGAAGAGACAGAGTTTATGTTGTTGTCATTCGATATGTTGTCGCGCTCAGGCTGCTTTTTTTACGATATAATGGATAAAGACTGTAAGTATATACCTTCTTTCAGTCTGTCGCATCTGAACTTTGCTAGTTCTTCGAGTACGAGATACATGTCCACCTCGGCTTTTTCAAACCGGCCGGAGTCAGCGTTATCGTATGTGCAATGAAGCGCGCGTATACGATGGGCTTGACTTTGCCATCCGCCAGGGAACTTTTGCAGCACGTTGTTCAATAGACACGCACCACCATGATTGGTGATTATAGGATGCATTATCGCCAAGGATACTTCGTCGCGCCATTTCTTGCAGACGATGGAGCATTGGAAACGATCCTGTAGTGACAACTTCAGGAACACCGCCATGAGGACAGCAGCGGGTAAACTTAGAACATTGCCATAACTGGCAAGAAGAGGGCCAGTTGTTGTTGTTGTTGCTGTTGTTTCTATGGTGCTACTGGGAGGAGTAAACCAGGCATCGGCTTGATCTTGTTCAACTTCACCATCCTTGGGATTTCCGTCGCTGGCGCCGCCGCCTTTGTTGCCATCGTTGTCACCGTGGTTGTCGTAGTTGCTTGACGATGTCGGGCAATCTTGCTGTTGCTGCTGACCATCGTTGTCAATTATAACGGCACTGTCCTCTAGCTCTTCTTCTTCCGGAATTGTTTTCATTTGCTTTGTGAGCGAAACAAAATAGGATCGTTTCTTGGATTTTCGGTGTCGCTGCTGCTGTTCTTGTTTTCCTTCCTGGTGTTGCCGAGGAAGTCTGGATAGAAAGCGAAAGAGCGGAAAGGGGCCCATGATTTTTTGGTTTGCGACTGTTGTCTGATATCAAGGAAATAACGAGTGGAAAGAAGTAGTAGAAAGTTTTTTGCTACTACCCTTTTCGATCATTTAGCCCCCGTGCCCTTTTTATATGCAAACGCGCGCGCATTTTTGTCAATGTAAGGTCCTCAACAAAATCACTAATGCATGACTTAAAATCGAGTATCTTTTTAACTTTTTTAGCGATGTACTGAATTGTTATGGGTCTCATGACACTGTTGTTTTTGTGCTGTTCTTTGAAAAGTATGCCAGTTCTGGATGGTCTATACAATTCGAGAACTTGATAAGCATGTTATTGTACGAAGGAAGTGAATGTCAAGATAACCTGTTTGACTGTTGCTAATTAGCGCGCTTGTGTGTATATGAATGCAAAAGCATTATTATTTGTGTATATGGTACATAGTAGTTATTAGTAGAGCCGAAGAGCTTACATATGGCGAGTTGAACTAACAAAAATAGCGATGTTGGAGTAGTAGCGAAGAGAATCAGAACGGGAGGGAATGGAGGAGAGTTGTACGTGTATACTAGATCTGGGATTGGTTCCGTTGCATACATAGTCCTGTAAGCATACAGAACGGTAGTTTTGGTACCATACATGCCATGCATCTATTCTAGACTTTGTATGTAGTATATGGTACACTATAGATCCTTTTCTATGTAGTAATAAGCCCGCTAATCTTTCTTGCCAGGTATCGAGACGTGAGATCTAATATATATGGGGTAAAAAACCGAATGCGCGGAGAAATTGGCGGGATGTGCAGATTGGAGCTGGTCGCGTTTCTTGTCTCACGTTACACTTTTCACGTAAAACCATGGTGTCAAAATGTGGAAAGGGACACCAAAAGATGATGTTATTGAAGAGCGAAGAGGATGTATAGTAGTAGTGACAGTGAAGTAAAAGAAAAATTATGTTTTATTATCATTTGTAGGGTAAACTCTACAGTTTTGATTAAGCGCCTTCATTAGGCGAAGCGGGCTGTGGCATACGAACAGCTTTACTCTGTTGATGAGGCAGATTCAGAACAGCACGTAGTTCTTCATCAGGCTCATCCACCTTTCTATTCTTGTCCTCTTCACCCGTATATATTGATACCGCAGCAGATGCCAACAAGACGGCAATGGTTGCTGCTTGCGCATACATACGCGCTTGCACGAGCTTTTGCTGTGTTGTTAAGTATCGATTTGAGAATGTGAATCCCAAAGCGCCGACCATAGAGAATGCCCATGAACCACCTATAAATAGTAAAATATAACAAGAACGGTTTGTTATTGTTGCTACTCGGTGGGTAGCCCCCCACTCCCCATCTTCTTTCTACTGTCAATAACACTGACGCTGTTCGGCTTACCGATAATCTTCCATCGATTCTTATTGACGAAATGAGCAACCCGTTGTTTTGTGTCACCTGGTTCTGATATGTTGGCATCGGATTGAAGGTCTCGAATGATATCGTCGTCCACATAACCCAATTTCTTGTTGGCGTATCGTGTAGCTGCTCGATCGGCTCCAAACAAGTATCCAGCAAATCCGGCTTATTGTACATATATGTCGTGCGTGAGAGAAAGAGAAGTAGTTGTATTAGATACACGCTAAAATTAGTGTCTTTTTTTTGGGATATGTAGTGCATATAATGCATTAACTGTCAAGCTTGTATAGCATAGTGCAGCTCTTATGTGGGTTATCTTACCCGACCCGGGTAGAATTGCTTTCGCAGGCGTGCTCAACCCTCGAAAGTGTGTTGATCTACGAAACGTCATAAGGGTAGCGACGGCACCAATACCAATACCGATAGCAGCACCCTTGACACCAGTGACAAAAGCAAGATGTTCGAGTTCGTTATGTTGTTCTTCAGTCAGTCGTGCTTTCGATTTGTTTTGCATGGTGAATGTATATATATATATATATTGCAACTAAATGTCGTCGTCGTGGATATGAACGGAAAAAACGAGCTGAAAATCCAAAACTGTGAAAAATTCGTGGGTGTCATGCTATTTTTCGGAATTCAATGACGAAACCCTTGTTAAATGAGCTTATTACGATTTCTTGTGTAAAGTACTAGTCTATTTTTTTGGGTCTTCGCACATCGGTTTTTCTATTATGGTATCACCCCATCAACTCAATAGTCCGCTATGATAGGTTTATGCCGAACGTGACAATAATGCTGTACGACCATTCTTCACTTAAATTTTTAAACATGACAAAATCAAGACGGTAGCTAGATTCTTTGTCAGACTTGTATTTATATGTACAGATAGATAAAGAAGAGTTCTTGGCGAGAGTCTGCATGGACTACTATCGTTCTTGTTGCTGCGCCATAAAAACGATTGGTTGAAGATAAGGAGTTTGGTACTGGAGCCTCGTCGTTCCATGTATGATCACTTGCAGTTGATTTCAGCCAAGAGAGCGTTAAAAATGAGAATGTTGGGGTATAGTATACGAGTATTAGCAACTTGTTTTGGGTACTAAAAATTGAAATAGTATGTGTGCGTACATTGTTGCTGTGTATGCACCAATCGCGGCCTATCATTTTGACCAGTCGAAGCTATTCTATTTTCTTGCTTAGGTTTTTCTGTTGGTTGTTTGTTGTTGTATGGTCCCTTGTAGCAGTAGCAGGGGTGGTACATCGTAGTAAAGTAGTTTGATTTAAAGACTAGTAGATATGAAAAAATTGAGAATTTTTTTTGCGTACTGTCTGATGGTCGTCGGTGCCCTCTTATATATAAAAAACAATGGGTATCTGTCAGTGTCAAAGACAGTGTCAGGTGTCTTGAGCTATATACAATTACAATAGAGTTTTGATCCATTGTTACTCTGTATGCGTCACGTGACTAGAAGCAGCTCTAACTCAGCGATGACATTGCATCGATCTTCGCCATATCTGCCCCTTCTTTCAAAAGCATGCACCGACAAAGCATTATGGTTTGTAGGAGCTGGATATAGCAACACAATTGTATGTAGAGACCTAAAGAGGGAAAAACAGCTATTATACAGTATTACAAGTTCATAAAGGAAGACCAATTGTAAAAAGTTGTGCCCTATAAGGGGAACACTCTAAACGTCTGCCCCAAGACGCGATCCATCTAATACAAGGGAGAAAACATCATTATTATGGTAATACGAGAAACGCCGAGGTTGGGAAGAGGACGAGGACGGCAATTCGCTTGACGAAATAGAAGAGTATGAGGAAGCGGCAGCAGTGGCAGTAGTACCACAGCAGAGAAATGACGCATGATAGATGAATATTCGAGAGCATTGCATTGCAGATGAAAAGGAACGAATTAAAATGCTTGAACTAAAAATGTTATGTAGATTGGATAAGAAACCTACATACTAGTAAGTATTGACAGTAGTTACTATGAGTACGTACTAGTCTCAATATGAGAGATATGCTTTTTTATGCGTCGGCTGCAATGCCATGTATGGTGGACGGGAGAAGACAGAGGGCCATAGTTGTGTACATTAAATATATTAGCCACGGGAATGAATCACGTCAGGTGGTGTATACATGCATAAGAAGACTATCCCTGGCTACTTTGCAGATACATACATGACCAATGATACATGCTACAAAGCAGAGTCAATGTGGTACATAGTCTACAAGTTTAGCCATCATGACTCATCAGTATTAGCAACTGTCAACCAAGTGATATTTTCAATTTTAGACATCATTCGATTTTTTTGTTGATCAAAGCGTACATACATAATTAGCTTGCATTTCCTGCAAACATGCAGCAATCATGACAGATAGGTTCTGCATAAAGTCTTTGTGCACGATGTATATATTATGTGTTTTGCATGTTCTCGAGACATTAGATGTATTATATGAATAAAAAAAGTAACTTTTTATATATAAATTCTACTGTAAAATTATTTTAACGAGGATAATGTGAGATGGATGCAAGATTGTACATTAAAAGATTGAGCAAATGAGAGCGAGATTTAGGTGTATGTTGTTATATGAGAGATTCTACTAGTATGGGAGAGGCGAGGACTTATTGCCGAGAGACTTTCAAATGATGATGGTTAAAATGATGTGGATGGAAAACAAAACAATATGGGGATTTAAGCTCGTTTCCGTTTTGGCTTGTCGACGTCTGCCACTGTGTCCATAGCCTCCCACATGTCGTCTTCTTCCTGTTCCTCCTGTTCTTCATCCTCCTCCTTGGGGAATTCAAACGTTTCATCCACAAGGATGCATGTCATTCGTTGTTTCAAGTACACCTTATGGTCGACACGACGGAATTGAGTGGACATTTCATGCACGCGCAAGAACCGATCCAGGGATACACTCGCCAGCACGGGTTTTTGTTGCTTCTTGTCCTTGTTCTTGCTATCTTCTTCTACTGCTGCTAGTAGTGATGGCTGCGGGACAACAAGCAGATCGGAAACAGCGCCAGTGAATCCCTTGTAGTGTGCTCCCACAGTACCTTTCCGCAAATCGACTGTGGCCACATTGCTCATGGTATCTGTGTAAATGACATGGTCAAGATCGCTTCCAATGTGCAGCGTCAATAATGGGGTTTTGCCAATCTCCCAATCGGAAATAGGCCGGCGCTGTTTTCTCGTATCGTATACACGGATCTAATGAAAGGGATAGTTTGTTAGTCATTCTAAGGTTCAGCATGAAAAACAAATTGCCCTATTCGTTTCAGTGATGTATGGAGGCTTTACCTGATGATAGTGTGTTGCTGTGACAATACGAGTACCTTCTTCGTTCAAAAACTGTAAGTCATGTATCCACACCTTGACGCGCAGATCCAAGAAATCATTCTTGACGTTTTTAGCCTGGAACACCAATCCCTTCTTTTCACCGTCTTCTTCTTTGAGTAAGTTGGCGTCATAGACTTTGAGATCGTTTTCCTTGCCTCCCACGGCAAACAGGTGGGTTTTCGTAGGATGGACGCGCATGATGCAAAGATCTGCGCCCAAGTTCGAGGATATACAGGTCGTGGTGTTGATGGTATTGGTTTTTTCGTAAGATGAAAGCAATGTGTACGAGACATGACCTGACGAGGTGCATGTCATCAAGTGCTTTTCGTCCGCATGTAATCCAACAAATACGCTTTCTTTGTTGACATGTTCGTCACGGTATTCGCGTTCGACATCGCCTGTTTCGACGTCCAAGTATTGTACTTTGCCACTCTTGCGAGCTGCAACAATCTATATTTGTATGATAAAGATGCATTTAGCGTCAAGTGGCCCACCCAAAAAAAGATAAAGGCACTTGAACTTACATAGCGCTTGCCGTCGAGTACACCCCAGCAGAGTTTCTGTACACCTTCACTCTTGTCAATGGTGCTGAACTTCTTTACTGTCATCTGGGGTTCGTTTTTCTTTTTTTCGTTCTCGTCGTCGTCTTGATCATTTTTGGCTTTCTTTGCACGACGAAGTGGGAGTGGCTCGTTAACCTTGGGAGGTAAAACGACGGCTTTGTAAGAAAAAAAAAGGTGAGTCGCATGTTTTTTGGAATTAGGTGAGATTGCAAGTTTGTTTGGAGCTCACATTTAACTAAACCCGCCTCGTCACCGGTAATGACATGCATAATTGATCTATTCCAGAATACTGACTGATCAAGTCTCAAGGTTTTTTTTTTTAAAGCAAAGGGTGAAATTCAAAAAAGGTTGCCTAACCCCGCTAAGCCTCTCTCGCTCGCTCTTCCTGTCCACACAACACAATGCAACTCCTCCGGTGTCGCTCATACACACACTTACTGCTCACGCGCGCACTCACTGGTGCCCTTTTGTTTGTTTCAAACAGATGACCATCCTGAGCAGAAGAAACCTAGTCCCCAACCTTTCTCTATTAATACGCCTCTTTGCATCACTCCCCGCTCTCTATCGCTTCTCCCTCTTCTTTCTTTCTTTCTCACGTCTCTCAATAATTGGTATATGCACCGTTGTTCAGCATGAGTGATACCAGCAGCACTCTATTCGAGCATCCAACACCTGTGCTACCACCGCCACCGTCGTCGTTATTGTTGCAGCAGCAGTTTGATCCTTTCAAAGATACGGTGGTCCAACAACAACAGCAGCACAAGAGTTCATGTTGGCTCTTTGGGTCACTCTCATCCATAGGAAAGAAACGTAATAACAATAACAACCACAACCACAACCGATCTCATCATTTTCCATGGCGAGTCCCACCGCCGCCACAGCAGTTTCTGCCACCTCTACCACATCATCTTCTACCACCTGGCCCACCGCCACCACCACCATCACTTGTGCCTCCACCGATGATGAATATGCCTGTTCCACCACCACCACAACAATCCATGTATTCATCTCCTCCACTTGCTGCAGCTTCAGGAGTGGCGGCAGCCGCGGCATTTTTCCATCAATATCACCCAGGAACAGCAGCAATAACAGCAACGCATCCTTTTCTGTCTATGCCTCAACCTTTTGTACTCACTTCTACAGCCATGTCGTCGTACGGAGAATCACCTTACTGGGAACCTCAAGTAGTAATACTGCAACAACAATGTCGTTGCAACAAAGAAAATGGCGATAACAATAATAATAATAATAATAATAACAGTAACCATTTATATCGTCCTGGAGCTGAAAAGGAAGAACAATAGATAGAGATATCGACACACATTATCACATCAGGCACACACACACACATCTTTGTTATAGTTTTTGTTGCATCATCATCAGCAAATTTACAAAATTTTATTATTAAACGAAGGGCATATAAGGAACATAAATTATAGTGAAGAGTCATAGAAAAGTTGGTGTTAAAATCAAAAGTTGTTGCTTGATTTTTTAGGGTTTTTTTTCGAGTTTTTCCACTTTTTTTTTGTTTCGTCTTTTTTTCAGTTCATGAGAACTTGGGACGGGGAAACCGGGAGAGGGTGTAAATAAAAAAAAGGGAAAAAGAACAAGAAAAAAAACTAAGAGTGGTGGTATTGAGAAAGTTATACCCACCCACTACACAGTTTTTCCCTCTCGTGCCAATACAAAAAAGAAAAAGATCGATTATAAAGGGAAGAGAGACAGAGGGGGAAGGGGTAGTTGTATGGTATTTTTGTTTTCTCTTTTACGGGGTTGGTTCGTTTGGTTTCGGGGTTATCAAGCCGGCAGCCAGTTGGTTGTTTTCGCTCCTTGGCTTCCATTGATGGGATGGAAAAAAGAAGTATAGAAAGAAGAGAGGTGGGCAAAGTAAATCACAAAGTATAAGAGGGCAATGAAGCGTGCGCCGCCCATCAAGGTCACACGACGCCGTGCTTATGGTCGAGGTGTCTTGACAAGGCGTCCTTGCGGCTGAACGACGCAGGGCATCGCTCGCATGCATAAGAGCGTTCACCATGATGGACAGTGGAAACGTGGCGGTCCCGGTCGTGCTTGCGATCGAATCCCTTGAGGCATATCGAGCACATGTATTCCTTTTCGCGCTGCTTGTTGTGAGTCTTGATATGCGTGCCGAGATTGTATCGACGGCTAAACATGAGCTTGCAGACATCACACTGGAACTTCTTTTCTGTGCTGGCCGTCTTGGCACGACGTTTGTTAGTTGCGTTTTCATCACCAGTTGCTGCGTTGCGCTTGCGCTTCTTGTTTTTGTTCATAGTGTTGTTCGATTCAGCATGATTGGCGGTCTCACCCACAGTGTTGTTGATGTCAACATTGGTGGTGTTGGCCTTATCATCCGAAGAAGAGCCGTTGTTGGCGTTGCTTTTGTTGTCGCTGTCGTTAGATGCAGTGGATCCAGACTGTTCAGCGTTGTTGTTGGTCGAGGACGTCGTGACCGATCCAGAAAAGTCAAAGCCGAGCAATTCGTTCATGAAACCATCGCATTGGGCGTCGCCAGCGAAATCTAAATCCATGTTGTCGGACGATGTGGGTTGGCTGTTGTCGCCAGGGAGAGGAGGGAAGAGCATGTCCGAAGACTCGGCAGCAGGTTCGTCGTGCCATGTGAGTGGTGCACTGTTGGCATGCGTCGTCGTCGTCGTCATAGCAGCAGCGGCCGCCGCGGTCATCGATACGTTGGCATCGGTCGATTTGCCCTTATCCAGTAAGAGCAAAGCAGGGTCGCCGTTGAAGGCAGCCAATGGCTCGCTGGATGAAGAGCCGACATTGTAATTGTTGGTGTTCTCAACAAGATAGCTAGCCATGGAAATGTCTTTGCCGTCCAAGAAGGGCGAAAAGTGAGGTGTGCCATTCATGCTGGGAGTCACCGTCGGTGTGAATGGAGTGTAGGGTGTACCGATCGTATGATGATGGTCCATGTAGGGAGTAGTGGGATCCAGATAAGGCGTGTCCATGTACGGCGTTGTATCCATGTATCGGGTGGCATTGTTGTTAAAGTTGTAGCTGATCTGTTGGTCGCCGAGCACAGCTTCAGCGGCGGGCACTAGGTCGCCAATGATAGAGGCCAAAAGCGAGTTTGGCTCTGGGGTCTTTTGGGGCTGGTGGTGAGCACTAGAAGATCCGCCAAGAGACAATGCAGCGGCTTCAGCAGCACGGTGCGTTGTTACAATCAGTTGACATGCCATCACAAATTCTGATTGTGCTTCTCCAGTTGGATTAGTCAACTCACCACTGTTATTATCAGTGTATTCGATAGCAGAAGTGGGTTCCATTTCGAAAAGTAATCGGTTGAGATCTTGAATAGTCAAAGAGGGAGAAGAAGGCATAGAACAGTGGTTTTGGGTAGTGTTAATAGTAGAAAAAGAAGAAATGATGATGGATATAAGGAAAAGAGGTTGGTATATGTTGGTTCTTTTTTTTTTGGTTGCTGTTTTGTGTTGAAAGAAAACGAGCTGCTTCTTTCTGTCGATAACAAAAAACAAGAACAGTAACTGGGGTAAAACCAGAAAAGTGTAGGAAGGAAGAAAAGGAAAGAAAAAAAAATGTGCTTGTATTTATAATCAGCCTTTTTATCAGGGCGAATGGAAGTGGAGCAAGAGGGCTGCTGCGGTAGCTTGCTCCCCCCCAAAAAAGCTTGTTGTGTTACTCTTTGGAAAAATGAGTCACCACCGTTTTCGCTCGAAAATGGCGTGTGCGTCCCATCTTCGGTTGACTTTTCCCTTCCCCCATACTTTATTGACTCGTCAACATGGCGTTACCATGGCAACCACTTTCCCTTAGTAACCAATTGCTTGCACCCCCCAACTCTCACTTGGAAGGGCAGTACTCGTTTAAACGCTCACTTCCGCAGCAGTGTCCATATTTGGATGGTTTCTGTTCGATATTCCATTTTGGGCTTACCGACGTGTTCGCTTTCCTCCTTTCGTGGCGCATACGTACAGATTTTTCTTTTTTCAAATACCATTATCGCTGTTTTACTAGCGTGGTGGCGCTCTTTCTACTGGAGTATTTCTTACTTTCGGGGTGCAAGAAGTATCCGTCCACTACAACAAACAAACCCGTTTCGTATCTTTGTTCAAGGAAAGACAATGTCTACTCTATCTATGTCTCTCTCTCTCTCTCGCTGCTCTAGATTAGTAAGCAAGGGTGCTTTGCAATAGAGAGTGCAATTTAGATCAGACCCCTTGCCCTGCTGCAACCGCAAAGCCGCGCAATTAGTATATGCCAAGTTGCCAAGCCATAGATCTATGAGCGTGTGACAGAGGGAAGACTTGTTTGTTATGTCCCCCTCTCTTTCTCTTCTTTCCCCTGAGTTCACTTTATTTAGACAACCCGCATGTATTCGCTCTTTACCGAACATGTTTATCGTGATAATGTCTATTTCGCTAACAAAAGTCGTAACGACATTGACCCACAAGTCGGAATGATTGGTTCGGGTTAGGAAGATTGCATTCCCGATTGGCAGAATGAAATCCCATCAATAAGAAAACTTCTTTCTCTTTCGCTTACTCTAGCTCCCCATTAGGGCGGGTCAATGAGAGTAGGTTTTGTGTAAAGATTGGTTTTTGCGATCAAATCACGGCAATCGTTGAGTCCGGGCTTAAGAATTTGTTTATACTTTTGATAGGTCCGGAATTTAGAATTGTCACAGCTTTACTATTCGTTGTCGTATGTAAATGAAAACGAAAAAAGGTCTATTTTTGGAGCAACACAAGCCCGCTTCTGTATTATGTATATGCAAGCTAGTCTCCTTGAATGTTTATTTCACAGGGTCAAAAGGAAGCTCTTAAAACAAGTGGACCTATCAAACCAGTCCACGAGAAGAACGGTGATGATTATGCTCGGAATGAAAAAATCAGAGTGGATAAGGTGTGCGTGCATACACTGATGATATCTTCTTGGGGCTTTTCCTAACCTAAGACCCTAGATCTTCAAGCAGTATCGAGCATGTCCATTGGTTAGCTTGATCCAAGCGATAAGCAAACAGCTGTTATGCAACTAAAAAAAGAAAAGTGGCGCGGGAAGGTCGCCGATCGTAATGATGATAAGGAATGTACACAACATCACTAAGTACAGCATAGCAAAAGTGGTGGGGTCACATGGACCGCTTGAACCATGCACACGTCAACCCATTACCATATACGTAGTCCCTGGTTGCGTATACACACTTGTAAGTCGGGAAACCTTTGAGTCTCTCTATGTTACGTCCGTGCAATCTTTTGTTTGATATACTTTAAGTATATTCTGTAACACGCTGATTTTCTTCCTATCCTCTGAGGGATGGCACCGTAATTATCTCATACATTTTGTTGCATGCATACGTATTTCTTTTAGTGTTTAAGTAGAAGCACATAATACGTGCCGACTTTTTCTAAAGATACGTGATATGTTGAAGTTTTTGTACATAGATAACGAATAGTATCAAGATGATCGTTTTACCCCTTTTGCTGTACCTGTCTGTTGTGGATCAAAAAGAAGCGTCCAACTATAGTGAAACCATGCAAGTAGTTCTTACAGTTCAATTTTCGAGAGTATAATATGTATACTATGCCACCGCTCTATGATCTTATTAAGGCATACTTTGTATTAACATGGTGGGAGACACGAACCCTGGATCTTTCAACATATCAAAAAAAATGTACTAAACAGCAATATAGTAGCCAAGAGTTTTTCCGGAAGAGCGCGATTGTATGGGCAAACAGGAAGAATCTCACGTAAAAGAACATACCACATGTTTCTCTCGGAAGAGCGGCCGATGGTATGTGTGATATATATTATTCAATGGCAAGTTGGCGGATGACGCATCGCAAAGTCCATCCTTTTTACCAAATTTGACCTACTTGTGTAATAGTTGAAAGAACGGTCAAGGAAGCCGACACTCCCCATCTTTCATTTATTAATTCAATCATCTTTAGATAACAAGAACGGTACTAAAGGGAGCAAATATACATAATAAGGGTGAGCTTAAAGACCTTTTAACCTGGAGATAAAGGATTTTATGGTAACCATGAAAACGCTGTGTTGCCATGGCAACTGTAATCAAGTGAATTTTTACACTCAGTCAGGCATAGCTTGATATGCGGATCCGGGGTCTATACACCGGTCGGGTCATCGACACTATTGAACCTCCTTTTTTCTCGTGTGTCTGAAAGGTATGTATAGGGAGAAGAGATAAAATAAGATACGTAATACCGACACGGATACGGAACGCTATAACAAAAAAATTCGACGAATGGATAGATGGATGGATGGATGGATGGAATGGATGGATTAAATGTATCGTTATAATAAAATAGGAAACCGAAATGGCCAAGTCCAAGAACCACACCAACCACAACCAAAGTAAGCAAGGCATTCAATTGCCACTCTACTTCTATTGTTTTCTTTGTTCCCTGTCCAACGAAGAAAAAGAGAAGCAAAGACGGAAAACGACGAGAGAGAGTGTTTAACGATTTACTAATGTACGCATTTTATTGTAATGGCGCTACTAAATAGACAGCAAGGCCCACCGCAACGGTATTAAGAAGCCCAAGCAGCACCGTTACCCCTCGCTCAAGGGTGTATGTATACAATTTCCCTTCAAATTACACACACACACACACATATATATCTATATATATAAATGCAAACGATGTCATGTCTAGAATTTGGGAAAATTAATAGCTGTTGTATATAATTTAGGTTGATGCCAAGTTCTTGCGCAACCAGCGTTTCGCCAAGAAGGGAACCCAGAAGGCTTTGGTCGCTAAGGCTGCTAAGGCTGGCAAGGCCTAATTTTGTTTTCCCCCAAATAAAATGACGAATACTTTAGCGTTGTTGGGCTAAACGAAACCAAAAAGAGTTGGAAAAAATTATATACTATTTAATAAGCGAGCTTGCGCTTATGAAATTTGGATTAAATCTGTGGGGAAGGGACGAGGAATGCGTGTTTGAAAAAAGGATTAATCAAGAGAACAGAAGTGTGAGAGGAAGTGCTGTGTGTTGTGTGGATTATTCAAATCAAAAAATTATATAAAGTGGTAGTGTTGTTATATGTCGACAAAGTCGATCAGTACTTGATATTCTAGATAACAAACATTGATGGTTTAGCATAAAAATAAGAGACCCTTTATCCACAAGAAGAAAGGAGAAACTTACATTCGCATCGCAATGCGCTCTGATGTTCTCAAAAACTTTAAGCATTTTGCGTCTCGCGCCTAGTGCGGCAACTCCCTTGGCCTGCAGATCCTCATCGGACAACTTGACGATATCTTGCCACTTCATTGGTTCGAAGATCGCATTATACTTATGTAACCTAAGACTTCTGAAGAACGCAGGCACGTCTACAATTTGATCCCGCCATGTCTTAGCTTCAATCTTCCCAACACACACTAAGCTGTAAAAGTTTTACCTTCCAATAACTCCAAATTCACCGTTTCGGATGCCTTTTTGTTGCTGTTGTAGCTGCTGCCATCTTTGGGCGTTCTACTTCCCGACGACGAAGGTGCGGGAGACTTCCCTAGACCAGTACCACGACGCTTATTATAGCCACCACGATCTGCCGAGACGTTAGAGGCTTCACTATGATCACTTAGGTAATCATGATCGTCGATGCCACCACCAAAAGCTGTTGTTGTTGCATCGGCAGGGTTCAAAAATTGGCCATAATGCTTTTCCATACCGGGCGGAGCCAAATGGTGATGATGGTTGTGGTGCGTGGATCGACGGGTGTTGAATGGAGCAGACGCAGATACAGAGGGCACAGGGGAATGTGAGTCATTGAAACCGGACAAAACCAAGTTGGCCGAATCCACAGCAGCCGAACTCGAAGTTCGTTCGTCTGTTTCGGGAACAGTGCCAGGTATATTATTGTTGTTATTATTACTGCGACCTGCGCGACGGTGAGTGGTAGTCCAATCATCTCTCGGAGATAAATCTGCAAATTGAACAGTGGATGGCACGCCCCAGCTATTGGTGGTAGCACCAACAGCTGCTGCTGCAGCAGCGGCAGCAGCAGCGCGTTGTTTTCTGTTTTCTTCATGATCGAATGATGGTAAGGCCCACATGGATACGTCAGCAGATTTCGGCCGCTCAGCGGCCATACTAAGTCTACTACCACTTCTGCTTCCTCCTCCACTCAGTGAAGAACGTGGCGGTTGTAACCAGTTGCTGTTGCTGGAACCACCAATATTTGTCGCATGCGGGAATAAGAGCGAGGAGTCGCCTTCAATCACCGATCGGGGCCGGCTCCGGTTAGCAAAGAGGCTGCTACGGGTCGTTGGTGCGCGAGGGATCGGGGCCCGCCCAAAGTCGTCCATCATGCTGCTATTACTGGTGCTAACGCCAGCAGCGCTAGTGGCTGTACCAGCCCCACCACCACCACCGTTAAGGTTCAACATTGAGCTGCTGTTGCTTCCCATGGACCCAAACAAGCGGCTATAGTCTTCTGTATCGCCCAATGCAAACGAATGTCGGTTGTCAAGGTTACGCCTGTCATTTCCGGCGCTAGGTGGTCGACGGATCGTCGCTGCGGCTCGTAGACGTTGGTTTGCCTCTAGTTCCATTTTGGCAACTGCGCCCGCCAGTTGCGACTGCATATCTAAGTTTTTTTGACACATTAAAGATGTAAACCATATACAGTAGAGATAGAGAGAGAGAGAGAGGGAGATACGATTAATTCCCTTACAAGACGAACCTTGTTCAGGATTGGCAGGCGTCAGATATGAGTAGAGCGGATCACGTTTCATCAGCTGCTGCAATATGCTTATGAAAAATCGTAATTGCACTTGTGACGAGTGCTGTAAGAGTGTATAGATAGTTGCTGTACGCTCTGTTTCAGAAAGAAATCGAAACCACTGATCTACGTGTTGCAATTCTTCTTTGAAATTCTACTCGGACAGAGCGAAAAAGAATAAGCCATAGATTAGTTTTTTTATTGTTTTTCACCATGGAGATAAGAATCAGTTAAGAGAAGTTTACCTGATCCAAATTCACAGAGGTCATTTCTTCGAGGTTTCGTTCATAGTGCTGTAAATCTTCTCTCCAACCATTTCCTTTATCAGCTGAAACATTAAAGACGACATCAGTTATGCTTTGGTTAGCATAAAAAAGAATATAAAGAAGGGATCTCTCTTAGCAACCCCCCAAGGGTAAAGAAAAAGAGAGAGAGAAAGAGATGGTATAACAGTACATACGATCTGTAGTAGCATGATTTCCGCGATTGAGTACTTCAGATCTAGGTCGAGCTGAGGGGATCATAAGGATATGAAATAATAAAAAAAGAAAAAGGTAAAAGAAAAGGCTGCTGGGCTTGATGTGGTCCACTGAGCTTGCTACAAAGGGTTGCGTCGGTGTCTGGACATCTTAGAAAGCACGGTCTGGTTTTCAAAATACGGCAATCGGACACCACAGTGAGGCCTTGTGTAATATCCTTCAACTCGAAAAGAGCACGAGAACACTAAAAGTATATGTCGAGAGAGGCAATTGTTTTTTATTAGGGTTCCCCGTTAAGCTCTGATTATTCTTGTGTCTCCATGACGATATACATTGGATCAAGTGCTATTATTATCGTAATAGCTGAGCTATACCACTGTATACTCACTTTATTGGTTTTGCTTTTGATCGGCTTTCATTCAATTTGGGATTTACCCACCGATGGTCAAAGCGGGCTTACCTTTTTCTGTGTCGGACCCTGTCGCTGTTGTCGTTGCTAATAGTTGCGGACCAAAGGTCTGGGTTGCTTCCACAAATAGTCCAGCATAATCTTTCCTTACTGGTCTGTATACATAGAGAGTAAAGTTACACGGGCTACCACCAGTGCACATACAACGGTACCATTATTGTTATAGAACTTTGTGAAAGTCGGGCTGGACAATGTGGTTAACCAAAGATCGATTCTAACCTTGAACTTTTTCTTTGAACTTTGTTTCTGGACATGTGCATGCCAAGGGTCAGTACAACGAAAAAGAAGCTAGTAGTACACGGTATACAATACGAGTACTATAAATACGCTTAGCCGTCCACTATAAATTCAAATATCGCGTATAAAGCATCTGAGTGGTGTATTGAGAAAATATTAGGGCAGTGTGGATCAGCATTTTACAAACATTCCCCGTTAATACAGTACTGGAACAGCCACAATATCCTGTAAACTTGTTTAAAAGGTTCAAGGCATCTTCAACCGCGTTCTTTCCTGGTTATTTACTTCTTTTCCAATTGAGTTTCGTTGAAATTATAATTTTTTTGCGATCTTGGAGCAACAAAGACGACATGCTGCGCTCAGCAACAGGGAACACCAACAACAGCTCAGTTAGAAAAGTGATATGACAGGATTGGTTCATGTCCCTTAAGCTAAGATAAGTTGAGGTGCCTCTCCGATGATACATAAAGTAGATGCTAATGTTATGTATTTCAATACCAAGTCTTATTTAATACTTACTACTCTTTCTAATGAAAAAAAACAAACGATGGGATTTTATAACATTACATATATAGTCATACAGTTTACACATCTCCAAGAAATCATAAATATACCCTATGCTCAAGATCAACAATTCAGTGGTTCTTTGGCTGTCAGGTCGCCGTTAGAGACTTCAACAATGGGAAATTATGATAAAGTCACGGGCATTGATGTGTGTCCAATAAATTCATAGCAAACGAATGTATACAGCTATGGCCTGGTAGCAGACCAAATCTGTGTATGTTATCAAGTGGAACCGGTCATGGCATGGCTGTTGATGGCAATATATGATTGTATAGCTCTTACATTGACGTATACCTAATTATAACGATTGAGAACTGCGAAATCATTCATGAAACATGGATCTGGTGGATTTCTAACAAGGTGGCTATACTGAGCTCCAACATGTGCATGGATGCAAATAATACATAATGCTGATATTGTCGGTAAAACAGAGCATCTGGACTATCACGTTTGCACTTTCAATACTTGTATTCCTTCCGATAGTTCGACAGCAGGATCTCCTCGTGGACGGATGATTTGCTATCGTATCCTGGTGAGATATTTTTGAAACTTCGCATAGTCCTTAGGAGCGGACCGACAACGCAACCTTCGATGATGACAGATGGACGGCTGCGCTTAATGTAAGGGTAAATTTTAACTAAGTGAATGGAGGGTTGATTTTGTACTCATATAGGATTTTCACTACATGCCACCAAAGTGAAGAATTCCACAGCTGTCGAACCATATTCCACTCTAATTTCGTCGATCCAGAAGGCAGCTTCAACCACGTATATAGGAAATGATGCTACATCTGAACTCAATAGTGATGCTCTAACTAGTTTGATGTTGGCTTCAACTTTCCAAACTTTACGGTCTGTGTTAATTATCAAGGCAGTTTTCCACTCTTGGAATCTCGTTCAGTATAAACCATTATTGAGTGAGAAAGTATCACGGCGCTACAATGACTGTGGATGAGCAAACAAGCACACCAACCGTGACAGGTACTGTTATCATACTAGGACCACCGTCACTACTTTAGTAACGAGTGATACGACGGGCCACCACCAGAACCGATGCAGGTTCAATATCAACATCAAATATCCCCACTGCAGCTACAAGAGCATACACACGTAGGTAATCGGGCGCAACAATAACCGAAGTTTACACTACCGAAATGGTAGTTGCTGTACCTGTGGATGAAATTAAGAATCAGGGTCTGAATAAGAGGATAAGGGTGAGAAACAGTATTTTCGAGAAGAGAAGGTGTGAAACATCATTGTCGTGTACAATACGTTATAAGAAAAAAAAAGCAGGAAAGATGGCTCTCTTTATGTATCATCGACACTTTAATAAAAGTAGCTATGATTATTACCTTGTCTCCTTTGGAGTGCTTCTTTTGCGCAACAGCATGAAGCAAATACTCCTAAGTCTCTTTTCCTGTGACCGAGGAAGACCGTGCTGCAAGCCCGTTGGCCGATAATGTAACGATCTTTAATGCACTCCTTTATCCTAAACTTCTAGAACGAATTTTAGTTCATACTTCTCAGCCGGACTGTCGAGACTAATCTTAAGTCAAAGGCATCCCAATCCTGGACCATCATCGGTCCAAGAAATCGTAGGTCTTCTCCCTATATCCATGTCTGATAGATTCAATCCAGCAAAGATTTTACTGGCAAAAGGTACAGCAATTGGTGCAACACAGTTCTCATATTTTGCCACTTGTTATATTTATCAAAGCTTCTTTTTCAGTCACTGACAATGATCAGGGAAATGTCGTTGTTCCAGCAGAGGGTGGTGCCATTGAGGAAAAACCCATATTGCCATCCACTGCAGCAACATCTCTTCTCCCTTCTACTTCACAACTGCGCATTAAACAGGTGTATCATACTTTAGGCCACTCATATTATAAAATTGTGTTCTTGAGAAATTTTCACTCTATATTCAATGGAAGCAAATGCCATCCACCTTACAAGCAATTATGCTATCATAATAATGTATAAGCTTGAATACGTTCGAAAGAGGCAAGCGACACATTCACTGGGGTCTTTTGTACATTAATGACTCTTTCCCCACAGCAACAAAGGATATAAAAATGGTGTGGAAGGCTTTAATTTAGTGCCATGTGGGTTAGAGCAGCTAAAGAAGGGAATCACACAGTATGTAAGCAAAATTTAATCACATGATCCTGGTTGATATGAGGTTTGTTCATAAGCGGGGCAAGCCCCACGGCACCCCAAAAAAGTTTGCATTATTACATATGCTGATTCGCACGACTCGGTAACTATTCCTTTGCTTCACTTTCCCTTTTCAGCCACTGTAACTTCCTGCCCCACTTCTCCCTTTTCATTTTCTGTTACTTCCTCTCTTTTTTTCTTAAGAAAAACTTAAGATACCCCTTATTTTTCTTTAAATCATCAAACATGTCCAGCGAACCAGAAGTACTTATATCCGTCGCCAACCACGTCGCAACAGTAACGCTTAACAGACCTCGCAAGGGAAATGCCTTGACAGCAGGCATGAACACAATTCTTTTGGATGCCTTACCCAAGCTTGCTGTCGATCCTGACGTGCGCGTGCTTGTTCTAACGGGCTCGGGCAAATTCTTTTGCACTGGCATGGACTTGTCTGCCAACCGCGGGAGCGTCGATCCGGAGCAAGTCAAGGGTGGATTCTTCAAGGGCCGTCAAGTCTATGACCTGCTCAACACATTCCCCAAACCAGTGATTGCCCGTATCAATGGTCCGGCACTCGGCGGTGGCGTCGGTCTCATTTTTACAGCAGATATCCGTGTGGCTGTCGACAATGCCTATTTCGCCCTTACAGAAGTCAAGCGAGGCATTATCCCGGCCATCATATCTCAATTTATAGTGCCCGAGCTGGGTAAGCACAAGACGCGCGAATACATGTTGACGGGCCGTCGGGTGCCTGCATCTGAAGGTGCTGGTTCATTCTTGACGGCCACCGTTTCATCGCAGGACGAACTCGATGCCAAGGTCAAATCGTATATTGAAATGTTGGTCGATTCCGCACCAGATGCAATGGCGGATATCAAGAAGCTGATTGATATGGTAGGAAGCGGCGGTGACAAGGATCAGCATGCTCGTGTCCAAAAAGGTGTCGAAGATGCCTATGTGAAAATGATGCAATCAGATGAAGCAGCATATGGCATCATGTCTTTCCTCAGCAAGCAAAAGCCAGACTGGAATCAGTTTTTGAAGGACAAGGCAAAATTGTAAATAATTTTTATAGCAATAAAACAAATGCTGTCTTTTTCAAGAAGAGCGACTTTGGACTTTTCATGCCAACTTTATTGATCTGAGTGCTTGATGAGTATCATTAAAAAAGTAGGAAACGACAGTGGCTAAAGAGAACTTTGTTATTTCTATCATATACAAAGCCAGGCGAGCTAAATCTGTCCAGGATAATCTTTACCAGGTAAGTAACTTCTTAATGTCTTAGCAGTAGGTTGATAGAACGCATAAATACGCTTAAATGACGGCTTCAAATTTCAATCTTCGCACCACATAGCACACATCTGTTCACTGTGCAAATAAGATCAAAGTATGGGAATGGCTGACTGGATAAAACAGTATTCTTGTTATCTATGACGACGGCAGATCCGAAGGAAAGGTTGCTTAGGAGAAAATAATGCGTTTGATTAAAAGCCGTGACATCGGTGAATGCAAACCATATTAAATGGAATTTTTTGATTTGCCGATGAACAAGAAGGCACAGGTTAATAGAACGGGAGCTTTACCCTGTAAAGGATCGCACCTTTAGCCCCTAAACTAATTGACGAAACACATGCATTTTGTTGGTCATACAAGTACATGTACTTTACTTATGGTATGTTTGTAGATCAACATGTCGTCATACTCAGTCTGCGCATTTAAACAGTGACGGATGCTATTCGGTATTTAGACCACGAAAATATACCTTACTGATGGAAAGATCTGTCAACGTACTTTTTAGGACTCTACTAATGTCTATTATGTACATTCATATCAGCAAAAGCCAATCCTTCTTTTCAAATTACTATAAACTGAGCTTTTTATAACGCATATGTGGCGGCAAATACAGTAAGCTGTATGTACATGTTCTGCGAACGGCGGTCCAAGCCAACTGTCAAATGGCCAAAATATTATGGGTCACAGTTACTACTTAAAACGGTTCCTTTCAAGGATGATATTCCATCCAGGTTATCTCTAGATATAAGATAGCAAATCCTTCAAAGTGCTGCGCTAATAAAACAAACGAAGCTGCGGCGCTGTAACACCAATCAAACTTATAGCCCCGATTTGATTTTTTCGTGTGTTCATAGAAAAAAAAATGTTTTCAAGCATATTGAATCGGATCTCCACATCTGTGCATGGCGATTCCCCGAATGCTGCTCCTACTACTCCATCAAACGAAGAGAACCTAGCGCCTGGCATAGAAACAACTATGCCTACTACTCATACCCGAACCGAACGTAAGCATTGACTTTTGACTCTGCGGAACTTTGACATTATAAGTGCAATTAAATGAATAAAAATTATATATAGAGCGCAGCAACAACAACCGAAAGCAAAAACCAAAACAGCGACAAGGCGACCGAGTAGAAACACGCGCAAGTATGTACTCGTTGTTTATGGAGACAGAAAAGAGCTGCTGAAAGGACATGCTATAACTGAATTCCCCTTTTTTATTAAACTCTTGTTTTCCGTAATGGCAAATTCAGTACTTGAGCAACAAGCAAAGGGAGAACAACAGCAGCAACAACAACAACAACAACAGGAAGTGGCTCCAAGAAAACGTGGCCGACCTCCAAAAGGGTCCAGTACAGGTAGAGAGCTATATATCCTCTATTAGATAACAATAACAACTGAAAAAAGAAAAGCACAGACGTTTCACAATACATGAAACTTTAACACGAATTTGTCTATCAAATTGTCTATCACTATATCAGACCTAAAACGTCCAAAGCAGGAAACTTCAAAGGCTGAACTGAAGCACGAGCTAGAGCAACAGCAACTTGAGCAAGAGCAACAGCTACGACAACAGCAGCAGCAAGCGCGCGAGCTACAGCAGCAAAAACAGCAGCTAGAACTGGCAAGTCAACAAGAGCAAGAAGAAGCCTCAAGTCCAAATGAACAGTCAAGCCCAAGTCCGTCTGGTAGCGGCAGTAGTAATAACAACAATAACTTTAGTTGGGCTATCCAAACTCTAGCATGCCCAAAAGGTATAAATGCATTGTGAGAACACAGGACTATAAATTTTTTTTTGTTGGGTTCTCTGATACTGAACTTGTTGGCTATAAATTTTGTTGATCAAAATAGGACAACTTTGCTGCCCATACAAAGGCTGCGGTTCAAAACCAACGCCCTTGCCCCACAGCCTCTATCGCCACATCCGAACGAAACATTTTCCCGATTTTCCAAAGTTATCGCCATCATGCATGTACATCTTCAGAACAACGTCAGGACAAAAATTTAAATTCGATGGTAAGCTAAGAGGCATATATATACCGCGCGTGGGTACTTACCAATCTCTTTTTATTTCTTCTAGAAAACGCTCGCGACTTGCTTGAAGAAGGAGCACCCATCATGACCGAGAGAATCTTTAGGTCATTGATTGGTATGTGAATGTATATATCGTAGAAAGAAAAGTGCTAGCTAACGTACATGTGATATTATAGAATTGAGATATCATTGCCCTTACAAACGATGTCATGGACGGTTTTATTACTCAGCAAACGATATCCGGAGCCATCTCGAATCAAGACACCCTGTTGTCAATCCGTCGGAAGGTGACTTTAGTAAATTGATATTCACGACGGCTGCTGGCAAAAGGATAAAGTTAGAAGGTATGTTCGAAGTAATCCCGACAGATGGTATGCCCTGAGTATTAATTCAAAACACTTTATCAAATAGACGAGAACATTACGAATTCACTGGATGATGATATGGCCATCAATATTTCAGTAGAAACAAGATCGCGTCCCAAAAGTAATGAAACAAGAATTCAATAAGGGAGAGGAGTAAGAGTATTAATCATGCGTTTTCCTTATTAGAGGACGGAACTTTTTACTGTCCGTACAAGAACTGTAGTAATATATGCTATTTGTATCGACGCGATTTGTACCGACATATCCGAGGAAAGCATCAAGAAGAATTCCCACAACTGAAGTACAATGGCCGCAACCTAATTTTTACGACCGAGGAGGGGATGCAAGTCTATTTTGATGGTAATTTTATCAGATGCGAGGAATATCTGTACATAATCCATGATAGGAAAAACGGTTAATACTAGGTTATTTCTTACCTTGGATTAATCCGCAATAGAGAGCTCGCGAAATACGCTTGAATTTGGAACCAAAATCGTCGTGCATCATAATGAGGATAAAAGTGAGTTCTCCACTCTATTAAAAAAAAGCATCTGAAACTAAATTGTTATGCGTGGATATGCATAGTCAAATACCGTTGCCCTTACAAAGGATGCAGAAGTCGACATGGCACCGTGTCCAGTTTGATCAGACATATTCGCCCTGCACATGATTCAACGCTTCCAACCAGACGGCAAGGTACACGCGAGAAATGTGTTTTCACTGGTCCATCAGGAATGGTTGTTAACTTTGATGGTATGTTGTTGTTCGCTTGCTTCTTGGTTTCATGTGATGCAGAATACTTTATTGATCTGACGTATGCTTGTAGATATTTCTCGGAACACGCTTAATGAAGGTGAACAGTTGACTATGACTGAAGTACCACTGTCGCCGATTCCTTAGCTCCAAAAAAAAGCAATTGATAACAACATTTTCCTTTACTTTTCAAGCTCACACCAGAGAAAAAAAATTATGTGCATTACTCAGACAATTGCTTCCTTTTTCCACATTTCTACACTTTCACCGCCTACATCATCGTTCATCCCCGCTCGTTTCTTCTTCCGTACTCACTTTGCAAATGTAAAATTCTCTCTTTACTATTTGGTGTATATATAAATATTTTTTATTGTTTTATCGAACCTGTTTTCTTTTTACATACATAGTATATACTATACTATACTCGTCGTCCAGCGATTGATGATGATATTGATGGTATATATGTGTAATTGTAATGCTGACTCATATTTACAGCTTTTTTTCTTTTCAAAATGCTTGTAGACCCTTTTATCGTTTGATGGATCTATCGCCGAAAGAACCTGAAGCTCAATGCAGATGTCGGTGATGATCCCGATGAGGAGGTCGTCGTGGTAGTAAGAGGTGATGATGAAGATGCAGTGGTAGTATTGTTGCTGGGGGTATTGTGATTGCTGACAGCTACTGCTGCTTGAGCCGCTTGTGCTGCTGCTGCTGCGCGTTGCTGTTTACGACGATCTCTAAACAAGACACGACGACGATCGATTTCAGAGGTAGAGATATCGGCGCCTACGCCTGATCGTGAAAATACTAATTCCATAAACCGGTGACAGTCGACCAAACGTCGTGGCATGTTTTGAAGAACAGGGAATATTTCGATTGGGTCGTCCAGCGCCCAGATTCGCTTTTCATTCATCTTGATAATCGTCAATGCAACTCGGAACAGAACCTTGCTGCCCTCACTATAAAACATGCGTTTAGTATTCTAGTGTAACGCTTCTACACTATACGAGTAGTAGCCAACTACTATTACTTACATGTATAAAGAATCCCAGACACGTAAAACAGTCTATAGCAATGAAACATTCAATGAATAACCGATTCTTTTAGACCATCAAACGAACTGACAAAGAGGCAACCTTTGGCTGTTGTTGATATCTTACCTCAACAGGAAGTATATTGATAAACAGTGTCAGGAACCAATGACTGGTTACCAGGGTAATGGAAGGCAAGCCTTCTGACTCGACACATTCCCAAAAACATTTACCATTGCCAATTTTGTTCCAAACACCGGGTAAGCGTTCATATACCATCATCATCAGAACAGTCTGGTCGATATGCGCGCCTTCCATAGTAACATCGTACATATTCTCTGGAAAATAGTCATGGACGGTGGTAATGAGCATCCAGAACGCAGCTTCTTCGCCGTCATCGACAAAGAGCAAGAAGAATCCGGCCAAGTAATTGAGCGACTGGCAGTAGCCAATGTTCGGAGCATAGACACTGAATGCAAGTAATATGCGTCGCAAGGCACGCAGTTTAGGGTTGGACTCGGGAACCATAGTGACAGAGCCATCCTCGGCAGTGACGGCGCATGCAAATTGCTCATTGTCAGGGAACGTTCGATGTAAATCTAATTCCAGCCACAATGCTCAGTTTCAATGATAAACGACAGTTTTTAATGATAGCTGTAAAAGGGTCTTGTTCATAGATTTGAAAAAGCCCAAAATGTGTACCTCGATTAATGATCTCCGCGTATTCGTTGTGTTCTCCCATCGCTTCGGCAGTTTTGACAAGCGAGTCGTACAAACCGGCGTTTGCTTCCATTTTGTCCTTGGCTCCGCTATAATGCATCCAAGCCTTTGCAGGGTACAAATTTATTATCAAAGACCCTTTTTTAGTAAATACGGTTTTTGGCCAAACTGCAAACATAACTGCTATATGTGCACCACTAACCTTTCCACGAATATCGTGTGGAATTCCTTTACGGACATAGCGCTTGACTATTTTTGGGTATGCCGATTCCTTTTTAGCTTTTCGTTTCTTGTTGACCAATGCGTATGTAGGTTTGTTTAAAAATAGAAAAACTTACGTTTTGAACTGACAGGTGGGAATTCGCCTTGATGTTCTGCAAGATAAGATTTCCACTTGGCGTTCTGTCTATCGCGGATAGGTTGATAATCTGCTTCGAATTGAAGTTGATCGGCGAGCCTGACCCACTGCGTGGGTTGTTTGAATCCATATGCGTCTCTGCGCTGCTGCTGCTCGGTATTGCTGTTATTGGTATTGGGACTCCGCTCATCATCATCATCATCATCATCAGCAACTTCTTCATTATTAAATCGCTCTATATGGTTCGTTCAGAAAAGTGTAAGGAGAAAAGAGGATAGAGGAAAGAAAACGAAACGGTTGAGCCATGTATTTTAGCTCAAATGCGAAAGAGAGAATAACTTTGTAGAGAAGCCCTTACTTTCTTCTTCCTGCTTCACCCAGGGACAGGGCGACGCAGGTGGTGGCGGAGTGGACGGCATGGACAATCCATCTTCCTCATCGTCTTCTTCTTCATCATCCTCCACGCTAATGCTGCTACTCGTCGTCATCGTAGTCGTTGGCGTGCCGCCGCCACCATGTCTCGGTGAAGATTCGGATGAACAGATGCTGGATGCAATGCTTGATGACGATGCATTAAATCCAGAATCGTAATATGGCGAATACGGCTGTTCCTGCGGCGACAGTAACGGTGATGTCGGTGTTCTAGGGCTAGCAAGCGGGCTTGCTTTATACGACTTATTGAGTCCGGGTGATGTGGCCGTAGGTGAACTCTGGGATGGTTTCAATGCCAGAGGTGGGGGAGGTGAATGGACTGTCAGATAGTTGTTGCATCGTTTCAAAGGGGACGGTCTAATGGAAGAAGACGATGATTTCGCTGATGCTGCTGCTGCTGACGATGATGCAAGCTGAAAATCGGATTTCTGGCGCTTCAGGCTATTGTTGGTAGACAAGTTTTGAAAAGCTTGCCGTAAGCTTTCGGGTTGCGATTGTTTTCTTGAAGGATTGACGTGGGTTGCCATTTTTTGGACTTCTGTTTAGTTTGCAGTATAAAAGGAAAGGAAAAGGTAAAAAAGAAAACAAGAAAAAATGTAAGGAAGGTAAGAGAAAAACGAGAAAAAGAAAGATAAAGAGGAAAGAAGAAGTGGAAAGTAAAAAAAAGGGAGTTTTTGGCCTTGTTAAAATAGAACGCACATGCACCTCTCTCTTGTTACATGTACCATACATGCACTTCCCTCCCTATTTTTATCCACAGGAAACGAAACTCAACCCGTACCACTTTTCTTAATTTTTATTTTTTTTCGGTTGACCCTCTCTCACAGCCAACTTTGTCAGTTTCTTTTGTTATCCAGATCTCCCTGAGCTGCAACGATGTTTTTGCAATCGAGCTGATCGCACACATTTGCCCTTCAAATGTAACTTAGCAACAACCGTAACAACCTTTTTTTCATGGAAAAGTTTATTTCTAGTGGTAACTTAGCAACTCAAAAGGCGTTTCAGGACATTTAATACCTGAGCCTGGTTTTCGCCAAGCGTCCGTTCCTTATTGGTATCAAGTACCGATGAACCAAACTTTCTGAGATGAATCATCAGTAATATATATTAATCATAGCTTGAAACCTCTTTCGTCCCCAGAGCTAAAAAATCACGTCTCTATGTCTTCTATACCTAACAGTATGTAGTATAAGTATATCAGTAATCACAAGTAGACAATTGAGCAAGTGGGCCAATTACTACGTCGTGTGCTTATAAAAAATGGTATGCTCTGTTGTGCGTCACACCGTGCGTGTGCATTATAATGATACTGTAGTGTCCGCATGACGTTAAATGTATGCTCATATCAACCACTTTACTAAATTACCAAATCTGACCAAGTGGCTTTCTTACTCTTTTTCTTCCTTCTCTCTTCTCCGAAATCGTCATAATTATTTATTATTACATTATATACTTTACACTTGCAGCAAGGCTCCTTTTGTAATCGTCGTTCGAACTTTCAGCTAATATCTAACAAAGAAAAAAAAAGGATGTCATTACAGTATATACCTATTCTTTCTTCATCAGTATGCATTATTATACTTGTTGGCATATGTATGTATACATGTCCCTCTTTTGTCCTCCTCCTCCTCCTCCTTCTTCTAAATGGACCCCTTTCCTGTCGTCCTGAAATAATAAGGTATTGTATTACTAATCTTTCTTTCGCATTTTAATGTACCAGCAGCTATAAATTCCATTAAAAATGCCGCACGGTCTTTTGTATTCTTAGTACATGAATCTCTTCACACTATGATGATGCTGTCCAACATATCAATATAGAAATTATGACCTTGAGCTCGGTATGCTCCGGGCATTGGAGTGGGGAAAGAAGCAAAAAGTCTCATCATAGCAGCGACAACACGTTGTTGTTGAATGAAGGTAAACATGTCGCGGTGTTCAAGAGCCTGTACATGTATTTTTTGCTTTTTAATTTACCCCATGATCAAACGTCAAGAGGAGCACATGCGTACTACGCTATGTGTCTCAAGCATTTTAGCTGTTACATAACGTTTTCCGCTTACATACAGCGTATAGCGATGCGAGAAACTATACAGCTATAGTAGAAGTATGACGTCGAAGATTTCATACATGGCAACGTTCTTGCTAGTAAGAGCTCAAGAGAAGCTATGTGATAGTGGAAATTACTCAATATGTTAAAGAAACTCCATGTCAATCTTTGCTCGGTTGTCACACGTGAAGAAGACGCAAAAAACCTCATCGTGGTATGAGAACATGCACCCCTCATTTTCCCGTATAGATACTACTCTCCCTAATCGCCTTCAGGCATTCATGCCAATTCCTAGATATGAACGGTGTACGTATGATCACCCAAGAAGCTGTGTAACAGCTGAAGTATGATCAGCCAACTATCCAATCTATGCAGACCAAATGCAAGGTGTCTTTATTGCTACTGTCTTTCTATCTCGAGCGATCGCAACAGCATCAAGAACAATGATGATACAAAAAAAATGGTACATAATCTAATAACTTAAGCACCTTATGTCAGCTCCACAGTAGCATAATACAATTAAGCTCATACATAGGACAATCACATAGTAGAGCCATTATTCTACATAGATGACTTGGGATGACTCAAAAAATTTACACATGGCATGACAATAGGCTTAAGGCTTTCGAGCACCACCCAGCCAACAACAAGGTGTGTGTGCGTAGCGGGTTTCGGTTGCCGCGTTATTTTTAAACAAATTTTCGCGTTTCTTGACTCGCCAAGGACGACAACAACACTTCGTGACCCCCCCCCAAATGCCACCAAAGAAACGCAACACACAACAACGTGGTGAAGGAGACGGTGAAGAACCATTTCAAGCTGTCATTCTCGCTGATACCTATGATGATCAGTTTCTTCCCATTTCAAACGAAATGCCACGGGTAAAGTTTTTAAATAACAGAAAGCAATCTCGAGAAAATCTTTGCTTAGGCTACAAAAAGAAAGAAACTTGACGATTCACGCAAATTTATATATTATGTATTTAAAATGTGCTCATGTAGTGCTTAATGCCTCTATGCAACATTCCCCTTATTGAATACACGCTTGAAGCTCTCGCCATTACCGATGTTCAAGAAGTCTTTATCGTATGCACTACCCATATTGACAAGATCAAAGAATACTTTGAGTATGTTTATTCCAAACATATTTATGACGATCTCGATGCCACGAACATACGCACGCAGGTTAATGTTTATTCGACATATAACACCTTTTCTCCCTTTTCAAAATTGTTAGGCAATCGAGTTGGTTACAACCACATAGTCCACTAAGTGTTCAAATCGTCCAATCACCCGAAGCAATGTCCGTCGGTGACGCTATGCGCGAACTCGATGCTCGACAACTCATCACGAACGACTTTATTCTGACCTTTGGCGACCTTGTTTCCAACATTAAACTCGATAAAATCATGGAAACGCACCGAGCACGCAAAAAGACTGATAAACACTCGATCATGACTATGGTATTGAAGGAAGCTGCACGCATACACACGAGCCGCGCCAAGGATGATTCAAGTGTATTCGTGCTTGATCCAAACAACAACCAATGTCTATTCTATGAGCCTGTACAGGCACTGCCCCGAAAAGCCCGGATCGAGGTTTCGCCCGAAGTTTTTGAAAACCATGCCCAATTTGAATTCCGTAATGATTTGGTCGATCCATTTTTGGATATCTGCTCGGTTGAAGTAAGCAAAAGCACAAGCAAAAGAGGAAGAAGTAGCGACGAATGAACTGAAAAATGTTCTAGGTCCCTGCATTGTTTACAGAAAACTTTGACTGGCAAAAATTGCGAAGCGATTTTGTTCACGGTATTTTGACGTCGGATATCCTTGGCAAACGAATCTATACGGAGATCATCTCGGAGCCATATGTTGCTCGCATACAAAATGAGCAACTGTATAGTACTGTCAGGTATGGGTTCCGTCCGATTAGAAAAGGAAAAGGAAAAAGCAATAGCACTGACGTTTTTAATGGGTGACAATAAACTTTTGTAGTAACCATGTATTAAATCGCTGGGTGTTCCCCATCGTCCCTGAAACAAATCTTCATCAAAACGACAATTATCAATTCTTACGCGGCAATATCTACAACGCATCAGATGTCATTTTATCCCGGTACGTATAAATGTATTTATCAGTTACTGTGTATATATTTTCTATTTTGATGAAAAACATTAACCCCGGCGGGTTTCTTAAAGCTCATGTATCATAGACGAAAACGTGCAAATTGGATCAGGTTCAGTTATCGGCGAAAACTCGCGTATCGCAAACTCGGTCATCGGTCGTAACTGCAGCATTGGCGACAATATTGTGCTCGATGGCGCATATATTTGGGACAATGTCACTATTTTTGCAAACAGCGTCGTTACGCGTTCTATTCTTGCCAACAATGTGACGCTGATGGACAACACAACGGTTCGTGATGGATGCATCATATCAACCGACGTTACCTTGGGACCTGATGAAGATGTTCCAAAGTACTCTCGATTGAGCTTACAACCACAGCCCAAGACGAGCATATTTGCTGATGATAGCGATGAAGAGGAGGAAGCAAAGGGTAAAAAAAAATTACGGCGATGATAAACGAGAGACAGCTAGACTGGTTTCTAATTGTCAACTTACAATTTTTGATTAGATCAACCTGTACTATCTAACAATAACCATCCTGATGTATACTTTTGGACCGAAAGAGGAGGTGATGACGACGATGTTGATATTCGGAATATTAACTTGGGATCATTGGGTAAATCATATGAAAAGAGAATCATTATGGCTCTTGCAATCATGCTTTTTTGCACGTTCTTCTAACTGATGTTATTTTAATTAGCTTATGACATGGCTGACCTGAAGATCAACGATGGCGAACTTAGCGACAGCGCATCTGAGGTTGGAGAAGTATCTGATGATGAAGACGACCATTCGGATAACGACATTGCTGGATCGTTTGGTGCCGGATGGGATACTCAGGGTGCTAGCAAGTTGGCCGAATTCAAGAAGGAAGTAGCACAGACCATTGAGCGCTCTCTTACCGAAAAACATACTGTGGATGAAACATCGCTTGAAATCACGGGTCTGCGTATGGCACATAATGGAACTTATGATCAAGTACGAGAGGTAATGATTCCGATGTTGTTGGACCATGTGGACGTTTCCAAGAATGCTGTGGGCAACATGCGAGCAATGTTGGAAAAATGGTCTCCGGTTATTAGCAAGGGCTTGGAAGATCAGGTTCATGTATTGCGCATATTCCAGGTAGTTATTCTCTGAATTATAACTGATAAAGATTATATGTATGTGTATCCAATTACAAGGAAATATGTATTAATTAAGTTTTTTTATTCATATATCAGCGACACTGTGCAGAGACTGACGCATTATCTAAGCTCTTTGTTGGTATTTTGCAAATCTTGTATAACGAAGACATCGTTGAAGAAGAATCGGTACTGAGATGGTATGCTTCGGATGCATCCAAGAACGGCTCATCAGCTGAAGTCAAGCTGAGAGAACGTGCAGCCAAGTTTGTGGATTGGTTGCAAGAGGCGGAGGAAGAGTCTTCAGATGACGATGAGGACAGCGATTAATTATAAAATAAAACCTACAAAAGTACCTATTTTTCTCTGGTTCACATAGTTTTAATACATTAGGATTCTGCCAGTCATATGCTGTAGCAAGAACGTGTTTTTTAATAGATGTGAATAAGGTGGATGGACAATTTTTAGAAGATGGTGAATGGAAAATATATAATAACAACGATGAGAGAAGGAAGAAAGACATGCGAGGGAAAGAGTGTTGTAAATATGTTAGGATACAATAGAAAAACAAAGCAGTGTGTAGTAATGGAAGGGGTAATATAGCAATTGACTTAGGAGTTGACCGAGTATTTGTAACTACACAATACATCGAAGGTTAATATTGACATCCCCATTCCTCCAACAACAATATAAACCACCATTAAAAAAATCACATACCCGCATTTCTTGCAGCTGTAAAAGACCGTTTGGCCTTCATCTGCAGAGCGCAACTGCATGGTATGATATGCCATTTCATCATTACCACAGCTAGGGCACTTTTCTTTGATCTATTATTAAAAGTCATTTATCATCAGTATACGCCGACAAACTTTGCTTTTAAAATTGATAATTCGCTTTTCTTACCATAGCTTCTGCCTCCTTGGCATTCTTGCTCTGCTGAACTAAATGACGTTTTGCTTTCAGCGATGACTGGAATGCATGTTGCGACGATGTCGTGACAACTTTGGTTTGTTCATAACCTGTTAAATAATATTCTTCTGTTAAAAAAAGGCGTGTGTACTTTGCAATGTTTTATAGTATAGATCAATAACATGCCTGCTGTTTGGAATGCGTGGCTGCATTGATTGCATAGTAAAATATCGTCGTCAGCACCGGGCATATCAAGTAAATTGCCGCACTCGGGGCAAAACAGAAGCGATCCGATAAGGTTGGTATTAGTGGCCATAGTTTGCAATCGATTTCGAACAAAATAAAGCAGGTTTCCACTTTGAATAGAGCAAGAAATTTGACAAGCGTGACGGTGATGCCCTTTTTCCACCAAGTTTCCTTTTTCGGTCGGCCTCGCATTGCTTTCGGAACATGGTTGCACGAAAAGATTGAGCATCAACTTTTGGGACTAACGATACTTACATGTACCATTTGTTCTTTTAAGTAGCGCAAAATGGGGTTTCATGTAAATAGCTATTCATACACATTCAAGATAGTAGAAAGCTAATGTTTGAAATAGGAGGAGGAAAACTGTACGTTTATATACATGTGTATGGATGTGGGACGTGCTCGCGGAACGATCCAAGGAAAAAAAATGTGATGCATATGGGAAAAGAGTTGTACTAGTGCAACCGACTTAACACTATAGCATAGAAACAATCCATTTGGATTATGTAAAGCACGGTAACATTCGACCACGGTGAACCAGTTATGTAACAGAACAATGAGCCTATCAATAGGTAGCGCAGCCACACACCCCAGCTAACGCCGGTATTAGCGAAGTATCGTAATTTGTATAGTAGCTTATACACTCTGATGAGTCTTGGATCAACCATTGTTGTCTATAGTTTATTGAGCAGCTGGATCGTTAAACAGCGTCGTCTTAAAGGGATCGAACATCTCAAAGATAAAGGAATTAGACCAGCTGGGCTGAAAAAAATCAGGCATTTTAGTAGTATTCAGCCCGCCTTGTAAATATCAATGGCTCGAGCACTACGTGGGCTCAATGATTTTGTACTCTACTCATATCCATTTCTGTGACATATCCCATATTTAATATAGATTATGTAGCATATAAAGCTCTTCTATGCGTAAATGTATTGGTGCGTCTTTATTTCTTGACAGTTAAATGCATTTTGCTTCCTCTGTCTCTTCTTTCAGATACAATTATAGTCACTGCCTTCATTACTCTTCTTTCGCATGCCCCTTTTCAATACTGTACATAAATCTTGATTGAACGTTAAACGCTCATTGCATCTTCTCGGCATTTTCTTTTCTATGATGAACTTGATCACTGTTAATACGATTAAATTACTCCAGTTAGAAGTGCAACATTGGCGCACTTAGCTGGTTATCGCGATGCTTCTTTCTTAAAAAATTACTCTAATTACTACTACACTGGCCAAGTCAGAATTGCTTTTGGCCATCGCGTTGTCACTTCTTTGTTGTATAAGCTTGCTCTCATTGCTATTACGGAGGCCCAGATCAGAATTGCTGTGGCCACATGAATTTGTCCTTTGCAATAAAATTCAAGTATTTGAATAAGCGACTGTAAGCTATAAGTTAGATAGATATCTGTATCAGATATCTAGGCGGTATAGTTTGTAGACAATACACCATTTAAGACCCTTCAGCCCACGCAGTGCTCGAGCCATTAATATCAACGAAGCAGGCTGAATATTACTAAATTGCCTGAATTTCTTCAGCGCAGCTGGTCTCAATTTTTCAGCCTGCGTACTAATTCCCACTTCTAATGATGTTCACGTTAGGACAAGCGGTTTTGGAAAATTACCAAAAAGTGATTGCTGAAGGAGCAAGATTGCCATGGCATGACAATCAAATGTATGCCGTTATTGTCACGCTAGGCTGGCCTGAGGGTATCGAACGCAATCATCCTAGCCGTTTACTTCAGCATGAACGAGCTGAAATAGGGAGACGATTGGTTTCCGGTGAGATCAGATTTGTAAAGGCGTCACAGCAACAACAGCAACAAGATGAACAAGCTTTTTTTCTTTTTCCTCAAAAAATATGCTTGACTGAGAAGATGTTAGGTCTACTTTAACTAGTACAGTATTTTTTGCATTGCTGAAAGCACTTTGTTTGGGGCTGATGGCTAGTGTATAGTTATGAATATGTCTTTGGTGAATTTACAATGTAGCTACATATAGACACCAAGCAATGTTTCTAGGAGTATCTGATACATCCTTTTAAGTAGGCATCTCTGACGTTTAATCCTTAGCATCCTCACATTTTCCTCTGTAAGTAGTACTTGGGCATGATCTACTTATTTGACGTTTTGCTACATCTTATATGAACGCTGTACGTAGTAGTTTTCGTAAGGATATATGTATTTGTCGAGACTGCAATAACGCACGAGCAAAACGTTGCTGACGCAGCACGATGGCTAATGCAGAGTCCCCAGCTGATCGGAAAACGCTAGAGCAAGAAACCAGTACACGATGGTCCGAGCTACATCGCCTTCAATATTTTGACCTCGCCCGTTGCACGGTCATCGATCCAATGCACAACTTGTTACTGGGCACCTCAAAACGTATGAAGGAGAACTGAATAGACAACGGGTATTTGACGACCAAGGTACCTGAAGCCATACAAGAAAAAGTAGACGACGAGAAAATACCGCCAAATCATGACAGCATGGCTAGTAAAATTAAGTCTCGTTTTGCTGGTATGAAGGCCGCCGAATGAAAAAGCTAAATTCTCCTGTATTCGCCATACGTTCTTAAAGCAGTCGATGTCATCCCCACCAACGACCTCGGAAACTGGATGCGCTTTGTGAATGCCTGCCGCCTACTGCTCAAACCATCCATCACCAAGAACAAAGTCGAAGAAGCACACAATCTTCTGTTGCAATTTTGTCGCGGAAGCAAGCGATTGTACGATGCTACGGCAATCACTCCTAACATGCATCTGCATGCTCACTTACGCAAATGCGTCATGGATTTTGGCCCGGTATACGCATTTTGGGTGTTCAGTTTCGATCAGTACAATATCTTGTGGGCAACATTGACACCAATAAGAAGGGTTCGTTTGAGGTGACCTTTGCCCGGTCCTTTTTGGAGCTTGCGCACACTGCTGATTTTGTTCGAGATATCACCAGTAACATGAAGGACAACGACGCTGCCTTATTGGCCAACATCATCAACAATCCACCCATGACCATCACTACGCATAGGCTTTCTTCTGCTGATGCGTTTGATGAACGATCTTTTGTTCAGTGGCGCCAGTGCTTTCGTTATGTTCGTTCGTTGCTCGGATCAGGCCCGCCTCCAGTTCCGGATCATTCATCAAAGCTTTATATTCGTCAGACTTTTGCTGAACGATATATCCGGCGTGGCGATTATCGTTTTTCAGCATTCCCCTATCTACGCGTAGAGAAAATACTGCTTGATACGAGTGTTGTACAGTGGTTCTCTATTTAATTTCTACCTCAAAGGGGGTCTATAAAGTGTTGAATCTACTGAGGGTTGACACATAACGAGGACGATTCAAGCAGTGTTATATGCTTAACGCAGGAATAGAAATAAGTTGAACTAACTGAGGGTTTATCGTATTGGGCATAAAAATAAACGGGGAACCACTGTATCGTGCCTGCATTCTTGTATTTGCTATTAAAAAGATAATATAACCTTCTTGCATCGTAATGAAGGGACAGGAAATGCTGCCAGGTGTTTCGTTTACCGGCATACTGTACTTGCGAAGGAATGGCAATTTCATCGGCAGGAGCTCCTCGACCGACGTGCTTGCCATACTTGGTGGCAATTTCGGCTTGACCCGCCTTCATGCGGTCAAGCAACTCTATCTTTTTCAAGAGCTGCTAGATCAGCCTAAATTTCCTCGTCGGCTTGTGCCACAGCGGACGACACTGCTTCGACAGCAGCAGCATCTACTACGTTGCTGGAGGCAGACTCGATTTCCATCTGCTCACTAGCAGTCGCCACGTCAGCAGTTGCACCAGTTGTCAATGGAGCTTGGTCGAATGTAGCTTTTGCAGCTTCAATTCTTTCTTTCACTACTGCCGCTTGGTATTTTCAATCGGAAACGAAATCAATGAAATCATCGTTATCAAATATTTTTCTCTCTTCTTCTGTTGTTCTGTTTTCTTTGATATAAAGTCGGTAGAGTATCAAAGCGGTTTCGATACAGTCTTTGGTCAACAAGGGATTCATTTTAAAATTGCTGAGTAGGGGAGGTAAGAGGTAGGAAGGAAGGGTTGGTGTCTCAAAATCTGGCTTTTCTCTCTTCTATTATCAAGCGTTTCACAAGATTTCGCATCATTCACTACAGAGTCCCACTTTGTTCAACATTTACAGCACAATTCCATTTAGGTTTGCAGCATACTTTATTTTTGCAGCCATATGAGTATATTGAAGCTGTAAAAAATTTGCTTAGTATGACCATTACTGCAGCAGCGGTAATACTAGCTGCTTTTTCTGGTATTGCCACCATCATTCTACCATATACAACCAGTGCTTACAGAGAACCTAATTAAACATACAGTCGACCCCCGTTAACGTCAACCCTCAGGGTACCAGTAAAAGTGTTGACCATATCGAGGGTTGACGACCACCGGGGGTAGAGAATAGGCAAAATCTTTAACTATTAAATTTGAAAGGGTACCAGCGAATCGGTTGACGCTATCGGGGGTTGACATTATCGGGGTTGACGTTAATGGGGGTTGACTGTATTACTTCGCCGACGATCTCGTGGCAACTATATTGCTCAATGCAAAAGTCTCTACTGTACAATCAGGAGCGAGAACGACGAGTCTCGCTCGCATATGAAGAAGTCTTACAGCAATATAAAACACGCACAAGCAAGTTTAGCGAACGGGAAGAGAAAAAAAACATTTTTTATTTGATACATGATACTACTAATCAATAATAGGGTGTCGATGTGTTAGCTTCCCTGCTCTTAAGCAGGTACTGACAGGAGCAACCACGAGAAGGTCCATCGACATCTGCTCCCATAACCCTCTCCCCACAAAGCTAGGGTCTTGTCTTGGTCGCTTTTTTGTGGATCATCAAAGGTCGATTGGTATTGAGATGCCCAGTCCGCTCTCACCAATCGCGAAGCTACAAAAAAAAAAGCACCACCACCCACCCACACACCTACTTACCTCCAACCACCTACCTTACGCCTCCGTCGCCCATGCCTACAAAACAAGCACCACCACCCACCCACCCACACACCCACTTACCTTCACCCACTTACCTTGCACCTTCGTCGCCTGTGCCTACAAAACAAGCACCACCACCCACCCACCCACCCACACACCCACTTACCTTCACCCACTTACCTTACGCCTCCGTCGCCCATGCCTACAAAACAAGCACCACCACCCACCCACCCACACACCCACTTACCTCCAACCACCTACCTTACGCCTCCGTCGCCCATGCCTACAAAACAAGCACCACCCACCCACCCACCCACACACCCACTTACCTTCACCCACTTACCTTGCACCTTCGTCGCCTGTGCCTACAAAACAAGCACCACCACCACCCACCCACCCACACACCCACTTACCTTCACCCACTTACCTTACGCCTCCGTCGCCCATGCCTACAAAACAAGCACCACCACCCACCCACCCACACACCCACTTACCTTCACCCACCTACCTTACGCCTCCGTCGCCCATGCCTACAAAACAAGCACCACCACCCACCCACCCACACACCACTTACCTTCACCCACTTACCTTGCACCTTCGTCGCCTGTGCCTACAAAACAAGCACCACCACCCACCCACCCACCCACACACCCACTTACCTTCACCCACTTACCTTACGCCTCCGTCGCCCATGCCTACAAAACAAGCACCACCACCCACCCACCCACACACCCACTTACCTCCAACCACCTACCTTACGCCTCCGTCGCCCATGCCTACAAAACAAGCACCACCACCCACCCACCCACACACCCACTTACCTTCAACCACTTACCTTACGCCTCCGTCGCCCATGCCTACAAAACAAGCACCACCACCCACCTACCCACCCACCCACCCACGACCTACAAAACCCGCGTTAGCCCCCACTCCCTCCCCAGACACTCACAAAAAAAAGAAAGGGACTTACCATACGTGATCGTGAAAAAGTGAAAAATGAAAAGAGAAAGAAAAAGTGAGGAAGCAACACGCTGCGGAAAATGGGTGTCTTTTTATGGGCAAAAGTTCATTTCCAAAAAGAACTCTGGTCTGGGCTCAATGAGATTCTGAAGGGACGCTTGCTTTTTTTTCCTTTCCTGTATCTTTTTTTTTGCGTACAAAAAACTAAAATAGGCAAAGATAAGCTCCGTGCTCAACAAAGCGCACAACAATGACAGACGACAGTAACACGATCACAACGCGCATTATCACACTTTGGCACTGTTTTTTATCTTTTTTTTTTACTTTCTGTGTTCGCGTAGTTCAGTTCGCGAAAATAATGGAAAGGAAAAAAGTTTTATTATTATTCCAATGCACATCACGTAGTTCAGTTCGCGAGAAAAATGGAAAGGAAAAAAAGTTAGTTCGGAGGATACGTTCCGAGCCAATCTGGTTTGCTTTTTTCGCATGTATCATACTTCACGCGCACCCTGGGAAAAAGCAGACAGATAGGATATACGATCGACGCTGTTTTTCTTGAAAAGAATCCCTTTCTCTGCATCCACCACGCTTGCCAGCTTACGATTATCGTTCGTTAAGCTGACCACCGAGCGAGCTCAAGCTGACCACCGAGCGAGCTCAATGCGAGACTAAAGACGACAAGCAGTCTAAAACCACACCTCCATAAGCGTATACAGTGTAGTGTTTTCGCCTGGACGAGTGACGTCCCCCAACTTTGGTTCCATCCCCCCATCCAACCCCCCGCCTCCAACTTTATTTACGGCCAGCACGGAAGGTCTGCGCATGAAGAAGCCGAGCATGACAGCAAAGTACAATGGAGACCCTGCGCAAAAAACATCGTAACTTGGCCTCAGAGCCTCGAAAAAACAAGGGTTGAGTATGTGCGTGTTGCTACGAGTCTGCCCATTGCGCTGGTTGCGGTTGTGTGAAAAAAGCGCTGCGAATCGCTTCGCAAGAGCAGCCGCCATTTCGCTCGGAATTGGTCAAAATGGGTGACGCGAATAAAATAAAATGTGTTTTGACATGCTTGTCCTGGCAACAAGCGGCTTTCAGGAACATGGATTGTCATGACTACTGAATGCCATGGCAATAAGCAGCTTTCTTATGCAGCGTGGTTATAAAGCAAGCCTCATAGAGAAGGATGTTAAAACGAGCAAACCAAACAACCTGAAGAAGCAGCCTGTATGGATAATAGTAGCTCTAGGATGACGCGCATACTATGCTGAAAACAGCCATGCTGCTCTATAATCTGGCTTTGACAATTTATTTTAAGCTGCCCACATCCATCATTGCGGGCTTGGAGGATCGGCAATCGCTGATTGCGGTGGGCATATACTCGTATAAGAGAGCGTTTTTTATTTTCGTTACACACGCCACGACAGTTGATACAACAATGGCCGAGACTTTCTACAATGTCTCACTGATCCCATGAAGACGCTGGCTGCGGCGTTCAGCACATGTTTACTCCAAACAAAACCCAAACAAACAATTTATTGTTCAATATAAACAACATTGACCCGAACCCTGTACAGAGACCCTTTGATCATTGGCCTGACCTTTGCGCTATCCCAATCTAATACACGCCCAGTCATCCTGCTGATAAGATATTAACCAACTTGCATAACACTATCCGCTATCTCCCCCATCCCCCATCCCTTTCTTTCCTGATACTTTTCCTTTTTTGGATTATAATTCAGCAATATAACTAGTAACAAGACAACCATTCCAAGTGCATCATCAGCCGTAAATAATCATCAAGAGCTTACAAACGACATCATATCACGCCACCCATTCGGGTCATAGGCGTTCATTGCTGTACAGATGTTGTTTTACATAAACTGGATCATCCGAGTATAATGTTTCCGTGATTTATGGTGCATACTAGTGTGTCTCAAAATCTGGAGATATCTGGAGAGTTTTTTCATGTGTGAAATAAGTAGGGCATAGGCATAAAAGGGAAATTATGGGGGTTGATGAGGAAAAAGAGCTTCTTCCTGACGGAAGGTGATGCGTAATTTGTGGGTAGAGCCGATGACAGATTGAGGGTGGAATGGGATAGAAAAAAATATAAAGCCAATGGGCTCGCCACACTCCAACTAGAATACCTGAAAGAATCTGAGCGGTTGTATGATAGAGGAGATTGAGATGAAGGCCACGAAGGCATAGTAAGGTGGCGTCGGAGACAGTGTGCTCGGAGGCCGGCATCCCCTTATTTCCACCCCGGTTGAGTGTGAAAAAAATTGGAGGGAGGAAAGAGTGGGGTTCAATAGCAGCAGCAACAACCAAAGATCTTTTTTTTTTCTTCTCATTAACAACCACCATGGCAATTCAACAGCTGCGAACACACTTGTATATGACTTTTTACTGTCTCCATGATGAATAGAAGAGAAAAAGAAAACAAAGCGCCACAATCCACAGATTTAACAAAAAACGGAATCATGGTAATTGTTTTTTTAAAAAAAAGCATGTGCTCAAGATTTGTAAGGTGTAGACCGCCGTTACTGTAGAAAAAACGATAGCCTTTCAAAGTTGCGTAGGTGATCAAGGGAAGGAAAAGGTTGTCGGTTGTGCTTGGGATATAGCTTTGGTGGATACATGCTCATTCAGAATTACTGTTTTTTTCTTCTCTGTATATACTTGATGCACCATCTTGCACCATTCCAACG